TTTTTTTTTTTTTTTTTTGTGCACCCTTGTTTTTCCACCAAAAGTCCTACACCCCCTTCCCTTCAGTCAGTCCATTAACCCGCCAAGACAACCGAAAAGAAGGGACAAGAAAAAAACCCCCAATAGACTAACTAAACCCCCAACATTCAACTCAAGTTTGCTTTTACTCTCCGAAACGAAGTCCCCCCTCGCAGAGTTATCTGAACTGGGGGGCCCCAGCCAAGCAAAAAAAAAGAAATGTCCCCCTACAATCCTATGAAGAATCGCCAATAGCCCAACCTTAACTCCAATAAGCAACGATTATATGGATGAACATATGTGACCGCACTGACCGTGCTGCAACATGAGTCGTATAAGTTAAAACTATAACCCCAAATGGCGAAATGTAAGGGTTACTTATACCCATATCCATATCCATACCTATGTAGTTTTCACCTGTGTACTTGTTTTCCTTCCCTCCCCCCCCCTTCTCCCCGCCCCTCACCTATCTTTCCCACGTCATATTTTTTAGGATAGAGGGTACGGTGCTGGGAAGTATGTACTATACCCAACGACAGATATTGGAAATTAGATAAAACTATGGACGTAACCTACGTATATATATATATAAAGACGGACATCATCCGATGTCGCATTTCTATACATCCAATAGATATACCTGCTAGGAAATTACGTCTCAGGATTCAATACCTAGGAAGAAATTAAATAAGTAGTCTAGAATATGGGTCGGATCGACTCGACTCGGTCTAGATGTGCTGATGTACATGGCCTAACTAAACCAAACTGAACTAGATCTATTATCTTCTCCTTGTTTTGCTTCGTTCGTGTTCGCGTTCGTCGAAAATGTGGTATCTAGTATCGAGTAGAATGTACCCAAAACCCCTGATCGTGATTATCAGTGATGCGGGCGATGGGGGCAAGATCAGATCGATATAAATAGATAGATCTTAGTCCGGATACTGTACGAAGCTCTGGTTTAAAATAGGTTTGTGGGAGCTTGGGGCCGGCACGTGGTGGGTTACTGTAAGGGGGTCGGTCTCTCCTTTTTATTTTATTTTATTTAATATTTTTTTTATTTCTATTTTGATGGGGGAATTTGGAATTTTTTGATATTAGTCTAGTCTAGGGATATTGAGGTAGTAAGGGTTTGAACTCATTAGATAGGTAGACTAGGGCGGGGTTTGGTTTAGATTACGGGAGGGAAATTGATTGATTGATACTTTGGTCGATGTGTGAAAGTGCAGAATTATATCTTGATCATGCTATAGATATTAACTAATCTCGGTTTTTACTCGAACATGTATAATCATCAAATGTAAATGCAATATGCCCACCCAACGCCAAAGAATTAATCAACATTGCGGATCTCAAATGCACGACGACCCTCCACAAGCCCATCACTTACTTTAGTGACAGCCACCCAGTCCGGCGCGAACTGGACCGCCTCGTCCAACGCCGGGATGACCCCTGGTCGATTGTGATCGCTCCAAAGACAGACGACGTTGCCTGTCAGATCTCCCTCGTCCCATTGCACGTCGACAATCCATTGGTGCTCCCATTCGCGACTCCAGAGTCGAATCTCTTCAATACCGGCCGCGTCATTGGGGAAGCGCGGGTCATATGCAGATCCAGCAACGTGGAAGTCCTTGACTGGTGTGTCGAAGACGATCCTGCATGCACGCGTGTTCAGTCCAGACACCTCGAGCCGAGCTTGCGATTTATCGGTGGACTTGGAGATGTTGAAAGACACCCAGTCTTTCATCGGGTGATCGCCCTCTACGAGCTGCGGGGGAAGTCCTTCCCAAGAGCATGACAGTAGGTTCTTCCTCCTTGTGTTCCAGGCGCAAGCGATGTTTTGGCCGGCAGCACTGGGCAGGCTCAGGGTGGCATCCTCCACGAATGGAGAAACTCCCGCGAAGGTGGCACGGTTGACGCCGGTAACGAGGTCCAGCTCTTGTACGTAGTAGAGCTTCAACCTGTTGGAAGCGGAAAACGGGAAGGCCACGAGGTTATAGATCAAAGTACCAAGGAAGACTGCCAGCAAAAACAGAGGAATGTGGTAGGTATACCGATGGATAAAAGGTAGAAGAGGCGTAAACAGGATAGTCGTGAAGATGGCGATAGCGACGTAGATAAACAGCGGAGATCCTCCATCCTCTCCGGTCTGATTGATGGCGCTTGTGATCAGTAACCCAAGAGGTCCGACCATGATGAGAGTAATCGGGGCAGTGAGAAGAAGTTGCAAGACCCACGTCCATTTGGGCAATGCAGAGCTCCACGATTGTTCCCGGCCATAGATGTGAGGGTCGTTGACCTCATCTTCTGCATCGTTATGGCTATCCCCGGTAACTCGCACATAATTCGCAAAAGTCGTTCGTTGCCCACTGCCCAGCAGGGACGTTGACTCTGTCGGCTCTTCTTCGGCATCCTCTCCATCGTCCTCCTCGCCAGAAGCCGTGCCCAGTCGGCTACCGGGTGTACTGATCCGCCTCGATGTTGGTCTGAATTGACTCGCATACTCGCACTTTGGTGGCAGGAAGAAGAGCTCCAGGTACGAGATCCATGTTGCTAAAAAGATACCAGTATGGAAAAAGAAAACAAAATACCCGCCGGCGAGACCCTTTTGGTTTGCGTATACGGTAGCGATCGCCGCGAGGACCCAGGAGAAAAGGTACATCCACGTGAGGGTATAGATTCGATGGAAGGCCGATGGACGAGCAAAGTCGGCTACACGCGAGACAAACCAAGCCAGGAAGACCCATGCGGCAATCATCATACTCCAGACTGCATATGCACTGTTATGAATGATGTAGGGATTGACCTTGGTAATCAGATACGCCAACACAACCACAACGACGGTCGGGATTCCGAAGAGAAATGGAAAGCGGAAGAAGCCCCGAAGCCCCTGCAGTGGGACGACGTCGATACCATCCTCAGACTTCGCTGATGACCTGAACAGATACATCTTGTCCGCCTTCGTAAGGAAGATGCTCGTAATGAGCAAGGTAAGGGGCCCAACAATCAACAACGTCACCAGCAGCGCGAACAGCGTGTGGAGTTGGAAGAGCACAAATGTGCTTCCAAATAGATCGAACCAGACTGCCTTGGAACCAGATCCGCTGGGGACTCCGCCATCAATATTCGGCGCGCCATCGAAACGATTGCTCGAGTCGGAGACGAGTCCCTCAGTCGTTGCAACAGCCGCCGACAGCATATGCCAGACAGAGTCCTTGCTCGTATGCCGAGTATCATCCTGATTTGTATGATATCTCGCTCTAGGCTCTATGAACGCAACATCAAGCCCACGTAGTCCTAAATCCCCTTCAAAGACCACGTAATCCGTTTGACTAGAAATCAAGCCCGATTCGAACCCATTGGCACTAAGCACCGATCCGAAAGGATGCTGCGACCGCATATACGGACCGGTGACCTCGAAATCGGAGCTCCGGAACAAAGTTGCCCTTCCACCAGCTCCCGCACCCTCCAAATTGAGGAACGTATGAGGAAGCCTCGAAATTGGATGCTGACTATAAACACGCGCGCCATTCAAGTAATCCTCTTCACCATTGTTAAACAGCACCACTAGGCCGCGCCGCGGAGCATGTCCCGGCGTAGTGAAATACTTGATGAGCTGGAGACAAGTAACAACACCAACCCCGTCATCGGTGGCCCCGAAACCAGTCGAAACACTATCATAGTGTGAATTCACAAGCACGCCTCCCTTACTCGTGGGTACACCACTGGGTGCTTCCCACCACTTTTCCGTGTCGTCTTCCGACCCACGGATGTAAACGATGATATTAGTCCCTTCGAAATAGACGCCGAGACCCGCATGGCAAGTCGTCAGATTCGAATTCACGTCATCGAAGACAAACACATCCGGTTTTTCCTCGTCAACACCTCGGTACTCCTGCTCCGAAGGGGCAGCATCTAGGATCTCGTTGATCCGCCTCAGTAGCCAAGAGTGAATGACATCATTTCGGTGGGAGTTGTATGGATGGAATCCATTCGTCAGAACTTGGAGATCAGCCCAAGCCTCCGAAATGTTCAAGCCCTTGGGCGCGGAGCTAGGAGCGGAAGGTACTACATGGTGCACGACCAGCAACGGAATCACCAGGGCAAGGTAAACGATCGCGGTGATAAGGGTAACAGGCCAGCGGGTGAATGCCAGCGGGTTGGCCCGAGGCAATCGGAAAGAAGCCATTATATATTGGCCCTCCTTTCAGGGAAAAGGGTCCAGCCCAGAAGCGAGTGACGACTAGACGCGAGCTTCAAAACAGCAGGATGTGGAGTGAGAGTCGGAGATCGCGCATCAAGGCGGAAGGGAAGTAACGTAAAGTGGGGGGGGGGAATATTAAAACGGAATGGCATTTAATGCGCTGACCAACACTTCCAATCATGTCAGGCAACGACCAATCATGGATCAGGTGGAGCCTTGCCTTTCTAAGTATAGACCACTACAATGGAAGCCCTACAGGCTACTACTATCGCGATGTTCTTTAATTGTGGGTGCTCAGTAATCCTCAGACTATACACACTAGTCACGCATGCGGTTAAGGATGTCTTCCTCCTACTTACCAATTCCTCAAATGAAAACGAACACGAGGAGTAAACTGGGACCTTCTTTTTAACGTCTAGCTAGAAATACATATATATTTTGGGATGCTCCAACGCCATTCATGCGATAATGTAGCTACAAAATAGTCCGAAGCCCTGGACACAATACGCCGTACTTGAATAATGTCTAAATATCCCCAGTAGCAACCGTGAAGCCAAGGTGTATATACCATGGGGCTGGTCGTCGCCTGTCATCCATCCAGTCGGGACATGGGAGCATATTTACTGAGCAGCTTCATTCCAATGCGACCGCATATATGCCTAATCCCGGACAAAAAAAAACAGCCTAGAAGGCAGGCCCGTATACCGCTATCAATGCATTTCCCATGTAATCAATCGCAACAGTCCCCTCCCTTCATAAAGGCAATGCTCGCAACGTGACCAAGACCGTCTGAGAGAAAATAACACGAGGAGAATAAGAACGCTGAGGTCAGATGGAAGAAAAGAAGAACGTGACACGCTCAAAAGGATATAAGGCAGGGGTATCAACCTTGAGGATGTCCAATGTCAATATAATCGTCGTCGTTAATTGCTGTCGCATGCATCAGGCCCGTCACTTGACCCTCTTCCTCATCTAATTCTTCGTCGTCCTCATACATGGTAGCCTCATTCATCTCCCGGGCTGGAGGGATCGTTCGGTTCAGGTGGTCGCGAAGTTGCTTAACGCCGTCACCACTGAACACGCAAAACACTTCCCGTTGTTGATGTGTAAATTCCGCGGGCGCCTCGCGACAAAATTTGGTGAGCTCGTCCCGTAGAAATTCTTGCACTCCGGTAAGGCTGAGATGGGTGAGTCGAGGACAATTGTTGAGTAGAGCGTGAATTCCCTATGTCACATGTTAAACCCCAATTCTTGGCAACCGGTCGGCAGACTTACCGGCATGGTCAAATTAACACAGTAACTTAGATGGACTCTTTCCAGGCTACTAATTGAGGGATGTGGGGAGACCTTCGGACGTGCTAGTGCTAGTATACTGCGGTTGGTGATCAATGTGCACTTGACCAACCCGATCCGTCTCAGTTTCGGTAACGTTGCTAGCTGCTGCACGCTCTGGTCTGTCAGACGGTTGCAGCAAGCTAGATCGATGTATCTGATCCGGTTGCAGGACTTGACGAGCTGGATCACGGCAGTATCTGTGATGTTTGAGCAGTGGCCCAGGTGGACGTAGTGCAGGTTCTTCCCCAGTTTGCATATAGCCCATACCGCACGGTCGGTAATGAACCTACATTTGGCGAGCACCAGATTTCGTAGGCGAGGGGCAGAGCTAACTATGCGTTCTACAGCATCATCTCTGACATGCTCACAGGCCGTCAAATCAAGTATACGGAGACTGTCCATAGAAAGTTGCTTTGGGAGTTCCAAGAATGCTAAATCGTCTATTTCTGTGCAATGTGCGAGTCGCAGTTCGCGAAGATTCGGAAGGGTAGCCATAAGGGAAGTTACTGAACGATTGGTGACAGATTTGCAGTCGTGCAGGTCGATCTCAAGGATAGCCGGGCAGTTACGAGCGAACGAGATGATAGCTCTATCCGTCACCTGTACGACGCCATTCAGTTTTAACTGTGGTTCATGTTAGTTTCAGTAACAGTAAGAACACACAAATACATCACCCACCCTTTTAATGTGTCGGCTATTCTCTGATATGACTATTAACGAGTCATCTGTCACTTTAATGCAGTTGGTGATGTTGAGCCCCTGGAGCCGAGGACAGTTCCTGGCCACCGTGTATAAAGTGTGATCGGTAAGTGAACGCAAATCAGAAACATCTAGGGCTTGTAGATGCCGGTTGCCTTCCACTAGATCTGAGACCCCCTTATCCGTAAGTTTAGAACAGTTTGTCAGCGTCAAACGCTCGATTCGGTTACATTGTGCAAACGGGACAACAGTTCCGTCGCTGACCTCTTCCATCAAAGCGGAGAGATTCAGTCTCTTAATGAGATCGGAGTATGAGAAGAAACTATCTTCAGTCCCCACTGTTGCTGTAATGCTCTTCATGTTGGTCCAGTTGCTGCAAGACGGCCGGTGCCACAGTATCCCAACACAGTTTGCAGCCCATCCTCGACACACTAACATGCAGCTTAGCATATCTGCGGGCGAGCTCAGCTTGGCGAATATGGCGATCAGGATTTCCGGCGGAAGGCGTCCGATCGGCGGAAGCGTATAATGATCATCTTGGCCACGTACTTCACGGGAGGTTGCGACACCACCAACAGACGATTGCGAATCATTCGCCTGGGCTGTGAAGAAATCGGTATCGTCATCGGCGTTCCGGTCTGGGGATGAGGAGGATGAAGACTCGGAGGGAGCTTCGCTCGAGAACCGAGCGGGTTGCCGTGAGCGGGGCATGAGGACTACCGAGGGACTCGAGTCCAGCGTGTTTTAGATCGGTGCTACCGGTTTGTGGGAAATCTCACAAACTGATAGAGTCTTGTGGCATGGACTACGTCTCTTATAAGATCATCGAGGCAGAAAAGGACGTAGCAAGAGTCGGCGCAACTCTTGTTCAAGATTACTCCTATGCCCAGTGGATCGGGAGATTGATAAGGAGGCGAGGTGGCGTTCGTTAGAATTATTCTGAGCCTGAGAGCTGTGTTACGGCCGTACAGTCAAATAGGGAACTGAAGGCGCTTAAGAAGGGGTAGCGCGCGTCGGAGGTGCCTATCGCCGGTGCACCCCAGGGAAGGCAAGGGAGGGGCGATCAGTCGAAAAGCGGCGACGGAGCAATGCGAGGGAGGTGAGTAAGTTCCTGGTAAATAATGAATGACCTAGCAGGGCTGGAAGATGCACTCCAAGCTAGTATGTAAATCGGTTTGGTCGGGAGACTCGTGGGGCGGAGATTATATAGCCAGACAATCAGGCGGCTGTGAAGAAAGGAAGGCGGCGGCTGCGACTTGAGCGGGAGGGGAGGGGGGTAAGCGAATCAGTTTCTGGCTGCCTCTCGAGGGGCGATCTGTTAAGTTATTTGTCAGAAATGCCAGCGATAAAAAAAACTCAGGAAAGAGATACAATTTAGGGACAAGTCAGATGTCAGCAATAAGACAGAAATCAAGTGGATGGATGGGAGGATCTTCGCTTTGGTTGAGGACAAAGTTGGAAAGGAAGGGACTCCCAATCTGTAGTGTAGGTCGGGGCAATGTTTGTCTCGTGCCCCGATTGGTTACCGCTAAGGCCGTATGGTGGTACCGTCTTTGACTTAATCTTAGTAACCCTTAGGTTTCCGCATAACCCTTAAGTAGTAAGTACTCCTTTTGATCCTGCCTGAATATTGAGGGTTCTCAGCAAGGCATACATACAGATCCGGAGTACCTCTTATTACCTGGCACCTTGATTCTCTTCCCTCCATGGCCGGTCACCGGATACACGGACCTCTCTCTCCACCTGCTCAAAAACTGTCTTCCAAATATAGTATGTACTCCCTCCTACCTGATATATATCATTCTCGCTTTACACTCTGAATGGGCCACGGATTCATCGCGTTTGGCTGTCTATCGGGTCCCGCCCCCTTTTCGACCCAAAAGAATATCTGGGTTGGCACACCGAGTTGGGTCCAGAGCCGCCCCCCTTCGCAAGGTGGGACGGTGAAATCCTATTAACATGGTGGTGGAACTATCGGAAAGACCCTAAATTCGGGTTTTTGGGAACGAACAGGGACTGTGCCATCCTATGATAGCTCAACGCAGCCCCAATAAGTACTATTTCTGTGGTCTAGACCCTATATATATATAAAATCATTTCTCAATTTAGGATGTCCTTCATGTTCGAGTCACACCTTTAGCCCAGTCGCGAAGGACGTTCTTCCTGACTTTCCCAGTGCTAGTCTTGGGAAGTTCCGCCACTACTTCAACCTCCCGGGGAATCATAAACTTGCTGATATCGCTGACATTCCGAGCCCAATCGATTACCCCTTGGCCATTCAATGTCTTGCCTGGCTTCACCGTCACATATGCCTTTGGTCGCTCCCCCCAGTGGGAGTCGGGGACGGCTACGACTCCAGCCTCGAGTATATCCGGATGGGTGACCAACATAGACTCTAGCGCAACAGACGAGATATTCTCTCCTCCTACATCTCAATCGTTAGCAAGAAAAAGAAATGTCGAGGAGCAAACTTTTGTCTCGCAGCTTACCGCTGATAATGATATCTTTTGCCCGATCTTGTATCTGGATCGCGCCATCTGCATGCCAGACAGCCAAGTCTCCAGAATGAAGAACGCCACCCGCGAATAGCTTCCGCGTGGCCTCGGGGTCTTTGTAGTAACCTTGAGCACAGATATTTCCTGTGAACACAATCTCACCTATCTCCGTACCGTCCCGAGTAACATCGATAACGGCTCCTTCGGGGACATCCGTCTTAATCACTCGTACGGGCAGACTAGTTACAAAGCCATGTCCTTGCCTTGCCATCCTCTTATACTTTTCATCTGATGGTAAATCATCCCATGAAGGCATGTAGTACCCTTTCGTGATGGGGCCATACGTCTCCGTCATACCATATACATGTACAGGGTGTAGGTTCAAGTTAGTCATCTGCTCGAAGAGATGAGGCGTAGGCGGGCTCGCCGCAACCGTAACATGAACAGGCTCCGGCAGCTGCTCTGCCTCCTCGGAATTGCAGAGTAGAGTATTCACAGTTGGGGCTGCATTGAAATGAGTGATCTGCTCCTGCTTCAATAATTTCCAGATCTGAGGGTAGTCAATTTTCCGCAAGCAGTAATGAGTACCACGGACAGCCGTGACAGCCCAAGGGAATGTCCATCCTAGCAAAAGTCAGTCACAAACATCCCGACCAAGACACAGGACATCACCAACCCATTGCATGGAACATGGGCAGAGTCCACAGATACCGACAGCGACCGTGCTGCCGATTAAGCCCAGATTCAATCACATTGCCCATTGCAGCAAGATAGCAGCCACGATGGGTAAATTCCACGCCCTTCGGACGAGCCGTCGTACCGCTGGTATAAGCAAGAGCGACCACATCGTCCTCAGAAGCAGTCTGCGCTTCAAGCCCACTCCACCCTTTAGCCCCTGTATCCGAATCATACCTCAAGCCCTCCAAAACTGCATCATCAAAGGGACCAGACAACTGGCCTTCGGTAGCGTCTGTATCCGTGTCAAGAATAATTGGGACATCCGGCTTGGAAGCGCGGTAGCTCTGAAGAAGCGACAAGAACTCCTGATCAACAATGATGGCCTCAACATCAGAGTGCGTGAAGATATACGCAATATCATCCTCTTTCAAGCGATAATTCACAGCTAGTCACCCGCATCAACCCAACTCCCCGTCAGCCCAAAGGTAAAAATAAAAAATTACAATGCCAGTCCTTACCGACATTAACCGCCCCAGCGGCCGCAATCCCAAAGATAGATTCCAAAAAGGCAGGAGTATTAGGACACAAAATGCCCACTCTTTTAAACCCATGCTTCTTCAGGTAGTAAGCGAGACCCCTTGCGCGATCAGCCGTCTCAGCATAGGTCCGTCTAAGAACCTGATTATTCGCAGTGATGTGATGAATGGCCTCGGCCTTGACATCGCCCAATGTCAGCAACGCACAATTGCAACCCACACATGTCCCCTTGGAACTCAAAAGAGAGAAAAAGACGTCGTACCTCCGGCTCAATAGCCGCCGCCCTAGGCAAAAAGAACGTTGGTGAAAGCGTATGAAAATTAACCCGATGCTCTGCACCACCACCGGGGATGAAATGCCCCAGTAGCCCGGACAATCTCGACTTCGCGCCTGACATGATTGATCGATTGACCTGCACAGAAAGAAAGGGATGTAACTAAAAGGGCTAATTTAGACTGGTCGCTTACGACCCTGTACCTCCAAGAGCTGGTTATGCAAGAGGAATCAATAAAAACCTGGAATATAGGCCCGAGCTGTACGTGACGAGGCAAGATAAGAGTACTAGTAGTCAGTCACTTGACGAAACCCCAAGTTGGAGAAATCAGGAAATGCGGGGAAATTGAGTAAATGCGGCTAGTTCGGTCCGCGGAGGTGGCGGGAGGATCGATTCCCGCTGGCTGGATCTTGTTACTTTCGTTTACGTCCATCTCTCTGTGGGACATTTTTGTGGTAGTATGTTGAGGTCGATTGGGGAGGGTTAATTGCGGAAATACGTGAGGCTTTCTTATTTCTCCTTTACTTTCACGCCTTGCTTAACCCTCGGTCGCCCTTGATCTTTCTTCTGTTGTTGTGTTGGGTAATTGTGATCTTTTAGGGACCTATTAGTAAGCATGCCTAGGTGGTCGGTTATTGGGTTGGGCCTGGAGCTTATTGCAATGGCAATTTAGTTCCCAGATCACATGCCGAACCGTTGGGATTAGTAATACTTAGTACATTACTGATTAACTTATGCCTCCCATGAAGAAGATTGTGAATATTACTATAATGATATTACATGAAGATAGGAAAATAGAAAAGCCCTCACCTACTATCCATTTTAAATTACAAGGCCCATCAACCGCTTACCCAAGGAAAGATTTGCCACGTTGCAGGCAAATCACACATATGTGTGGCTTGCAAGCCGCGTCAGATACGTAGGCTTATCAGTGAGCGATATATAAATCCAAAATCTTTATCCGCTAATCATAAAGACACGACTCAGTGAACTGAAGGACTGGCCACACCACACTACTTTTAAAGACCAATCACATCTATATATCCGGGTACTAAGGGTGTGTGATCCGACAAAGAAGTCGAATCACTAGACATGCAAGGACTCCCATCACATTTACTAAACGTACAGTTATCACCCGCTTGTCACACCAGTGGGCCGCAATCTGATCTACAAAAATAAAGGATCACTCGCAGCGTTGTGTAACTGGAAACGTATGTCGCATGGGCAGAGAGATCGGAGCTTGTCGGTAATAATTCGGGCTATGCAATTCGGGGTTTACTGAACATGTAGAAAGACACAAAGAGACACAATAACTGGTCGTAGAGTCATTCTTAACTCGGAAAGAAAATTCTTTGGATTAAACCGCCACGGCGCGAAATATATGTCGGTTATTTTGAACAACCTTCCATCCCAAGCGACTCCGTATTTTTTAATATTAAGAATCGGGTTCTCCAGCCATGTGCGTCACAACATAATCATTGTGGAATATTCATGATAGGGTAGGGACAGTGAGAAAAAGGTCGATCGGTTCGCCGTCCAAACACTTCGCTGAAAGAAAACCGTTTGCGATCCTCCAACCATCCCATCAAAGACAGAAGTAACCAGCCGCGCAATGAGGTATCTAATATCCGTACTGAGCAAGCTGGTTCTTGGTCTGGTCGCTGACACCAGCCGACTTCTGCGCCTGGACGAGTTGGCGGCGAGCGGCCTTCTTGCGTTCGTAGTATGCACTGCTCTTGACCTTTCTGCGCTCCTCGAGTCTATATTGAAAATCCCGTTAGCCATTATTCAATAATCCCAGTAGCCATAGCTCCTTCAAAATTCATTCTAGAGTGTCTGATACGCACCTTGCAACAACGTCCTGGTACTTCCAGCCAACCTCGTGGCTGAGACGGCCGACGGTGCAGTACTTCCGGCCGGGGCGGAGGCGGAGGACACGGAGAGCCTGGGGGACGACGACACGCTTCTTCTTGTCATAGGGGGGAGGGACACCCTCGAAGACCTTGAGGCGCTCCATAGCAGCAGCACCGCGGGCAGTCTTGTGGGGAATCATTCCACGGACGGCCTTGTACAAGATGCGAGAGGGAGCACGGAAGTGGAAGGGACCTGCCAACATTCAAAACTTCAGCACAAGTCCACAGGGTGTCGCTTCTTGTCGGGAATTTCCAGGTTGACTCACCTCCGCGAGTGGGGTTGAAACGAGTAATCTTGCGAAGGTAGGCGTGGTACTTGACTATATCCCAGATATCCATATCAGCCCGTCTGCACTAAGTAAATATCATATTTTCCACCGCCATTTCCGTGTTCCACGATCTTCCAAAGCTCAAGTCGTCCCAAATCTCCAAAACACAGTAACAAAGTAAATCGGGTCGGATAACGTACGCTTCGCGCGGAAGAACTCGCCAGAGATGTTGAGGGCTTCACATCTCACGACGACGATCTTCTGGCCGTTGAGCAGCTGCTTAGCGACAGTGCTGGCCAGGCGACCAAGAAGGTGTCCCTTGCCGTCAATGACGACCTGCCAAATCCATCACAAGTCAGCGATAACTGAAACCCAAGTAGAGTGTCTTCCTTCTCCTCTCCAATCCACGAATTCAATGCTTCAAAGATATCACGAAGGTGTTTCACTCGGAAGCGTGCATGTGAAGGGGGTGTACGCACGACTGGCTCGGTGGAGGACATCCTGCTCTTCTGTCACCGTTTTTATAGGAAAATATCCAGCGAAAGGAAGAGCGCTGCTCTAGGATACTCCCTTGGGATGTATGTTGTCGGCGGTTGTTGTCGTTGTGGGCAGGTTCTACGCACACAACGAAGTCGGATGAGTTCGCACGCTGGCTAAGCGAGGCTAATGTGCGGCTTGGGTAAGGTCTAGGAGGGCCCCAGCCCTAACTCCGACCAATCCCGTGTCGCACAATCACGTGATGCTACCGGAGATACCAGCCCTGTCCGCCTCTCTTCTGACTTGATAGGCTCGCTCCACTATCATTGCCCTTATCAAGTGGCCGTACTTTGGAGTCCAAAGATTCGGTGATGTCAAAGGGTTACCTTAGTACAACAGTATCAATCATTCCGCACACTTATCGCTGCCCGCCCCGCAGGGAACAATCATACTCCCCAAAGCGTCCAGTTCTCAATAAAGAGATGCCACCCGCTTATCTAGGTAGCATTGCTATCATAACTAGGTCCCTACTATAGCCCTTACTGTGTACGGAGGTTATTCCGTAGAGATCTCATTGACGGCGCCGCGAGTACATCCCATTGGTCGCGCGATCTGTATGGTGGTTGTTTTCTTGGCCGGTCCTATACCCGGGTAATACCGAGATCTTTCCGGTAGAGTGATGTACTTGCTTCAACGTTCAGATCTCAAGATTAAATTATACACCCAATTACAGATAGACCATATTAGAACTCCAATCTATGTGGAACGAAGATCGCTGGGTCCGCTGACCAAGTGATATCTGACATCAAGCAGATCGGATTGATTATTATTATTATACTATACGTCTTATGGTCGTTCGTCACAGCATATTATACATATGTTCACAAATATATCGAGAGTAGAAGAGAAAAAGGTCGGCTTTTCGTGACAGCGTCGAGGTGAGAGGATCGGACAACGGGGCATATATCCCGAACTGCATCGTTTTCTTCAGTACAGGGGCAATTTCGCATCGCGAGTACCTCTCTCAATGACTTCTTCGATGCTCCAGCGAGGAGGCTCAATCATATGTTTGTTTTCCTTGGAGGCGTCGCTCGGCAGAGGGTCTCTCAACCCGCCCGCGATACCAGTCGAATACTTCAGCCTCAAGGCGTCTCCTATCTCATCACATACCCGCAGGATCCGGTCAAGGTCATCCTTGGTGTGCGCAGCGGACACACAAAATCGTGCGCGAGAGAGTTCCAGTGGAGTGGCCGGATAAGTTACGACGACGACGGAAATCTTACGTCGTAACATTTCGTGGGAAAATGCTGGCATCTTCGCGGGGTTGTAAAGCATCAGAGGAACAATCGGGGAGTCATCATGTCCGTAGACAATGAATCCAAGTCTCTTGAGTCCCAACCTTAGATACCTTGAATTGAATGCCAATCGCTGCACTCGCTCAATACCCTGGCCTGGGTGAAGAGGGTCTTCGTCAGCAATGAGTCGAAGTGAAGAATAGATTTGTGCCAAAACGGAAGGCGCCGGCGCTTCACCATAAATCTGACCAGCATTCGTAGCGCGTATTTTGTCAATTATCGCCTTATCAGCGGCAACATAGCCACCATTGGCTCCAAAGGACTTAGTAAAAGTGCCCATGAGGACGTCAACCTCAGCAGGGTCGACCTTGAAGTAATCACAGACACCGCGTCCACGAGGGCCGACGGCACCAATTGAGTGGGCCTCGTCCACAAAGAGATGGAATTTGTACCTCTTCTTGAGATCAAGGATTCTAGGAAGGTTGCACATGGTACCTTCCATAGAGAAGAGACCCTCGACGGTGACGAGGATCTTCTTCCACGGACGGTGTGTACGAGGCTGGCCTTGAGAGATCGCTTCTCTTAGGCGCTTCTCGAGATCAGCCATGTTATTGTGTGCAAAGACCTGAATGGCAGCACCGGAGAGACGGGCGCCGAATCGAATGGATGCATGGTTGAGCTCGTCCGACAGGATCAAACAACCGCGCTCAACAATAGCTGGAAAGATGGTAGCATTGGTGACAAAGCCCATTGAGTAAATAACGGCGGACTCCTTCCCGACAAACCGGGCAATCTGATCTTCCACCTCAAGATGAAGCCTTGAAGTCCCTGTTTCGCTACAGGAGCCCATCATGGAGATGCCGTCCCGCCGAATTATCTCCTCCGCAAAGTCAGAACAAGGGCCCTCAGATTGAGCAAATCCCAGATAGTTATATGAACTCAGATTCAGCGTATCAGTCGTCGTTCCAGTAAGCTGGAAATGAAGATTGTCATCTGTTTTCTGGTCCAGCAGTGTGATATATCGTCCAGGCACACCGGTCGTAGGCCTCTCGAAACAATCGTTGATTCTCTGCTTAAGGCGCCTCGTGTAGAAGCTCTCAAAATCACTATAGAGCGAGGCGTATCCATTCTGAGGTCTCAAGTGCCGGTACGTATGCAAGCGGAGCAACTTTGCGAAGAAGTCATGGAAGTGGCCCAGAAAGATCAAAACCAGGAAGCTGATATACGTCGTCAAGGCAACGAAGTAGGGAGGTTCGTCAAGCACCGGATCAGGTATCTCTCCGCCGATATGTTCACTCATGTACAGATGTGACGGATCACCGAGCGGGCCGAATTCGGCATGCTGCTTCGCTAGTTTTCGAGCCTCGGCGGGATCGAGTTCAACGCTTTTTGATGCATCGGCGGGATTGCTAGACACGGCGCGGAGGGAGGCAACAGCAGTCAAGTTGTCGGGTGGGACCACCGTGGAATTGTTACTGTTCGTTATCTCATTCTTAGCTTGAGACTTCTTTCGGCGATTCCAGCGAGGCATTGTGCTGAACAGAGCGTAGTAATGTTATCCTCGGTCCAGGTGAGGGTAAATTAGATGGGCCCTTTAATGGGAAACTATGATCTGTCCTTGGACCGAGCGAGCACCATCTGGCAGGAGAGAAAGACTGGAGTGGGATTTGGAAGTGGTCATGTCTTAGAAGGTCGATTTGTCTCCACCGCCGGAATGGCCGGCTTTCCTCATTGTCACCATCCATGGAGTATGATTGGTCCGCGGATTCGAGACTGGGTCAGCCCACTTTAATCCCCAGTGGCCAGATTCTTTTACGGCCGACATTTAATGGAGCTGTCAAATTTGTATGGAGGAGTAATTCTCCATTCATTTTTTAAACATTGGAGAGGGTAGTACAAATAATTAGACCCATAGTCTCGATCGACAATGACGTTGTAGTACTAACGACCCACTATCAATACCAATCCCTCATAGTTAACACTGCCAGTCGCGTGTGAAGAATTGGCGAGTTTGCCCTCAGTACTTTCTCTTAACCTATAATGTCTTGGGGGGAAAGTTTTTCCTATAATGAAACCATGCGCCGCAAGACGCGCTTCGTCTGCGTCTCCGATACCCACGGCTACACACCAGCTGAGGCCGGGTTCAAACTTCCAGCTGGCGATGTCCTCATCCATGCTGGCGACCTAACCAACCAAGGTCGAATAGACGAGCTACGCAAAACCGTAGATTGGATTGCTGCGGCGGACTTTGAAGTAAAGATAGTCATTTGCGGTCAGTGTCAGCGCCCCAAAAAGCCCTACGCCCAGCCCTCAGCCCCAAGTAGGCTATTTCTGTCATGATCTTCCCGTTTCAAAACTCAGCCTTGCTACAAAATTACTAAATCGGGTTAACCTTCAGGAAACCACGATATCACGCTAGACCCCAACTTCTACACCGAACATGGGTCGAAATTCCACGGTAATCGCCTAGAAGATCACCAGAAATGCATCGAAGTGGTAACTGCAGCAGTAGCATCATCTTCGATCGTGTTCCTCAGGCACGAGTCAGCACTAGTCCGCTTAACCCGGCCTAACGGCCCAAACACTATCTTTAAAGTGTTTGGATCACCCTACTCCCAATCACCCGGGTCCTGGGCATATGGATACGAATCGACGGACGCCGCTGCGCTCTGGAGTCGGATTCCATTGGATGCCGATATTGTCGTGACGCACACGCCGCCTCATTCCCATTGCGACAGCCGAGCGACTGGTGGTTCCGTTGGGTGCAAGGCCCTGCGTCAGGTATTAAGTCGAGTCCGACCTTCTCTCGCAATTTGCGGCCATGTCCACGAGTCGCGAGGCTATGAGCGAGTACGATGGTCCTTCGGAGGTCTGTCGGAGCAGCACCAGGTTATCCGCGGGGCTTTACCTCCGCCGGGAAGCAAGAAACAAAGTCTGATCGACTTGACGGGGAAAAAGGCGCAGCAACGGCGACTAGGAAATGATGACTTCTTTTTCGACGGCGATGCAGTCGTGCTTCCTCCGGAGGGTGGTGATGTCGAATCCAGAGAGCCTCGAACAACGTCATTTTCTACTCGGTCAAGACCAAAACCAGATGAATGCCCAAATGACTCACCAGACTCTCGTTCGCACCGATGGGAAACCTGCATCGTCAATGCGGCTATCCTGGCTACTAGCTGGCCTCATCGAGGAGGGAAACGATTCAATACTCCCATCGTTGTTGACTTAGAGCTTCCGACATGGCGAGAGTGATTATCATACGCTGGCCAACCACTGCCGACCATCGCAGAGTCCCAGTTGATGAACTACCACTGGCCGGACGCCATCTGCAAGGGTTCTGAACCATCCTCCACTTGGCCCGACCCTCAAACCCATTCGAGACAACGCAGCGATTGGTTTCCAACCTCCCCGATGGCTGTCTGTTTGGCAGTAGCAGATAGCTTGAGCTTTGACCTGTTCTTGACGTATGCTTCGCTCGTTGAATCGGGAAAGATGCATGGCTGCCTTGGAACGAGGGGATCGTAGATACTACTTCATGCACAATTACCTTTCCTACCTGATAATTTGATGAGAAGCTGGTTATGTTTTTGTGATTACATCATGAAGTGGGCTGCTTCATGGAGATGGGTACGGGTATGCAACACATGCATTAAGTTGGCTGTAGCTTCGCATCTGCCTGTCCCATATCGTCACCGAGGTCTGTACCTAAACCCAGACTTATCATACCCAAAAATGTAAGGAAAAATCATATTGGTCCATTCGCCATGATATCCCTCCAACTCTTCCAGGAAAACTAAGATTCCCGCATAATAAAAAGAATTCCAACACTTTTAACTGGGCAGCACAAAGTAAACAAAGAAAAAGTTGCGTACGGAGAGCAAGTTATTACCAGGTCATCTGAACTCCACTCATTTCTCCGGTCAGTAAGTGATAGGCATCACTAACTCAGCCACAGCATATCTATTCTGGATAGAATCATGGCTAGAAGCTGAATGGCGTTCCTATATGGGCGATTCCCATAAAACGTGGGATCCTTGACTACCTTAATCCTGCTTTGCATTTGTCGCATCTGACTTAGTGAGGGGTTGTTAAACAGCAGGGATTCGTTGCCCAGAGATCTTGTTCTTGTTCTTTATGCTCTGTTATGCGGGACTTGGTTCCTCGATCAGAAAGGAATAACTGTTATCGTTATGGACTCCCACTCACGAGGGAAAACCTCACGGATCAAGGGAGGAAGCTGATCTCCACTGAATAAACCATCTTGACCTACTCTGTAGATGAGGGGGTGCTTTAGTCACCGTGTACTGTAACCGATACCAAGTGCAGGAGAGTACCCAGTACCTAGGGGCGCCACTTGGCTTCTGGCGCGCTAGCCCTGAATATTTCCATGTTCACACGACCATTAGTGGAATGGGGCTGGTGGAGTAGATAACTAACCGCCGACTGGATATCTTGATAAGATCCAACTTGTCCCCTCTACTAGTTCCAACTATGATCATTGGTACGGTGACGGTCTTGATACACAAGCGCCGGTACCGATGATGTTGGTGACAATGTTAGTGCTAAACTCTCAGTTTCACCACGAGGTACGAGAGAACGAACATTCCTCCTCTACTTGGCTCCCCACACCCACACCTACTCTCTCCCCACATCAGTTATGTCCCAGATAACGTAAGCCAGTCAGGTACAGCGATCAGCCGGATCAACTGCACTGTCCAACACGACCGGCCTCAAATCAGATGTTGGTTGTTCGCTTGAGTGGTCATCAGGCATAGATGGATGTAGGGGGTTACTAACCATTATCATTACAAGTAAATGAGATCTGTCACTCACTGGAGTCAATGCTCCCGTGGGACACCAAGCTATTGCTTCAGATCATGCACTCCTCAAGCCTGAAGAATCGACGGCCAATAATTCTTCGACGTTGAAGCTACCATATTGCAGGCTTACTCCTGATTAAGTTTCAGCATCATATTTATGTTATTTTCATCCGACAGCTTGCAGGATCTACACCGTCTGAGGGACCGGAGATTCCAGGGTCATAATTGGATGCACTGGTTCAGGGAAACGAAGCAGAAGCCATGGAGTCTAATGCCGGGACAATCATTGCATGAAGAGCGGCTGAGCTGGTTGGATAGTCTGTGTAGCAGGCTCCATGTGCAGATGACCGCGGCCAGGGGTCCAATTACGCTTTCGAGAAGGATCTGTTTGGCGAGGCTTCAGCGGCCTGTGTCACAATCACGGATGATAGTCCGCGGAGCGACAAGGAAGCAACGGTAGTCTGGCAACGATTGCATAGGAAGATTGGTGGAATCATTCTTTGTCATCTAGGTTTTGGTTGATGAATAAGTGTCACAGCACGGCGCCTTTCTTCTTATTCCTCTTCTATTTGATGTTTGTCTCACCGTTTGGTAAGAGAAAAGTGATAGATCGGCACTGTGTGATGCCTTGCCGCTGCAAGTTGTGATAGAGGTTAAGCCCGGTGACAGGAATAGCCGCCGGGGGTGAGGTATGTACATTGCGTGGGCAGTACATTCACCCCACCAACGATATAGATGGATTCTCGGCGTTCATCAGTCATCACCGTTACGTTACCATGTCTTCGTTGCGGAACCTGCCGGGCTTAATCCATGGGATTGTTTCACGCGATTCGGATCGTGTGGCTACAACCGTGGATACCCCTCCAGGCACCGAGTATGTCCCCTTCCGACGTGGTCTGGGGGAACGGGGTGGGCGGCGCTGCATAGGCCCGAGAAAGTAGTTGGGCATGCTCCACATCGCTTGACATGCAAGCTGTAGGGAAAGATGAAAAAGGGAAAGACTAGGCAATGATGCTGAGCCAATTCGCAGTTGCAGAAGCCCGCAGCATGATCCATGATCCCTGGTGAGGCGGACCGGATGGAGCTGTATGAAAAGATGTCTCGGTGGAGGCGGTGATTGGACAGTGCTGTCCCCTCCCGGTGAAGGCAGCAGAAACAGGCGGAAAATAGCCTATAGGGGAAGGAACGAGAGAATGAAATGGTGTGTCCATCCATGTCACTTAGTACTAGTCCAGAGTAAGTGCAGCCCCCAGCGAGTCAGCGTCACTGACCAGAGTCGCCTTTAGTGCGGGGTTTGTGTTGTTCACTGCATTTTTCACTGGCCCATCCAGAGTTGGTGGTCAGAGTAAGAATAATCGATCCATCGAGAATCAGATTAATTCTGACTACGTCAAATTATTTGATTAGTTGGATTTATTTCGTAGTAAATCCCGGGTTGGTCAATAGGAAGTCCGGATGAATAGATCGTATCATATCATGGTGGGCAGACAACAATGCTCATCTGCCAGTCAAGTAGAATTCGCTGATCAGAAGAGAAGGTCAGGAATTCCAGTCTGTCCTGCAGACACATGTTGGAAACTAAACCCCGTTGGAAGGTGTCGTGACCTGAGATAGACAAAGAGTAAGCCCTGCTTAGGTCATGGCGAGTGAGAATGCAAGGATGCGTAGGTGTTACTTTACTGGAAGAGGGTATTACCCTTGAACCTCCTATGGTATTTCTCTCTACAGTACTTACAAAGTAAGTGATCGGAATGGAGAACCGCAGTGCCTTCCCACTGGGTATTTGTATCGCCATCAGGTCCGGCTTTCAGCCCTTTCTTCAACCACTCCTCTCCATGAGGTGTTTGGTCTTTTTCTTGATTCAATTCCGTGAATTGGGTCATCTTTGATGAGATAGAGATCCTTCCTACTTGATTTCATAGAGAAAACAATTCCTATCGACCGCTCTTTATCACCACTTGGCATTGACGATTGTCATCACAAAATTTTTTTATTCTTCTTATTGTTATTATTATATTCTGAATCTCGCATTGCCATTACTACTACTTCTACAATCCTTCTTTGACGCCAATTCCTTTTAATTCTCAGACGAAAGCGGGCCTTGGAACGTGTCGTTGGAAAACAAGTCTCCATAATATTACCTTCTGTTGCTCCGCCTACCAATTCATTCCATTCACCGCTGCTTCTCCTGCGGAACCCAACTGTGAAAAAAGGACATCATACCTGACGCAGGGAGGGGAATAGACTCAAGTAAATAAGAAAAAATCAGAAAAAGAAAAAGTGGGAACCCATCAAGAGAGGGACAAGCCGAGTTTATTACCTTTTGTTGTTGTTGTTGTTGTTGTTCTTCCCTATTGTTGCCCGATAGCCTCAAGTGTATACTGGGCAACATTCAGTATACGTTGTGTGGCATCATCAAGCATTTCTTCCCCCTCCCCCGTGACTTCCCCATCATTATTCATCATTCTCCGTCAACGTGGTGCCAGTTCATCCCATCGCAGGTCAACTATTCCCTTCTTGTCGGTTCCATCCCACGACGTTGTTCTACTTTTAGTGTATCGTGGCGCAGTGTGCTTGGACCTGAGCCTTGGAACCTTTTTTTTTTCCCTTTTAAAAAAAAATATTATTAATTTTTCTCATTATCCTTCCTGCTGGAACTTGACCCCATTTGCCCCTCGGCTTGCCTGTCCCGCAAGGGAAATCTGCGACTCTGATACGGCGGAACAATACCGTATCGATCGTGAAAGTTTACGTCCACCTCCCAAATCACTGCCAATAGGCATTTGCCGTCCCCGTTTTTGCCTCCTCGTACCTGGGCTGATTAGCGTTATTATTCCTACAACTCCCTTCTCCTACTCCTTCCGTTTTCTTCCTGATTTCTCCTTACTGTGTGTCCTCTATCATATCATATCATCACCTTGCATGGACTGTGTTTTACCCATAATCTGCTAATCAACTTCTCTTGGCTTCGCGGGCATTCTCGATGAATTGGTCATTGTTGCGCACAGTGAACTGATTGTCACAAGTTTACCCACGTCACCTCATCCATTCAATTCCTTTCATTCTTTCATTTATTTCCCCCTGTTTGATACCCGGACTTTTTTAAACAACGCCACCGACGAGCAACACTAAACGTTTATATCTCACATACACTTATAACTCCGATTTCAATTTCCCCGCCCACACACAAACCCCCTCTTCCAATTCAACTATTATTCACCTATTTTCTCTCCGACAAAACGATCTCGAATGTTCAATTTATGTTTCCCAGTCTTTTTTTGATCGGTTCCAATCATGTCATCCACGCTAGATTTCGATCCATATGCGGTGTTAGGGGTACCGAAAGATGCGACCTTGGCAGATATCAAAACCGCCCGTCGGAAACTCGCGCTCAAATATCATCCGGATAAACTCAAAGACAAATCTGTCGGGGATGAGTTTCAATGCGTTCAGCGGGCTTTCGAGCTTCTCTCTGATGAGACGGAGAGGACCAAGTATGACCAGAAAGTTCGCATCCAGGAACTCCGACGCGAGATGGCGGCAACCGCGGGCGGGTCGGCATCCTACGCTCAACGGGGGAGTACAGTCCGGGAGTATCGGGATGGGCGCATCTATGAAGAGAGAAGTCCCGCTGATATGTATGAGGATATTCCGTATGCGAAGGAGCCACGGTCGACATCACGCAAGAACGATGAGTTTGGGGGGATGCGACAACGGACGAGAGCATCGGAGGAAAAGAAGAAGACCAAGAGTGTTCCTCTTAGTACTCCTCGCTCAACGAAGGATACGGCTCGCAGCGGCTCCAGAACGACCCACACGGACCGGGACAAGTACCGTACCAAGGAACGGCGACGGGAAGCTTACGACAAGTTGTATTCGTCCTATGGCGGGGAAGCTTCCGACTCGAGCACGGAGTCTGTTTGGGTGCGCGTGAAGCGTCCGACGACACGGCGGGAATCATCTTCTCGGAAGTCCAAGCCAACCGAGTCTTCGCGCCGACACGAACGGCGGTATGAAGATGATTACTCTGACGGATGGGATAAGCATGAAAAGCTACATTCTACAGCCGAAAGTTACATTCGCCGCTCCAAAGGAACGATTCCCGCCGAGCGCGATCCCAAACCACGCTCATCCCGCTCCCCCCTCGGCTATCAAGGATACGAGTCAGCGGATCCGGAGTCATCCTCCTCCCGACGTGTCGGTCGTTCAAGGCGCTCGAAGGAAAGCGTACGACCCGATACTTCCCGTCATGGCTCATACGAGGATCTCGAGAGTTATGACCATCAATCTCGCAGTTACGATTCCAAAATCCCGCCCATGCCAATGGCCGCCACAAGTTCAGGAATGAAATCCTCCTCGTCTGCCCGGCCTTCTCTCCAGCCCTCACGGTCCGCGACTGCTTCTTATTCTCGATCGAAGAGAGAAGGCAGTAGCCGCTCGGACCCGGTGCTTCTGGGCATGGTGTACTCTGACCCGCCTCCTCGTACTACAAAAGTGAGAGGCGCGGAGAAGCCTGATTCGGGGTACTCAAGTCCGGGTACTCCGGAAATGGTACCAGGGGAGAGTCCTCCCAAGACTCGTTATAAGGTTTTCCACGACCCTATTGTTGACGATCCCGAGACCATTCTGGTAGAACCAAGTATACCATCACATTCGCACCCATCTCCGAGACACTCAAGGACATACTTACCACCACAAGAACGTTCGACACGCGCTCCACCGAAACCAGTTCGGAGCAGTACGTACGCTTACACCCCAGAGTCGTCCAAACGCTACGAACAAGTCCGGCCAGAGGCGGCTAGACAATCGTCGAGCAGACTGTTTGGCGAAGTCGACTACAGTTCTCGCCCGAAGGAAAAGGATATTAGGTATGCCCGAGAGATCGGACCGGACCAAATAAAATATTCTTCCCGCCACCACTACGACAACTACCACATACCAGTCGGCAGGCGACAGTCTACTTACAGTTAACCAGTCTACAATAACGACAGCAATATTTTTTCCATTCAAGATTCGCTTTGGATCGCAATACTTGGCACGTTCCTTTTTTCTTGTTCTTTTTTTTTTCCCAATTTCTCCGCGCCCATAGACGGGCTGAGGAACCTGATACACCAAACTACAGGCATATCTCATGTTCGTATATGACCGCGATCAATTTTTCAAATTCTGCTATTACTACAATCATTTTTTTGTTATATTCAATCATCTCGGCGTAATGGGACATTGTGTGATGAGTATCATCTTCTTTTTTTTATTAAATTATCGATCCAGGGATGACAGGAGTATATGATGATCATGACTGATGAATCAGGTTGGGAGGAAATTACATAGTCTGGGAAAGGCACATATCTAGCATATGAATTGTTTGTTCGGCATTGACACGTCGTTTCAAGTTGGGTTTTCTTATAGACTGTACTTGTTTTTATTGTTATACTGTCGTACGGATTAGATTTGTAGATCATATTAGAATGGCTGATTCGGACTACTTTTGATCCAATTTCCCCCTACTGGATCCCCGCAATATATATATTGGATTTGTAAAGGACAACCCCCTCCTCCCCCCGAAAGATATTAGTGGCGATTATGAATAAAAGCAAATACATACATACAATTAAAGAAATTCTTTTCTCATTGCCTAATTTTCACATACACAACCATTTACACGAAAATAAAGGGAAAGAAAAATAAATAATAATCAAATCAAAGACAAGAACGCAACGGGAAAATAAGACGGAAATCAACAGGGTATGAATGCATGACCATTCCATCATTTTGGCCTCAACGGAGCACATACGTATGGGCTTAGCTCTAAGTAATCTCTTTTCTCCAGTTGGTGGAGACACTTTCATTCAAAAAGGTAGATAACCATCTAGGTAACGGGGGACAAAAGAAAAAATATAATTAAAGTAGGTTGTCGATTGTAGGGCTGACGGGGTGAGATCTCCCACCTTTAGGTTGTATGCGCATGGCTCACGGTTCTGTCCAGTCGACCTGGTCTGTCACGGGATCTGATCCGTCCATGGCGTATGTGACACGCAGACGAAGGCGGAGTTTGGGTGGGAGAGCCTTGGGTACTATTAGTATAGGGCAATACGAGAGGGTTGGGTGAAACCTTACTCCATTCATAGAGGCGACCTTCAGTAGTTGAATACCTTCCTCCCCTGCGTCGAGATCGGTCTTGTTGATTGCACTTAGTTGAAGCCGTTGACTCTTGGGTACCGCAGCCTGTAGCCCAACACCGGAGAAGCGAGAGAAGTTCGAGGAGTTCCGGAAACGAGCCTGGATCTGCGCATTGCCGCCGCTGCCCCGCTGGACTTGCAAAGTGAGAGCTAGGTCATTCTTATCGAATGCCGTGTGGGCAGGGGCTGCCGAGGGTGGCGGGGTGGAAGTCGCGGGTGGGGCGGATGCAAGGCCTCCTAAGAGGTCTAAAGACGAAGATGTCGGTTCAGCTGGACGGGGTGACGGGGTGTTTCCATTAGAGCCAAATAGATCCATAATGGCGGCTGTGTTGGACTGTGCCGGCTTCTGAGTTGGTTGAGGAGCAGGCGACGAGAGACCCGACCCTCCCCCCAGAATATCTGCTAGCAAGTCGGCTGTGTTTTGGGATCCGTTGCCAGTTGGGCTAGTCGCTGGTTCGTCACCACCCATGAGGTCGAGGAGCATATCCTGCTCGGCCGGCTTGACGGCCTTCTTAGTCTTATCCTTGAGTATCTTGCTCTGGCGTTTCTTTGTTGGGGCACCAAAAACTCTCTGCTCTTCACGTATCTCGGGAGGCGGCATCCGCTCAAGGACACCTCGACGGACCTGGTCAAAGCCGAAGAGATTGGTATATTCCACAGCTCGTTGCTGGATTTCCACACTTAGGTCGGCGGTCCGACTGTTCAAGAAGCGACGGAGCCGTTCAACCTGAGCAGGATCTGACATGCGCACAGTGAGCTTCATCGAAGCAGTGGTAATGTATTCAATCACCGTTTGTGTAGCATAGGTGCTGTTGAGAATGTTGTTAAAAAGGTCAACCAGGTCGCTCTCCTTGACCTCCTTGACAAGTTCCTCTTCCTCATATTGACCACCTTGGAGAAGGTTGTCACCGTATTCTCCAATGACCCAGGTTGCAGCAAGAGTGAGACCCTCCTGAGAGATATCTTCCTTCAATGACATGTAGAGCTTCTGCACGCAGTAGGTTTGTAATTCCGGGGTAGTCGCAATGAGGCGCACAAAGGAAGATAATATCTGTTCTTTGACATAGGCGCCGGCCAATTTGAGGACCCGCAGAATCGTGTCGACATGCCAGCGTTTGTTCGGTGCAAAGCGGTCGGCGGCAATGCCGATTTGAGTAGTCATCGCTGGCTTGAACTCGTTATCCGCGACTTCTAAGAAAGCAAGGAGTTCTCTGACGAGGACACGGACGTTGCTTTCATTGATCAACATGAAACTTAGGTCAAGGGCTCGTCTTCTGATACTGATATCGGGATCACGGAGACACTCTAGGATGGTGTTACGATGTCTCTGCACAGCGTTGGGCTCGATCGCGACAACCTTGTTCAGCGTGTTGAGAGCAACGTAGCGAATGTTGTTGTCCTTATTTGTAAGGAACTTTCCTAGGATGTTGACACCTAGAACCCGTAGGCCCGAATCGGCCTCAATATCAAGGATGGTGAGGACAGCCTCGTAGAGGATTGCGTTGCCAACGTTCTTGGTCGAGTCAGTATTTGTAGCCACCTGGGCTAGAATGTCGTTAATCAGTTCGCTTGTTGCCGCGTCTCCTCTTCCTAGTACTCGAAGGAGACGTAGGATCTTGACTTGAAGGAAAGGATCTGTGATTCCAGAAACGTCATGTTCCGGGGCGTATCCGGAGGTTGTTAATCCTTTCAGAGCGCGCACGAGGCCACCAGCCAAAGGCCGGAACATCTCAATCACGCCTTCTTGTCCTTCCTCAGCTTCCTCCGCCTCGCACATGTCTATCACTAGGGTCAAACCGCAAAGCAAAACACCATGGTTCCTGTCCGACAAGAGGGTCTTGGCCTTCTCGAAGAAATGTTCCTGCAGGTCCGGCACCTTGCGACATACCCGCATAGCGCACAATGCCGCCTTCCTTCTGATATACGGGTTTGCGGTAGAAAGGAGAGATTCGACTTCTGGGAAAAGATCTCTGGACATCTCTACGGAGGCGATATTGCCCAGAGCGCAAAGGGCAAGTCCGACAATATATTGGTTGGAGTGGTTAAGATCACTGCAATATATTAGTCGGAATGATCTTCTGAAACACATATCCAACTGCCCATCTGGACAGCTACTCACTTTTTGAGGGAGTTTGTCACCAGTGTCAACACCTCTTGATTCTCATCCAGCAATAACATAGTTCCCAAATACCCCAACCGCTTGTCTGCGAATCGGTGGGACGCCAGCAGTTTCAGACATTCGATCTGACCGAAATGAGTCCGCTCACCAAGGGTGAACAGATAAAGCAATTTTGCAACATTGTTTCTCCTGTCAATGGATATGAGATGTTGATCCCGGTGATTAATGCGTAGGTGGCTAACCGTATGCCCGAGTCATGGCTCTCTTCCCTGAACGACGCACGGATGGCCGCACTCTCTTTTTGAATCACTGCCCGTTCATCGGCGATTGTCTTGGCAGATCGTACATTGCGGATAAACTGTTTGACTATACAGTTTGGGCGGCGGAATTGTTAGCAATTAAGTTGCCAGGTAAGGGGAAGCCAGTGTGGGGGGTTTCCATTAGCAATGGGACACGACTTACGGGAAGTCATGGCGGCCACAGGGACCCCCAACGGGGTATCAAGAAAGGGATGGGAATTAAAACAAAGGCGAAAGAGGGAACGGGGAAGGGGCAGGGGAAGGAGAGAAATGCGAAGAAACCAGTTCACGCAACTCCAAGGCCAGGATGAAAATCGTCTAAACAATAATAGTAGCAGTAACGGCGTCGGTAAGTTGAGCCTCGCCCGTCTGCGACCTGTCCGTCTTGGCACCGCCCTTCTTTTGGGGTTTAGTGCCCCTCGTGCCGTGGGCGCTCCCACGTGATCAGAGGGTTCAGTTATGCACGCCTGAACTTCCAGGCCATCTATTCTACTAAGTTGATCGTATTCGTATATGGTAATTCGGCAGTGCCGCGGTTCCGATCCCCGGGATCAGGTGCGCGCGGCATGACGTGAAGGTTTCAGTTACAGAGATAACTTTCTTACTCAGAGGCTCTGACGGCTCTCTAAGTATTCCGACTGACCGTCCTATCCTCTGCATAAATCGTTGCAGATGCTGGGCAATGGCATAAGAAAATACTTGTCGCGTTTCATGTCCGGTTGATCCGCGACTCCGAATATCATCTCCCTTTTAAAACTGGTCCCTGCGCAATTCAGTCTGCCTTGTCAACAACCATTATTGACGCAGGATCCACATCTTCTCCTGGACGTACAAGTGTCCTTCGATAAGTCCTGTGCCGGGTCCGTCTGTTCACCGAAACCCTGAGACAATTTATATTTAGTTAGACTTGCCCTTCCGTTAGTTTCACGGAATCAATGTGAAAAAGTTTACATGCCATCTTCCACTCTTGCCTCCGCGGTCAAGATGTCCTCTGCAGTATCACAGAGCAATGGCTCCCCGCTATTGCGGCCACGGGCCATTTTGAAGAAGCTTGATGAGCCTAACAATTTCTCCTTGGAGAAAAGCTCTCTTGACTCGAGGTAGGTAGAGACTGTTAATTCGATCGAGTCAGTTCCCCTGAACCTAACAGTTGTACAAAGTGGACGTTCGACTCCTGTCGCCGAAGATGCCCCCCCGTCTGTCCAATCCATATCGCACGCCAGAAAGCAAGCTAGAGCTCGCAACCGGTTGTTCTATACTATTGATTATATTCCTCGTGTATCGCACTTTGACCCGAAAAGCGACTATCATAACTTCCGCGGATTCTTTACACTTTTTTGGATTGGGTTGTTTATCATGGTGGTCACGACCGCACTTCGGAACGTCAAGGATACCGGTTCCCCACTGCGAGTGAGGGTATGGAGTATTTTGACAACGAACGTCTGGTCAATGGGTTTCAGCGATCTTGCTATGGTGGTTAGTAGTGCGGTGGTCTTGCCGCTCCATCGCCTATTCAGGAAGAGTAATGGATGGCTGCGATGGGGAAGAGGGGGTATTGTAGTACAAAGCGTTTTTGAAGCAGCTTGGCTCATCCTATGGATCAAGTGAGTCGGTCATGATTGTGCTCACGACCAAGAGCTAACCAAGCAATTAGTTGGCCGTTCATGTTGCGCTGGACCTGGACTGCGCAGGTATTCTTTACCTTGCACACCTTGACATTTCTCATGAAGATACATTCTTATGCATTCTACAATGGTCATCTCAGCGAGACCGAGCGCCGCTTGTCCGCACTTGATAACCCAGGGTCAGCGTTAATGGATGCGGCTGTCGTCCGGTATCCGGAACCAGCCCCTCGTCGGCCTCCGACACAGCGGCATTCGCGATCGGAGTCACTTCAAGAGCTGCGCGAAGATTTGGCGACTGAATTGACCTCGCCGCTAGGCCATGTCACATACCCGCAGAACCTCACCCTTCATAATTACGTCGATTTTACTTTTTGTCCTACTCTCTGCTACGAGTTGGAATATCCTCGGAGCAAGAATAGATCGTGGTCAGAAATTGGCCTGAAAACGCTTGCTGTCTTTGGTTGTATATTCCTGTTGACCCTCACTAGCGAAGAGTTCATTCTCCCCGTCCTCAGTGAGGCCAATACTCAGTTGCATTTGAAACAGAGTGCAGCAGATAAAGCCTTGACCCTTGCAGAAACAATCAATATGCTTCTATTTCCATTTATGATCACGTTTTTACTGGTATTTCTGGTCATTTTCGAATATGTGCTTGGTGCATTTGCGGAGATCACCTGTTTCGCTGATCGCCACTTCTACTCGGACTGGTGGAATTCCTGCGATTGGTATGTGTATACAACCATTATTAAAAATCCCACCGGACCTGAAGGACTGACTGACATTGTCAACTAGGCTCGAATTCTCCCGCGAATGGAATATCCCAGTCCATCATTTTCTCCGTCGACATGTCTATTTCCCTTCCAGAGCCCGCTTTTCTCAGTCAGTCGCCATGTTCATTACTTTCCTCGTGAGCTCTATCGCCCATGAATTGGTAATGAGCTGCATCACCAAAAAGCTCCGTGGCTACGGATTCATCGCCATGATGCTCCAACTGCCAATCGTTGCAGTCCAGCAATCAAAATACTTCCGAGGCAAGACAACTCTTAGAGTAAGCACCCCTGCATCCGCAACGCACCAACACTTCCCGCGGAGATGAAGAAGAGAAAAGATTTCTAACATGTACAATAGAACATATTCTTCTGGCTATCAATGATCTTCGGTCTCGCTTGTGTAGGTCCACCATCCTCTACTTGTTGCTTGTGTATTCGCAACTAACACATGATCCTCCACAGATGTGTGCATTATACGTTCTCGTTTAGGTAGTTAGACTGTACAATCCCTTTATTGGATTACAGGATCTTCTTAATCTGTACTATATATTGGGTCTCGGCTATATATATACCCTGTTTTTGGATTGTATCTTGAGGGGAGCTATATTTTCTTCGTTGGGTTGTTTGTCATTCTGATATCATTGTGTTCCGAATTGGGAGGTTCAAGTCAAGATTTCTGTTTTAGATTCTCTAGAGTATGGTATTGTGCTAGATCATTTTGATTTGTCTGAGACTGGCCTATTCTAGCGTTTGTTGATGAGATTGATGAAAAACTACAATTGCATATAGAGTGCAAGCAAATCAGATTCATCTATATAATATTCTGATCAAGTCTTAAGAAATCAATAACCGAAATGAGGGTGACTGAAAAGCCTTTTAACGCCGATGGTTTATGAGAACCATGTTACATCCAACCAAAGTGAGACAAAGCAAGAAGATAACATGAGCCCGACACGGTGGGTTTGGGTGTGTTTGAGGTGCTTCTAGCACCTCCCGCTCTCCGAATTTAAATATGCTCGATTGGCTCCTCCGGCAAAAGCAATTCTCTCTCCCTCATTCCGTGAGGAAGACATGCCTTCAGTGGCGGGCGCACAATGTCATTGAATAAGAAAGTTCCATACACCAGTAATGCGAATCCGGCCACCTGAAGCCATTTGAAGGATTCCCACCCGAGTGCCAACGAAACAAGCCAGATGAAGAGTGTTCGGCAAGTATCAATTGTGCTACGGGACGTAGCAGAGACCGACCGGGTGACGGAAAGGCCGAAGAAGTTGAACCCACTGTGGAAAGACAAAAGTTAGTCAAAGCTTTCTAGTTGTATCTAGAGGTGCTAGGGAGACAAATAAAGGTGACTGTACCAGATGCTAATCATAATTAGTACACTGGAAATGGCGATAGCTCTATTGTTGATGACTTGAAGCCATCCTTCTTTCACATCGAAGTATCCGTAGCGGCCGGCTTCCGTGCGTCCTACAGATAGATACATGATGATCGATCCGATGACAGTTACAGAAAAGCCGAAAACACCTTCCCAGCCAACAACCTGGAGAGGGTCCATAGCATAGTGTTCTAGAATCCATTCTTCTAGCACGAACTGTGAGGCAGTGAAGATCTGGGCTGCGGCAATAAGAAGGACACCGATAAGGGCTTGGACGACCTGGGGAGACTTCGCAAGAGCGCGAGCTTGCATTGAAACGTGTGCTAGAGCTGCCATGGCATCTTCCTGCGTAATGTCATGGTTCTGATTGTCGCCAAAGAGGGCACCTGCAAGACCCACTAACGCAACACCGAGGACGACCACGAATAGTGCTATCCATTGGTACAAATAGAGCTTTCGGCGGAGAAATAGAACACTGAAAAGTCCAACGAAGAGTACCAGCGCACCACGCGTCATTTGATAAATGCTCGCTGCAACAAAAAGCAAGCCGACGTTCATAAGAGTAGTGCCCGCAATGTCACAGCATGCCGGTGCAGCAAGGAGAAAGATACTCCGACCGTGTAATTGTATACGTCCGTCATGGGTGTGGTCTGGCTTTGTAGGGTCATCGGGGTAACCATCACCATCAATCGTATCGTCTTCAACCGCATGGTCGGCTCCATCGTTATTGGTCACAGGACGATAGCCGCCAGCCAAGAGGGGAGAGGCTCCGTTTGAAAAGCGCGGTAGGATGAAGCTTTGGTAAACATTAGATAGCAGGACTACGAGCCAGCTACCCATTTCTCCGATGAACATCTGAATCCTGTTGTAAACCCGTAACTATGAGCGGAGACACTAGCCAGAAGATGAGAGATAATGCCTACGTTTGAATAACAGGCTGTTCAAAGAGATGGCGATCATTAGAATCTGGGGAATCACAGTTTCGCACGCATTGCATATCCTGTCGATGGAGTTCAGCACAAAGCATACAATGGAAAATGGGCAGAGATAGAGCCGGGAGGAGGGGGTCCAACCTGATACTTGTTGAGGATGGTATTGCAAACTCCGGTCACGAGCATCATTGTGACTAGAAACGGTATCATTGCTTTGTTCGCCATGATGTACTAAGGCCAATGCAATGCTCTAAAAGGAATATTGGAGTATACTGGGTTTGGGGGAGAGGGGGAAGTCAGAAAGCTGGCGGGATCCGATAAAGACCCGTGTTTATTCAGACGAATGGAATAGAGGGCGCTGTAGATAGTTGGTGCCTCGTCTTAGAAGACAGAAGCTATAGCGAGTCAGCAGAAAGACGTTAGTCTGAGAAGGTGGTCTATTGAGGGCCCATCTCGGACACGGCAATAAGGTTGTTGAAAGACAAAAGAGTCAAGAGAGACAGGCGGAGCGATGGGGGTCCTTATCAGCAGCTGATCATCCGCCAGAGCCTTGGCACGTGGACCCGGGGAACCGTATCTTACAGACCCAGTATCGAGACTTACCGCCCTGTTCCATGGGACGGGCTCAAACCTACGTGCCCATCCAACAGAAGCATGTACCATGCATGTATGTCCTAGTAGTATAATTGTGATCATATTGCTCCTTTCGAATGTTCGGATATTTCGATATTAAAAAGCCTTTCACAGCCTCATCGTCTGGAAAGAGGAAAAAGTAGAAAAACGGAAAGTAAAAAAAAAAAAAAACACTAGCACGAGAACAAAGGCTCTTTCAACATGTCACGGTAAGGCCTCTTGTTCGCTCCGTCAAACGCCACGGCTAAGCCAAGCAGATGTAAATAAACAGAAAGATAATGAGATAGTTAGAGGGTGTAACAGGAGTAAGAGAGTTAGAAGAAGAAAAGTAAAATCACAAGCTTAAACAAGTAGCCTCCCACACTGGCCTTGTCTTAATATACATAAAGTCATCGATATTTATGCCGAAGAGATAAGCCGCAGCGCCATTCGCCTGCTGAAGGTCATTAAATTTTCTCATAAAGCACCATTTCACATGGCACAGATGGCGATTCCACTATCGTCAACATTCATGCTTCCGTCCCGCCGATCGATGATGTCCCAATCAATATCCTCCCATGACTCATTCATGAGAGGACCGTCTTCGAACCGCCCAGGGATGTTGATCCAATCCACGGGGATCCAATTGTCGTCAACGCCTTCCCCGCCTTTACTTGTCAGGTCTCCGCCTTTTGCTATGTCGCTGTCCTTAGGGGTCTGGGTAACAATGGCTGTTTCAATCGAATCCGGTGTATCCTTGGACTGCGTATTGGCAAACATATCGACATTGAGGAACTCATCTATCGGACCGAAGCCCAAGCCACTGTCATCTCCAAAGTCCATAAATGTGTCCTGGATCGCTTCGAGTGAAACGGCACTATCTGCCCATGGATCTTCTGTAACTGTCTCCAAAGGTGGCATTTGCTCTGTCGCTTTGCTAGCATCCCTCTTCCCATCCTTGCTTCCCGGAGTCTTGGTTGCTGGTGTAGCTATCTTCGCTGATGGTCCACGAGGAGTTTGGTTGGATGCGGGAGAAGTGGGTTTCGGTCCAAACTGGCTGGACACTCGTGCAACTGGAGTGGCGCCCGCGGTGACTGGAGTTGTTCCCACATCTTGCTTCATAGATGGTGAAGGTATGCCGACTTTAGGATGTACCTGTGGTGTCTCCATTGCAGAACCAGCACTCTTCTTCAGAGCTTGAGACTCAGGCGAAGCCTTCTCTTCTTTGACCAAGCTCCGGTAACTGTCCAGGGCAAATTGAAGTGGATCTTCGATCGACTCTTCCATTTTGTGGCTCTCCTCAACATGCTTGTCCAGCGCGTTCTGGGTCGCAAAGCCCTGGTAATGATACTGGCATTGTGGAACACTGCATTTGAAAGGACCAGCCAAAGATGCGGCAGTTGCTTTGGCGTCTGCTGCAGTCTGTTTAGTTGCCGGGGATTTAGTGCCGGCCGTTCCGGCAACTCCGATAGGCCCAGCATGAGACTGCTTTCTCTTCTTCGGTGGAGGAAGTTTCAGTTCCTGAGGAGGTATACTACCAGGTCCGTAAGCATGGGGGACACCCTGGGGAGAAGGCGCCCCGAACGGTGCCGGTGGTACGGCAGAAGTTGCCGAGACGGCAGTCTGGCTCGAAGCCCTTCGGGCCCGCTGGATAGCCTCCTCCTGTTGTTGAAGTTGCTGCAGGTTGGTTGCGTTCAGGGCAGGCATGTTATTCTGGGTGGACGATTGCACGTTGGGTGGTCCTTGAGAAACGCTGGGTCGCTGTCCAGGCAGTTGATTCTGGTGCTGGCTTACGCGGGTGATCATGGCTTGGAAAAGCTTTTTGACATAATTAGTGGTTACTGTTAGATAATCGGGGGTGACCGTAAAATGATCATTGAGTGCCCAGTCAGGTCCAGGTTTGAATTGCCTCATCAATTGTATGCGCTAGACGTCAATAAGTTAGCACAATAGCTTCTTTAAGAAACCCCATTTAAGACATACCATAGCGAGTAAGGTTTTGACATTCTTTTCCTGATTAGGAATCTTGGCAAACCATTGAACCAGTGTATCCATCCTACCTAGCATGTCCGTACACTCACGTAGTTGCTGGGCCATTTGGGCTTTTTGCTCGGGCTGAACAGGAATAGGGTCCGCGGGCGGGGCTTGTTTCGAAATTTCGTTGTACAATTGCCGAATCTTCTCCGGAAGATTGTTCCATGCCTCTTCTGCAACGGCTCTAGTAATGGGCGCACGAGTCTGATTCTGGCCCTGGTGTCTTCGCATCTGCGACTCCAGTTGTGCACGTTGTTGTGGTGTCATGGCAGCTAATTGCTCACGAGTAAACTGCAAATTCGGTCGAGACGGCGTGGGACCTGGTACTCCCTGGGAAGTTGTAGGCTGAGTTGACTTCTGCGCAGGGTTATTTTGAGCGTCCGTGCCTTCTTCATTTGGCATCTTCCTCTTTGGTGGTTGCTTGGCAGCAGGCCCTTTGATGCCTTTCCCAGGTGTTGGATTTTGCGCCTTTGCCGCCTGTATCTGTTGATTTAGTGGTGTTGATTGTTGCTGGGGTTGGGCCTCCTGCTTAATTTGAGGCGTGCTTGATGGTGCAGTGACAGGAGGCTGCTGGGACAGTTGAGTTTGCTGGCCCTGAGCCGCAAGTTGAGCGGCACGGGTCTGTGCTAGCTGCATTAACTGTTTTTGTCGGTTCCTATAAAGCAACTCCCGAAGCTGTTCATCGCTATAATTCTGCACCTGTGCCCCCAGTCGTGAACGAGCTATCTGAATGTCTTGCCCCGTAATCGGTCGCAGTGGAGGTATATTTATCGGTGCCTGCTGTTGGCCAGCTTGGAACTGTTGTTGGTTCATAAATTGCTGTGGCTGTCCTTGGAAAGGCATAGGCATCCACGAATTTTGGCCACCATTTTCGGGATTCCGACCACTTTCCTTGTTCTGGGCCAATATCTGGGCCAAGTGAAATTTCTGGAATGTCACCAATTTTTGTACATCTATACCTCCAAGCATTTGAGGATTGGCATTGGCCCATTGTTTCAATTGACCCCAGGTCTTGATGTGCTTCGGAACGGGGGAAGGAACGTTGGGGTTGTTGCTCAGTATTGAAGGGGGAAATGGGAGGCGATCCATGTCTTTGATTTGCTCCGGAGACATTTCCAAGCCCCCACTCTGCTGACGAAGTAGTTGCATTTTATATAGATCGTGTTGACGCTGCTGCTGCTGCTGTTGTTGTTGCTGCTGCTGTTGTTGCTGCTGCCTTTGTTGAGCTGACATTTGCTGTTGTCCAGGAAGCATCTGATTAGATCCTTGGGCGCCACCCATCCCCGCGAGCTGCTGCTGCAAGTTCAGGGAAGCACGCATATTCTGGTTATTGCCTGCCTGACCATTCGCCATTTGTTGACCCTGGCCGGGTTGTGACAAATTTTGCTGCATAGGCATAGACTGCTGGTTAGCGTTTGCTCTTGCCATAGTTTGGTTGTTAAGCGGACGACGCTGATTCATTAGAAAGGCGGTTAGCTGTTCTTGTGTCATTCGAGCCAGCTGCTCTTGAACCATCGGCGGAAGACCAGGAGGGATCTGAGGCCGACCCTGCATCGTTTGTTGTCCTCCAAGAGACTGAACGCCGGTTGGCTGTTGTCCAGGGGGGCGCGACGGAGGCCGAACCTGAGCTGCCACTTGTGCCGGTGACATTTGTCCTGGGGCCATCGGACGATTGAGCATCGGCATGGCGGGACTTTGTTGTGTCATCTGTTGCATTTGTGAATTAGCTTGTCCAGCCTGCGATATAGCCATTTGAGCTTTCTGGGCAGCCTGCGCCCGCGCCTGCGCTTGTGTTTGTGCTTGCGACTGGGGCTGAAATTGGGGCGCCTGTTGAGATCGATCTTGTTGGAGGTTTTGGGAGGTCTGCAAATGCTGTTGGGGGAAGAATTGAGGACTAATTCCAGCTCCGTTCATATTGCCTTGGTTACCCTGGCCAACCGGGAACATATTCTGATTTGTAAATGGTTGTTGGTTCATCTGAGAAGAGCTAGCAGGCACTACAAGCTGCCCTGCTTCCTGGGAGCGCAAACCATCCGCCTGTTGACCTTGGATGTTTTCGACATTACCGATAAACGAAGACGGGTCTAGATTCGGTTGACTACCCATTGAAAATGCTGAATTGCGCTGAAGGTTCATCATGTTCTGGAACATTTGGCGTTGCTGGGCGTTCATCATGGGATCTCCCATCATCGCACTATTGGGGTCAACCCCAGTGTTCTGCGCACGTTGCGCTTCCATCCGGGCTCTCTTGTGTCTCCTGAGTTGAGTCAATGCCTGGGAGCGAAAGAAATACGTGATTGGGTCCATATTCTTCCGGCCAAGGTATTGTCTTTGTTCCGGAGTCATGTTCTGCAAATTCATCTTAATTTTGTCCACGTCTTCTGGGGAAGTCTTCGCTAAAATTTGGTTGGCGATACGGCAAACATGCTCATAGTCCTGAGGTGATAGTGTGCTAAGATCATCCGTTAGCGGTATGCCGTTACCGGGTCTTGGCTGCGCTCGTTGTTGAAGCATTGTCTGTGGCTGCTGCTGTTGCTGTTGCTGCTGCTGCTGCTGTTGCTGGCGATGCTGCATAGCCGCCTGTTGAGTTGGATCATTCATCCCCATTGCCATTTGCTGCTGTCCGGGCATTGGAGAAGCTTGTACGGGACGACCCATCTGTTGAGGAAACGGGGCCTGCCCTACGCCAGCCATTCCCGCCGCATGCCCAGGCTGAGCCATCATGCCGCCATTTTGTTGCAACACAGCTGCCTGCCTCGCCCGAGTATCTCGAATATGAACCAGTTTATCGTTACATTCTTTGTCGTAATCGACCTAACAGTTATCATGTTAAGAGTCCGTTATACCAACAAAGCATCGAGGGAGCATACCTTCTCCTTTGCATTCTTGAAAGCTTTCTGCTCGAAACTTAAAGCGGCCTGAGCTAAGCTATGTAGATTGGCAAGTGGTTGGATTAAACGAAGGGATGTCCACCTAAATATGCTCTGTTAGCCTGCGCAATAGAATAGGAAGTGTGGGTTTGTAGTATTGAGGCCAACAGCGACTGAAGCGACCGATTCCCCACGACGTATCTAGCGCGCAGACCACTTACATCTGATATACATTTACAGCCCGCTCCTTCAGAGAAACATCGGCTCTCCACCCGGTAAAAGGACCCTGAGCCTGCAATGCCTGAGCCAGGTAGTTCATCATCACTTGATTGTCCGGTTTCTGCTGCTGCGGAGCCTGCATCTGGCCATGCGGCTTAGCTCCGCCAGGCATGCCCCCGCCGACATTGGTAAAATTTGCGGGATTCATGTCAACAACCCCCCCCTTAATGGGGATCGAGGAGCAGTCCGCGCAAGCTTCCCTTTGACGTCAGCATTCGCTGGTGGGAACACCAATCCTCACCTCTTGTGATGCGGTATGCTCGAATTGAAGGATCCCAGTTCCCTTGGCGTGCTGTGAGATAGTGGGGAAAGCGAATGCTGGTGGGATACGGAAGAAAAGTACTGAAGGTCCAAACTCCGAGTGAATCGCGGTGGGACTCGACACCGCACTAACGTTGAGCTCGCAGAGAGACAAAATGGATCGAGCGCAGCAGAAAAGGATAGCAGTAGGGCAAAGAGAAGTGTGAGGGAGCAAGAACACGGGAGACCAACGCAACAGGGAAAACAAGGCGTTCGGGCACCAGCGTTCAGTCAAAGCGGGTTCGTTGGCAGGAGCCGGGAAGTGGCTTTTGGGGGGGAAGACTAAGCCGGCGAAGGTTTGGATCACTGACAGGGATGTCGCACTGACGCCGGTCGTTGCAGAACGGATTATGAAGGTCGAGGGCCACACGCCGGGGGTTAGGAATCCAAGAATTGGTAGAGACGGCGAAGGAAGATGGAAAAGAAAATCGATAGGTGAAGAAAGAGAAAGGAAGAATTAAGGTGAATCTGAAAAGGTTTGGGTCAGAATGGAGCGTATTGCGAACGTAAATTTCAACACCGCCAGAAATAATAAAGTGTTTCCAAAAAAAAAAAAAAAAAAAAAAAAAAAAAAAAAAAAAAAAAGGGCCAATGATAGATGTATCCACCGATCAATTGAACGGTAACGACATAAGAGCAATCGGTCGGCGTAGAGAGGAGAACCGCAAGAAAAGGAGGGCTAGGCTTACAGGACAAGCAGTGAGAGAGTAGCTCCGGTCCCGATGATGACCGTCAGCTGTTGAAGAGGCCCGGAAGAAGAGGGGGTGGGAAATCGCAAAGAGGAACCAGAGAAAACGAGAGGAGAAAACAAAAGTTGGAAGGATGCTACCCCTCGAAGGAGGAAAAAGGAAATAAAAAATAGAAAAAGAAAAAAAAAAGAAAAAGTAAAAGAAAAGGAAAAGAAAAGGAAAAGAAAATAAAAAGGTAGCAATAATGGGAGGAATAAAATCCCAATAATAGCCAACAAGGGGAGGGAAAGATTGAATTAATTGATTTGACCTGAGATGAGCAGAAGATGCTGAAGATCAGTTGGGAAGACGAGGGAAAGTCTAATGACTGTAGCAGGTGGTGGTGGCCTCAGGCCTGGGATAGTGTGGGAGACTAACAGGTACTAGACTTTCAGACCTTTATGGATCTGCCCGTTACTGGTCGAAGTTAGTCTAGTTAGTTGGTAGTGACGGGAGCGGATGGAGACCAAAAGGCGGGCCAGCAGTCCTTAGTGACTTTGTCTGGTCCCTAGTAGACGGACTAGTGGCATAGGGTTCAAGTGGTGTAGGGCATCTATTGAGCTGTACGCTGTTCACATACGTACTCTTTTGGATCCGAAGTGGTTTATCATTGGCCTAGAGCCATAGTACTGACTGGTGGGGAGGACGCAAGGTCTGGCAAGCCAAGATGTCTGGTTTCACAGGTACTTTAATTTGGTGAATTCCCATTTCATACTTTGCGTTATCCAGGGAAATTTTATTATTTTTTAATAAAGATTATTATTATTACCTACCCTGTATATTATTTTTATTGAAATTTTTTATTTTATTTCATTTCTTATTTATGAGGATGACTATCATAATCATGTATATTTTCTAAAGCTCATTTGGATTTTCATTTCACCTCAGATTGAAGATTTTTTTCCCTACCAGATCATCGATGGGGTTGTATCATATAAGTAGATTTTTATTTTAATAGAAGGCTGGTTGCAGTCTATCAGTCCACAGCGTGCAGGTACAGTAGGGTACAGTACCCGTGACCTTACATACCTAGTGTGACAAATCCAAGTAGTACAAGGCTCCATCAGCCCTCCGTACGTTCTAGTCAGTCCCTCCTAGATCCGTATTTATTAAAAGTCTCCCTCACCCGGGGATACTAATACTGCGAAATATGATCATCGTAAGAAGAGACAGTACGGATGCTGATCTATGTACTTTGTCGATTTCCAGAGCCTGATTGCCTGTCTGTAACATTTCCACAGCCTCCAAGTGGACCTAAGGCTACTTGTTACCGGAAAAAGCAACAATCGGTCATGTGATATCACGTGTAGACCCTGCTGTCGTCACCGTGGGCCTTATCATCCGCGTCAACGAAATGAAAGATCCGTCCATACCTACAGTCTCAGGGTTCAATCCGGTACCAACTCCAATTCCCCTCGTTGTACCTACATGTGTCCTTCGTTCAACATCATTTGACTCTTTATTTTTGCGATCTGAAGTTCAATTCATAGTCGCTCCTTAGTTGACTTGGTTTCCTCGACATGAAAAATTACTGAATTTCCCTTTCCGTCCTCCATTTATATGCGTCTGCACTCCACTATGATCTCCATATCTGCAATCTCAGTGGGCTCTAATATCTTCTTTTCCTTCGCTCTTCTCACCATCTCAATTCTTGTCTTGCTCCTTCTACGGCGTTTCCTTACCTTGCGAGCCACGCCAGCGTACCTTACCGTACCCGTTTTCCTCGCGCTCGCACTGCCCGCTAGCGTAGTACTTTTGGTGCCTATTGATCTAGCGTCGAGCTCGCGTGACGGGGGAGGGCCCAAAGCCATTTGGCTACCTGATCGTTTGATTCTGGTGTCCTGGCGCATTGCCTACTGGCTAATATTTGTGCTAACCTGGTGTGTACCTCATGCACCCTTCATCGACTAACTGTAAGGTCTCATTTAATTCAACTGCTAACCTGACATTCCTAAAAGGGCTATTCTCCCACTGCTTGGAGAATATGTTGACTCTGGCTACCGCGACCCAAAAGCTCGCATCGAGTACTCTCTCCGCTCCAACGCTCGGTATCAGCTAATTGTGTTGTGTTGTGCGATTGTGGGTCTAATCTACATATCTATTCAGAATGGTTTCGATTTTACAACCATAAAGGCCCTAGTCATGGCTCTTGCATATGTATGGGGTCTTGTCCTTGCGATCTATCTCATGGGTCATGGTCTTGTTTCTATTCCTCGCACGCTATTTCGCAATGCCAACGTGAGCGGTCGGCTCCGCAGAATCCAAGCTTATGCGCCCCGACTGCATGACCGTCTGATGGACGCGATCACCGATCTGGAGTGTCTTGAATCACAGGTCTCTCAACTGCAACGGCGCAAGACTGGCAGTGCTCTGGAATTCAAAGATTGGATCGAAGATCTGGCTGAGACGTCCAATTCCTCTGAGCAGCGAACCCCACTTCTTGAACCTTCAGACGTGTCCACTACAATCCCAGCCGTTATCACGGCGCGATATATGGCTGATTTAACGAGACGTCTTCAGCGCACTCGACACCTAAAGGCTCGCTTTATTGACGAGTGGGATCGCTTAGTGTTGACAGCTGCCGACTTGCAAGCTATCATCAACTCATCCGCATCAAAAAAGCTTGAGTTTAGTCATTCACCCCATCGCGCAACGTTCCTTGCACGTCAGAAGATTCTGAACCCCTACATGCGGCACCACCTCTACGTTAATGTAATTCCGAACATCCGGCTTCTTTTCGGCGTGGTCTTTGCCGCCGCATCTGTGTGTGTTATCTGGTCAGAGTTAATTAAGTCATTGGCGCCGCGGTTGTCAGTCGTGACTCTTTCCATAGTCGGCTATCACCAAGACCCAGCACCAGTAGGGTTCGGGAGACAAGTGACCGCCTCTGCTTGGCTGTTGTACATGTGCTGGGCCGCATTGGCGGGTGTAAACGATGCTAAAGTGTGGGGCAACCGTGCTCTAGTTCGCCGCAACACTTACGGCGAAAGCGCTTGCTGGTACGCGGGGCTAGTCGCTAGGCTTACTGTGCCAATCGCATACAACTTTTTAACATTCCTGCCGATGAGTGTCCGGGAGAACACCACCTTCTACCGTTTTCTTGGACGGTTCATTGATTTGACACCGCTTGGGAAGGGGTTTGATTATTTCTTTCCCATCTTGATTCTCGCACCGGTCTGTGCTACCCTCTTCAATCTCTATGGCCGAGTGAAAAACATCTGTGGGTTTGGTCTCTTAGAGGAGGAAGATGAGGACTTAGAGAACAATCCTAGCGGCTATGGCATAGGTGGCTGGCGTGAAGGTCGTGATCTGATTGAACGGGAGCTCACCGGCCTTGGATCCCTGACACTATCTGCTCGTGATCGGTCTCCCCAGCCATCCAGCCGTACTGAGGAGGGCACCAATGCCTTCTCGTCCTCACGGACGCCTCGGGGCGAAGCTATCCGACCTTCACGGCCACCCCGTGGAGCCGCCACAGCATCCACTGTGGTTACGGAGGAAGATGATGAAGAAAATTTCTTCCAATCGTTTGCTCACCGGGTGAGAAACACTTTTGATACGGCCAATAAACCTCAATGGTTGCAGAGCGACGCATTCCGACTTCCAAGATGGATGGGAAGCGAAGGCGCCGAAGGGAACAACGGACTTGCCAGATGGTTTGGTGGTCGACCAGCGCCTGGTGGGGTGAGGTTGTGAGGGCTGGCTAGTGGCTTCAATTCCCATTTTGCATGACAAAGGCGTTGGAAATAGATGACATAGTCTTGTATCATATATTCGAAAATATACGTATATATATTAGTGCCTCTTCTTTCTGGGCTCTTAATGTAGTTAACTCTTAAGACTCTGTAGCAGTGATTGGAGCCGACATCCTCCCTTGTATGCTAGGCGATACTAAATTAAAATTAGAGATGAGATAACCCCCTCCCTTTCATATTGTTGATCTTGTTCGAGAAGTTGTACTGCGTGGGCCAGCGTATGGATTTATTTCGCTGCTTAAGGGTGACAGGGCATGTTCTCAGTTGTTAAAGTAACAAAGTTCATGGCGTCTAGTTATCTATCGCCTTCCTCTTTGAACAAAATAGAACGAGAAATATAATTTGCTTCTCTTTTGCATGAGATGATGGGGGCATCCTTATGCTGTAACGATAGCGCTCAATCCTCGGACTTTGAAACAGTCGTCCAGCTTTGTGAATAAGGCGGATCGATGATAGGAAAACCCGTCGATATTTTGCAAAGGAATCCCAGAGGCGTCTGTATACTTGCTGATTGACGTCTCTTGGGGCTGAAAAGAACTGGACAGTGTAAAGCATGCGAGATTTTGGGAACGTGCTTTCCTTAAATGTCTTCAAATTGTTGTACGCTTCAACTTCTGTCTCATAGAAGTTCTGCATGCGCTTATGGAGATATGTCTCTTTTCTGAGTGCTACATGTCCGGGGTCATGGCTCGATTTTCAGGTCTTCTGGGAGTCCTGTTGTAAAGTGTCAGCCCTAGAGCTTCAATATCATGTAGCTGTTTAAATGTTAGACATAGGGTAGATTCCGACTAAACTATCATCGAATATGAAAAGCGAATATTTCAATGGTATAAGTGATGTGAGCGTTCGCTTATTAATTGTCTAGCTGTAGCAGTAATGTGGTCCCGACTACATAGAGACACCTAAATTGATCAGTATACCATAGCCTTATTATTAGTGTATTATACTGTGGCTCATTTTGGTACCTCGTGCTCCATTCTTGATATAGATAGGACAAAGATTTTCCCTTGAATTAATCGCCTTCAATTACCAACAATGACTGTTATAACCGCTGCCTACTGCTACCTTGTAATCGATGTCTATCTTTTCACACAGGAACCCCAGTTCTAAAAAAAGATAAAAAGTCACCAAGAACTTGGTACAAATTAAGGAGGTGAGGGGTCTTTCTGGCTGTAGAGAGCCGGCTTAATTTTGGTAATCATTCAGCCTTGCGTTAGTTAGTTATAAAGGAAGATAAGGGATCATTATTATGTTTACGTATCACAGATTAAGTCCTTTGTAACTATGACAAATATCCTTTGTACTCCCAAATGCATGTACGTAATGTATGACTACAGATTGAAGAACGGTTGGCGCTGTACGGGGTATGGGGGAAAGCAAGGATATCACTACAAAATAGTATCCAGCTCTAAGACTGTACATGAATGAATTCAGCCAAATAAGCCCAACAAGGCATACACTAGGCAGCTATCACCTAACACCTTAATAGTAGGTAAATAGTGGTAGGTATGTAGAGTACAGAATGGTAGCCTGAATATATATATTTGTCAAGTGCCCCGAGGGACTGCGGCAAAAAACGCCCACCGGGGCTCTCTCTCCGCCTTGTTTGCCTATTTCGGAGTTGCGAGGACAAACTTCCATTAATGACCTCAGCACCCACCGCTCGATGATTTTTTTTTTTTTTGTTTTTTCGCCTCTTCCTTTAAACACTTTATATTGATGACCCAACTGCTGTCGCACACTTCTCAGTCCTTTGTGGGCGAGTCTTGTGCATTTTACTTGGCTTACATTAGAAACAAACTTCCCACTTCCCTCAACACCCTCCAAGACAGATTCGTCACGACCTTTCTCTCTGCTGATACGCCTTTGTCCTTGCGCTCCCTTACTCCCCCGCCAACCTGGATCGGTGAACACACTTTCGCCGCCGATAATTTCACACTTGCTGTTACCATCCTTGCTTGCGCAATAGCAGTTGTCATCATGTCCTGGCACGCTCCATTCAGCAACTTATTCCGTCGTTCCCCTCAGTATTCTTCCGTCTCCAACACCCCGCAGGTCAATGATAGCGATTACAGTTATATCACTCCCAATGACATTGTCGATCATCCGTCAGGCGCATATAGGAACCAAGGCGACACTGAGCCAGACACGCTTCTCCTTAAACACAAGAGGACCGCATATCAATTGAACTTCCCGGCATACGCCATCAATGATGGGAAGCTCAGTGTTGGTGACTTGAGGCGACGAGCTGCGGAAGCGACAGGCAGCCCCGACCCAAAACGAGTCAAGCTGCTTTACAAGGGCAAGCTACTAGACGATGATAACGTTCCTTGCCGAACCGAGGGACTGAAGCAACAATCGGAGGTGCTGTGCGTGGTATCGGAGGTGGGGGAAAACACCCCTAGCGAAGGGTCTGAAGCGGAGGATATGGCCAGCGACTCGCTGCGTCCAGATGATGCGCCGCGCCCGAAGAGGATCCGGAACCGAAATAAGAACAAGAAGAGCAAGAATAAGAATAAGAACAAAAACACTCCAACAGATACTGGTGCTGCCGACCAGAAGCCTTCTCCATCCCCTAACCGGTCGATGCTGCCCCCGCCGGCTCCCAACCTGAAAGCCTTCAAAACCCCATTGGAGCAAGTAGAGGCGCTTCTGGCCTATTTTCAAACTGAGCTGTTGCCGCTTTGCAAAGAATACGCTACCAATCCGCCGGCCGATGCCAATGCGCGCGATTTCGAGCACAAGAAGCTGAGCGAGACGATTTTGGCGCAAGTCATCCTGAAAGCAGATGGCATTGAGCCTGATGGCGATACAGATGCTCGGAATGCGCGCAAGGCTCTTATCAAGGAAGCACAGACCGCTCTCACTAACCTTGACCAGGTGGCGAAGTTATGACCGCTCTGCGCCTCGCTGGCTTGATTTTACTTGTACATTTCATCCCATCTTTAGTATTATTAGCTTCATGTCCTTGCTTCATCATTGTATATGTCATGAACATATCGGGCTGAATCTTGTTGCTTATGACGATAGAGAGTCTGTGTTCCTACTAGAGTGGGTATTAGCTATAAGATTTCCTTCGCGAGACTTGATCCAGTTGGATATGTATGTATTTAGGAGATTTTGGTATTTCGTACTTCCAAGTTGTTTTGCCTATCCGGTGATAAAAATGATTGGATGGCGTCGATCGCAATCATTGAAGACACTAGACAATCGCCACGTGGGCCAAAGCTCTCGATAATCGATGGTTAATGACCATCGATGATATACTAATTGAGTTCGCCTCTACTGCAAGTCAATCCTCTATGGATACTTGTTCCCTGTGCAAATCAAACTTAATCCGATCAATTTATGGCGAAATGCTCTATCCGTGGAAGTCCTAGTGTATATCCAAGGCTATCATTTTTATTCAGGGTTTGAAGAAAGTCTACAGTCTCTATGCCTTGCTTATTGGTCCCTTATCGAAAGTCTGTTGTGCTCTGTTTTGTGGACATCTAGTAAAATTTCATGTACAGCCCCCGAAGAACCAGTAAGATACTTCTTTGGTACGATCCCGGGAGTATGAGCAGTTTGTCACTTACAAGACCCCCTTATTGTACTGCTCGTGGTTGAAGCCGATAAGGTCACGTTGCAGTTATTAGTCAGTGAATGAGGCGTCCAAGGTGGATCTGACACATTTGGTGAATGAGATTGGGATTGACCGTTACCTATTCGAGTCATGTCTGGTGACTAGTAGTTCAAGTGGAATGAGACGTCGGCTTGTCTCTGCATCCCAAAGACATTGATAAAAATAGAAGGATCTTTTGAGGTGTCCCGCTGATACATTGGATTTGCTAGTTCTGGTAATAAGGTGAAGCTGGTACTTTGCAGACAAAGAGTTGAAACTCTAATTGCATTTTCTGATTGATCAACCTTTTGGTGTATTTTATCGGCTACCGATCGTCGGTATGGATGGCAGGGGAGGGCTGCAGAAAAGAAATGTCTTTAGCCGAAGTGAGGCAACCAGATGCACGGGTGGATAAAAGGGGCTCAGGCTCAACCTTTGAGTGGAAACGGTTTTGAGAGACATCGCTTGCGTTAGTAGTGTCGATAAGGGAGAGAGAGCACATGGCTGGGACTCGAGGTGGTTCGAGTCAGGCACCGAACCCTTTTGGACCTATGTATCTTAAAAAACCTTAACCATTCATTCAACAGTTACTTTAAGTAGCTATCTGACAGCTGGCCATTTGGATTTCCATTGGACACTCAACCTGAGGTTCTAGGCTGTAACTGGTCGTTACGCTAAGGGAGTTAAGTCTTCACCACCCAAAGTCAACTAAGCTCCAACATAGTGATAGCGTGCCCCATTTCCTCTCTTTCTTTTGCTGTTTCTTCTCCGCCCTTCTCTCCTCCTTCCCTCTTTCCGTTCCGTTTCCTTCTCCGTCCAATTCTCGCCCTCGTTCTACTGTCTGTGGAGGACCTTGATTCATGCCTACTACTCCGTACTTCCCTACTAATAATAATTTGATTCACCTCTGATTCTCCTCCCCCCCCCTTCCCTTTTTTCTTTCGGCAATTCAATTCGCGCGTGTCTCTGATCTGACCTTACAGGCGCCACAGTCCAGCCACACCTTTGCGTGCACTCCTTTTGGTTCCTAATTCTTCCTTTGCTTCTTCCCCTCATTTCCAGCTTTCTCTTCGCCTCTCGACGGGTTCGTCCCATTCTCTGTGCGCCTGTCATTTCCCATTTCCTTTGACCGTTTCCCGCTCTGGAGTTTAATCTTATTATTTCTTCTGAAATATTACGGGGTCTCATATTGAGAGCATTGACTGGGGGATTCGGATTTTGTGCCATCCATCAATTGTTTGGCTGACCCCGTTCCCTGAACCGAAACGCATCCACGGTACGGCGGCCGCTGGTACTCTATCCGTGAACCACCAGTTCTAGCCCTTCGGCAATCTAATCTCTGTCTGTTCCCTATTTACAAATTACTCTTTCGGGTCGCTTCCGTACTTCCTCTTTCTTTTTCCCACCGGCCACGAAGCTGCCGCAGCCTCCTCAACCCTCAACCACCTCCCAGTTCTAGGCCCAATACGCTGCTCGGTTTCAATTTTGTGATACTGGGATAAAAGGTGCCCGGTGGTTGGTGCGTAGATTCTGCACGCATTGGGATGGCCTGATCGGGGGAGGAATCTAGTCAATTCATTCTCTTTTAATTTCGCCAAACAAGCGCACCCGTACCATCGACTTGGTTTCAGCTGGACTGGCCTTGTTCCCTTGAGTTAATTCCATTGCTGCTGGAATGGCGGGAGCGGCCGCGGCGGCATTTTCTTCAGATGTTTGGCTGTCGTCTGGTGTAGATTCGGGCCAGCACCAGTGGGAATTTTCCGTTCCCATCATACCGAATGTAAGTCCGATCCATCCCAAGTTTGCCCGCCGGTATTGGCTCCTGTACATTCTTGAGATGAAAATCTCGCGCCCCTTCCCCAGTAGACATGATGCTTGGCTAACCCTAACCTTCGGTAGAGCACCACTCGTCGTTCCAAGTCCCGGTCTTCCTACGAATCTACCAACCGATCAAGACGTAATTCTAGGGGTTCTCGTAGCTCGTCGCTATCGAAACATGCCTACGCACAAGAGTCGGGATATTTGAGCTCTCGAGGACGGCGAGAGGTAAGCCATGGCCGACGCGGAAGTGAAACTGGGAGCTCGCGGGACATTTATGGACAGGATGCAGCAAGTCGCAGCATTGGGAACGTGAGGAACTCGGAAGATACATACAATGGGTCCCTAAGGAAAAGCGACACGAAGGAGGATGTCGGGTCTTACCCGGGCGATACAGACGAGAAAAATTGGATCCATCGTGACAAATTAGCGAAGATCGAAAGCGAAGAGTTGCAGCAGATCCTCTTTCAACGCCGAGTAGGATCCGGAAGCATTAGGTCTGGACGGGGAAAGAATCATGAAGTGCACCCAAATGAGGTGACAACGCCGCCGACAGAACCATTAGAGCCCTGGCCAGTTCTGCACGAAGGCGCACGAGATATCACTGGCTCCACGATCCCTCTTGAGAATGATGAACGGAACCACTGGGACCTTCGTAGACCCGATGAAATCGCGGCGGAGGACGGCGCTTCGAGTATTTACCGCAACCCTGGTCTCCGGAAGAGCTCGTCTAGGATACCCATCCCTACCGCTAGCCCCGCGCCTATCTCCCCTGAACATCTTGGGCGTGAGTTCCCGATGCAGCGCTCACGCGCTAACACCATTAGTGATGAGGAGACGTTATCATTTGGTATGCCCCGCAGAGCCAGTGAGCCGATCACCGTGGATTCGACGGATGCCTCCCCACCAACAGCTGGAAGCAGGCCTGCCAGTCGGGGTGTGCAGGCCCAATTTAACGCAGCCAAGAAGGCGCCCGCCAAAGGTGCTGGTACGCGCAAAATCTCTGCTCCTGCGTCAACGCGGAAGCCTACACCTCGCAGTCGAACTACATCCAATAATAATTCTCAGCGTGCGACTAAACCGGGCGATCGCCCAACAACTGCTGTAAACCGTCCTGAAGGGGATCCCCCATGGCTGGCGACCATGTACAAGCCAGATCCGCGTCTACCTCCCGATCAGCAGATGCTACCCACTCATGCGAAAAGGATGCAGCAAGAGCAATGGGAGAAGGAGGGCAAGACACCAACTACATACGATCGTGCGTTTGCCCCGTTGGCAGTTGGACATGATGGTATAAAGCCCGTGGAGAAGGTCGAGAAGGTGGAGACTGAGAAGGTGGAAGAACAAAAACCCTCGCAACCAGAACCCGCACCACCAATCGCACCGAAGAGCCCAGACCCGAGCAACCGACCAAATACCAGCACAGGGTATAGTCCTATGCCTAAGCTGCAAGAACCTCCTCAGGCGGCATTAACGCCCAAATGGAGTCCACCTGTTGTAACGGCCGAACCACCACCGCCAAAGGAGAAGGGTTGCGGCTGCTGCATTGTTATGTGATGCTTCACATCCCTCTCTTTATCAAGCCATTCGCTCTCTTTGATAGCGATACATTGTTTAATTTGCCTCCATGGAAAAATTTCCCCCCTTCCATATTATTATTTATTCGGTTAGCGTGTCAGGTTGGTTGTTGTTGATCACCAGTCCTCTCTGCTTTTAGGATCAATTTAATTCCTGTCAAAATTCCCTTTTTTCTTTTTTTCTTTTTGATCTCACGTCATCCCATCCAAATTTTACAATTGCGTTGTGTCCAGTCGCTCCTTGCATGATTCCCCTGTGTCTGTTATAATTTATATTTCTTTCCATCTCAATCCAAAGAATACTGTTGACTCGTGGTCTCTGCAAGCTCCAACACAGGTCAAGAGCCGTGATCCCCTGGTCGTATACAAGGTGAAGCAGCCGGGAGGATCCTTCTGATAACGACTTCACGATGCGCTCCTTCGATTTTTCTTTTGATTTGACTCATCTGACCGTACAGCTGAGGTTTATTCCTAACTTACTACCCCTCTTATCTTCTTTGCATTTCCAACCACCAAGCGTCAGTTCTTCCACAAGCTCATCCTTAGCTACTTGCATTTGACATTCGATCCGAGCGGCGGTCCAGTTACGATCATTGAATTACTTGACCAGCAAGCTGCCTGAACTGACATATCACCCATATCTGTCTATATATCAATCAAACCATGAGTATTTTAGAATTGAGTATCAGGTAGCAATAAACGTCATATTCACTACGAGTACTAGTAGCAGTGGAATCGACTCATCAACTCTCCGCCTTACGACGACTCGATAGCAATCGGTTCAACAAGAAGTTATTTCTGTATGTACAGTATTCCAAAGCTTTGCTTATTAATATGGCAAATAGAATCCTTCAGGTGTGACGTGAAACCTCCTTGGAGGTTATTGTCTCGCATTCTATTGTGTTGTTCCTAAGATATCAGAGAAAATGTAAGCTTATCTAAGTCAGACACTGTCAGGCAAATCTTCGCATATGACCAAACAGGTTAAATTCAGAATTCTATGGAAAGTTCTCTTTGATTAGAAAAAGAAATTCTCCGTTTACTTGGGTCCTATTGAATATGTATGTATATGTTAGAATCCTGAGGCAACCAGGATAACTTCCATCGCCATGAAATCTTACATAATCATTCACCTGACATCATTTCTCGGGCAAATTAGTCAACCGACGGGGAAATCGCATCCAGTAGAACAAACCGACCCCGAGTACAAAGTATACACACCCGTCCATATAAACCTTTTCTACCCCTCCAATTCTTCTTCCCATACTCCTCTCCTTCGGAGACCCCAGTTGCCCACCATTTCTTCCATCTTTACTCGTCTCTTCGGGTCCTTCGCCGGTCCCTCACCCGCCGCCATGTCCGCCGCTAAGACCAAAGCCCAGAACATCATCAACGAGAATGCCGTCGGTAGGTTCTGCCCACCTTATCCCCGCCACACGGACAAAAGCAGGACCTGTAACTGACACAACGGGGGAAATCATCTAGTCGTCTTCTCCAAGTCTTACTGCCCCTACTGCGTTGCCAGCAAGAAGCTTCTCAACGACCTGAAGGCCAAATACGTTGCCATCGAATTGGATCACGAGAGTACGTTTCCGAGTTCTTCTATATTAGCCCCTATTCTGCTCTCTGCTTTCGTGTTACCTTGTGATTGATGGATAGACGCTAACATCGTGGTTAATAGAGGACGGTGCCGCCCTCCAGGACGCCCTCGAGGAAATCACCAACCAGCGCACCGTGCCCAACATCTTCATTAAGCAGCAGCACATTGGTGGAAACTCTGACCTGCAGGCTCGCAAGGGTGAGCTGCCTGCTCTGTTGAAGGCTGCTGGTGCTCTTTAGACTTGGTTGTCTAGAGAGATAGGTCTAGCCTTCATAGCTTAATCGTATTATAGGTGGAATGACATTGTATATGAGACCATTTGCTGGCTGTGCTCGTCTGTACTGTTGGTTTGAATATAGATTTGGCTTCGGCGATTGTAGTTGATACAATACCCCGCTCCAGCTTGTAGTGAGGGTTTGAGGAATGGGATGATTGGTTTGTAGGGTAGTATGTACTAATGTAAGTCAAGTCTGCGAGTGCAGACGATGTAATTGATGGATTGGGTTTCTACTGGGTCCGGGAGTATTGTCACTATAGGGATCTACTTAGACTGGAACTGATGAACTTCATCCTGAGGAGAGTGCTTGATTGGCTACTATTACATATACAAAGTACAATTACACGACCTTCTGCACAACAGTTCCAACAGGGCGTTCCACGATGCCCATCACCCCATCCACAACACTCTGTCTGGCGCCCTCGCTGGAAACATTCTTACCAGCAAGATAATTCAGCCACACCAACCGACTAATCCGCTCATCCGACACACGGCCCAAGAACCTCACCGGCTTCGCCGGTTCAGGATGGAAAAGCGCATCCAACTCGCCATGCGCACCACGCAAAAGCAGCAAAGTCTGCCCCTTGGGCACATTCTTCCGCTGCCCACCCCCAAACAAACTCTTAAAATCATTCAGCGCCGTCCCAAACGAATCATCCTGGAACTCGCTGCGGGCCGCATCCCCCGCCTCCAAAGCCTTCGCATTCGCCCTCTGCGCCCGCCCCGTAATCCCCCTCACCCACCCATCCCTCAAATGTAAGAAATCCGTATTCCGCGTAGGAACAATCCTAAAGCACGTCCGCAGCCCATTCCCCCTAATCACCGCATCCCAAACCTCCTCGCCCTTTTCCCCATCCAAAAGCAACCCCTTCAACTCCTCCCTCTCCGTCGAAACAAGCGACGTCGCAGACCCGGCCCCGGCACTCCCAACAACCCCCTCCTCACCCCCAGGCGGCCGTACAGCAGTCCTCACCAACCGCTGCTGCAACTCCGAAATATCCCCCCGAGCTACATACATCCCCACCACATAAACCTGGATCTTCAGAAATGACACAGTCCGCACCCCCAGCCCCAGTAACTGATACTCTTCTTCCTCGACATCGCGTACCTCCTCCCCAGCTTTCAATTCCCCCGCAGTTTTATTGTCGATAGAGGGTACGCGAATCACACTCGGGAAAAACGGTATCGTGCTCGTCCCCGTCGATACCTCCTCCACGCCATCTTGCCCCGCCACCCGAATCACGGATGGAGCGCCCCCGAACCCAGCCGGTCCATCTAGTTTCATCGCCCCTTTGCTGCTCTTGGGTTCGGGTTCCTGGGAGGAGGATTGAGAAGAGGCCTGAGAGGCTTGCTCAAGCCCGAACACGTCCGTCTTGATCACGCCGTACATTGCTGCCGCGCAGATGGCGATTCCGGCTGCGGAGACGGCGATTGAGCGGCGCGATTTGGCGAGGTCTTGGTTGCTGGTGCGGGTCGTTGAGTTGCGGAGGGGGTTCTTGGTGCGGAGGGTGTGGGTTGTGCTTAGGTGGCGGGTGCTTGTGCTGCTAGGGCGGGGGTAGGCGCGGCGGATGCATCGTGTGCAGGTGCGCCAGGAGATTGCGGGTTGGAGCGGCGGTGGTGGCATTGTGGGGGTTTGGTGGTGGTTGTTTTGATTGTGGTTGGAGTTTGGTTGGTGATGGGTGAATTTGGTTCCGGATGGAGATGGAGATGGAGATGCTAGTAGTAATACTTATCGGGCTTGGCGGATAGCGGCGTTCACGTGACACTATGTGCCCTTGTTCTTGGGAAGTGGGTTTTGGGTTTATTGGTTTATTGGTTTATATGAATGGTGGGTATGGGGAAGGAGTTATATGGGGATAAATGATGGTAGGATGGTAGTTACTGGGGAGTGATTACGAGAAATGAATATGTCAATATGTCATTCGAGTTGAATCAATTGAATATACACGGAAGCTACCAATCTAGAATGAAATCAATGCACTACGACTCTATGTCTTCCCCCACCGCTCACGGTGATCGTCGCTGTTTCATCGACGTAATACACACCTTTGAAAATATCGTTCCCGTCGATCGTGATAGACGGCTTCTCCGAGCTCCTCACATACGGTAATGTCAGGTTCCCCTTCGTCCCGGCCGGGACCGAAAATTGAAGCGTGTAACCATCCGGATTCTTCTCCCAGGCAGCCTGGAACTTCCCTAGCGGCGTTGTGAACCCGCCCTCGACGGTTTTCAGGTCGCCGAACTGCGGCGCAATCTTCCACGTAAGGCCACGGGGCGACGTGATGGAGAGGCCCAGGAGATAGGTAGTCAGGGCGGTGGTCGGGCCGGAGGACCACCCATGCGCATGCGAGACATACGATGGGTCGTGTCCGTATCCGCGGTCGGATCTGTATCCGAATGTGCCATCTGCCAGATATCCCTCGATTACTGTGCTTTCCGTGCCGTTGGGGTTGTTGAGGTACCAGCCCCAGCTTCGGCGGATGAGCTCCAGCGCTCTCGCGGTCTTGCCGATGGCAAAATGGCCCTGGATTTCGAAGGATGAAATGAACGGCGAGATGTTGTTCGGTAGTTCAGGCGCTACTGCTCCGATTGGGGTCCAGTTGTGCAGTAGATTATCGGATATCCTGCCGGCTCTTTCGGGGTCTACGACGCCATAGAGAAGGGCCAGGCTATTTGCATCTTGTGGGTGCAAATCGGTTGTCGTCGCATTATCTTTGAATGCGCCGTAGTTGTCATCCCAGCAGTATTCGTTGAGAGAGTGCAAAAGGTCTGATGCCTGGGTATTCCATTTGTCTGCTAGCGGACTGATCCTGGCAGCCCAGGAGGCTAGCTGTGCGCCTGTTGATAGGGTACGGTATAATCTAGTTTTTGTTAGGCGACGGTGAATATTATGGGGGTAGGCGGTACTTACATTATCTGTGCTTCAGTGTTGTTGTATCCCTGCTGCCATCTGGCCCAGTCGCGCGTGCCGTTGACATTCAGCAGACCGGTAGAATTGTCCACTTTGTTGTAAATGAAGTCCATGGCCCTTTGGTACTTGTTCCAATTCTTGGTCAGAAAGGAAGTATCGTTAGTGTACAGCAGATAGTTGTACGTTCCTATCATCAGCCACATATGGTATGTGTCCGAATCTTTTTGGTTGAGCGGTGGCCCTGATTCGTCGAAAGCGCCCGTTGAAGGGTCCTGGTCTGTTGTTAAACGTATACAATAGTGATGTTTGAAAAGGGGTAAACCTACCTGTTTATCGTACATCACCTGCAGAGCGTTCTTCACGCTGTCCAAATCACCAATACTCACGAACGCCGAGGGCACCGCGATACCCATGTCGCCCGGCCATACCGCACGGTCTCGCTTCGCTCCATCCACCAGGATGGTATCTCCAGGCCCCATTGTCGCATTGTTGGCCCATCCCTTGGTCAGCATGGGCACCTGGCGACCCGTGTTCGGCGGAACGGCATTGGTCTGTAATGTATAGGCACCACTGTACCAGATGCGATTCAAGAGATCGTCATTCGAGTGAAAATATCCCTGATAAGCCCGCAAGTTCGACCAGGTAGGCTGGAAGCCGATTTCCAAGCTCACAGCATCAATATCGACTGACACCCGCCCATCCGTAACCAAGAAGACCGACAAATACCGGAACCCCCCGCGAAGAGACTCATCCGGCATGACATACGACGCGGTTCCATCTTTGGTGAAATTGGCATACAGAGCACCATCCGGCCCCTTGAATGCGCCATTCGACGAATCCGACCATTCACCAATCCAGTTCTTGGCCTCGGAGAAAGCCAGACCCAGCGCCCCACTGCCGCCCTTTGAGGTGTAGTTCACGGTCACGATGCCGCCCACCTCGATGCCGAAGTCGAACACCACGGCGGACCCATTTAAGCGCAAGGTGTATGGTTTAAACTTTTTGTAATCGACCGTGGCGTTCGGTTCCGCAAGCGATACGATCGTTCGTTTAGGGCTGATGGTTCTCGATGACGGCGCATAAATGTTGTCCTCCCATGGTCCTGGAAAGGCGCTATCCTTGGGACCCGCGCATGTGACATCTCTCCAGCATTTTTGCGCCAAGGAAAATTGGCAGAGAAGCAGGAGGCTCAGGAGAAGGGGAAATCGGCACCCCAGCGCCATTCTGCTCAGGTTCTGAGAATGCCAAAGGGGAGCAGCAATTTACCCAATAAAAGGGCGGGGGGAAAGAGAAAGTCCACACTGCAAGAACCTCATTTTTCCGCGGAGGGTATATGTGGAATTAAGTAGCCTGTTGGGGTGAGTTTTATATTAGAGGCTTGCCTAATCGGTGTTGGGAATGTTTTGCAGGGGGAGGGGGAGAAGGAGGGGTTGTTTTTGTTTTCTTCTTCTTCCTCTTCTAAGTACAGTACAGTACCTCTCTCTCCTTGGGTTACACTATTAGTAGTAATGATAAATGCCGGATTACCCAAGATCGGTAAGTGTCGCCCTCTAACGGTTCATCCGGCGATCAATTGGCGTCCTTGTTCGGCTCCCCCCGTTTACCAGTTCCCACTTTTCTAGTGTCTAGTTCCTTTCGTGAATAATTTCCGAATACCAACTAATATTAATCTGGACCATGAATGGGGACTAGGGAGCAAATAGTCGGGCAAAAGGAGTCCTCCGGCTGTTTCTCTTTTGAGACCCTAGACTAGCCTCTCCCTAATAATTTTTTTTTTTGCCGGAGAATTCCTGGTATGTCTTTTTTCTTTTTTTCATTTGGGAGGCAAGGAGGCATTGGGAATGACATCAGCCAAGGGGAAAAGAAGTTATGTAATGATTAGACGAAGTAGTTACTCCTGATCATCTTTTTTTCTCTTCTCTCTCTGCTATCGCTTGAGTCTCATCCGGTGTAATAGTAGGTTGGGCTCATGCATTATTGGCAGAGATTCCCAGTCAAGCTTCTGTCAGGAGAGCTTCGTCACTGACGCGAAACCCTTCTTCTTCTTCTCCAGGCCGATCACTTCTCCGCATTTCTGCGACAACATGCTTCGTGGCAGGGGTGCAGCCCGAAGAATATCGGTACATCTGCTACCGAAACACAAATAACGATCAATATTATATACGGAGAGCCAGGAATAAATAGAGAGCATGAAGAATAGAAAAGGCCGTATCATTGCGTAATAGCTTTAGATCACTGTTGACCTGTCCAGCCAACAAACGATGCGCTGGCTGGTCGTTGCCCCCCTGTTGCTAGGGTTTATCTTCCACTGGTCATGTGTCCCAGACCGACAGCAAGGGCAAGATCTGTACGGTCAAAGCGAATGGAAATCAGGAGGACGAGGTGCGGAGGCTTCTGAAAGCGTTTCAGGAATGCGGCAACGGGCGCATCGTTATTTTCCCCGAAGACCAGTCGTATTGGATCGCCTCACACCTGAACCCTATTCTGAGCGATGTGACGGTTGAATAGTGGGGAAATGGATGGTTTGACTCACTAGCAATTTTCAATCCAGAATGTACTTCGAGGCACGATCTAGGCTTTACCGAGTAGTATTGAAACTTCAGGCTGGACCTCTATGTCCGAATAAGGTTGCCTAGCAAGTTATGGCATCAATAAGTGGGCTGATGCCTTGAATGACACCTCGGTGAATTCAGCCTTTTGTTGGGTGCCCTCCATCGGACGAAGGGTGACTGGTCGGCTTTCAGTTTGGAGCACAGCAATTGCATCTGCATCTTTGTGAAATCTACCATTCGATAGCTTCATAATTTCTCTGCATGGTAGTGCTGGACGAAGGACAGCTGTTACTGTTGAAACATTCGTTTTAGGAACAGCAACAGCAGTGCCTCGGACAAACAACGTCAACAGGCTGCGGAAAAGCCAATAGTTCTGCCTCGCCCCATAGTGGTACCAGTAGAGGCCAAAGTATAGGGTACACTTCACTCAACTGCTGAAACAAAGTGAACTGGTAACTTGTGAGCATCTCAGGGTGGTGAAGGTTACGACGCATTAGTTTGCGTATCGCAGTCTGACGTACACTGAAAATCATGACAGGTAGTCGATCTCCCCCATTCAAGTAGGGTGCCCTTCGTTTTCAACTCCTTAACTCGAAGGATTTTTGTATGTCCATGTCTGCTAATCCAAGCCTGATAAAAAAAGGCCCTCTAAGATAGTTGCTTTCCTGAGCTCGTCTTCTGAAACGTTAGAATCAGGTACTTGAATCTGAATCTGGAAATGAATATCGGATTACTTATCGGAACTTTCAGGTTTGGAGTTCGGTGTCTTGAGCGAGTGAACGAGAATAAGTCTGGGGCCCTTTTATCTCCTTCTTGTAGATGTACAGGTAGGCGTTTGTCTGTATCTAGCTGTCCGGGGTACTTCGAAATGGAGGTTGCTGGTGACGTTCTCACAGTAGCCTCTGTTTCACTGTCAGATGAGTTGTTAGAAGGTTCTTTAATAATGATAGACGAAAAGATGGCGTTGCTTCTTCGAGGGAGCCCATTCAAATGTAGTTTATTCAGAAATAATATCGATGAAGATGTTTCCATCCTCAAGGAGCAGCAGAACCAGATCGTTAGTACGCCGGCCAAGCTCCAGAAGCTGGGCATCCCCCAACTGGGTTTGATCTTTTGCAAGTTTACATCCCTATGAATATCCGTAACTCAGGGTTCTAAGTACGACGTTCTGCCCAACCCCATGTGTTCACTTAAGACCATGGACGATATATCTCATTGCAGTAGTATAAGCCGGGAAGGCGCATGCTGGTCTTTCGCCCACCCCTGCACGCTATTTAACTGCAACAAGCTCTCCCCTTCTTAGCCCCATTGTTTTACTACTCTTCGCTTAGCTGCTAGTGTTGCTTCTTGGTTTTCCCCTCCTGTTCTAACAGCTGTAGACACTTTTGACCAGATATGGCGATACGTTGCTGTTTGTTTAACTTTGCGAAGCCAATTTCTAACCTGGACTATCCACAGCGTTGGTCTGGATGACGATTCCTACAACGATGACTATGAACGGTATCTATAGTGTGTGATACGTTTATAGGACAGTACTGTTTTATGCCTGGTCTATGCATACATTACAGTGGCCCTGGGAGCGTACTAGTATCCCGTGAAGTTCTTTTTCACCAGCATCAGCTCGTGGAGACCACGGGGAGAGGCTCATACATTAGAAGGATTCTAAGATTCCCAATAATGGATATTCAAAACTGATTATGGGTAGGAGAAATACGACGTAGCTTTGGGGTTTGTAGTGATGTAGTGTTTATTTTGAGGTACTATATGGAGCTCATTTCCATGAGAATCATAATTATTTTCTTCCTGATATCTAGAGCTATTTTATCACTAATTACTTTATTCCACTTACCGGCCGGATCATCCCACTGGCTGGTCCAATCAGGACCGCCAGCAGGAATCCCCAACCAACATTTATCTGCCATCGATCAATGGTGGAGAACGGTACTTCGGCCAATTTGGTTGGTTGAGTTTGATGTCATCCCAAGGGCGCGGAATCCACCAGCCAGTCAAAGTACATTTATAACATCGAATGCCTTGTCAATCAATTTCCTTTGTGTCTAGATAAGAGCCCATTTACATATAATTCAGTGCCCTATTTTACTCTTGCTATCCTATATATCATGGCCATGAATGATTCTAATCCCACGCAGCCAAAGCCATGGATCGAAACTCCGTTAATAGAATCCGCCACCCTCTCAAAAGCAGCGGGATGGTAAGTAGACTTATTTAACCTGATATCCAGTTATAAACGAAGCTAAAATGTACGTAGTAGAGTCTTCCTGAAGTTAGAGCTTCTCCAGCCTTCAGGGTCTTTTAAGTCGAGGTACGTCATCTAGAAGCTCATTAAGTATCAAGAAGTATGAAAGAAGCTCACCACTACTACAGAGGTATCGGGAATCTAATCCGCACCGCTCTCCTTGACCCCGCAAACAAGAACAAGGAGCTTCACTTCTACAGTTCCTCCGGAGGAAATGCAGGCTTAGCAGCAGTCATCGCAGCCCGAGACCTAGGCTCTCCCTGCACAGTCGTCGTACCCCATAGCACCAAACCCCTCATGATAAGCAAGTTGCGCACCGCCGGAGCTACAGACGTGATCCAGCATGGCTCCAGCTGGTTCGAAGCCGACGCTTATCTACGACAAAACTTTATCGAAAAGCAACCAAACGAGGGTGATGCCCATGCATCCAAGAAACGAAACATCTACGTGCCGCCATTCGACCACCCAGACATCTGGAAAGGTGCAGCGACGATGATCCCCGAGATCGCTGCTCAATTGCCACCTAGGGACACCTCCACGGGCTATAATTTTCCAGCTGATGCGATAGTCTGTAGCGTTGGCGGTGGCGGTCTCTTTAACGGGGTTGTGGAAGGACTCGAGGATCACTTGCAATCTCATCCAACACCAGACTTGATTACTGGGACGACGATGAAGAATATTCGGGTGTTGGCTGCTGAGACGAATGGTGCGGATTCTCTTGCTCTCTCGCTACGGAGTGGGAGCCTGCAGTCTCTTCCGGCTATTACGTCCCTGGCAACTTCTCTAGGCGCGCTTTGTGTGGCGCCTCAGACCTTGAAATATGCCCAGACACCCCCGGCTGGTGTTGATGTTTTTAGTGTCGTGGGGTCCGACGCTGAGGCCGCGCAGGGGGTCATCCGCCTGGCTGATGAGCTTCGGTTGCAGGTTGAGCTAGCATGCGGGATCAGTGTTGATATTGCAGCTGGACCGAGGTTGAGGGAAGCTGTTCCCGATCTTACTCCGGACAGTCGGGTGGTGGTGATTGCTTGTGGAGGGAGCAATATTACCGCGGAGATGATCGCTGAGTATCGACAGAGACTGCAGAATGGGTGGGAGTAGACATTTGGTGGATCTTCTTCGATTCAATGTCTCGGTGTTATTTGGCGCAAAGATAAACGAAGGATCGCCCTGCATCCGGGGGTTGCAGCTTGGAAATAGCAACTTCTATATTATTCTTTAACTATGCTGCACAGTGACCAAAAGCAGATAAAATATAGAGAGTGGAAAGAGTTGTTTGGCCTGTATATAAGCCAGAAAGAACTTAACGTACCTATGCCCCTTTGTAAGGAATGTAGTGGCTAAGTTATGTCTATTGGTGAAATCTGTATTATGTTGCCGATAGCGGTCCCTTAGTATATTAAGAGTCTATTAAACACTGTCTTAAGAAGCATTATACCTCCCTGTGCCACAATAATTATATTTTTCTTGTCGCCAGCCGTATCAGGAGAAGCCTGTCTCTTTCTAGCCGTTCGACTATCGAAGATGAGGGTGACCCTCACCGACAAATAGTACCGTACCATCCCTATAAAGTACCAGTTTGCCGGCATACCATGGCCATCCTCGGGAGGGTCCAAGTCACGGTAAAGTTGGACATTTTTAAGTTATAATATAAAACTACAGTACGTAGTTGCTTAAGTCCGGTGTCATTTACTGGGACCAAGTCGGGGCTTGTCTTCCATAGTGGATCGCTTGTTGAACGTCAATAACATCAGGATCTAAGTACAACGATCTGCCAGGTCTCCCAAGGTTATCAATGTAGAATACCCTCGTATCGACATTGTATCGTACGATCAGATAGCGCGCAAATTGGTGATCCTGTGAATTACCAAGAAGGCGCATCGTTGGGGAATATGAGCCTTTTTATATCTGGCCTCATGACGAAGGAATCCCTCGCTTCGCTCGAATCAACAGAACGCCTCTTCACTAAACATGGTAATATTCCTGAGATACTAGGTGACTTAATAGCCATATGCAATAACCAACTGCCTAATCCAACTTCTCAGCACGGGATTTAGAGCATCTACTTATCTTTCTAGCTTCGTTCCGAAATTCACTCCACAACACCAAAGTCAATCTCGTCACCAAGCAACACAAGCAATTACAAATAGTAACTGTGTTGGGATTCTATCTCAACAATCTCTCACCTCTGCTTATAATAATTTCATACTTCCTCCACCCTCTATGTACCAGTACATTGACACTGAAGACACCTACATGTGTTGGTTGGCTTCAGTCTCTTAGCCCTCCTCGCATCTCTTGTCTCTCATTTCTTACTCAAAACACCCACTTAACTGGTCATTCCTTACCTTCATTCTGCCTCCACTCTTGTCCATACCCTACTCTACCAAGAAAATGGACGACCAAGTCCTCAATTCAGCCCAACACCATTCCATTGCCGAGCAGCAAGCTCGCCATTCCTGCATTTGGGAGAGCCAATAACACCGTAAGTCATCTTCCCCTAACTAACATATCCAGGAATATACCCTAACATCCCGCTATTCTAGCATCACCTCCCTAATAAGTTCAAGGAACTATGAGCGTTTATATCACCCAGACTCCGCCAAGAGTACATTGAGCGAACTTGGATCCTAGCCTCATCACCCACGCCGACCGAAGGACAAGACGACTATGAAAGCCTCTTGAAAACCCTGTATAAGAAATGTTTCGCATATATGACTCAGCTCGATGCGGAGATAGCCTTGTCTGTACCCGGTAAGTAATGTACTACATCTGCTTGCTTGGCCCCACTGCCCGACACTGGCAGGGTCGAGTATCTACGTTTAAGGCGCGGCTCAGTCAGCTTGGTATCAAGGACTTCGCCGAATCATGCCAGGACTTCGACATCAAAGGTGGCATATATGGCGACGGCAATGATGGCCAGGCCGCATATTCCCAGGAGGAAAATACCGAGATGGCCGAAAGAGGGGGTTCTCCGAGCCATTATCCAAGGGAGGACGAAGATTCAATGATACCTCTTCTGGAGGAAGGTCGTCATGGCTGGAGTGGCGGCATAAGAGAATCTACAGCGCGTGTTCGAGAAATCGGATGTCTGGCTGGGCGATACGGACCGGAAACGCGAAATCGAGCCGACGCTTTCGTTTTCGTAAACTGAAAGTGTGAATTCGGCATTGTTGGTAGCACCGGGGTTGGGAAATCGTCGCTCATTAATGCTATTGCTGATGAAGAGAATATTCTTGCGACGAACTGCATGTACACCTCTAGTGCTGTGGCGACGGAGTTGACGTATAACGATGGGGAATTCAAGTACAAGGCGCGCATTGAGTTTATTCAATGCAGCGAGTGGGAGCACGAGCTACGGGTTCTCCCTAAGGAGATTTTTGATAGTATGGGGGATATTCTTGACGAGAATGTTCCGAAAGATTCTAATGCTGGTATTGCTCTTGACAAGATCAAGGATGTGTATCTTTCGTTGGAGCTGGAGAATATCGTGAGCACATCCGTTGAGAAGCTTCTGGAGAGTACGAATGTTTTGAGTCTGCTTGGGACTATCTTGATCTTAGAAGAGAACAATCCTAGGGTCTTCTCTAGGAAGTTGAAGTCCTACATCGACAGTAAGGGGAGGACGCGCGGCCCGAAGAGATCTTCACAGAAGGATAGTGATATAGGGCTCTGGCCGCTCGTTAGCGTGGTCCGAATTTATGTTAAGGCAAAGGCCTTGTCGACTGGGGCTATGCTGGTCGACTTGCCTGATGTTTTTGACTCGAACCCTGCGCGTGTGGCCGTTGTGGAAGACTAAATGAAGCGTTGCTCGGCGATTTGGGTTGTCTCGCCCATCAATGGAGCTGTGGATGATAATATTGCCCATGACCTCTTAGGTCAGAACTTGAAGATGCAGATCCATATGGACTGTGCCTTCAATAACATCACTTTCGTGTGCACAAAGACAGACGACATCTCCGTCAGTGAAGTACAAGTCTCTCTAAAACTAGGTTACCGTCATTGCAGTGAAGGACAACGCCCGAGCCTGTCTGATCTTACTCCCAGCAAAGAAAAAAGTCTGCAACGATGCTGAAGCGGGCGAAGTAACCACATTGAATAATGACCCCCCAGAAGTGACTTTCGTCGGCAACTCTGTCATTGAGATGCAGTGTTCTGGATTCTCCGAAAATAAAGAGCTGGCGAGGCACTACCAGGCTCTCAAAGCCGAGAAGAAGCAACTTGACAACCAGAGACGCCAACTCAACGCCAACTCAACGCCAACTTACTCAATAGATCAAGAACAAAAAGGAAGAGTTTAAGCGACTCAGGGAAAAGGTATGCAAACAAATATACTCCGAGAGTGCATCAATGCCAAGACCGCGTACTCCAAGCATGAGATCAAAAAGGACTTTGCGTGTGGAACTCGGGAGTTCGATCAAGAATTCAGGGAAGATGAAGATGAGACATCAAGATCTGGCGCAGCTTTGCCCATTCGAGACTCTGAAAGCTTGGCGAGTGAGGTTCCTCTATTCTATGTGTCTACAAAGGCATATCAAAGGGTTTGCGGTACCGGTAGACTACGAAAGGAGGCCCTGTCCCCGGGTTTGCAAAGATGGAGGAAACTGAAATATCTTATTTGCAGCGCCATTGCACCAACTTGGCCGAAGATGCAAGGAAGGCATCTGTACTGCGATTCCTAACCCAGCTGAAGCGGTTATTTTAGTGAAGTCACTGTGGTCGCTGGTGATTAGTCCGGCACATATTGTGTCAGACGGAAAGGTACGGGAATTAGAAACTAGGTTCGACTCTATCGTTGAGTATCTGAGAAAGGTATGCTACATATCCAATGTTTTGACATTATTTAACTCAGCCCCTCAGACCTTGAGAAAGTAGGCTTGCGAGCACTCTGATTTAATTATCCAAGAAGTTGAAGTGAACAATGTCAATCGACTTGGTATGTCACCGCATCAGCTCACTGCGACAGAAACTAATGGCGCAGACCGAGCGGTAAAGCATGGCCGTGAGGAATCCCCTCATATTATATCTCGTTGGAATGCACCCCGTAACGAAGGAGGGCTTGCTTACAACACGTATCTGGCGACTTGTCGTCGTCGAGGATTATTTGGAAAAAAAAAAAAAAAGGACTGGAGCCAGGCCCTGTATGCTACGTTGCACCCTGTCTTTGCTTGGACAGTACTCACAAAACAAGCAGAGCCAATCCTTTGCTGGAAAAATTTGTTGGCGGCTGGACCAGGATATTCTGCGTGAAAGTCCCTCAACAGCTCAATCAGTTTGCTGCAAGATTAAGTGAGACCCTGCAAATGTTCCACAAGGGAGCGATTGCCCTTGCGGGCAAAAGCGCCAAAGAAACACCAGAAGAGATGCTGAATACCTACTGTAAACCCCTAGAACATGAGCTCAATCAACTGGAAACATCAATAGTCTGGACAGAAAGAGATGAACAGGCTATTTGCTAAAACCATTGAGTCCGAGCTAGAGTAAGCGTACCAAGAGTGCGCAGAGCAACGTGGTAAGTTTCCGACCTCGGTTCTCTAGGAGAGACAAAAAAAAAAAAAAAATTTGGAGACCTTAAGCACTTTAAATCCATGTTTGACCGTCCAGCAAAATGCACTAACTCAGTCATAAATGCTGTAAGGTTCTCTAACATGTTCCCCATAGGTCCCCAAAGCCTCGCCGTATGAGAGACATAATGACTCGCGAAGCAAGAGACAATTGTGGCCAAGTGCTTAGAAGCAGGGTCGAGCCAGCGTCATAAAAGATAACAGACCTGCTGGTAGAGACGACCGTGGGCCACGTGTTGCGCGACTACTGCGCAGCTGTCGTGGGGCCTCAGATCCGCAAACTCGCGGATGACCAAGTTAAGCTAAAGAATGATATTACCGGGATCATACAGACCACGAAGGCCAAGATACATTTGGATAAACTTCTGGGACTTGACCCGGGAAAGAATGGTCAGCCTAAATTATCTGTTGCATCCGAAGTTGTGGTGAAGAGCGAAGAGAAGCCGATGTAGAACGAGGAAGAGATGTTCATCAAGAGAGGACATATGGGGTTTGCAGGCCTGATATTCGGTTTGGCTAGCTTAGGAAACCGGAGGCGGAGCAGAAAAGTCAGGTCCAACAGGCAGTTGTCTATAGGCCGAGTTGTGAGGGACGTGTTTTATGGGCGAACCTTAGCTTGTTGTTTGTAGAATCTGGGATAGTGCGCGTAGTCGTGACGACGCCTTGGTTCCAAGACCTCTCGATGCGGAACTTGGATCAATTAGCATTCCTTGCTTCTTAGATTCTCTAAGTGCTAATGGCAGGTGGTTAAACATAGTATGATGTCTCCTGGCGAGACAGGTTGACGCGGGCGATCGGGTATGACGGTGCATTTGTTTCTGGTTGGAGCTTTCGATGCGGAGCTCGAACGGTTTGATATCCCAGGTACTTTTGAAGTTTCTTGATTAGCAATAGCAGCATTGCAAGGCTTTTTGCATATCGATTTGAATAGGGACATTCTGGAGTGCCACTTTTTCATTTCGTCTTCTAATGAATCGATCTTCAAGAATTTCACTAGTAATGCTCATGCACCGACGACATGGTAAACACCCTCTGTTTCCAGGAATCCCATACTAGCAGCTATGCTATACCATCATAATAAATTACCTAAATAAAATACCTTACCAACCAGTCCATATAAAATAAATCATCATATCCATTGATCTCATCAACTACCGGATAATGGCCAAGCCACTGGTATTTCGCAAATAACACCCCAACAAAAGTATAGCATCGCAGTGCACAAGGAAAAGGATAAATAATATCAATAAGTAGCAAGTATAAGACCCAAGAGTATATAACGCCAGAATGTATCCACTAAGATGTTCACTGTCTCTGTCTTCATCCATCTTCAACTCATCCCTGCACATTGAGAGCAGGCGATCGTTGGAACCGAAACAACGGAAAAAGGAAGAAATAGAAAGATGAAAAAGAAGTCACGAGTAAAACAGATGTCCCATCTATGCCAGGCTGGGAATGAAAAGAAAAGAAATATGGAGAAAAGAAAATAAGCAAAAAAATGGTAAATAAACAGGCAAGACAAAGCATCAAGTCTATCGCATCGTGTTTAACAGTCTGAAATCATGCAGTGCACCGGGGGAATATCGAAGACCGTGTATAGGTGAGACAGTGTAAGATTGATGGATCGATGCAAGGCAAAAAAATAGAAAGAGTATGGGGGACGAAATCTCTCTTTCCCCTGATACCGAGAAATGCGATCACGAACGAGATTTGTCAGTCATTCATAAAAAGATTCCTTCTTTTTTGGTTTTATCCTTCTGTTCCCTTTTTTGGAGATTCATATGTTCTATGAACCCTATTGTGTTGCCCTATCGCATTGGAGATATGCAGTCAAAGAGCCATTCCACTGAAAGGGCTACAGTGGATTAGAAGGGAAATCCGCCAGGGAATCCGCCGCCACGGGACTGGCCGCCGAAGGGATTTCCGCCGGCTTGTGCGAATCCGCCACCACCGCCGCCGCCATTCATCATATTAAAGAGGATGTTGGGGTCAATATTGATATGGGTACCACCCATACCACCCATACCGCCCATTCCGCCCATTCCGCCCATGCCTCCCATGCCTCCCATGCCGCCGAAGCCGCCGAAGCCACCGCCACGGCCGGCGAACATGTCAGCAGGGTCGATAAGGTCATCACCGTTGTCATAAGCGGCGCGTTTCCTAATGATTATTAGTTTCTGTGAATTGGAAGAAGCAAAATGCGAAGGGGGACATACTGAGAATCGATCAAAGTCTCATAGGCCTCTCCGATCTCCTTAAATTTCTCATCACCATGCGGGTCATCACGGTTCTTATCAGGGTGGAACTGAATGGCCAGCTTGCGGTAGGCCTTCTTGATCTCATGTTCGGAAGCATCCTTAGACACACCCAAGATCTTGTAGTAGTCCTTCCGTTGGGCCTTCTTGAGCTCAAACTCGGCCCGGCGAATCTCTTCCTGGATACCTTTCTCGGTGGGGTTGGCTTCAGCTACAGCCTTGTAATCACGTACTGCTTCTTCCCAGTTGCCTGCTCCGCCATGAGCCTTGGCACGCATCTTCTGTGCCTTAATGTACGATGAATCCAGCCGCAAGGCCTCGTTGCAGTCGTTGACCGCGTTATCGTATTCCTTAAGATTGATATATGCCTGAGCACGATTCTGCAGGATCTTGGCGTTCATATCCTTGTTGTTCGGATCCACCAATAAAGCCTCCGACCAAAGGTCGATGGCCTTGCGATAATCCTTGGCCTTGAAGGCATTGTTGCCCTCTTCCTTCGTGCGCATCAACTTCTGCACGGTACGGAGCAGCTTTATAGCCGGCTTCATATCGGGATCCAAGCTGATACATATCTTAAGGGTCTTCAGCGCCTGCTCAGTCTCTCCCAGACCGTAGAAGGCACGGGCACGGATCATTAGAGCATCGGGATCTTGATTGTTCTGTCGAAGCATTCCCATCGCAATATCCTGTGCCTTGGCAAACGAGTTCTCGTTAGCCATCTTCAGCTGCGCTTCGGCAGTCATCAAGGTCCACTTGCGAGGCTCCTTAACGCCATTGCCCAAGAGCTGTCTCGCCTGATCCAGACAGAACAGAGCCATCGACACTCCCCGATCCTGACTCAGGGTTTCTTCCGCCTGTGTAACGAAACGAATCATCTTCTCGGCGGGTGCGCGGTCGGTCGCCGAGGCGGGAGGATCCGTGCGGGCGAAGACATTGAGGGCCTCTTGCGGGCGGCCCAGACTGGTGAGAATACGGGCCAGACGATACTGAATCTTAACGTTAGACGGATCGAGCTCAATAGCCCGTTCACAGTCCTCCAGAGCATTCAGGTACTGGTGGGCGGCCATGTATGCAGCCGCCCGGTTGGATAGGTACACGGACGAATTAGGGTTAATCTCCAGAGCTAAAAATCTGTTAGCAGAGGTACCGGTGACCCCATCGCGGAGAAGTGCCCACCTTTGCTGAACTCTTCGATAGCCCTTGCATAATTGCGATCTTTAAAGAACTTATTTCCCGCCAACTTGAATGAATCCGCCTCGGCGGTGGTTCCATTCGATCTGTGAGGAGGAGGGGTAGGACTCTTTTCGGCATGCCCCCCGTTCACACCATTAGCCGAGCTAAGTCGGGGATCATTGCTGTCAATGTCCATCGAGCTCCGGTCGGCAGCGGCAGCCATGGCTGATAGACGGCGCAGCTCGTCAGGAGGAAGATTTAACGGATGAAGGTCGGGATCTTGCTTCTTGAACCGGTGAACGGTCGAAGCACGGGAGAAAGTAGGACGAGAGGTGGAGAAACTACTCTTAGAAGTAGCAGTGGAATGAGTTGGACGGTGACAGGATTTAGAGTGAGAGGGAGTAGACGACGACCGACTGTGGGCCGGGCGAGTCGAAGATTTGCGTGGAAGATGCGGATTAGTAGGTGAGGCTGTCGCCGCAGTGGCTGTTGAAGGTGGAGATGGAGGGGGAGGGTTCTTCCGGGTACTGTAAGAGTGACGGGGAGGAGAATAAGATGGAGGCGAAGATGGAGGAAATCTAGGAGGCGGCGGAGGAGGGGATGAGGGGACCGGCGTCGGATTTGGGGTAAGAGTCGAAAGATCCGGATGTTGAATTTGCTTGGATTTGGATCTCTTGGATTTGTGACGAGAGAAAAGTTGCGGAAGAACCATTCTTGAATGGGGCGCTGTGATTGGCCGCGGGAGATCGAATTGCAACGAAGGCGGTGGAAATTCAGAGTTTGATATCAATTTCTTTTCCCTTCTTTTTTTGGTTTTCCCTCTCTCTTCTGCTTTGGAAGATGATGAAGATGAAGAAAAAGCAATGAAAAACGATAACTGATGAAAAGTATTCTCTCCGAGAACACAAAAAAAAGATTTACACCAGATCAAATATCACAATCCGCTTTTAAACAATAAAAAAAGCAACAAACACCAAGCCTAGACAAAGAGCTCAGTCATGGTGACAATGAGGCGGTCGTGGTCACGAGTTCGAATAGCTGTTTCGGATGAAATTGAAGACAGGAAGAGAGGAGAGAGAAAGAGATGGAGCGAGAGTTGTAGAAATTAAGGCTGGCGATCACTAGTCTGAACAATCCAACTATATAACAATATGAAAATGACTCTTTCTTCCTTAGTGTAGTCTTATGTATTTGCGAGTTCACCTCCCTCCACTTGCAAAAAAATAAATCATGGAGGCTGGTGATTGATGGTGACGAACTCCGCTTAGCGTGCAGCTTGTCGTCGAATCCCATCGATCTTTGATCGCCTGTCGAAAGAAAACGTCTCACCCCGGCGTCGCTCTTAACCGTCCTAACACTCCAGGCCAGACCAGTCAATTCTTTGCGATCCTCTGTCCGTCAGACACTAATGACCATTCCATGGCCACCTAATCCTACCCCCAGAAATAATAATAATAAATAAACATGAGAGAACGACTATCCCGAGCCGCCAACAGCCAGGATTAGATCCACTCCACCAATCCGTACGCCAGAAACCAATTATAACACCAAATCCTATGCATGACGCTTGTCTCGTTTCCATAGCAAACTGCCTCCCTATACTTTTTTATTACAAAGTACCGCTGAATTCTTCTCCTACCAGCTGTACCAGCCAACACGGCCCCCCCCCCTCCCTCCTCGGTCTTCAGGTCTCGCCTCTTCTCACTCTCCCCAACTCCTTTGACCATGAGATCCACTCCTTCGGCGTCTTTTGATGTTGGGACAATTCTAGGCGACTTCGCCGCCTTTTCCCAATCCTATCGTCACTCGGTCGCATTGCAGATCCGCCTCTGTGGTTCCCAATCTTTGACCAGCGTTGGACAGAGAACTGGCGGGCCGGGACGCAATGATCGCCACGTGGTAGTCGCGTGCCATCTGGCCCGCCGTTGACTCGGTTTTTCACAAGGCAGCTGAACAATGTAAAGGCTTTGAAGAAGTATGAATGGTTCGGTGAGATCGATTATAGTACAAATCGTGGTATTACAATGTTTCGTAAACTTTATATCTCTGCACATTCGTTTGCAAATTCGGAGTATCTTTGGCCCAGTCGACAACTGCCAGTCGCGCTGTCCATTTCTGACTATCACCATACAGAATCGACTATGGCGTACGTTGTCTTGGTATATCCCGGCTAACCAAGGTAGTGATTGAGCGAAAAGCCCTTTGCAAAGCACTCGGGATCAGAGGTAAATGGAATGCGTGATCTACGCATCATGATCTGTTCTTTGTCTGCCGGGCATCATCTTGCAGAATCTGTAAATTGCGGCGTACCTACTTTGGTCGATGTAAGCACGATGCGGTGAGCCGACGCAGGCAGTCCGGACTCCGAAACATCCGTTGAAGAGTAGGCAATGCTTCTCAATTGCCAAAGGGGACCCGATGTACTCTCCGCCCCGCAACGGCCGCCCACATTGAATCCTGCGCGGCCGTTCGCGATGGATGCTCCCCCGGACTCACCCGCAGCGACGATATCGGCTGATCGAATCTGTGTTGTTCATAGGGTGGCGGAGGAGAACTGGCAATGTCTGCGTCCCGGTCGCTATTATTCGAAAAATATGTATTCGTCGAGCGAGAGTGGGTGAGCGTTGGCACTTGGCGAGTATCTGATCTTCTCGTTGAGAGATTTGCGATGGTTGGATATGATGGCGTTGGCATGGCAGTATCTGCTCGCACCCAGATATTCCGTCTATCGTCCCAAATAAGTTGGTTGGACGGCGAGGCGCTTTGTCCAAAAGGGTATCTTGCTTCTTCGGGATGTGGGTTGAATGGGGAGAAGTGGCCCAGGTGAGAATTGGGACGGCGCGCAGAGGAGTAATCGATCCTCCGCCCAGAGCCACCATGGCGGGCGTCGTTTTCTGGCACCAAGTTTGCTGGGCGTTGCACATTGGCTCGGCCACGATGAAGCCAGTTGACGCCAGACCCTATACTAGGGGACTTATCTCGGCAGGACGGCACCGGGTCAGCGGATGCTGGCCGTGGTGGATGACTTGGCATGCCATTGAAGGGTTCCAGTGGTAACGCCGAATAATCCAACTGTATACTAGGGAGGTTGCCCTCGGAGTAAGGGTTTGTAGAATGAGGGCGGTGGATGATAGGTGGGCCTTCCAACGACGACAGGTCTATTTGGTTCATTTGGGCGGAGACGATGAGTATCGACCAATTTGGATCTAGGGAACGGCGAAAGGGCAAAAGGAGTGAATTGGCTGAGAAGTAAGGACCAGCCGCTTTCGTAACTATATTATACTTAAGATTCATAGCCAGGGCCCTCGCCTGAGACAAGAGGCACGGCCGAGTACGAAGCCGTGGCGGTATTCCAAAAATAAGGTATGAATACGACGATTAACGAACGGCAAAGTGGATCGCCACACGAGATGCGAGTTCGACGACAGAGGATGTTTAGCAAAAGCATTTAAGTTCGATCAAACATCCATCTATCAGTTAAGTGGCCTTGTTCGTCTTATATGGTCACGTAAGACAATGCGTCGAGGCGGTGCTTTGCGGTCTGGTGTCCTATGAGTGCATCGTCCAACAAAGAGAACAGCGCAGTATGACCAACACTTCTGCGCCGCCCCAAGCATTAAGGATCCATAAGTGGGTTCGTCCCTCTCATCGGGACCCGATGATGGGGCTTTCAGGGATTATGGAACATAGATACCGACAGCTCTTCATCAGGAGTTCCAACCAGGGGATCGCTCATATATGTCCTACACTCCGAATGGGACAAGAAAAGTTGAGAAGGCGTCCCTCATATTCGAGTATGCCCCCTGCAGGATTCTACGAATTGCCCCAAAGCGATTAGCACAATGGATAGGGATTTGGGGTCGACTTTTGGGTGAACCGTTGGACAATGGCTCGGGCTAAGCAAGCGCAGTCGGTATACTCCAGTAGGGTACTCTCGTTTAAGTAAACAAAGGTCCTAGCCAGTAAGGATTCCTTAGAATAAAAACGGATAAAGTCGGTCCCTGAAAATAGTGGGAACTGATTCCGGTAAGGGTCCATCGCCACCACTCCAGTTTTGGGGCAAATGCAGCGCAAAGAAGCCACGAAAGCAGAGCACAAAAGGCTGTAGAGTTTAATTTCTTTCGCCAGTCAGCAGTTTACGGCCACGAAAAAAAAAGAAAAGAAAAGAAAAGAAAAGAAAAAGGAAAAAAGTAAAAGGAAAGCAAAGCCCTTAGGGAAACAAAGCATCAACACTGCCACGGCCGCCCTCTTTGTCATTGCGGCGCAATGTCTCATCCATGGTTCGCTTACTACAGAAGATGTTAATAAAAAATTATTTCTCATAACTCTGTCTCTTTTTTGTGTCTATAATGTTTCTCTTTCTCTTTCTATAATTTATTTCTTTTTTATCTTTTATTTGTCTGTTGTTTCCTCGTATGAATATATCTCTCCGCCTCACTGACAGGCGCATATACGCTGTCATCAACAAATAAACACAAGTAACCCCCACTAGGGACCCGATGACGAAATTTCCATACAGCAAACCAATCTAAAACTCTTAGTCCTTCAAAATCAGGAAATCACTAGCGAGACACCCGAAGATCACTCATGAACTACTCTGTATAGAACCCTATAATTTATTATGAGATATCATTATCTACGTACATACATACCTTATCGGAATGTGAGCCTTGTCCGACGGCTACATATGTCCTATTTAAAAATCCTTGGCCCGCCTTGGCCCATAAGGCTGCTTGCTGGTTACACAACGTAAGCACACAATATGTATGTAGTAAGTTATTGATCCTGCTCTGGTATTATTACTAGTTTGGTCGGAACCGAGTACGCGTGGGCTACTATAGGGAGATAGAGTGTGACCTTTTAGAGTACACGATAGGTACGGTATACATTGTTGAGAAGAAAGAAAGAGACCTATACGACATTGTATTATATATTGGTATAATATACATACTTTATATCGATGCCTACCCTATAGTACTACTACTACTACTACTACTAGATATGTATGTAGTAGTCCCCCGATCTAATCTCGGTATAACCAATTGTCACCTCGTTTCATCATTGAAACTTTTTAACTCGATAAAAATCACTATTCCAAAACCAGACCTTTCTAACCTGGAATTCCAGAATAAACCACGTTTCAAAAAGCCCAAAAATAAATCCAAAAGACAAAACCCCTTCAAAAAGCAAAGTATCTTCAAAACAGAACAAAAGTAAATCAAATCACAAAAACGAAAGCAAAAAAATCCAACCCAATCAACCGACGTGCTCTACTAACCCCCCGGCCAAACACTCCTACGCAATCTACCCCCAACCAATCACCAACCCCGCACAACCAACAAACAAATCCCAGCCTGTTATGCAAATCAAACCCCCTCATCCATGGATACGACATGATAACCGCATACAGGCGTCAAAAGTCTGCACGGGGCACACCGCAAGCCACAAAGTACTCTAATCAATTCGAAACGGAAGATGAAACGCCGCGCCTGTCTAAACTGAAGAAAACACTCTGGGATAGTTCTATCTAATCTGGATTCTCTAGATTCAGCCTCTTCTCGCCCTTCTTGCCTGTCAGCGTATTGTGGGAAGGGATTCAGGACCCGCTCAGCGTAGATCAGAGTTTGAGACCAGGATCAGGGATCTGGATCTGAATCGGATGGTGGACGGTAACATGCAGGTATGCGAAGACTTTTTCGGGTTACTGATCCTATTCTGCGCGATATGATAGATTGAAAATAATACTTGCGGTATATTATTCGTAATTTCACTGCGGGATTACAAGTACAACTGGTTACTTGCCAGTGGGATTGTGAATGTAGAAGCGTTCATGGTTTACATTATATCGTAAGCAACCAAAATTGCTTCACAGAACTCTGAAGCAACCTGAGAAGCCGAGATCAAGAAAAAGAGATATAAGGATATGTGAAGCGTTTCCAAAAAAAATAAAAAAAAACATATATAAAGCAAAAGAAGTAAAATGGTATTATTTCTCCCCACAAACCACGCAACTAGAAGACAAACCCCGTGCACTCCTATTCATTCACAAACCGTCCATTCTCAACTTCCCCGCCGATAGCGGAGCCGGACTCACGAGTGAATCGGGGCTACACTATTGACAAGAAGGGAATCTAAGCCAAGAAGAAAGCGGCGGCAGCGGCGGCACCAGCAAGGCCGAAGGAGTTGCCAACGCTGTTGGCAGCACCAGTGAAGAGACCGCCGGGAGCGGAGGTAGAGGGACTGTTCTCTTCGGTTAGTTTTCCTAGGCTCTTCGAGGATAGCAGAGGGAAAGAGAAAATAAAACTTACGTAGCGCTGCCGCTGGGGCCGGGGGTACCGATCACAGGGACGGAAGAAGACTTGCCGGGAGAGACACCCGAGGGGGCAGGGCCGGTGATGGTAGAGTAGGTGACGGTGGGAATGCAGGTGGTCACAGCGATGACGGTGGTGCTCTGGCTAGTAACCTGAGGAGGCTGAGGGATGACGGGGCTGCTGCTGGAAGGGACAGCAGGGATGCCGTTGCTGCCGCTGGGAACTTGAGTCCCGGCGGGGGCGCTGCTGGTAGGAACGACGGGGACGACGGGGGTGGAGGTGGTCCCCTCAGCAGGAGGAACCTCAGCGGTGGAAGTCGCAGCAACGGGGGGAGCAGAGGTGACAGGCTCAACACCCTCAGGAGTGGAGGTGGAACGGCCGGGGCAGTCAGTGACGGAGGCAGCGCAAGACGTGATGGTCACATCCTCGGTCTGGTAGACGGTGTGAACTTCACCGTTGGGAAGAGCGGCAGCAAGGCCGGCGAAGAGGGCAATGGTGGAGGCGGAGAAACGCATTTTGACTGTAGTTTTCACGAAAAATTTGAACCGTCAAGGTTGTTTAATATTTTGATTTAGCTGGTGGCTAAAAGAGAGTGTGGACAGTTGGTTTGGGTTGTAAAAGAGTGGCTGACCGAAGTCAAGTTGGTATGCTTCAAGCAGTAAGGAAATTCAGACTTGAAAGAAGAAACGGAGAGTGAGAGAAAGGACGGGGGAATTTGGAGGCTTTGTATGAACTGGGAGATTAACCTGGAGATCGTCCCAGGGACGAAAAGGGGAGGGACTGCAAGCGGGTGGAGAGGGCTGCAGATACTGACTTTGCTAGACTCCAATCTATCAATTGGTGAACTGTAATGCGGTGTGTTTCTCTAGGAGAAACAAGACGACCGTCACTAAACCTAATAGGTGGGCTCTTCATCAATCCCATGGACCCGCCACGCTCATGGGTCTCGTGGGATGGCCGTTTGAAGCATCATGGTTGGCGGATGTGACCGTCGCGAAGAACCACTACCAGCAAACTAAAAAATTAGTTTTGTGGTTAGTTTCTCTGCCACAGCTGGTTCAGTCAATGCTTACAACTTCTTGGTTCCTCCGTGGTTAGGGAGAGAGAGAGATGTTGATCTGTCGGTCACTTGCTCTTTTCAGGTATGATCACGAAAGGAAGAGATCATCAGTTTCCTTTTATTCTGTAATACAATGGTAAACGTTAAGACCATATTGTGGTACTTGACTTGGGTACGCAATTGCCATTGTAACCCTCCCCAATACTATGAAACCCGGATCATAAATCAAACCTCCCCGTCCGGAAATTAGCCCTACGCCCAAACAACGATACTAAGCTACAGCGCACTTTTTGGTGATACAGTGATACATGCATAATCCTGGGGCAATTTCAGGGGAAAGGTATTTTTTATCGGCCAAGCCACAGGACGTTAAGCAACTCCCGATAGATGTTTCAGGTTTTTGACCCTGGCCAATGAGGGGCCTTTTTAGAGATCCGTTCCTGACGCCATCAATGTCGCCAACAGCCCGCTGTGGCTCTTGGGGCTCCACTTTGGGCCAATGACTTGGCCGACAACACCGGAGTGGGTCATTGCCCCACTAACCCCTGTCTCTCTGCTACCATATTTATCTCATTGTTTTCTTTCCCTGAGAGGATAGAGAGAGAGAGAGTACGGAGTATGGTAACAAACAAAGAACAATCAAAATTGAGAAGGTGAGAGTTTTTTTATGTACATACAGAAATCAGTCACAAGACTTTGCTATCAAATGGTTTCTTCCACCACCCACATCATCCTGGTTGCCGCTTCACATGTACAAAGTGCTTATGTCTAGTCCCGATGCCAATATCCATGGCGCACTCGCAAAATCTCCGAGCAGGGTTCCTACGTTGTTCCCGCCACTCGACTGCGTTTCTCCGAGTCAGAGCTATTCCTCTCATCCCTGTCCCTGGTGTCTAGAACGTAACTGAGGTATCTAATCAGCCCTACTAATTACAGCAAGGAAGCTCGGCTGATTTTGCATGACCGATGAGACTAGGACTCGACTTAACCTACCCTGGCCGGCGTCATTAATTGCTTAATAAAAGCTAAGACAGCTTGGACTGCCAAGGGTTGTTGTAGTATTCATATAACACTCTGGCCAGGTCTAGCCTGACAAGTAGCCTACATTTGGGTCACATAGTGCCACCCTATGCAATTATAGAAACCCTTTTAGAGTGTAGAACTGCATAGCGGTGTTTAAGCGAAATTCGTGTGTTTACTGTGCGATAGTCAGAGATTACGCCATCGAAGCCCAGACCTGACTTTTGTGGAAACGGAGACCCGAAGGCGCTGAGACAAAGTCGTTGATCAGGAATAGGCTCCGGAAGGGCCATCAAACTATTGGAAACCGTCTTCGCTATTCCGAAATGGTAGCCGTACATCATCCTCCCTGCCTTCTCCAGATTATCTTGTGGGTACGAGTCACTGAGAGAGTTCGAGAGCTTCTTTTTTTAAAGTTCTTGTCTACGGACGATTTGATAAAGAAAGGGGTTCATTCTTTCGAGAGTCCACACTTCAGGGGGGTGTTATTCAATTTAAAAATCGCGGACTGATAGATAGCGCCGAGTAATTGATTGATGGCTAATCTCACAACGGGATTTAGGTCCAGTATTATCTGGCATGATTCTGCTCCGATGACCGACTGCAACCCAATCCTCAAAGGCTGCAAAGGCATAATAAGTCTCTATAGGTAATTTCTGAGGTAACATATTGGTGCGTTCGGTCGTTCGCAAATTATGAATTGAGTTCGGATCTCCACCGATCAACAGGGGAAGGGCTCAGTGATTCACGGCAGTCCGCACTCAAGATATACGCGTCCTACCCCGATAGATAGTTTGAACAACCATGGCGTTGGTTACCCCAGTATTCAGGTTGAGGGGCTCACGCCTTCTAGTCTCGTCCTATGATCCGAAGGGTTTTTGTATCACATAGAGTATGATCTAAATAAATAAATACTATGTATGTATCCTTCAAAGTGGATGCGCCATAGTCAGTGCTCGAGAGAATGCGCACCAAGACGTATGATGTTATGAACAGACTGCTGTTCTGAAATCGGTGTCCGAATCATTGTTTCCCGTTCACCATTTCCTATCATCGCAGGAAACGGGTTTCGGGTGGGGTGGGGTTTACTCGTCGAGGATCGTCCGTCGCCGCGCGTCTACCGAGGAATTCTCTGTTGCTACTCATTCCATCATGTGGTGTCTGTAGTACCTATGATGTGCTTGATCGATGACACATTGGCTAATATACAATTACAAGGGAGAAATAGACGACACGAATATATAGTAATCTGAAGAATCGTAGTAGACACTATAGGGGGATCGAATTGGTTGACAGCTTTAATGGTGGAACTGAAATGATGTTCGGTTGAATCTTGTCAGGAACGCAGCCAAAGTCCGACTAACGATGAAGACCTTCTACACTTATCATCGGGCAATGGTTCTTCCTTTAGAGCTCGCATGGGTGCCATGAACTACTTCGAAGTTTCAGCACAACACCACATCTATTATTATGCGGACCTTGTCCCCATCGTATATGGCGGTGCAGTTATGGAGAAGTGGCTATTTTAAGCAAGATAGTGGGTCGGAGTCGGCATGCACAACGAATCAGTCCTATTGCAATAGTTGTCGAGCGCTTCCGTGCTTTTTCCCTTTCCCTTGATAATTGTGGCGTACGAGAGCTTCGACACTAGCTTTATGATGTCAGATGAAGTGGATAGCTTTTGAGTTGAAATGGTCAACAAGCTTGATGTCACAGGGCTGAAGCTTTGACAAAAGTGCTATGTCAATATACTAATGATTATGTATAGTAGTCTGCATCGATTATCTGCCGACATGAAGCACGTGCGCTTGGCCAACAGAGGCCTATGCGCCTTTGTGGGCTGACGCGTTCGAGGCTTTTCTTTTCACTTGTTGATTACGATAATAATTATAATGATGATGATGATTTTAATCTATTGTAGCTAAAACGGTAGGGTTTGTTTTCTACCGAGTTACGGTTATGTAGGGCCAACTTAGTTACATGAAGCTATTTTGGTTGTCTCTTGTTCTGAGTGCTAATTATGGGTATTCCTTGGTCAAGCTCGGGTCTCATCTCAGATTAACAAGCATTTTCATCAGAGAAGTGGGGGATGATGTAAAACATCACTAACCGTGAGCAGGAGGATTTGTTTGAAAGTGAGACTAAAAGAGCAAAAGATAGGATCGCCTTATTTTAGTGGCTTCGCACCTTACGGGAATAGGACCGAACGGAAATAGAAACCTATATTGTTCCTAGGATTTGATTGTTAATTTAGGGATTCAAATGGATTGATTGGATTTTTTCTTTTTCTTTTTTTGGATCTTATTTTTGAAATCTCGGTTATATTAGAAAATTCCGATCGGATATTGAATGGTTCCGTGGTTTAAAAAAGGAAAAGAAAAAAGGGAAAAAGAATTAAAGAGGAAAAAAGGGAGAAAAGTCTGAATATTTAACATAGATGCCTAGACATGCCTGAGAATTCAGGAAGGGCAAGCAAAAAGGAAATCTTCAAGGAATGATGAACTCACGGACCGCGTATCATAGAATTTTGGGACCTAAGAAATTGCTTCTATTCTCGATATGGAGTTGGTCCCTGGACTAACGACCCTAATCGCAGGTAATAATAGCATCTGAATGAACCGTAAAAAGCTCAACAAGCACAAAAGTGTCAAATAAAGAAGGCTCTCTAGGCGCCTTTTGAAACAGACGGGTTCCACCAACTCGGACACTCCAAGTTAGGTCGCCTGTCCGAGTGTCCACTGGCGGAGCCTTATGATTGGCGCTAAATCAAGACTGGGATTAATAGTGGAATATTATTAGCTGAGAAAACTGGCTCTGATAGGCAAGTGGGATAGAAGGTGGTCAAGAGTACATCTCCAACCGCCGACGTGCCCTTTTTAGCCCTGCAAGACTTGTGATTGACTGACGGACTGACAACTGACAAAAACGGGCCCCATTATAATCCAATCCCATCCTGCTTTTTCTCTCCCACAGAATTGAACATTCCCCGATCATCGATCAACGTCTCTTGAACCTCCTACCCTCTTCTTTGAATTTTGATTTGGTTCTCTTTCTTCTTTTCTTCTTCACCCTCCCCCGATCAAACATTCGCTTGTTTGCTTCAATTCTCATTATTTAAAACTTAAGCTTACACTTCCCCTCCTCTCATCTCTGTCTCTCTCTCTCTCTCAATCTCACTCTCACTTCCCCCGTTTAATCCGGGCTTTCTATCAAAGAAAATAAAGACGCCCATCTTACTTTCTTGTCGCCTTGCCGCGTGTTCAGCCCCACGGCCGTCTAGCTTCCGAAAGCCGCTTCATTCTTCTAGTCTTCTGCTGGCTTTCTTCTGTCCCCTCACCCTTCGTTCTTTTTTTTCCCCCTCTTTCTTTCTTTCAAGGTGTCTAAACAAAATACCGCCGATCTGGCTACCTTGGCTGACCCGAACGAGTTGTTCTTGCCTGGTGAGAGGCAAGACAATCTCGCTATGTCAACCCCTGCGGTTCCCCTCCTCAAACCGCCCGTACCTGGCAATCGCAACAACAGCAATGGTCCCCGACCTCCAAAGCTCACCCTGGGGATCCCCCCATCGCCCAACGCTCGTCCTATCGCCGGTAACGGTATCCCGGCTCCAGCGCCCGCCCCAGTCCCTCCTCTAGTCTCCGAAGTGCCCCAGCTCCAGCGTCCATCTGCCCGCCCGGCGCCCCCACAACTGCGACTTGCAACCCCGATGGGCAGCAGTAAGGACATCCCGCAGTCCAAAGGTCGCCCAGCCCCGCCGCCTCTCGCCACCAGTGGATTGAACGAACCGAATGGACACTCCCGGTCGGGTAGCTTCAACTATTTGGATGGAAAGGCTAGCGGCCCCGCATCTGCTTCATCATCAAACTACTCCGCCCTGTCGTTTGCCATGGGTCTCCGCCAACCACATGGTAGCACCCCAGATCCGTCTTCGGCCATTAGCTCGGTTTACTCGGACCGGGAGGGTGGTGTACAGATGGAGCGGGACAATAGCGTGAACGGATTAATCCCGGATTTAGACAAGATGAGCTTAGAGAAGGGCAGACCACTAGATGTCGATGATTTGGATGATGAAGGTTGGCTTGCCGCCAGTGAACAGAAGAAAATCGTGGAGTTAGGCGGGTTAGGTGAGGGAGCTGGGGGTGCGGTGACTCGATGCAGGCTCAAGGATTCAAAGACCGTCTTCGCGTTGAAGGTTCGTTTTTATCCCGTTCGTGAAGAAAGGTTAGACCTTCAATTTTATTTTTTCTTTTTGCTAATCGCCGAACCAATATAGATTATTACAACCGATCCTAACCCCGATGTGAAGAAGCAGATCGTTCGAGAACTCAACTTCAACAAGGACTGTGCCTCAGAACACATTTGCCGGTATTACGGTGCTTTCATGGACAAGTCCACCGGCACAATCTCGATCGCGATGGAGTTCTGCGAGGGAGGCAGTCTGGATAGTATCTACAAAGAAGTGAAAAAGCTAGGGGGTCGAACGGGAGAAAAAGTGCTGGGTAAGGTTGCAGAAGGGGTATTGAACGGCTTAACGTACCTCCATAGCAGAAAGATTATCCATCGAGGTGTGTTTGATTTGCCTGCATCGACCGCTATAGTCCTGGAACTAATCAGAATGCAGACATCAAACCATCGAATATTCTCTTATGCCGCAATGGACAGGTCAAGCTGTGTGACTTTGGCGTGAGTGGAGAGTTCGGTACCAAGGGTGATGCCAATACGTTCATTGGCACTTCCTACTACATGGCACCAGAACGGATTACTGGTCAATCTTACACGATTACTTCGGACGTCTGGTCGCTAGGTGTAACCTTACTTGAAGTCGCCCAGCATCGCTTCCCTTTCCCGGCCGATGGAACAGAAATGCAACCCCGTGCTGGGTTAATCGACCTCCTTACATACATCGTCCGTCAGCCGATTCCTAAGTTGAAAGATGAGCCGGACAACAATATTCGCTGGTCTGATAACTTCAAGTACTTCATAGAATGCTGGTATGTCACTCCACTTGGGTTGAAAGCACCACGACTGACTAACTTTCCTAGTCTCGAGAAAGAGCCCCCACGAAGAGCGACTCCATGGCGGATGCTGGACCATCCCTGGATGCTGGACATGAAAAACAAGAAGGTAAACATGGCGAACTTCGTGCGGCAGGTGTGGGGTTGGGACGACTAGATTTCTTCCACAGCATCACTCCTTTGATTTGCAACAACCCTCCATGCATTTAATTGCCACCCACCATCATAATATATCGCATATTTACGGTCCCTCCTTACGCTTACCAGTGGCTGGCCGTTGGTTGACCAGGTTGTCAAAAGCATACGATTTGTGATTATGACGACGCTCATTTGCCTCATTGCAACGTCTATCTTTACTGGACTCACGGAGTTGGGATTGATTTTTAACTGATCATGCATGTCTTTCCTTTATTTAGCTGATCCATCACGGACGCGTTGTACCCACCCTTTATATCTCGGCGTCGTCGGTTTATGCTCAGCCGAGGTTCTCTTTGAACAAACCCTACCAGCGGCCAGCGGCGCTGACGCTTGCCGGTTTTTATCCCTTGTGTCTTTCTCTCTCCTTTTCGACGTACAAATGGGAGAAGTTGCCTAAGGTGTTTTGTCCTTGTTTCATACCATCTCGTATTCCATTTCAGCCTCATTTATTTCTTGAGCATACATCTTGTATAGGATTGTCGTTTGTTTTACTTTATTATTCTGTCATGCAAGAGCATAGCAAGTGTGAGATGGAACAGATCCTCTGTATATCGACAGATTATACTCCCTACGAGTAGCGCAGAATATCATCAACAGCATTTCCATCCCTTTGATTCAGTATGTGTCGCCCAAACGATCAATAGACTGTCAGATAATTCAAGAAAATTGCTTACCTTTTCAAAACCAATATCTATCCGTCTCAGCACCGACTCTTTACTTGACCAGTAGAGGTTCGGATATGGCTCAAGTGGATTCCCAGCTAAACAAATTTCCAAAATTTTTTATAAACCTAAGGGTCTTTTTCTACAGTAAATAGCTCAATGACAGCAAAGGCTAAGGCTTTGAGGTCTAAAAATATAGTTTTCTTTCATAGTCTATAATATATATGAGTGTGTGTGTGAGTTTTTGTACCGTTATATCGTTAAAGGGACTGTGTTTTAAAGCTCTTGGTTTATATAGAAATCCAATTGAGCCGTAGTCGACGGCGTCAGCGCCGGATACGGTAATATCTTTATCAAGTGTATGGATCAGGCTTGGCGACCATTTATAAACTAAGCCCCTCAACGTTGCTGCCTAGGAGGATTCGCCGTGTTCCACTTCGCCGTGGTATATCCCGGAATGTACTGACCCATGGAGCTCACTAAACATTCCAATGGCTTGAACTACTTTTCAATATATGTTTGATATTATGGATATTAAATTTAATACTTAGATGACGGACTGCTAGGAACACCGCGCAAAGCCGCTTTGTACAGGATATCACATGAATTCATCATTGACAAATCCGCCAGAAGAAAAACCATCATCATGCTCATCATAGAAACGGAAGTAAAATCTAGCGATTAACAGGCTGAGCACCTAGCACCCACCCGATACCACTAACCAGTCCACCCGTCACCATGTTACTGACAACATCTCGCTTCCGGACCCTATCCTCTGCGGATGTAGGGTCCTCGCTGGGTCTGTGAACATGGGATGAGGATGTTGGTTGCTCGGCGGCAGCTGTAGCGCCGCTGAGGGGGAATGCGTTCTTATGTAGGGCTAATGCGGCGCCCCGGGCAACTTCGAAGAGGCCCATGGGGGCTTCTTCGGCGTTTAGGCGATCGTGATGTGCCCGGGCACGTCTGGCGTGTTGTTTCTTTGTTTCGTAGGCGTCTTGTTCGCTCTCTGTTGGGCCGAAGCCGCCTGGGACTGTGGAAAGGTTGTCACCCTTGGTGTCCCATAGTTCTTCTTCTTCGGCCTCGCGCGCGCGAAGGCCGTTCATCTCCTCGTCGCAACGACGCCAGGCGCCGAGGATCTCAGGCAGTGGGTCGGGAGAGGGCACTAGGGTTAGGGCGAGAGAAAGAAGTTCCATTCGTTGGGAGAGTTGGGTTATTTGGGATTGGAGGTTGGCGGATGGGGGCATAGCAGGGTCGCGGTACCGGCCAGCGTTGTAAACGGCACGCCAGGAAATGTCATCCCTTACGGTCGGGTTTGTAAGGGGCGAAGATGTAGATAAGAGGGATGGAGGGGCGAGACGTGTGAGGATGTAGGAATATGCGGTCCCGAAATCGTTGGATGAAAGAGCCGATGAAATTGCGAGAGACATGATACGACGCTCAGCTGTGATGACGAAATCCTCCTCAGAAGTAGACACGAAATTCAGGTCATCATTATCAGTAAGGCGAGGCAAAAACCCAGCCGCAACCAAGTTTCTTCCGATAGCGAGAAGATCATCCACCTTTGTGTAGGCTTTGGCGTTTTGATCAAGAACCTTCTCAATCAAAGAAAGGGGGTCGGGGTGCACACGGATGCTGACGGGTTGAAATGGAACACCGTGCTGCAGGGTAAGGGAATAAAAGGATAAAGCATGAGTTGCTGAGATAAGGGCACGGATCTCCTTCAAAGAGACGGATTCGGGGAAGTATGGTTGGAAGGCTTGCAAGCTGTAGGTGATATTTTTAGCTTCTTGGTCGAACAGGATTTTCATTTGTACGACTTACATATCATATGCGCGCTTCATACCTCCTCTAGTCCTGTTTCCATTGCTCGCATTGTCGTAAGTTGTGAAAATCGCCTCCTTGACGGCTTCTTCGACTTGGGTCAAGCTGAGGGCAGAGTTCGAGTTTACATAGATTTCAATAGCCAAGTTATATTCTAGACTTATTAGTATCCACAACATGGAACATGAGAGAAGTTTATGCTTACCTCTGATCTCTAGCAGTGCTTTCAGTATCTCTGCCTCTACCACATCATTTGAGACCCTCCAGAAGAGACCATGGCAATTTGAACTGTTTTCTTTCCCGTCTGCTTTGCCTGAGCCCCAGTGCTGTAGCCAAAGTATCTGTTGGCGAACATCCTTCCAGACATGGCTAGATTTTGTTTGTCTTACAATAGATGATATCACATTTCGCAATTCGAGTAGCTGGATATCTTGAGTGCTATGAAGACAGATGTTGGCAGCAGCTCTGCATGTGATAGAATGCCCAAGTTCAGTCAGTATACTAATGGAGATGAGGATGGCGCTGAGAAATGAGACAGAGGAAGCGGACGGGCATGTTAGTGGGTTCGAAGCCACTAACAAAGCGTTCTGCAAAAGGGACACCCTCGATGACGAAGAGATCTGAGATGCATCAAACATCACCGAAGGGAGGGCTGAGCTATCGGTTGTGAAAAAGAGATACTCCTCAAGATTTAGCAACTGAGCAACCCGGGTAAGGATCTTGACTGAGCCTTCCAAGCAAGGCTTGCTTGTATCGGAAGTCGTGTAAACAACAGCGAGTCCCGACTGACCATATCGAATGTTCAAATCGTCCAAAACATCGCCGTCTAATCTCTGGCTTTTTTCCTCATAACCTCCCAGGTCCGCATCATTGGGACCATTCCAGCTGAGGAAAGCATTCACTGTGCTCTCATAATCCACATGGCTTCGGGCCAGTAACCATTCGTTCACATACTGCCATCCCGAGATATTATTGTTCTGTTGTTGAGTGCTATCCTGAGGGGGAGAAATCGTGTTCGCCTCTGCAGCTTGGTTGAGTCTCCGTCTCTTCGACCGGTTGCGGCCGTACATCCAAGGGCCAACTAGTCCGCGCAAGTTCTTCACCAAGTCCATGTTGTTCTTCTCAGCGCCTGTCATCGAAAGAAGTATATTAAGGGCAGTGTGACTGTCCATAGACTCTAATATTTCCAGAGAGAACGTCTCATCTTGGCTGGGATAATATTCGTAATTGAGCCGGAGTAGAGGTAGCAAGCTAGAGATTAGCCAAGTCCGCACAATAGTTAAGCGCTGGTAAAATGGTAACAGAAGATCAAGTATAAGCGGTTGTAATGCAGTTTCCAGATCAATACGGTACGCTCGATGTATGAGGAATTGAGTTAAAAGGTCCGTGGAGTCTTGACTGTCTTCGTCGTCATGGTACTTAAGTGGTAGTAAACGAAGCCTCCGTACACTTTTCTTGGCGGCAGCCTCAGACAAATGGTCGACAGGTGAGATGTCAATGTCGCCACCATCCGAATGAGATGAGTGACCATCTAAAAGTTCTTGAAGGACCGGTGTGTAAGTCTGAGGATTTGTGCTTTCCGGGAGAAATGTCAAGATGATGCGCAGTACACGCTCAAGAGGAAGCGAGCCTGGAAATTGGGTCTGTACTTGCGGTAGGGAGGATATATTCCCAGTGGCACAAAGATGGGCAGTTAGGAGAATCGCATGAGCACCGGATAACCGCCTAGGGATCGCCATGGCGTCTAGAAGCGGCTCTATTGAGGGAACTAAAGAGGGTGATGTGGTCGGGAGTAATAGACGTCAAAGGGTGACGCTCGGACCACTTGGGCGGAAAGCGGCGAATAGACCGGAAGAACCTCATCGCATCCTGACCTCCGCTCCTACACGCTGTGCCCACTCGTTTCCCCTCCTCTCATCCACCACCAAACACACAATGGCTTCGGGTTTTGGTCTCAATGGCGGTACGTGCCCTTTTCCTAACGTCTAAGGTGGAAATCCTGTCATAATTGGCTATGGTTTTGCGGTGCCCGGTCGCGATGCTATTCTTCAGTGGACATCTCCGGCTAATAGTTGCGTTCTCAAACAGGTCCCTCCCGCTGCTACAACTTCTGGCAGGAGGTTCTAGGCTGCTACGTGGTCAACGCAGGTGATGGTGAAACCGGCAAGAAGAAGTGTTTGCCCGCTTTGGAGGATTACCACGAGTGCCTGCACCACAAGAAAGAGGTATGGTTTCGCCCTTGAACGATGACACCTCTCCCGTCAATTTGAGACGAAGTCGATTGTTCTAGTGCCCCTATATTTGGTTTGGCTGTGTTTTGACATCATGGATATCAAGGCTTTGCGAACGATGAGGATGCAGGCTGCCTATCGGAAGGCCGAAGCCGCACACCCTCGTGAGAATGCGCCCAAGGCAGAGCAGATTCGGAGTCTGGGGCTGCTAGGGAAGGAAGAAGAAGCATCTGCTTTACTGACGAAGGCTTAAGGGGCTTTCGCGCACATCAGGGGTGCGATTCTAGTTTCATTTTTTTTTTTTTTTTCACTCTCACCACCAATGCCGTGTTGTTATTTCCTACTTGAAGTCCCTCAGTGTATAGAAATGGACAAGCCTATTTGATGCGCGTTATTTTTTGAAAACATGTTCTAGTTTGGGATGTCTGCTTCTGTACTACAGTTCGCAGCGACCAGGCATCCGGGAACCGCGGTATCTTTTCGCTGCCGACATTCGTATGGAGCTGTAAAGTCGAATTTTCAGATGGAAATTAGTAACAGAGACCCGTGACAGTCAAGTTATGCTTCTAGCTATGAAATTGATCAGTATTTGAGGTTGGTATCTACAGGTTTGAATATCCCAGACAAAGTGCCAAGTACTCCGCAGATTATATATAAACTAAATTAGGTGCCGTCTGATTGAAGAATCAGATCAAGTGTAGATGTCATCGCCAGAGGCATGCATTGGGATGGCCGACTGTCTAAGGGATGTTCTCGGATAGGATAAAGTATTGCAGTAGGGCGGTCTCTATGCCGACGAGGGTGGACAGAGGAATCCCTTTCTCTGAACTATGAGACCATCTGGCATTTCTTGGCATGTTGTTGGGGAAATGGAAACAAGCTTACGAAGAACTACAGAGAAAGCCCCGATAGGTAGGTAATCTCTTCCTAGGAGGACTCTGAATCAACCCAATAACCTCCGGCCCAAGGTTGAAGTACAGCGGAATCTGCAGGTAAAACCCCCGGATCACAACAGCCCCGAAGCCGCCGAGTCCCATCATGATGATGGACATAGCAGTAATTTCAAGGCTGTCGATCGTGAGGTTGGCGCAGGGAGAGGCACGTGACCATAAGAAAACCTTTACGGGAGTGGGGCGTCTAGGCCGTTTCGGGGCTAGTACAGGGCCCAAGCATGGGTAGGCGCGCCCAGCCAAAGATGCCCCCAATGATATAAACAGGCTGCGTGACCTCGAGGGGAGGGAAAGCACGACGGGAGGACGACTTGTTGATACTTCTTGGAGCTTGACGGCCCATACTTTAATATCGGCTCATTAACCACCACCGGCTTGCCCGTCTCTCCACTTTCTGATTAATTTGGTCATTTTCTTTTTTTTCTCTTCTTTTCTTCTTCATTATTATTAAAAAAAGTTTCTTTATGGTCTTTATTTGCCTAATATTTTTTTTCCCTTACAAACCCTCCGATGATCGACTTAATAGTGTGAATTTCCCGTTCAACTATTTTTCTTCAGGTTTACCTTAATCTCCACTCATTTTCGGAATCGATCGCCCTACATCTGGTATTTCTCTTCTATCTCCCTTTTAAGGTCCTCCATCAATGGCTGTGACGTGGGTGTAACGGTTCGGTATACTTTACATTCCTTACCTGCCTTACTAAGACCTCCCTCATACTTGGAAGGTACAGTACTATACTGTACCTCATAATATCTGAGGCGTCAATTGAACTCTTTGGGCTTGGCATTTCTTCAATTCACTCACGATTCACCTGTTATTTAATACGCCTCAATCTCATTTTAATCATCCGACCATTTACCCCCTCTGAAGAGGAGACTACCCGCCATGACTTCTAGGTAAGTGCCAGCCACCCATCTCTGTCACGTTTAGTACAAGGCGCTAACTATTTCGGGATAGGCTTGATCGCTTGGTCACGTGAGTTTTCACTATTACATTCCTGCCTTTCTCTTCCTGAAAAAAGGTCTTAGCTAACCCAGCATAGGTTGCTTGAGACGGGCAGTACGCCTCTCATCCGGAACACAGCCGCTCAGCAGCTAGCAGATGTTCAGAAACAACACCCAGACGAGTTATTCAACTTGCTGGGGCGTATCCTGCCGTATCTCAAGTCGAAATCATGGGATACCAGAACAGCTGCGGCCAAGGCTATCGGGCTCATTGTCACCAATGCAGAAATCTTTGACCCAAACGAAGAGGACGGCCAAGGGATCAAAAAGGCTGAAGATGACGATCTCGCGGTTGAGATAAAATCTGAAGAGGTGCAATTATCCCCTTCTGATGGACTTCTTCAGTTGGATCGCCTGGATCTAACCTCGATCCTCAAGTATGGAAAGAGGCTATTAGGTAGTGCTGGCAAAGATTACGAATACTCACTGGCGGCAATGGATCCAGTAACCAGATTGCAGCATCAGAAGAGAACATTGACCGGCCGATTGGGTCTCGCGGGAGAGTACATCGAGGAAGATGTAATCGAAGATGCTGATCTAGCTCTGAAGACACAAGCTATTAAGGAGGATCCATCTAACACCGCTGTCCCTAGGGAGAATAATCACCAACATTCTGCTCCTGTGACAACGCCATGCGACCCTGCTAACGGGGAGGAATCTGGCCTGAGCAAACGGCAACTGAACCAGCTGAAGCGAAAGAACAAACAGAGTGCAAAAATGGGCGCGAATAAAGTCCGCGTCGTCGACCTCTCCGTACGGAAGACGTCGGACGTGACGACCCCATCAGTGACGACACCGCATCCCATCAAGTCTGAGAATGGAGAAGAACGAAATGGTGATTCGAAGTCGGACTACTTCTCCCTTGAACGGTTAGCTGGCGATGATGATTCGAAAATTGTCTCTGAATTCAAAGGAGAGGCCGCTCCAGAAAAGCCTCTAATTCAGCCTGAGATTCCGGACGATGGCCCCAGCACAGCATGGCCCTATGACCCAATGTGTGATTTTCTAATGGTAGATCTGTTTGATCAGAATTGGGAAGTTCGACATGGGGCTGCGATGGCCCTCCGAGAGGTCATCCGTGTTCAAGGTGCCGGTGCTGGGCGCTTGCGAGGAAAGAGTAGGTCTGAAAATGATGTCCTGAACTGTAAATGGTTGGATGATCTTGGATGTCGCCTTCTTTGTGTCCTCATGCTCGACCGCTTCGGCGACTACATCTCTGACAACGTCGTCGCTCCAATCCGAGAGACAGTAGGCCAAACATTAGGTGCTCTTTTATCTCAGCTCCCGTCCCGTTCCGTCATTGCCATCTATAGATGTTTGTACCGGATCATCATGCAAAATGATCTAGGACTGGAACGTCCCATTTGGGAAGTTTGCCATGGCGGTATGATCGGTCTCAGGTACCTGGTGGCTGTGCGAAAAGATCTCCTCGTGAAGGATGATAAACTCATGGACGGTGTCCTGGAGGCAGTCATGAAGGGCCTGGGTGATTATGACGATGATGTGCGTGCAGTGAGCGCAGCAACTTTAGTTCCTATCGCAGAGGAATTTGTCACTTCTCGGCAGAACACACTCGGCACCCTGATGAACATCGTCTGGGAATGCCTTTCAAATTTGCAAGATGACCTCAGCGCCAGCACTGGATCGGTGATGGACCTTCTAGCGAAGCTCTGCACATTCCGAGAAGTTCTCGATGCTATGAAAGCGAACGCGGCTGTGGACCCAGAGTCGTCATTTGGCAACCTCGTTCCTCGCCTCTACCCATTTCTGCGCCACACGATCACCTCCGTGCGCTCCGCTGTCCTTCGGGCTCTTATGACATTCTTGCAGCTAGAAGGCGAGGGTACCAACGAATGGGTCAATGGCAAGGCGCTCCGACTGATTTTCCAGAATTTGCTGGTGGAGCGGAACGAGAATGTCCTGAAACTGTCTCTCCAAGTCTGGTCAGAACTACTTAAGGCGCTCGATAAACACGGGTTGTTCAACTCAGAAACCGAGCTGTTATCTCATATACAACCCCTCATTACTTTATGCATGGCACCTTTCGGTGTTCCCCGCTATCCCATCCCCATGAATGCCTCGCTTTTCATTAAGCCATCCGGTGTGCCCTTCCCAATGAGTGCTGCCGCGCCCGCAAAGTCCTCCCCGAGTGCCTTCAACTCAACATCTGATGCAGCCAAGAAGAGGGGCCGCAAAGCAGACAAGAAAGAAGTACCTCCCCCCTCAGCTCACAATGTCGACGGCCATATGCTGCAAGGCGACATTGACTTGGTAGGAGTAGACACCATGCTGCGGTCTAAGATTCATGCGGCAAAGGCTCTTGGCCAACTGCTCTCTTTCTGGGATAAGAACGGACTTCCGAGCCTCTGGCAGCCTATCATGGACGGCCTCAACCATTCAGCATCCACATCTCAACTTGCAACTGCCATGATTGTAGAGGAATATGCCAGGCTCGCAGGTCCTAACAGCCAGTATGCCTCTTCCCTGTGTGAGCAGTTGCGCCCAATCATTGAAGGGGACCGTCCATCATGGTACAGTGACATAGCATGCTATCTCCATGTTGCTCGTGCGCAATGCCACTCGTTACTTAATGCGTTCCGGGACCATGCTCATGTTCCCGGCTCGAGGTTGCCTGTTCTGGCTGTTGTTGTCCAAGGTGACTCTGAGGCTGGCCCGAGTGCATTTTCTTTGTCGGATGCTGAAAGAGTAGTTGGTCCTGATTTCGAGCGGTTGAAGAAGGGCCTGGCACCAGCCCAGCGCATCACAGCTCTTCAGGTTCTAAACGATACAAGGACAACTGCAGAGAATGCAATCAATGAAGCAAGAAGCGTTCGTGAAGTAAGGGACATGCGTGTCCTTGCTGCTGCGGCGGGCGCTCTAGTTGCCATGCATGCCATTCCAAAGAAGCCAAGCCATATCATTAAGGGAATGATGGACAGCATCAAGAAAGAGGAGAATGCCGAACTCCAACAACGTTCTGCTACTGCGGTTGCCACCCTAGTCGAGTTTTATACCACAGCTACCAAGCGCGGTCCCGTCGATAAGGTCATCGGTAACTTGGTCAAGTACTGCTGTGTAGATACCTCTGAGACTCCTGAATTTCACCACAATGCCAGCCTGGAGAAGTCGATTTTATCTCTTCGCAAAGAAGAAGACCGCCGTGACCACCCTGACGCAGCGAAGTTCGAAAGGGAAACAAAGGAAGCTAAAATTATGCGCCGTGGTGCTAAAGAAGCCTTGGAACAATTGGCCGTGAAGTTCGGTTCAGCACTTTTGGAGAAAGTTCCTAACCTTCCATCATTGGTTGAAAACCCCCTAAGAGATGCTCTCACCAATGACCTTCCCGCAAACATCCACGATCCTGATAATGAGCTCGGCCAAGAAGTCGTGGATGGTTTGTCCACTCTCCGCGCCCTATTACCCAAGTTCGATCCTGGTCTCCACTCTTGGGTTGTTAGTCTCATGCCTCTCATTGCCAAAGCACTGCAATGTAGACTATCTGTTATTCGGTATGCGGCTGCCAAGTGCTTCGCAACTGTTTGCAGCGTCATTACGGTGGAGGGCATGACCATGTTAGTCGAGAAAGTGTTGCCGACTATCAACAATGGTCTGGATGTGCATCACCGTCAAGGAGCCATAGAGTGTATTTATCACCTTATCCATGTGATGGAAGATGGAATTTTGCCCTATGTTATCTTCCTCGTTGTCCCCGTCTTGGGTCGCATGAGTGATTCAGATAATGATGTTAGATTGTTGGCCACAACGTCATTTGCAACATTAGTCAAACTTGTTCCCTTAGAAGCCGGTATTCCAGACCCTCCCGGCCTATCTGAGGAACTGCTCAAAGGACGTGAGAGGGAAAGGAAGTTCATGTCTCAAATGTTGGATGTGCGGAAGGTGGAGGAGTTCAAGTTGCCTGTCTCGATCAAAGCGGAGCTTAGACCCTATCAACAGGAAGGTGTCAATTGGCTTGCGTTCCTCAACCGCTACAACCTGCACGGCATTCTTTGTGACGACATGGGTCTTGGTAAAACCCTTCAGACGATTTGCATCGTTGCTAGTGATCATCATCTACGAGCTGAAGAGTTTGAGCGTACGCAAGCGCTTGAGGTTAGGAAGCTTCCATCTCTGATTGTCTGCCCCCCGTCGCTTTCAGGGCACTGGCAACAGGAAATCAAGCAATATGCCCCGTTCCTCAACTGTGTCGCTTACGTTGGACCTCCGGTGGAGCGTGCGCGGTTGAAGGGTTCTCTCGCGGATGCTGATATTGTTATCACCTCCTACGATATTTGCCGAAATGACAGTGACGTTATTACCCCTCTTAGCTGGAACTACTGCGTCCTTGACGAGGGACATCTTATCAAGAACCCAAAGGCAAAAGTCACACTGGCAGTTAAGCGTGTTGCAAGCAATCACCGCTTGATCCTCTCTGGTACCCCTATCCAAAACAATGTGTTGGAGCTTTGGTCTCTTTTTGACTTCTTGATGCCTGGTTTCCTTGGTACAGAGAAGGTCTTTTTGGACCGGTTTGCGAAACCAATTGCGGCAAGTCGCTTCAGCAAATCATCTTCGAAGGAACAAGAAGCTGGGGCGCTAGCGATTGAGGCCTTGCACAAACAAGTGCTTCCTTTCTTGCTCCGTCGCTTGAAGGAAGAGGTTCTTAATGATTTACCACCCAAGATTATCCAGAACTACTATTGCGACCCTAGTGAGCTTCAGAAGAAACTCTTCGAAGACTTCACGAAAAAGGAGCAAAAACAGCTGGCGACCAAGATGGGCAGTTCAGAAAAGAATGACAAAGAGCACATCTTCCAAGCACTTCAATACATGCGCCGTCTCTGCAACTCTCCCGCACTTGTCGTTAAAGACGGGCATAAGCAGTACGATGAAGTCCAGCAGTACCTTCACGCGAAGAATTCTTACATCCGGGATGTTGCACACGCGCCTAAGCTTGGCGCTCTGCGTGATCTCCTGCTCGACTGTGGTATCGGTGTTGATCCCCCAAGCGAAGGAGACTTGGGCACTGGTGCAAGCTACGTGAGCCCCCACCGAGCCCTGATCTTCTGCCAGATGAAGGAAATGCTCGACATTGTCCAAAGTGAAGTCTTCAAGAAGCTCCTTCCCTCAGTACAGTACCTTCGTCTAGACGGTAGTGTGGAAGCCACCAAACGTCAGGACATTGTCAACCGGTTCAATACAGACCCCAGTTACGATGCCTTGCTTCTGACAACTAGTGTTGGTGGACTCGGCCTGAATCTCACAGGTGCTGACACGGTCATCTTCGTGGAGCATGACTGGAACCCGCAGAAGGATATTCAGGCCATGGACCGTGCACATCGTATTGGTCAAAAGAAGGTCGTCAATGTCTACCGACTGATCACTAGGGGAACTTTGGAGGAGAAGATTTTGAAGTAAGTTTCCTTCCACTATCTACATTTGTTTCTGTAGGTCGCCCCTTATACTAACTTGTCTGCTTTAGCCTCCAACGCTTCAAGATCGACGTAGCATCGACAGTGGTCAACCAGCAAAATGCGGGTCTCAATACAATGGACACAGATCAGCTCCTGGATCTATTCAATCTCGGAGAAACAGCCGAGAATGCCGAGAAGCCAAGCGACAATGCCACCGGCAATGAAGTCGACATGGTCGACATCGATGGCGAGGTCAAAGAAAAGGGAAAGAAGGGCTGGCTCGACGACCTAGGCGAGCTCTGGGATGACCGTCAATACCAGGAAGAATATAACCTGGACTCTTTCCTGCAGACGATGAAAGGATGATATACTTTTACACTCAACCCACGTCTGCTTTCTCTGTTCTAATAAATTTTTATTACGGTAAACTGGAGTCCAGGTCCATTCTTACCAACATACAGGCAAGATACCTCAACTGCAAAGGACATCCGTCAGGCAGGAATTGTTCCTTTTCCCTCTAATTTCCTTCCCCTTACCTCTCTTTGCTTCTGATCTTCTTACTAGACGACTGATTGAACTGGGGGCGTTAGTGTTGTACATCGCTCAGATTCTCTCCTCTTTTCCTTTCCAATGTCCTGTTTTCATACAACTGTATTTGGGAGTCGGGCGGCGACCTGCGAATCTGTTACTTATCTCTAATGATTCATTGAAATCATTGATTGAACGAATGACTCGGTGCTATGAAGACGAATCAAGGATAGACATGGATGGTTTATTCTTTCTTATTTCTTCCATGGTGTTTTATTTGCTTCATTGTCCTCCCTTTTAACTCATGTTCTTTTTTTTTTCCCTGCTGTACTTTTACTGCTCTTTTGTATATATTAACAATCGTTTGTTCATATGATTCGATCTTATGGCATTATAGGTCTTGAAAACAAAATCTAGACATACGCATGGTATGATGCATGTTTCCAAAAAAGGCTTTCTTTGATTTATTGTTTTGCATGGTGGTTTATCGGTCTTGTAGTTGAGCAATCTTATACACTTACAACATAAAGACAATAAGGCAGCAACATAAGGAAAAGTAGAAACATTGAATCCATCTGTAGGTACATTCATTATCTTGGCAAAGAATCAACCGATCAAGCAACAATCAACGTAAAACAAGGAGACCTATCTTTCTGTACGGAAAAACAGATAGGAGTAGGTAAAGCAAAAAAGATGATCACAAACGCCGTCCAGAACCTGCATACCAGATGCATCCGAGCGCCTGCCTGTGAGAAGAATCAAAGCCCATTGATAGGTAGGAAGGCGAAAAGAGACCAGACCAAAAAAAGTGAGAGATATCAAAGCCGGTGAGGCAAGTAAGTACAGAGGACTGATCGGTGATATTGGTATAATCTACGTGGAAAAAGAACTGAAGACATTCATCTGGGGAATTGTAACGAAGGCTCTCGGAAATCGAAATGGCATCTATGTGCGACCGAAACTCTCGTGAAATGCAATAACTGGTCATGGCTGCTCCGTTGTCCAATATGGTGGACAAGAAACGATTAAGGGCGGTTCTTTGGCTGTGCAAGCATGTTCAACCGGCTCATGCTCAGTGCACCACGGCTCCTTTGTCGTGCGCTGGCTGGGGTTCCCGTTCGACTGGTACTGGTGGTCGACCGGAGAGGAGTCTGAGAACGCTCCTTGATCGGGCTAGGGGTTGGCATTGACATCTTAATAGGCGAGATCTTTGATGGCGAGCTGAACTTCATTCTTTTAGCACTGCGGCCTTCCGTGGTTGAATTAACTGGGGGCACATTCTCGTTGTCATTGTCCCTCCCAGCTGCATCACGGTGTCTCTTCTTATTGCCTATGCCATGAGGCACACCTGGAACATCGGGAAGAGAAGGATCGTGGGTGGACTCGGTCTCGCGATGACGCTTCTTGCCCCCGATCCCATGCGGCACGCCAGGGATATCTGGCAGAGTGAGGCTGGCAATGGTGTCGGACTGACGAACATGGCGGATAGAAGGGGACTTGGTTTCGCCACCGGTCTTCTCAGAAGTATGGTCCGGTGTCAAAGTCGGTAATGTAGGATATACAACATCAGACTCGACTCGAGACCCAGATGCAGCAGGAATTTTAGAAGGCGATGGAGAAGGCATAGCTCCGTCGTCCCGCTCTCTGGTACTTGAGGAGAATTCAACACGCTTCTTGGGGGAGGGAGTTTGTGCAGGCTCCTCGGAAGCGTTCCTGGCTGTACCCAGCAGAAAATTTGAGCTGAATTCGGGGGCCGCTACATGAGTTCCGGAGGCAATCTTCACAGGATCCTTCGAGAACAATGGTTGATGAGGACGGAGGATCGACTTTAGATTCAAACTGGGCAAGTTACTCTTGAAACGGGGATTGAAGTCCGTACGGGGAGTGCGCGGGGCAGTAGAAAGCTTCGAGGTAGGGGACTGTGCAAGAGACGGCCGGGGGATCATGGTCGTCCGAGGCGGCTTCAGGCTAGTGGACGAAGTGCGCGCCATGGAAGCTCGAGTGGGGGTCATTAACGAACTGCGGATACCGGGCCTGATGCGAGTCGTAGCCGGCCTTGATGCACTCTTCTCACCAACAGTCTGACGGCGAGCAGACGTGTCATCGTCCTTGCTATGTTTGGCACGTTTGGTGCTGACCGTAGCAGGGGCAGGCGACTTGGTCGGCGATTTAGTAGGCGAATTCTGGTTGCTAGACTCATCGAGGCGTGCTTTGGAGTTGGTTCGTTTGAGGGTCTTCTGGACAGGCTGGAAGCGCCCGGGGATGGCGCGGAAGGCAGACGCGTGTCCTGCAATTGAATCCATCTTCTTGAATTCAGCCATATGAGCAGCGCTGAACCGGCTAGCCTGGCCCTTTGGCTGAGCGATTCTGCGATCTTCTGTCTCGTTGTTGTCAACCTGGGCTGGTTCACTCTCCTTATCCTGAACCATCTGGGCCTTGATTTTAGCGACATCTTCGCGGACGCTTTCCATGAGCTTCTTGGCTTCATCGCTTAGCTGCGAGTCCGCGCAAGAAAAGTTGAACTCGAAAGCGGGAGTGCCAAAGTATGTGGAAGCGGGAGACGCTTTTGTCTTGCTTGGGGTATTCTCAATCTGAGAATCTTTGACAACATTCCCTTCGGCATCTTTCTTAATCGGATTGAACCCGAGAATCAGGCCAGAGTCCACCTGCTTGGTGGTACTCTGATGTACCTTGCTGGGATGCATTACTTGGTGGGACGGACGAGTGATTGCAGTTGTGGGTGTTTTTGCCGGGGATGGCTTGTGAACAGGTGTAGTAGCCTTGTGTGGGGTGCGAACACTGGTTTTAGACTTGGGAGTGGTGGCGTGGTTAGAGGGACCGTCGGCGGCAGTCTCGTCGCGTTCTATGACAGCGGGGAGATTGTTGATGTTATTGTTGTTGGCGTTGCTAGTGTTGTTGTTGACTGGTGACGCGGGCGGCTGCGGTTCCTTGTTCAGGAACCAAAGTTAGTCGCTGGTACTATACGAAACCGATGCAAGGGAATGGGCAGATGAATTGGGATGGAAGGCATTTGTGGGCAACTTACATCTGAAGCCTGGCGACTGCGCAGGCGGGCGGACCGGCGAACCGCCATAATGGTGAGGATTAAAAGAATGGGAATTGATGAGGGAAGATGATGAAAGAAACGAGCAGTTGGAATGGAGGCGATTCGTGGGGAACTGACGAAGGGATGAAAGAAAGGAAGAGCGTCGCCCGATTAGGCGAGAATGTAAACAAATATTGCCGGGCGGTGAGCTCACGTCAAGTGGAGAAGAGAGCATCTGATGTCAGATATCCCTCTCTGTTTACTATTTATTCCTCTTTCTATTCCTACTTTACCCGAGCATGGAAAATGTTACTCTTAACATTCGAGCATGCCTATGTCAGGTACACCCTTCTAGTCTGCCCCGTTGACACATTCATCTACGCCCTCGCGTGCTCGGGGGCCTGCCACGGACAAACCAGCTATGAACCCCAATCTGGTTGAAAAGATTGCGCTAAGGGCGTCCCTTGTGGGGACATTCCAACGGACTGCTGGCCAATTTCTGTACCATAGATGTCAGGTCCCAGGAAACTGCGAAACATATCTCTTGCATACTCCAACGTATAGGGCAGGTCAACGATACACGCAGAGCTGCAGGAGACTTATAGACATTATGTTTCCGATTAAGCGAGATGACTACGAGTCACTGTCTTCTTTCTTCTTTATTTTCTTCCGTTGGCTCCTTGTTATTACCTCACAGTGTTTCTAATGCTCGATTGAGGTTGATTCGTGTATAGAAACTCGGTACTCCTAATCAACGAGACGCGATACATAAGAAACTTCAATAAGACCTAAATAAAGACCTCCAACTTGTCGTAGGCGGGAAACTAGTTTATATAGCTCTGAGGATGACTGCCCCTTGTTCCTACAGAAGTTTCCTACTGAACTCTCCAACATTAGCAGGAGGAGGCTTGTGCACATACAGCGCTAGAAGCTTCACGCTAGAGTAAACCCCTTATTACAACAGCTGAACATGAAAGAATCGAGTCTATAACCTCGATTCAAGCCCATAATATCAACAAATACCAATATAAACACAAACACAATTCATCTGTATACAAGTCTCCCTACGCCCCAAACCCCAAACCCCAATTCCCGTCTGCCCTACAATCTCACAACAATCTTCTTCGCCGAAACCCCCTTCCGTGACAAAGCAACTCCCTCAGCAACCTTCTCCAAACCTTCTCCAACAACCAGCGGCTCAGGAACAGGCTTTAAAAACCCATTCTCCAGGCCCTTCGGCACAAACACCCCCCAAACACCACTCGCAACCTCCCGATTATCAGCCAGATTCGCAGCATCAACAACTGACTCAAAACATCAGCACAAACAAAACCCCACACATTTCAATTTAAAAAACTCACCACCCACAACCTCCACCCCTTCCGGGACCTCTCTAACCCCCATGGGCAAATTCGTAACCACCCGTCCACCCCCAAGCCCCTTAACCACCTCCGCACACCCCAACACCGTCCCCTCCTCCCCAATCGCATCCAGCGCACCCACAAACACCCCCTCCGTCTCCTGAATCACCTTAATTAGGTCGGGGACGATGTTCTTAGCCTGGTAATCTAGCACCGCGACCACGCCGAGACTCTTCACGAAGGGGTGGTTCTTCGCGGACGCCGTGGCAATCACGGTAGCGCCCGATGCCACCGCCAGCTGGATCGCGGCACTACCGGTGCTGGACGAGCCACCCCAGACGAGGATGACCTTGTTGATGGGCCTGGGCGTGGTGGCGCTTGGTAAGGGGAGTTCTAGTCGGCCGGGTGGGTAGAGGCCCATAGCGGCTGTTGTTATGGCTAGGGGGAGGACGCTCCCGCTTTCAAAGGAGGTGGTGCTTGGGAGATGGGCTACGACGGCGGCTTTGCAGATTGTGTAGATTTGGAAGCCTGAGTCACGGATTTCGTTGGTGAGGAACCAGTTGGCGAGGCTGGGGCGTGGGGGGTTAGTCTTGCTTTGGCTCTTGTTCTTTGGGGAGGGTTTGGGATTTAGGCTTACCCCATGACTCGATCGCCTTTCTTGAAGGTTGTGATGTCTGGGCCTACTGAGTGGATTACTCCGGCGACGTCGGCGCCGAGGATCTTTTGGTGGGTGGGTTGTTAGATGCTGTTTTTTGTTTCCGATGGAAGGTCGGAGACGATGAGGTATACTCACGAACGGGTATTGCTTGGGGAATGGTATACGTGGACCATAGACTTGGATCTTCCAGTCCACTGGGGCGTGTTTAGTTGTGATCTAGGGGATTGCCACGGGCTGGGTAACTCACTGGGATTGACTGCAATGGCCTTGTTCTTGATCAGAACTTCACCGGGGCCAGGGCTAGGCAATGGTGCCTCTTTGACTGTAAACTGTCCGCCGCATTCCAGCAGCCAAGAAGCAGAGTTGGAGACTGACATAGTGGTATAGAGATTATAGACTATACAGGGGTACGATGCTGTGGAAAGTGAGTAGTATTAGATTGATGTATTCTCTACGTGGGAGTAGCCTCTATTTATAAGTTCCTTCCACTGAAGGCTTCTCATCTTGTCGGTGTTAACGGAAGGGTCAAAGCGATATTGAGGCCGGAATTGAATATTTACTACCTTCGATACTGCCAAACGGTGGGCCGGAATTAGGACTAGTTAACTGATCCTTCTGGGGTTAAAATACGAGCTAGGGTTAGACGGTTTGTCGGTCTCCGCTTAACTCCAATCTCCGAGAGACATAGAACGACGTCAGCCATTCTTCGGCAACCCAACAGGATGCTTTGCATTCCCTTGGATCTCGTGGAAGTGGATATCCTGTATAAAATTATGTCATGAAATAGTTCTCATAATATATCGTTTGATGTCCATTTTACAGCTACTGACTTTTTGTACATGGACGTTCGACCATACAGTACATAGAGAGTATAATATCACACGATCTACTTTCTCTTGCGTTCTTACTTTGGCTATAATCCGAATGGATAAGTCTCCTCCTTTCCTAAATCCGTCACGGGCTCATGCTTCTCCAGTGGTTTCAGAGCCTGCGTTTTATCAAACCATACGTACCCATCAAACTGATTCAGCAGGTCCGCCGCTGAATAGTGCGATATCTTCTCCGTATCTGGCCGGTAAATCACACCTATGAATCGTTCCAGCCGGAGAGGCTCAGCTTCAAAGGCAGCGACGAGGTTCGGATCGATGTGGTCCCGCCGCAGATCAATCAAGAAACTCGGTATTCCTGTGTCATGAGCCACGCGCTCCCAGCTATCCTTCCGCGAGGGAAGAACTTTCATGACCTCCATATCTTCATCCCACTCGTGCGCTGCAGCCACCGTGCCAGTGTGCGTGCCACAGCCTATCAGAGCCACATTCTCACGGCCGAACTGCTCCCGGCACAGCTGACCAATGTTCACTTCCCTACGTCTGGTCCCCATACTAGTATATCGCGCATCTCCACAGTGCGAGTTATGCGCCCATACTACAGCCTTCGTGCCCGGAGGCCTGTGGCGCAGGGTCCGACTGAGCGTGTCTACCATGTGCGTATCGCGCAGCGTCCACGATGACGCCGAACTATAGTACATAGCTTTATAGTACCGCTCGGCGTCACGCACCAGATACGCATTCTGCTCGCCGCTGTGGTACTCCTCGCCATCATGAAGGTCTTCCGAGTATTCTATCCGACGTTCGAGCAACTCACGGAGCATCTGTACAACCCCCTTCTCACAGTCCTCCATACCGCGCAACGTCGCGAGCCCATAGGTCGCAGGGTCATCTACCCACGGCTGCAAGCAGCCATATCGCTGGCGGGCGACTTTACCAGCGGCCGGGTCAACATGATCAAGGTAATCAATGACTGCCTGAATGGATGTGCCCATACTATACATGTCGAGCCCGTAGAACCCGGCTTTCCGGTGATCTGGCACTTGCGCGTTGTAATCGCGCATCCACTCGATTAGCTCTTGCATCTCACGGTTGCGCCACATCCACGTGGGGAACCGAGTGAAGGGGTCGATGGGTTTGGAGTGGCCTCCGATGTTAGCCTTGGGGCCGGGACGTTGGCGCACGTAGCGGTCGATTACTTCGGCGTCGGGCCAGTCGGCCTCCACGGCTACCATTGTGAACCCATGGTGCTCGATTAGGCGCTTGGTGATCTCTGCGCGGGCGGTGTAGAATTCGGAGGTCCCGTGGCTGCCATCGCCTAGAAGGACGAGGCGGTTGTTAGCGAAGGTGTCGAAGTTGGGGCTGAAGTTAGGGTCTTGGATGTCGGGTAGGGGATGCGCTGCCGCTGTGAATAGTTCCTGGAGTCGTGGCATGGTGTGACCCTGTCGAAATGGTTGCATAAAATTCCAGAGTTTGCGTTTCATGAATTGATGATGGGATGTAGAATATGGTGGTTATTATGTTGTGTCAATTATTAGACGTGAAATTGTTGGGCGAGCGGCAAATGATTTCATATCTCTGTCAACGGTGGTCATCATGACTTCACATCCACCAAACAACTTCTCAGACAAAAATAATAAGCAGAAAACACCAAAAGCCATTAAGTGCCACGTAACCTCCTCAGGACATGTTCAGAGGACTTAATTATTTAACAATTTCACACCGAAGACACAACCATCTCTTACATTCCAGCGCACGTAGAATCATGTCAGAATCATTCCCCAATGTCGCCACTCGCATAGAACGTTTCCAAGAAGCCCAAGAATCAGTATACGGAAACCTCAGCGCCATCACTAACCCCCCGGAGTGGATTCCACCCCCGCAATCCGGCGGCCACCACGGCCGATATCTCTGGACCGACGCGTTCGGCGTACTCAATTTCATCACTCTCCACCGCGAATACGAGAAGGCGCCGGGCTCTTCTGGCTTCGTGCCTAATGATCGATACTTAACGCTAGCGCGTCGACTAGTCCAGACCGTGCATGATGTGCTTGGGCGCACGCGCGATGGCCGAAATCGTCTCCCCGGCGCAACAGACGAGAACCCGATGGGTGGAGGACTGCGTATCGGTAAAATAGAAGAGCACGGTACAGATGGCGATGGACAGTACCATCATTATTTAACCATCTGGATGTTCGCGCTCAATCGGCTGTCGCTGGCAACAGGTGATCCGACGTATAATCAACAGGCTGTGGCGCTTGCCAAAGCCATCCACCCTCGGTTCTTCGTCGCACGCCATTCATCCCGGCCGCGCATGGTGTGGAAGATGTCCATGGATCTCTCTGCGGCGCTGGTGGGCTCGGAGGGTAATCTGGACCCGATAGATGGGTATGTAGTTTTCCGGCTGCTGCAGGCGGCGGCGATGCAGATGGGAGAGGGCGAGGTGCTCGCTGAGGAGATCGCAGACTATAAAAAGGTAATGAAGAGGAAGGTGAAGCACTTCGTGACAAGTGACCCGTTGGATCTGGGGATGACTCTGTGGACGGCCCATTGGTTCGCAGAGAAGGAGGAATGGGCAACGCGATTATCAGGTGATTGCTTTGAACAGATCTGTATGTTTTCCATCCCTTTTAACTGCCCCGCTGATCGTGCACGGTAATAACTCTTATACGGACGATCTCTTTGAAATTGACCGCTACCTCGATCGTAGCCATAAGTATCGCCTGGCATTTCGGGAGTTCGGCACGTGTATGGGCATCAAATGCATGTCGGAGCAGTCATCCGAGAAAGAAAGCGCGGTTGATCTCAAGATGTATGCAGAAAAGATCCTCGACTCGTGGAATGTGTATATGCAGATGTCACTCGCAACAAAAGTGACGCCGGATGATCTCCGCCCAATCACGCGGGTGATGTACGCATCGGCATTGCTGCCAGGGGGTTAGTATCCGCATATCCGATATTATTGCAAGTTAGTAGAATTGGACTAACCGTGGTCTGCAGCCTTTTCGCGCGGGTACTTGGGACCAGAGCCCATCCCCAACCCAGAGCACGAGTAGGAAAGAAACAACATAGAACTTCAGGAGTCGAGAAGTACTTAAAAGGAGACTATGTGTATATTCTTATGTAGTACTCTACAATATGCATCAATCATCTGCGCCAGATCCCGTGTATGCTCGACATCATATGCCCCGAATGGTAAATCGTATCAACATCAGGTAAACAGAAACAGAACAATGAACGATCTATACACCCGGAATGCCCACGATGTCCCTCCAGAGGACGACCCACCGTGGCAAAATGTAAATGGTGTAGACCGCGCCCAGGGCAACCAGCAAGCCGGTTAACTGTCACGTATTAGCCAATCTATAAGGGAAAAGGCATTCCGCTTGAACACGTATACCAGAGGGGGCGAAATACCTTTTCCAACCACGTATGGAACCAGATAGCAGTCATTAACAGCATCCACCAACCCAAGCCCGCCACTCCGCCCACAAACCAGATGGACCACTTCCTCGGCCCGGTCGACTCGCTATCTCCGTCCGACTTTTTGCTATCGTGGTCGATGTCCGCGGCGCCTCTCAATGCCCCGATCGCCTCAAATGCCAGCATCGCAGTCGCAAGAACTAACATGAAGACATGCCCGCTCAAATCATGACCACCCTTCCATGCTCCACCGGCGGATTTGCACGCTGTAGCCGTCAACAGCGTGTGGAGGCTAGCCGAACCCTCTTCAGCCTGTGGGATGATCTGCTCACACTTCCCACCCGACATCACAAAACTGCGATCGATAATCGCCGGACCGAAAGACCATTGTGTAGTCAGGTACCAGACCAAGGTAGCGAGGGAATAACGAGCGAGCGCCTGACCGACCCGCCGCGGTTGTTGGCTGGACGAGGTCGTGTACGAGGGTTGGGAGAATAGCAGAGAAGCGAAGGCTGCAGTAATCCATAGCCAGCCAATCTTCACAAAATATACATTGAAGACGTTGTCCTTACGGGCGAAGTAATTGACAGGATGCTGCGGGAGGTTCACGTCGGCGGCGATTGAAGGGGCCAGGGGAGTAGGATGGTTTTGTGGAGGATCTCGCGTGCCCTGTGCAGTCGGAGAGAGGACAGAAAACAATGATCCCACGATTAAAGTGATCGGATAAATGGCGAGTGCTATGGTGGGCGGTTGATACAGCCGTGTTGCAGTGGAAGGGGGTTTATCTGGTGATGCCATGTTTTTTTCCTCTCTTATTTGCTCGGCTCCGGTCTTCTTTCGCAGCCTGTCACGTTGCCGTTAATTTACTTAATGGCAGTAAATTAAACGGACAAGTCGATAAAATCAAATAGATGTCGCTATTCACGCAATGGACTGAGCCTGAGGAGGTAAAAGCGTCGGGAAGCCGTCGGGGAACGACTTTGCGGGAGGAATTGGTTGAATTCGGGAGAGCCTCGGAGACGGAATGACGTCGAGGTATCTTCGCATGTGCCAAACCCTGTTTAACCCTCGCCACTATTATCTTGAACCCACACTTAAATACAATACACTATGAAACACGCAATATGAATCATCTGCCTAAGAATCCTACAATACAATTTATAACCTACGTCGCTGTCCGAAAAGGTTTCCTCTGCAACCTTAATTCGTTAACTTATTATTATCCTAACTTAGGTCGTTCGTAAACATGTACATCATCGTAGTGGAAAAGCTCTGTACAATCTAGACCAGCTCTTACTGAGCCTTGGGCAGCGATGCCTGGAGGGCTAGTTTCCGCGAAGAGCTTCCAACGTAAATCTTCTTGGGGTAAGGGGTGATGGCCCAGTCCTGAGCCGCAACATCCCAGTTGGCAAGATCACGGCGGTTAAGAGTGGTGCTCCACACGACCTCCTGCGAGGGAGCCAAATGAAGACGCTCAAATTGGCGCAGGACCACCTTGGGTTCATTGGGTCCGCCCAGAGAAACATACTGTAAGGTAGGCGTTAGCACTAGAGTAGTTTTTACGTCGCACCTAAGCAAGCAAACTTACTAGCTGAGGAACTTCATCACCGGCAACATTTCCTGTATTCTTGATCGTCACCGAGACCCGGAACAGATCTTCATAGAGACCCGGGTTACCTCCTGCTCCACCGCTGGCCGGCAAACGGGGTTGGGCAGACCCATCAGTGGCGCCTTCGGGAATGTACTTGGAGTTTTCCCAGCCGTAGTGACGATCATCAGCGGACTGCTTCAGGTCGCTAATGTTGAGCCAGGGATAAATAAATTGGTGGATCCTGTTCAGACCCTCTGGGTACAAGTACTTCGAGGAGTCTTCATCAACCTTGCCAAAGGTCTGTGCAGGTGCAGTTTCGCCAGTGGTAGGAGTATACTTGGACACATTCAGTGGTTGAACATGGAGGTTAGAAAATTCGAATGTGGTGTAGCTCAAGCCGTATCCAAACTCGTAGATAGGAGTCTCATTGAACTTATCAAAATGGCGGTAATCAATGAAGACTCCCTGAGTGAAATCAGACTGGGGCGGTCCGTTGCCATTGTTGGCAGTCGTGACCAAGGGGGAAGCATACGCCTCCCGGGTCTTACCCCAAGTGAACGGAGACTTGGCCCCAGGGTTGACGCGACCGTACAGGACATCGGCAAGGGAGTTACCGGACTCCTGGCCTGGCAAGCCAGCCCAGAGAATGGCAGTGACATTTGGGTGATCGTACCATTCATCGATCAACACCGGTCCGACGGAGTGGATAATAACAACAGTGTTATTGCAGTTATTCGCCGCAGTCTTGACAACATTATCACCGTTCTTCCATAGAGTAAGGTTCTTGCGATCACCTTCATTTCCATCCACATTAATATATCCTTCTCCTGAATCAGCATTGACGAACACGAGAGAGACACTAGCCTGGCTGGCAGCAGCAGCGATCTTTGTGAGGGCCCAGTTATCTGTCACGGTGAAAATGTTGCCACGGCCCTGGAGGACTTCATTTTGGATCGCCTGTTCGGGGGTCACAAGGTAAGGGAAATTGGCAGTACCGCTTCCCCAAGCCATAGCAAGGGTGCCGTTGTCGCATCCACGATCATCGCAGCCGTTAGCTCCCCAAGGGTTGGAGCCAGCATCTTCTCCTAGAAGAGCAACCAGCTTTTCCTTACGGCTTAAGGGCAATGCGCCCTTGTTCTTCAGCAAGACGGTGCTGTCTGCGCCGATGCGACGGATCAGGTCGGCATGATCGCGCTGCACGTCTACAAATTCGTTGACCCTCTCGTAAGCACCTTCCGAAACAGCAATGTGTGCGAAACCATATTCATCCCTGGTCCACGAGCTGAAGTTGGGAGGGGTGTACTTGGTGTCGCGACCGACCTTGTAATAGGCGGCCATGATACGGACGGCCATGTCATCAACGCGCCATTGAGGAATCGTACCGTTAAGAACGCCGACTGTCAAGTTTGCGCCCCAGAAAGAAGTGCCACTGTTGAATGTCACATCACCGGGCATCGACATATCCATACCAGCCAAAGCGGCGCCCACACCACTGTGATGAGCAGTCCAGTCACTCATGACAAAGCCTTGGAACCCGAGTTCCGCCTTTAGAAGCTTGTTCAAAGTTTGACTGTTCTCGCAACCATAGCTATTGTTGATCTGGTTGTAAGAGCACATGATAGCGCCCACTCCGGCACGCACTGCATCTGCGAATGGCCAGAGGTACAATTCGTGCATAGTCTTGTCATCAACGTTTGAACTCAAACTATCGCTCACGTTGAATCCATACCCTTTAGCCTCGGGTTGCTGACGGAAATGTTCCTGCTCGTTCGCAATATAATGCTTAGCAGTTGCAATGACACCGGCATCTTGAATACCTTTGATAGTCTCTGCAAATAGAACACCACTGAGAGCTGGATCGGGTGAGAAGCCTTCCCAGTTTCTACCGCCATCTGGGTGAGCACCGAGAGGACCAGCAGCCGGTCCCAATTGAACATCAATGCCTTTATCACTGAACTCCTCGCCCATTGCCTGGCCCCGAAGATATGCGAGTGTCTTGTCCCAAGTGGCAGCAACATTGACACCCGCGGGGAAAGCTGAATTATAGTCCGCTGCACACATGCTGTCAGCGATATGTGGCGACCAAAGTAAACTTAAAAGGCGTACGTACAGAATCGAATACCAAGAGGACTGTCTTGCAAGCACAAGCTAGGAATATCAAGTCTGCATTCACCTCAGTTAGCCTTCTGTGAGAGCTCTGTCATGTTGGAAATTTACACACCTGGGAATACTGCCTGTTTGTCCAACACACCTCTCTAGACGCCATCTGAAAAATACATTAGTGGATTGAGGTCCATTTACGCTGGGATTGGGGTAAACATACCCTGTTCCAGTGGTCAGGTTGACTTTCTCTGCCAGAGTCATCTGGGAAACAATGTCGACGGCGCGTTTGTATACTTCCGCCCATTCACCCCGACCATCGGCCCAGGGGGATGGGTAGAAAGGAGGTGAGTACGCAAGATCATCCTATTCAAGATGGAGACTTGTTAGAAGGCAAGTCCAATTGAGAGCTATAGTACTTAATGAGAACGTGAACCATACCTTGGCACTAACTATTGAGGCAGCCGTCAATGCGGCCACCTCAAACCATTTGAGCTTCATGATAGTAGGGAGATTACCAGCAGAATAAAAGACGAACAGAGATTGCTGGGGGAGTAGAAATCAACAAACAGGGGATGGGGGAGAGGTGATATAAATAACAACAAGCACAGTAACGAGGAGTTAATCGACGCCACCAACAATGGGAAAATTAAGTACAACGGATGATTTATTCCTTGCTACCTGTCTCGGCACAGCTAACCACTGGCTGTGTAAGCCAAAGCTGTCACGCATGCAGAGGGGAAAAGGTAGACCCGCTGTTTGCTTGATACGGTATGCTGATCGGCATGGGGGTTCCAGATCGAGTGACTCGGGTGGAACAAATTCCATCATCAATTGGCACTATGTGGGAGGAACTATAGGTCCAGGGAAAAAAAAAAGAAAAAAGGAAAATCCAAAAGAGAACCAATAAAGGTGAGGCGGAGAAAAAGGCGATCGCAATCCGATTCGTTAACTGTAGGCTGCTGGTGAACTCGGCCCGACAAATTTACCTCTCTTAGAGTGCTGTGTTGTCAGTCAGCGCATATTTGTTGCTCAGTAGATATCATGATCCATGGCTTGAGCATAGTACATCAGGTGGCCTGCCCCGCATCAGTACTGGTATTGGTGTTGGACTGTTTGTTGGACGTTCTCGTTTTGGGTACCGAGAAAGGGAATAAACTGGGGAACCTTAAACAAAAAGGGACCACCAGGTACGGGGAAGCCGGGGCTAGTGCCTTCAGGGGTTAGTTGGTATTAGGATTACAAAACCGCCCGCCCATTCATGAGTATCAGTATGAACAACGACCCTTCTATGTCAATCAATTCCATACATGTAAAGGTTTAAGACAATACTGATATTTATAATCTGTTTCTTGTCTGATCCCTTAAACTCCCTATAGATATCGTCGTATACTTACTACCTCCTAGGTAGGAGACTTTTTTTTTTCTTTTCCTAGATGAATCAAGGCGTGCTTTGTAGGACAGGCGATGGATACAATACTGTCTATAAACCAAAATACCTGGCTGTACCGAGTCCATTCCTGGAATGAAATAGACCGAACTAGATGGGATCCAAATTAATAGGCACTAGGCTTAAGCGGCGCCAGAATACTTCTAGTTCATAGACCATACTATTACTTCCAATAATGAAGAACTACCAAAAAATGTTTTTTGGAAAATAAAATAAATAATAAAACCCTGTCCCATAATGTTATCGAGGCTAAGATCTCAGGTTCCGCATTTGTCGACACAATGCATGGGTGATGTTACCGTATCACTGCGAGAGCTCCCCCGCATCCTCCTGTGCTCCTTCACTTACAGTAGAGGGTTTCATGGGGGTGAAAACAGTGGGTTAGGATGAATAATCGAAGGTTGGTAAGCCCCTATTCCTTTCTTGGATGAACTTCTTAGTCGCAAGGGCTATCGGCGATATTCCTCCTGTGTCCTTAATCCCCTATGAACAGGGGAGCAAGGGATGTAACAGTCCGCTACCCATGCCCAGTGATTCCAAATCCAAACTGCCTAATAACCCTTCAGTGGCTAGACGCAACAGTCCGTACAGAGTACTCCGGAGTAGAAAGGAAGAAGAACAGACGGGATCTGTTGATTGTGATCATGCACTCGGAGTGGAGTCCACATCGACTTCCATCGTTGATCGCCTCTCAGAATATCCTAATTCAGGCTCTCGTCGGCACCAACACCGACATCATTTTATCCCTATAGCAGCTGATATGCTCAAATTCTCTGGACGGATCATATTATCCATCGGTATAGCTCGCGTAGCTCGTACTCCGGGCAAGGGACTGGTTGTACACTAGTATCTACAAGGCGATTGGAATGTGGCCCCTATAGTCTATCCCGAGACAATCTTTCAGAGTTTCTAGATCTTCATTCCAAACATGAACCATGTTTCCGTGTATAGTAGAGATCGCTTGCCACATGGCTGTCGGTTTCACCTTAATCAAAAACCCGAGGAAGACATATAGGATAATCGAAGGACGGTTCCGGAGTACGGGTGGCGCCCTCTTCCTTCTCCATCGGTGTGTAGAAGCAATATCGCCGGACATGGTCCGAATACGAATACTCGGGAAAGTTGCTGTGGAGAATCGTCAAAAGACTTCTGGGGGACGACGATTCTTGAATACGAAATAAAATCAAATCAAATCTCTCGGGATCTATTGTCAAGATCCCGACAATTCCGTTCTTTGCTGTCATTGCAATTATAAACGCTCATGAAGGGCGTTAGTGTGGAGAAACATGGAGTTGAAGGCGTTGTTACCCTAACTTCCCCCGCGAAGGATTTTTTTGCTACGCAATGATTTCTTATAGATTAACACCAAAACCTACCAATAATGCCATATTAGAGCCTAGGCAGATGTGTTTTCTAAGATTATTGGTATGAGGTGTCTCGTATTATTTAGCATTAGCCGGGGTGCGCGATCTAGGCTGTGAACAATTCAATCGAATGAATTGCGGAGTGCACATTACCCCCACTTGGTGGTATTAAACCACCCGTGTTTTTTTAACCGTCCTCCACATACCCTGTGTATGGCTTCAAGGGCCAAGAAACAACAAAAAATTGACGTCAGTCTCTCTCTACTCCACTGCCTAAACACATCTGTCCCGACTCACTAAGCCATTGGGCTAGCCACCGAATTAATCTTGACAGCAAGCGAAATCACTCAACCACAGCTTAATCGGAAGATTATTATTATATTCCCCACATTTAGACTAAGACCGTGGGGTAAACGGATCTGGAGTACGGCCTTCAACTGGCCGCAACTCCCGAAGCTACCACAAACTGTAGGAATCCGATGCCATCCCGTTGGTCCGACTCCTATGCTTGATGTGTTGCCGATGATTAGCCGCAAAATAGGCAACTGTGCCTCTCTACTACTTGGTAAATCGTTGGAACCTGGCATGAGTTTTCGCCTACCATTGGGTTGGAAAGACTGAATATGTTGAGTTTTGAGGTGGATAAAGATTACATAGTGTGTCGGGTTCGCTCCGACTCTGCAGATGAGCTATGGATGCTCGGTTTTGGGGGCACAGTATTCTCTCTGATTCTGTGCTGGTTCTCTCGCTCTAACCGGAGTTGTATACTCGGTGTCGTCGGGCATATGTATCTGCAGATTGTGTTTCCCCGAGGAAAACAAGGATATTCTATTTGGTGCATGAAGCTTCGTGCCATGATTTTTCGTAGGATATTGTATCTTTGTCCTTCGGGTGGCAAGCTGCCCACCTTTGTTTTTCACAAGACGCCGTATTAATGATTGATATTGTCCTGCTATGATCGGATGAGAATCTAGGTAAAAGGTGCACGAGGGTATGGGTCCACAATTGGAGTGCCATTGCATACGACCAGTAAATGTCAACATCATATGAGAATCCGACAGTATGAAGTGATCTGGCGTTACTACGAGTCACATCTCGAAGTTGCCAATTCAATATCTGAGGCAATATTGACCGACTGGTCAACAACTTGCTAGCATTAGCAAGTTAGCAAAGGGCATATTCAAGTCGTCAACACAACAAAGACAACCCCAAATAGTTCCCACAGCTCTCTGAGTATCAGTATCACTACGTTCAATGCCTAATTTTACGAAACACATACCGACAAAACGCAACCATAACCTCGCTCATCTAATCATCCCACATATCCTCCTCAGTCAGGAGCCCAATAACTCTACCGAGGCATGTCCGATACGCCCGCACCCCGACTCGGTATCCCTCACTTTCCAACCACCATTTCTCCAAGCGCCTCCCGGCTAAGTTCAGCGCCGATAGAAAATCTCACGATGTAAATTCCGGCCCCGATTCCGATCTGATATACCCTTCGGACCGTACCAAGGTCGGCACACGATATAGCATGCTACAAGGTGCTGGCCTAAGTCGTCAATATAGCCTAAGTTGCCAATATAGCCTAAGTAGTCATTCATGCTAAGTACCGGATAAGATACCAGAGGTTCCAAGGAATTATCCGGAAAGCGTCATGGCCGAGTCGGAAGGCTTCCATGGTGGTGCCCACGGCGAGGTGTTGCGGAATGGACGTGTCATACTTATAGCATTGAGGAATATAGCTTCGGCCCAATTGTGGTATCTTAGCGAGCAAGAATGGGAGATAGATACAACCCCGCTTGGGCTTAAGCTTTTCGAGGCTGTCACGCACTTACTAGGTAGGTGTTTTCTAGAGTTAATTTCTCAGGGATGCTTACGTGGCATTCTGTGGTGCTACGAAAGTATGTTTTCAAATATGGTGGGTGTGACCAGAAACTTGTTATATTGAGCTTGAATCCCTTGAGGGTATGTCCTTGTGAGAACCTGTTGGAAGCTAACGACGCTAAATGGTGTTAAGAGCGTAATTTGCACACAATATATATATACGTCAACTTTCCACATTGCATCTGTCATAGATGGCGAATCTTGTCACTTGTGTGCTGCGATATTAAAGCTTGGCTTCTCGTTGGATGCCAGAAGGAGAAATGTCGAATGGGCTTGGGCAGATATCTGGAATAGCATCTGGGAGATCAGAGATTTCACCATGTGCCAGTTTAAACAGCGGTTCCCAGACGGTGACAGCCCGCTTGGTGATGTGCCCATTGCCCATCTCTGGAAGGTCATAGTAAATCAATCTATCTGCGGAGCATTCCAGAAGCTCACCAGCCATGCCGGTTTTATCTTGCAGGAAAATATGAACCGCCTCCAGGACCGTTTTCATTGGAGTCCGACTAAAATCTCTAGGGTTAGCAGCAGCTCAAACATATTCAAGATATACGCCGTTGAGAGAGGAATGAGGCGACAATTAACACGAAGAACCTACCATTCAGGAGCCACGGCCTCAATCATCTCAGGGGGGACAATCGGTGTGGCAACAATACCCGGCAAAACGCAGTTGATGTGAATGTTATCCTTGACCTTTAGCAAAGGCGCAGCGCCCCGAATAAATTGGTTGACTGCTGCCTTGGTCCCACTATATTCGGGGTACGTGCTATGAGGGAAGACACCCCCGATACTACCGGTAACCACGATCTTTCCGCCTGCCTCGGGCTTGTTATACCGCATAAAGTGCGTCGCCAATACAGTGCCATATATGACCCCTTTGTAATTTATATCAGTGCAGGAGAGGTCCGGCTCGGGAGGAACATCTTCGACCCTTCTACCGCGTCGGTTGAGGAGATAAAGTGACGACTGGTCGCCAACGCCAGCATTGGCACACAGTGCATCTATCCTCCCCCAGAGTCGAAAGACCTTTTCGAAGACGGCCGCTTGGTTCCGATAGTCGCTGACGTCGGCTTTGAAAAATAGTGCGCCCTCGCCCAGGGCCTGCACGACATCGTTTCCTGCTTGTTCTCTGCGGCCGACACAGGCAACCTTCCATCCGCGAGAATGCAGGTCCCTGACGATGTTGGCTCCAATGCCAGACTAAAAAAAGGACATGTCGGTAATCAGTAGATCTGCTATGTATTGTAGGCTGAGCGAAGTACTTACGGTTCCGCCCGTTACAATAGCAACTCGACTAGATTGTTCAGTCATTGTCTTTGCAGGGTAGGAATGAAAGTGGCAGACGGAAGAAATAAAAAGAGCCAACGGTCAGACATTGCGCCACCTGCTAAGAGGCACTACTTTTAAATTAGATTCCAAGCGCACACAAGCCGCCCCAGATGATTTCACTAATTGCTGGCTAACCCATGCCTATTACCCGCAGTGGGGAAAGAGAACCCTACGCGATGTGACTTAGTCTCTTGCCAAGTTGCCATACATAGTATACAAGCGGGAGATGAAACAAAGCAGAAAAATCGTATGTGAATGGAAAAAAAAATGAAATGTTATACGCTATCTATTAGAACATCGTGGCTGGTAGGTCAAAGCTCTTTTTCCTGCTGTCATATCCGTTAGTCTTCCATCTAACACACTAGACCACGGATACGATATTCCCTACTCTGTAGATGTACAAATGTACAAGGAGGTTAACTATACATAGACAATTTGCCACCATCTGCGGCATGGTAGATCTGTGGTTGAAATGGTGCATTCTGATTCAGAGGCGACGGTATCCGATTTGGCTCTGGAATTGATTGGGAAGTACTCTTTATGGGAGTTCATTGGTGACTCTCGGTCAGACCACGCTAAACTCTCAAGCCACTTAGCATGGTGATGGACTGTGAGCTCGTGCCTAGTGTAATCGTCGTTGAATCTGTTGCCCAGAATGAGTCAGGCGAAAAGGCAAAATTGTTCAAATCTCATCGCAATTCGTCGGCAGTATGCAACTCACTGCTTTGGCCATGGTTTTTGGTTTTGATCCTGAAAAGTGCCCTGCGGGAGTACCCTAATCCAAGAGATAGGCATATGATTGGTCAATTCTATATCTACTCCTGGATGGCTTCAACGACACAAAACGGTAATGTATTTTACTAGGTCCTCTTTCTGGGTACTCTCAGAACCCCAAAATACCGGTCTTGGCGCTGAACGTATCTGTCCTGAAGCTGTTGAACCAAAACAGTGTTTGACCTTTCGAACATTTCTGGTTATGGCGACTGGGGATCACCTTAAGCAAGTCGTAACCAACGCAAGCAGAGCAATGGAAATATAAAAAGAATCGAAATTGGTTAGAGCAGGGTAACAATCACTGAGGTCGTGAGCGTCTCTTGCCTTTTGCAACGAGTCTTCTTCCAAAAACGTATGACAGACAGTAGTGGTTGCGAGAAGGTCATAAGTAATTGGTTTTCTTGTTGTGATATATCCGATCATATGCAAAGTTAAGCACGGAGCTTTACACCAATAGTTTGTTCAAGTAAACTTGGTTCTGTCAACTGAATCATAGCATGTTGAGCTGCACATCCACACCAGCAAAATTGTGACTAAGTACACTTCACGGCACAGGCATTTTACCTTAACGAGACAGGCCTTTGAGGTATTTCAATAGCAAATCCACAAACCGGTTGCTCTCATATGGCAAGTCAGCATGCTCTAGCGTTCTTGTTCGGGTAGAGCTCGCCGGAAAAGATGGGGAGTATTGTGCAGACCTAGATGCTATAAACTCAATCTTGATAATTGCTGTGTTTGTGCCACTTTCTATTCTCTTCTTTCGGACGATAAGTGATTCTGCTCTTGGTGTGGATGGTGACCGAACTCTAACCCCGACAGTTGGTCCTCTGATGGGAACTCTAAAGCTGGTATACCCGTTTGCCAAAGGACGAGAATAGTCTAGCAATTTCGGATCCTTGACCGTGACGGGCCATGAGACACCTTATAATAAATATAATGTGAGAGATCAGTCGTTACTGAGTTAGGCTAGGACCTGAAATAAGACCTGGTTCTGCACCTCGCACCCTTCATCAGTTGTAACACCGTTGCAAAAGCCAGTTCAGAGCTTTTTCTGGATCTCTGCCATATCCCATACCTAGACTATTCTATTGCTTCTTTAGCTCTTCTGCGATCGCGCAGAGGGCAGTGTTGAGAGCATTATAACTGGTGGGCTAAGGTCCATGGATTCATCAGGTTGACAACCATACATAGACTGACGCAGAGCGGATATGGGTCGACCTTGAGTTTCCTAACATTCGAAATTCTGTACCACTTTCCTAGTATTCAGGGAAGACCTAGCGTTTAATGGATGCCCTAATTCCGCGCGGCACGACAAAATCTGTCCGATCCTGACACCTTTTTCGCTGTTCCTGCGGTTCAAAGCTGATCTGAGCCCGATTTAGAGCAGGGCCTTCCGAGTCAAGTTTGAGTTACCAAACACCTGTGCATGTTCTGCGATAGTATCGGCGATAACCCTAGCAGTGATGGAAGAAGCTTTAACTCTCTATTTTGAGCTTCCAGCTTCTGAATAGCGAATCTATGGACCTTTTCTTGGAGGGACACCAGCTTTTGTTCTAAGTCACAAATATGCTCCTGCTTCCTTGCACGGCTCTTGCGTTGAATCTCGCAAAGTCGGACAGTTCAGTCAGAGACGGGTGGTGCTGTATCTCCAAGGCTTCAACCTTTTGATGGTCGGCATCTATCTGCTCGATTGATTTATATTAAACACGGGAGATTTCTGAATGCAAAATTGATATCATGGTTTTGACGACAAGATATCAGGCTAACTTAAGGGATTTGGGATTTGGGTATAAACTTACCGTTCTTCTTTTAAGGCACACTTGTTGACAGTAAAAAGCTCCATATCAACACGTGACAGCAAACTCCCTAATTAGTACTAGTACTTCATGGCTCCACTCAGCCGGGGAAACGACCGAACCACGGATACTATACTCCAAATGAACTATGTACTAGGACGGAGTCAAGAGATGGGACGAAGTAAGGTCTTAGACCATAATGAGAAAGGTAGTTCAGCCTAGTTTATGAAATTTAACCTTAGATACCGAGCTACCGCTGGACCGAGTGAATCAGCGGAGAACGTATCCTCGCTTCAGGAGGATTATTATATCTCCGAGTTTATCTATCAATGTGTAATAAAGTCAAATGGACATTGAAATGGGAACCGAATCGGGAGGAGTGGCGCCTTCCTACACGACGTCATTAGCCGTCAGTCGGGCGCATTTCTTCTACTTTTTTCATTCGAGCACTAACAAACAGACGTACTACTTTGTCTCACTTTTTCTTGCCGATCCCCCCAACACAGCTTCTGTCTCACTACCTCTAAGCTTGTATTGACCGCAATTTGCTTATCCAAGCGGGTGTCACCCTAATATATACTACGCGACCATGGTTTCCACGCGACAGCATCCCCGCGACTTCCCGTCTCCACCAACTGGGAAAGCTTCATCATCTCCTTCGCCATCTACCCGCAGTAATGGCGCTACGAGCAGATGGGTGCATACTCCGTCGACCGCCATCACTATCTGGCTCGTGCTGTCAGTCCCATTAGTCATTTGGGATGCAGGTTATGTGTTGCTCCGTCCGCATAGTATGCCAGGCAACAAACTGCATTCGCCTATTTGGACCCCCTACGCACTATATGGAACAATTGATTATATGTATGGCTGGCCCGCATTCAATGCCCGGAATGGATTTACGGCTGCGCAGACAGTTTTAAATCTTGTGGAATCTGTCGGGTACATTTATTATCTCTGGATTGTGTATAGGCACGGAGTCTCAGTCTCGGGCGGTCGCGGACAGCGCAAAGCCAAAAAGGGACCGATGTGGATGTTGAAAACCGACAAAGTCGTCTCCGGACGTCCTGGAGCCATTGCGCTTCTGGTTGCGTACAGCGCATTTCTGATGACACTCAGCAAAACTATCCTCTACTGTAAGTTCTAAGAATAGAAACCCCTACATTGTACTGATAAGGATCTCAGGGCTGAATGAGGTTTTCTCCGGTTTTGATAGCATTGGACATAACGATACGACAACTCTGATTCTCTTCTGGATCATACCAAAGTAAGCTCTCCAGGTCATATTCTTTACTCCATTCGCTTACAGTTGGCCAGCGGTCTTTGGATTATTTTCCCCAGTTACAACATCTATGTCTTAGGCTCAGAAATGGTGGCTTCTCTTTCAGGCTCCGCGTCGCGCCGTGTTGGACGGTCCAAGTCATCATAGGGTCTATTGCCGGAACGGCCCTTATGCAGGGGACTGTTACATGGCATGCCAAGCGTGGAACGTGAATCGCGTCTGAACTAACCCTTTTCGAAGAGTGTTAGAAAGGCGATCACATAGGGTGAAATATGTGTATAGTCGGAGGGATAATGTATTGGAAAGAAAGGGGGAGGGGCGATGACAGCCCTGAAGCGTTGTCATTAAGTCTGTGCACCCCAAAGTTGTATAGGTATACACTCGAAAATATACTATCCTGTCTAATAGTTTTGAACTACATTGTAGGACATTCATCTATTTTTAGTAGATAATTAACCGTAGTACCATCTATCATTGAAGAGATTGGGAAATGCTCCGGGTCAGCCCATACGGACTATTCAATATCATCTCCACCAAATCAATGATCTCGCACTTGGAGCAGCCTGAATTGTAAGGCAACAGAATCTCATATATGAGTTCAGATTAGACGAGTATCCACACCGAATGAATCACATCTCCCTTTTCGACCTTTCGACAAGCTGGCAATATGATGCAAAGGATCCATTCTCGCGGTAGCCACTGTTACCAGAGTATTTCTACGGTTCATCCAATAAGCGTCTCCGCTTAACCCTCCAAGAGATCGGGGTTAAGACGCAGTTAAAACCTGACAGATGATCCCTCGTGCAGACTATTGACCTGCACTAGAGGGGTTTAGTCTCAACTCTTTTCTCCTCTTTTCATTTTCTTCCTGCAGAAAATATACCCTTAGTGGCGCCCATAGTATCACTGACTCAAGTCAGTGAGAAGAAGTGAGAGAGAAAGATTGGGGCCGTCGCCAACATTAATAATCCCCAGCATGACGACGGCCAGCAATGCCAAGCCGCCGCCAACTGACCCTCAGTCTTCTTCCCCATACCCACCAGAAGCGACCGCTTTCACCCGCAATTTCGTCCCGTCATTCTCCCGACAGAACCAGAACCCGTGGACTTCTCCCCAATCGACTATCCCCGGCCTATCGAACGATGACCCGCGCCTTGTTCTTGGGGTACCCGCACCCGTCATGAACCAGCCGGAGTCCGACGAGTCCCCCTTGGCCTCTTCCGCAGGCCTGACTTTGGGCCACGATGATAGCGCCCTCCCCGACGATATCGATACGCAGAGTCGGGCCAGCTCGCGCGACCCCGGTAGCGTCCAAACTGGGGGCGATATCGGACACCCTGTAGAAAGCGGGTATGACCATCAACCTGAGGATGGTCGGGGCGACCCCGCACAGAATGAGGAGCAAAGAGGCGAAAAACCGCCGTGGAGTGATATGAAGACGAAGGCAGGGAAGGAGCGCAAGCGCCTACCCTTGGCTTGCATCGCGTGCAGGAGGAAGAAGATTCGATGTTCGGGTGAGAAGCCCGCGTGCAAACATTGCTCTCGCTCTCGGATTCCGTGCGTATACAAAGTCACTACCAGGAAGGCTGCGCCTCGAACGGACTATATGGCGATGTTAGATAAACGGTTGAAGAGAATGGAAGATCGCGTAATCAAGACTATTCCGAAGGATGAGGCGAGGGATATGGCATCGATCGGGCGGTCGGCAGTACGGCCTCCCCAGCCAGGGCAGACCGCGAGGAGCCAGAAGAAACGGTCGGCCGACGAAGCTTTTGCAAATGAGATGGGTGAGTGGACCCGCGGCGATCGCAAAGCCTCGCAGGATATATTCCCTATGCGCCGTGAAAGTAAGCCCGGCGATGGGACTGGCCTGATGACCGAGGGTGCAGAATTTCTACCCTCGTTAGAGATTCAAGAGCATTTAGCGGAAGTTTTCTTCGATTGTGTATATGGGCAGTCGTACTTGTTGCTCCATAAGCCCAGCTTTATGCGCAGATTGAAGGCTAGGACTGTTCCTCCAGTGCTGATCCTGGCTGTTTGTGCGGTATCGGCTCGATTTTCAACTCATCCGCAAATTAACTCCGAACCACCTTTTCTGCGCGGAGAGAACTGGGCTAATCCGGCTGCTGCAATAGCTCTAAGTCGCCACGACGCACCCAATATTACTATTCTGACTGTCTTTCTGCTCCTTGGGCTTCACGAATTTGGAACTTGTCATGGTGGTCGAAGTTGGTCTTTTGGTGGCGCTGCGCTGCGCATGGCATACGCTCTGCAATTGCATAATGAGCTTGATTACGATCCTTGCTTAAGTCAGAACAATGGTGGCAGCTCCCAGCTCAGTTTCACAGATAGGGAGATTAGAAGACGTACTATGTGGGCCTGTTTCATGATGGATCGCTATAACTCGTCCGGAAGTCAGCGTCCTCCAATTGGAAACGAAAAGTTCATACAGATACAGCTACCTATGAAGGAATCGAACTTTCAGATGGAAATACCCGGACCCACAGAGGATTTGGATGGGAATATACCCAATCCAGTGCCAGACAACGTTGGGCAACTGTCCAACGCGAAGGACAATATGGGAGTTTCTGCATATATTATTCGCGCTATAGTATTATGGGGACGTATCGTGGATTACCTGAACCTTGGGGGAAAGAAAAAAGATATACATCCGCTTTGGTCACCCGAGTCAGGATACTCTCGCCTCAAACGACAGATCGAGGAATTCTCGTCATCTCTTCCAAGCCATCTATCATTCACTTATGAGAATCTTCAGATCCACGCAGCTGACAGGATCGCCAATCAGTTTCTGTTTCTGCATATAATTATTCATCAGAATATGCTATTCTTAAACCAGTTTGCTATCCCTTTATCGCCAGGTGGTCGACCACCACGAGATATGCCTAAAGCATTTTTGAGCAATGCTGGGCGGGCTGCCGTGGAGGCTGCTCACCATATTTCTGTGCTGATCGACCGTGCTTCAGCATACCCTCTCACTGTTCCCTTTGCGGGATATTGCGCGTACTCGGCCAGTACGGTTCACATCTGGGGTATCTTCTCCAAGAACTCCCAGCTCGAAGCTCGGTCAAAAGAGAACCTACGGCATACTTATAGGTATCTGAACAAAATGAAGAAATATTGGGGAATGTTCCATTACATGGTTGAAAGCGCTAAGGACCGATATCGGCAGTTTGCAGATGCAGCCATCAAGGGGTCAGTTGTTACACAGAACGGCAGCCAGATCGCCCCAATGTTTCAGTATGGTGATTGGTTTGACAAATACCCCCATGGCGTGTCGAGGCTACATTGGGAGGATCCCGATACCCAAAAGAAGAGTAAGACCGACGACGCTGTGATGAGCCAGAAGCCCGACCACCAAAGCGTAGAGGACTTCTTTGCCAGTCTCTCCCCTACGCCGCAGCCCAGTGTACCTTGTAGGCATTCCAGGAAGAGCAGTCGGGGTGAAGGCGTTCCCGATATGGGCCTGCCAACCTCTCAGCCGATGATTGACATCAACATGGAAAACACTCCAGGAATGCTGGGTACAACTGAAGCTGGGTTTCCCCAACCCACATTGTACAATCAGGGCCGTGGGCAGGTTTATGGCCAGTATCCGCTCGATTTCCCTATTCCAGCCGACCAACTGCCCCAGCTAGACCGACAGTTCGTCTACGGCTCCTTTGACGGTCTCGATCCCCCATCCACAACCTTCATGCCGCCAGACAATCCGCCCATGCCTACCATGGACAGTGCAGGGCCCTCCCCTGCAACACAGGACAACCCCACGATTTTCACAGGCCACCTAGACCCCAACGCTCCGTCTGGAGTGGGCGAGTTCTACCAGCCAAGCGCCTGGTTCCTTCCGTTCAACCTCGATCCCGTCAGCGCAGGCGTCAATCTAGACCCAAACCCCGCACAAGTACCCGGCAGCGGGACCCCAGGTATGTCGACCTTCAATGCGGGCAATATCCCCATGGGTACGTACGATTTGGGGATGGGTAGGCGTTAATTGAGCGCCTCATATGAATGAATAATGGAGGCGCGACGCTTCATGTCAGTTAACGACTCTGTTTTCTTGGATTTGTTTTGGGATCGAATTGGTCTTTGGCGAGTTGTTAGGGGTGTACGGAATGGTTTGGCGAAAAGGTGGCTGGAGTTATTTACGATCTCTCGATATCTATACAGTGTATCTTACGTGTATATCTTCTTGGTGAGTAGCGAATAGTGAATTACTCTCATGATGTCTCTTAGATTGTTTCTAGAAGGGGCCCCGCTATGTAGTAAACCTTATGAGATGAGATCGAGTCTGTGAAGTATTAGTTCTTCAGAAAAAACAAAAGTTCAATTAGTGCTTCGCATGTAAAAGTCAAGGATTAACTGGGAGGAAGGGAAAAAATATTTCATATAGAAATTGCATCATCCGTGAATCGAACACGGGCCTCATCGATGGCAACGATGAATTCTACCACTAGACCAATGATGCTAGTTGATATCTACAGTCGAATATTTAGATATAATATTAATTGGTCCAAAAAGTAAGCAGGGGTAATTCTTGACGACATGGATACTCATGCTCGTGGGTTTCTATCCCAAGCGTTGTTGTTATAGTGGCCCGAGGCCAGCATACCTTGATGTGTATGCCTTGTATGGATTTAGGTTGAATATCCTTCAACCCTTCTGAGAGACATCGTTTCTTTCCGCTTGTATTGTCGTTCTAATTCTTCGACGGTATATCAAATGGCCAGATTGACCAGAGCGTCTTTTTGTCTCTAACGGGCTCACAGTCACCCGGGGTTTGATTCGTCAAAGCAGCTTCCGCCATCCCAGTGAATACCCTCCTGTGGGCCAAGTCTGTCTCTTCCCAAGCCTCTGAGAGCATCCACCCATCAGACGCTACATTGAGCAAGTTCGCCAATTCATAGTTCAGATCTTGTGCCACTTCAAACAACTTATATTCTTTCTCATGTTTCATCAGTTCCTTTGGAGCCGGTAATGGATAGGGGCATCGACCAGCAAATCTGAGCTCTTTCCAGTGTCGTGCTGTATCAATCATTTCATAGCGCAGAGCTACCTCGCCATCTCTCCGAGTTCTATGGCTGTAACGAAACAGCCGGAAGAGGTTCTCGTTCATTAGTCTAGGGTTAGCTAGAATAGGCGTATTATACTGAGAAGTGATGTCAAATGCCTTGGCATCGAGTTCATCTCCTGGAATAGTAGTCGTTGCAAGTCCGGTACCTCATCCGAGTACCAAAACGCCGGCTCTATACAAGCTGCTTGCCCCCAATAATCCCTGCGATAATTGAAGAATCGTCTTCTGAGACGAATATATGCCTCTTATGCAAGTCTGGATGGAATAACAACGGAGTTTAAGAGTTCTGTATCCGAGAATCGATGGACATTTCCTTTAGCACAGCTCGTGCGTATACAAGAAGACGCTTATGTGATCGTGTAGATCTATGATACATAGGTCTGGTTCCGAGGCCTGAGTCGCCCGGAGGAAGCTTTGAGAGACAATCTATCAGACCATCACTGTATTCGCTGAAATTATCCCCTGATTTATTTGTAAACAGGCTCTCATGCTCAAAACTCCAAAAGCTACTTACGAGGCCCAAGTTGGGTTTTACTATTTGATAGTATCGCTGCTCTCCAACACTACAGTCCGAATAGCGGGTTTCACAATGCGGCCCAACGCAGAATTTCTTGTCTACAGGCCATCTGGAGGCAGAGCTGACCAGACTATTAGTAAAATACAGACTTCCAAATGCAGGGAATTGTTGGTCAGCTATTCCTTTGAGCATCCAATAAATTGTAGCTATACACCTGACCCGCTGGTCACCAGCTATTTCTGGCCATTTCTTATGCAGCTGGGCGCCTAGCGCATGTTCCGTGACGATGTATTGGCAACAAACGGCATTGCTAGAGCCTGTCACATCATCACTCCAGTCAAGAATCATTAGTATGGGGAGACTTGTCTTGGTTTGCACTAAAAGTATAATTTCAGCCATTAGTACCTCAGCTACTAGGGTATAAAAGACAGAGCAACTCACGGTACCTAATTGTAGCGACCTCTGAACTGTCGCTAGCTTCGCCGGTCCGGCAAACTGAAATGGAATTCTCGCCACGATTTGTTGGGCATTGTTCATAGTAAATATAAGAAAATTCCCCTCGATCTTCCGACACGCCATGATAGCATCCGCTCCAGAACATAGTTCAATAACCATCTGGCTAAGAGCGTCGAAGTCAAATGTGATATGATGTGAAGTCCGCTCCAAACTGTCACTGCGGAGCCAACTGGCTCTTCATGTAAACATGAGGGTCAAACTCATACCCGAGTTAACATGGGTAGTTGAGTAGAGTGCACATCCTAATGATAACGGTACGTATTGGATTTGAAACACCGGGTGTAACAAATAAGCTGCTGGGCGAGTCCATAACGAGTGAGACGAGAGGAAATCTTAGGGTACTGTTGGCTTCAAAAAGCTCTGTATATAAATTAGCTACAACTGATAGCTCGAGTATAGCTGTGGGTACTAGATGTAGCTGGCGAGGAAAATCCTTATAGGTCCGAAAATAACAATGATAGTGACCTTATATATAACATTTCCGAATGTCTACTCTTGTACTCCCGTGACGAAGTAGGAGTTGTGGTGATTGGTGAGTATAGGTACTATTATATACTCCTCGCATATAATCACGTGGTCTGGCGTCTCAAAAAACCGTGGCCGAAGATCCGGATATACTTGAAAAAGAACGTTACTAAATATTCGGCAGAGATAGTTTCTTTTAGTATACAATGATTCACTGGCTTGATGCTTGCTGGGGATCATTGCGGCTATGTACACGCTAGAATTAAATTTGTAACTCAATATGAAACATAATTCAACCTTTTATCTATAGACGCAAGCTGAAGTGAACATCATATCCTTGTTTGGACTTGAAGGAATTGAGACCAAGACCATAACGCCAACGTCCCATTCGTAACAGTGTAGAAGAAAGAAAATCTCATATCCAACACATGCAATACAGCCAAATCAAAACATGAAGCCCATTTAACGGAGACAAACTGCAAGAAAAAGGAAAATGACGCAGGATAAAATTCAATCCTCCCATTCTTCGTCCAGTTGATCGATCAATCGATTTTCGGCGTCTACATCTCTTCCACTATTTCTCCGCCCACCGATCGCGCCGATGAAACCGCTCCGTTGGCTACCATTGCGGATGTGTCCGAGACCCGGCGATCGTTTGAAACGGAGCATGCGGCCGAGGGAGGAGCCGATAATGGTGAACATGTCCTGGTTACAGTTGAAGGTTAGCCAGGGTCCCCAGTATTATGATGATTTAGTACATAGCAAAGGCACAAAACGAATGAAAACCCGTTAAAACCATGGAAACGAATGATTCTATTAACAGAATCGTTGTCCAACATTCAAGGGCTAATCACAATAGCAGATCCAGCTGCTGTACATAAAAGACCGAGGTCTCCCATGATCAACGTAGGTTTAGATGTTTATATAGTAAACACGAGATAGGGACATAGACCAATATGCTAAAAGAACTGACTCCCTTGATGTAACTGAGCTCTGGACCAGCTAAAGCAGGTTTCAATCCAGCCGCGAAATTGGTAGCCTTGCATTGCTGAACTCCTTGTATGAACCCAGGTCGCGCCGCCGGGGTCTGGAACGAGCCCTCCCAAATGGTACCAATGCTAGTATACTTACTTTTACAAAATCGAACATACCTGCCCAGAGGCTGTAGTTCGGGCACTGTCTCCAACCGCGTTGGTGCATGACTGTCCGTTGATAAGCGCAGCCACCGACAAAGTACGCAACGACGGCGATCAGTGCGCTAGGAGATGGTGTTAGCACTTATTCTTCTCTCATGGGCGGTCTAGTAGCTAGACCGTACTCACATTACGCCGAATACGCCGGCCGGGCCAAGCCCTTGGCCGTTAGCTGGGGCAACGCCGCCACAGGCCGCAGAGCTTCGGAATTCGAAAAAGTATGTGCATTGATCCATAGTACCAACAAAGGACGCGGTTGCCTGATGGGCCGGGGCGTCGCGATCACAAAGGAACGACATAATTGTCGATTTGGTACGCGAGCCATTTCCAATGCGTTCCCCGGGACACGGCGAGCCGTCGGTGTAGTTCAGGACAAGCTTGCGACCCCGAAAGAAAGGCTCAGACGCTTGTTGTCTACAAACAAGTCAGCCCAGTTTCCCCCTTTGTTTGGCAATCCTGGCCTGCACACCACATACCCTATGGAGTAAATCTTGCCTTCCTTCTCATAATATGCACTAACGTTCCTCCACCTTGTGCGGTCAACCCCTACCACATCTTTGATATCCTCTACCACCGGAGCGCAAACGTTTATCGTAAAGTTTGCATTGTAATCATGGCCCTTAGCGTGCCAACTCTCATCGCGGACGTTTCCACGAAGCTTTTCGTCCTTCGTACTTGGTGGGGATAGCGAGATGGTAGTTAGATCGTAGTAGAAACCGCTGGTCGGAGAGCGCGCCACACAGGGCGGCAAGGCATTTGAGCCCGTTGAATCAGCAGCAGAGACGGATGTTGAGAGAAGGAAGAGGAGTCCGAGGAGCGATGTAACTAGCGACTTCATTATGGGAGATCACTCCCGAAGGGGAAATGCGGGATGACCGACGGTGACAATAATAATGCAATGAAAAGGCTTCAGATCACAAGGAGCTAGTAAAGAATGACTGGATCGGGGCCAAATAGGAAAGCGAATTATTATGAAAGAGAGTGATTATGATTAGAGGAAGTGAGGACCGAGGTTGGATCAAAGGTTTGGTTCAGTGTCAGATTAATGACCATTACTAGTTAGTGTAGTACTGAAACTCCAACATTTTAGTGCGGAGAAGGAAAAAGTGCCCGCGGGCCCCGTCGGCCACCAATCATCCGGATCAGACCAACATCTTTCTCGACGAGCGCATACCTGCCGCGGTGACCTATATAATTGATTACTATCTTCTAGTTATTACGAAAGCTCACTGCGTCTTTTTCCTTTGCAATTGCATCCGTGGGTTTCTCTGGCATGCACGCGACCTGACGATAGCTCACTGTCAAGACTCTCCCTTTGTGGGCCTCCTCCTATTGGAGCTCCAATCGCATCATGGCGCCGAAGAAAAATCTCAAGCCCAAGGCTCCGATACAGCCCGTTCCTGAAAAACGGGGCTATGAATTTGGTGGCCCGTATGTTGTTTTGGACTGTCGCGCGCATGAATTTAAGAGTTGACATCTGTTAGTCTCGGCGCGTTTGGAATCGTATTCGGCCTTCCGACTCTCATCTACAGCTTCACCTTTCTGTGCAACGATATTTCCGGTTGTCCTGCCCCTTCGCTGCTCAGTCCGTCGACCCTGTCTCTAGACCAGTTAAAGGAGGAGGTTGGCTGGCCACAGGATGGCCTCAAAGCTTTCTTTGACGCTCGAGTGACCATGTGGGTGTTATGTTATTACCTTCTCAGTCTGATTCTGTATGTGCTCCTACCCGGCCAGGAGGTCGAGGGTACGGAACTGGCCTGCAAAGGAAGGCTTCGCTACAAATTCAACGGTATGGATCTGGTACCGGATGTTTCTGGGATATTCACTGACTCCAGGATAGCCTTTCCCTCCGCCATTCTGATCCTCGCCGGTTTAGCTTTGGGCACATTCGTGTACGGCGCAGACTTCGCCGTGTGGACTTTTCTTTGGGATAACTACCTGCAGGTCATCACGGCAAATTTGGTGATCTGTACGGCCATTGCGGTTTTTGTCTACGCGAAAAGCTTTTCGGTCCCTGCGCCTGGTCAACTCAACCCCGAGCTTAGACAATTGGCACCGGGTGGGCACACCGGTAATGTCCTGTATGATTTCTTTATCGGCCGAGAGCTGAACCCTCGAGTGCAACTGCCCATTCCCTTCGTCAGCGAGGCCTCACGGACGATTGATATCAAAGTATGGTGCGAAATGAGGCCCGGGTTGCTTGGGTGGATTATTTTGAACCTGTCCAACATTGCTCGTCAATATAGAACCTACGGCTATATTACGGATTCAATCGTTATTTCCACCTTATTCCAGGCCTTTTACGTGTTGGATGGACTGTACATGGAACCAGCTCTCCTGACCACAATGGATGTGCTCATGGACGGTTTTGGTTATATGCTCTCTTTCGGTGACATGGTGTGGGTTCCGTTCATCTACAATTTCCAAACTAGGTATCTTGCAGTTTTTCCCTTGGAGCTGGGCTTAAAGGGTATCCTGCTTGTCTTGGCCGTAACTGGCGTGGGTTACTCGATTTTCCGTGGCGCCAACAATCAGAAGAACCGTTTCCGTACAGACCCCAATGACCCGCGCGTGAAGCATATCAAGTACATCCAGACAAAAAGTGGCTCTAAGCTTATGACTTCCGGCTGGTGGGGCTTGGCACGCCACATCAATTACTTGGGTGACTGGCTTATGTCTTGGTCTTATTCCCTGCCCACTGGAATTGCGGGTTATACCATCATCGAGAGCCTCAACCAGAGCACTGGCGGTGTGCAGAAGCAGGCTGTACAGAACCCTGAAGTCCGCGGCTGGGGAATGGTCTTCACCTACTTTTTCATGCTCTATTTCGGGGTCCTGCTTATCCACCGGGAGATGCGTGACGAAGAAAAGTGCAAGAGGAAGTATGGCGCCGATTGGGACCGCTACACGTCTCTTGTTCGTAGCCGCATCATCCCCGGTATCTATTAGTCGGTATAGCTTCGTGCTGTGTGTATTTTGTACTTGACATTTACCAATATTTTATTCAGCTTCTTGGACTAAAAAGTTTGTGACGTGTTTGGAGTATGCCTTGGACCTGTTTGAGGCATCCGATATATGGGTTTATAGACACTAGGGGTTTTTTGTTTAATACGTACATTATTCAAAGTCATGGTCATGATATTCAATCGAGTCAACGCTTTCGCTTCTTGGGATCGATCAACACCTCCAAACCCCAACTCTCGTCTCCTGGATTGGGGGCCCAGCCACGCAATATATTCTTAGCATCCAGTATCGCAATCCTTCTGGCTTTAAGTGACTCTGTCAACACCGCAGGCTCTTTCTTAAATTCCCGATATGTCTGAGCCTCGGCAATTTGCGTTGGAACATGTAACCCCGTTGTCAACTGCTTTCCTTCCACACCAGTATCGACGCCGGATACATGATCATGTTGATGAGTGGTACTTTGCACAATTTCTTTAGACAGACCCCAAAGCCTCGCTCTTGACAGCGCAGAAGCTCCTCGTGCTAAGGGTTCCGATGCCCGATTGCCCTGTTTTACACCATTAATAATAGTCTCATACAAACCCGTCCTTGAGCCATGTAGCTTAGGCAATGATTTGGCACCATTATCCACTCCACGGAGAGGCAGCAGAAGAGACGGAGCGCCTGCCCAAACAGCAGATATGACAGCAGGCTTGCTTTTTTTTAAAGCAGATGCTTCAGATGCCTCTGAAGAATCTATCGGGTCAGATTTACCAAAAGCCCAAAGCGACTCGAAGTGCGCATTAGGAACCGACAAGACCCTGAAAGGACGAAACCGCCATCCGTATCTTCTATCTTCCTCCTCTTCCTCTTCCTTATCACTCTGAGTCAATTCAGGCCAAAACTTCCCCTTCAGGTCACCCATCCTCCCATCCGCCCCAAAGCACCTCTCACACCCTACCTGACTGATTTCCCCCTCAGGCATGGCAACACCCTCTAGATACGCATTCTCCGTAGTCGCCACAAGCAAGCTACTCTCAAACGACAACAACGACGAAACTTGTCGCAGGGCCAATTTATCTGAACAAGACTTACTCCGCGTGGCTTCTGCATCTGCACGAGACGGCTTCCGGCGCACGATACCTAGTCGCGAGAAATGTGCCCGGCCGTCTAGGAGTTCCTCGCTCTCGGCTTCGTTTGCTGTTGTCGTGGGGACTTCCCAGGGTGTGGGATCATCCTGGGCTGCCATGCAGAGCTCCATGCTCGCATCACCGCAGGGAGCACAGGTACAGTACATATAGATCTTCAAGTCCGGACTAAGTTCAAATGGCGGGGTCGTTGATGGCAGGTCTTGACGTGCTCGCCGTCGCCGGATGTAAGGAGAGAATGGCCCTTTCTTCTCATCTGACAACTTCTGGGCTTGCTCCTGAGCCAGAAAGCTCTGACACTCGGTCAAAAGCCAATAATTGAAGGCGCGAAGCGCCAGGATCTCAGCATGCCAGTCATGCAGGACTAATCCTTTGCATTTGGGGACCTGGGACGCTGATAGACATTTTGCGCCGGAGCTGTAGACGTCAGTCAGATATATTTCCCTTTCTTCGATGGAATATTGAAATACATGGGAATCATACGTAACAGCCACACAAGTCAATGCTTCATCCGGTGTACCTTCTCCTGTAATGAATCATTAGAACCCCACATTCTCACATCCAAAAAGACTCCAGAACGAGCATATCCATACAGAAATCGAAAAAGGAAAATGGAACATACCCTTAACAAGCACAATCCCAGACATAGGAATCCACTCCCTCGTCCCATCGGGCCGAACAGTAGGCTTACTCCTCGCAGGCAAGCCATCAAAATGTGCATGAACCAAGCTCGCAATCCGGCACGATAACGAACTCGTCTCCTCCCCCATTATAAAAGATCACTGTATTTTTTAATCCAAATATCCGAAAACCCCGTTGTCCTAAATCTCAATACCTACCATACAAACACCACAAGATCCTTTATATATCTGTTAGATCACGTGATAACATCTAATCAGGAGCCCTTCGATAAGACTTCTCGCTCACCCATGTCATATCTCAGGCCACGCAACATCCTCCGCCAACCCCTAACCCCTCAAACAAAGAATAAAAACCCAGTCAATCCGTCAAAATGGCCGATAAGCTGCGTACGCTCCAAAACCTCGAGGCCATGCAGGCCCGCTACGTCGGTACCGGCCACGCTGATACGACCAAGCACGAATGGGCCTCAAATATCGTCCGCGACAGCTACGCTTCGTACATTGGTCATCCGCCCATGTTGTCGTATATGGCTGTTGGGATGGGGGAGCCGAAGGAGAAGGTTCGGGCTATGATGATTGAGAAGATGGTTCGGGGGGCTGGGAATCCGCCCGAGGTTTGTTTTGGTCCCTTGTTGCTTGTTTCATTTGGATATTAACGAATTGGGGGTTTTTAGACGCAGGAATAAATTGCGCTGGGGTAGATTGGGACTTCATCGTGATTGTTGGGGGCTTGGGGGTTTGGTTCTGCTGGTTGTCCTTCCTCGCCGATTATCGCGGGTTTGCAGATACGGAGTCGAGTGTGATGGTCTATATGTTTCGACTGGGGGTGAGGCTCGGCGCGCCGGGGTTGGTATGCTGCTCGAAGGCGGTTATTGTGTCCCCGGAGGAAATATTTGAGCCTGTTTCCTGTTGCTGTTGATTACTTGGGAGTTAAGGAGTATTTTAGAAGGCTGTCTCTGTGGGATACATGGGTTAATGAGTTGTAGAATATGGGCACGACCCGGTACTGGTTTATTGCTTGTTATGTACTATTATGATTTAACAACTTCTGTTGCATGTCCTTACTGAGGGTACGGAGGACGCGCGCTCAAGTGGGTGTCGGAACAAAACAGCTTTTTTACAGATGCATAATATGGCTATGCTAAGTACCCAAAATTCGCAAAAAAAATATATACATACATTCGAGCTCCATGGCCTAATAACAGAAAGTATCACTTTTCCGCCTTTCCAGCTGCCGCTGCTAAGTTTGTATTTTCCGTCTGCAAGGAAGCAATCAAGTCGAGCCATTGTCGTCTCTCACCTCTAAGTCGCTCGAGCTCCTTTCTCAGGTGCTCATTCTCATTGCGCAATATATCGATTTCCGTTCGAGACCGCGTTTTCTCCTCTCGGTCTGCTTGCTTTCGTTGATGTGTTTCAATCTTGGAGGCCTCCTTGAGCTGGTGCTTCTCGATCTTTCCCAGCTGCTTGAGAAGTTTGGACTCCTCGTGGAACAAGCCCGATGCGACTTTGTGCATCTTCGCTGTTTCACGGGCATTTGTGGGATGAGCAAGGTTGGTATTGGATAAACGGCTCACAGGGCTTGGTCGTTGGTTACTGCTGGCAGCACTGGTGCTCACTTGATCACTGCTAGTATCGGCGGTAGCTAGAGCTGCTGCAGATGCTTTGTCTCTCTTGGCTCCTTCCTCGCGGGTCGGTAAATGGAGAGATCTGATATCTTCTCGTACCCTGTCTAGATGAGCTTCGACATCGCGCTTACGCTGGGCCAATTTGGCGAGTTGTTTCTCGTGTGAGGTCAGTTTGCCGTCCTTCTTCTCTATCCTCATCAATTCCGCCGGTGTAATGTTGTTGCTTCCAGCTTCTAGGGGAGTAGCAAGGCAGGAGTTTATCGAAGATGCCTTGTCTTGAGAAATCTGGGATCTCGCATCATCGTTGTCTTTCTTTCTCTCTTGCGCTGGGGAATCTCCACTAGACCTGGGGGTTCCGTATCCTTGCTCCGAAGAAGCATCGGACATATCCTCAGATGGATAGCGCGAGTAGCCTGGTAAATAGTCAAGCACAGCCTGAGGGGCATATCGTTCCAACCCAGCATTAAGCAGATAGGCAAAGCTGGCAATGAGACCATGGTGCTCCACCTCTGCGTACGATACATCAGAGTCGCTGATATCACCATTCTCAGCTTCCTGCACTCCAGCAGTGTGTTGGCTACTTCTTCTCTGTTGACGTATATCATCCATGTCTGGCTCAGCAGATGTATTAGGGTCACTACTAGCCCAATCAACAAATTTGACCGCATCCGTGCAAATACTCTTAGGCGTGCCCTTCTCAACCATCCACCGAGGAATATTACCTCCAGGATCACTCCTCGTCACCATAATCCACTCCACCGCATTAGCCTCCTCACCACTCCCCTCATCCTTCCCACCCGTCCCCGTCTCCATTTCTCCATTCGCAGATCCTGAACCCGCACTTTTCTCACCGCCCCCCTTCACAGGAATCTCCCTAATAAACTCAACAGATTCATACTGTCCCCGAATATACCCCGGACAAGGCGGCGCATCAGCATGCTCAACCGGCTTCGAAACCATCATCCACCACCTTCCCCCATTCCCCTCCGTAACACCCACCTCCCAACTAACAATCAATGAAACAAAATCCCTCGGCGTAGTCGGCTTCGGAAACTGCGCTGAAACATGAAACACATTCACATGGGCCAGCACCTTCTCCTCGCTCTCATCCTTCACCTCAACCATCTCAACCTGCTTCTCGGCCCCGATCCCCCTCACTGACTGGTCGGGCATCTGGCCCTGCTTCATGCGTTCCCGATTCGCTTTCAGCGTCTCTGTCATCTCGCTCGAGAGCTTCTCCTGCCACTTGGAGAACGGGAGGCCCTCATGCACGCTGCGGCGGCCGAACCAGTGGCCCTTTCCGTCGGCGCCGGGGAGCTTGTGGATGAGGATGTCGAGGGGGTTGTCTCTTGTGCTGGAGATCTTGATGGGTTTGCTCCATTGCTGTTGGAGGGCTTGGAGGTCTGGGTCTAGGGTGTTGAGGCGGGCTGGAGAGGGTCGGATTTGGCGGGAGGAGGGGGAGGAGGAGGAGGCTGTTGGTAAAGGTGGTTCTGGGACTGAGTTGACGATCAGGTGGGCTTTCGTGGAGAGGTCGGCGATGTAGGTGCGGATGTCGGAAGGGTTGGAGGGCACTTCGTCCCAGGTTATTGGGGCGAGGGATTCGAGGGCTTCTTGGAGGGAAGCCATAAGGTTCGATTTGGGAGGATGGTGATTTAGTTTAGGATAGAATTTGGAATTTGCAGGAGTATATAGTATCCACGTTCGCCGTTTACTTTGTAGTTGGGTTGATTGGTGTGAGGAGGGTTTGATTGTAGGCGTTGTGCTGTCGGTTCGGCGGGTAAGCTGTCTTATCGATGGCTCAGCTGCGGTCAAGCTGTTGAGCGGGTATTAAGCAACAGGGGTATTCGCAATTGCACGGTTGATGTGACATGGAGAGCGGACTTGAAAAGTAAGAACCTCTTGCATCAGGCAGAAAACACCAGCGTTAAGTTCGGGGAGGCACTGACGTCATTTATCTAGGACGTGTTTATCACAAGTTCTTTATCTCCGATCTAGACTAATACTAGTAAATACTAACTAGAACGAGTACGAGGTTTACTATTTTTAACCCTTTTATTGGTCTTGGCTGCTAGTCCTGCAATTTCTTCAAATTAAGTTATCCAGACTAGATACATCATGCCCAATCAATGCATACAAAAATAACGAGAGTATGAAGACGTCAAGGACAAATGAACTAAAAGGGGGACCAGCCCCAAACAAAGTGCAAGACTGTACCAGCATCCTATTCTCGTCCGCCGCCTCTCACTCTATGAGAGGGATTGGAATGAGCTTATCCAGGTAATCAGAACCCAGCCTGGACGATAGGGGATGACCCTAAAAGACAAACACGAAACCACATCGCGCCAATAGATTAAGTCAGGGTGCTTTACTCAGAGGGCTAAGCCCCATCAAGTCACAGACCAGACGGTTCTCAGCCACGCTGGGTGCCTGCCACAGGCAGGATACCCAAACCCAACGAGTAAACTAACCTCCCTTGCTCTATCGGCGTAGACGTAGTCTGTGATGCCGAAAGGAACTGCGGCCGTAGAAATAACGTAACTCGCAGCGTCGCATTCAATTCCTCTTCAATCCGACCTAGCGGATAACCAGTCCAGTACCCTGTACCGGAAAGAGGACGTCCAGAACGGAGAAGGACGGTGCTAGGACCGGCCGTAACACCATCGATCAACCCGCTCTGGGCGGATGCGGCAACGAAAGAAAACAATGGCGAGCATTCCTCATCCAAATCATATCCCAAGCCGTGAGGCTAACCAGGTCTTTCATGACATATAAAACGGGATTTGAACAGTGGGATATTCTCATGAGCAAATAACAGATAGCCGACCCGCCGCTTCTTCATGCAGAACAACAAAACCGAAAAACAAAGAAAAAGAGAACAAAACGCTAGCGCTGGCTTAATGAGAGAAAGCAAACAAGAAGTTGAAAACATAATTGCCAAGAGAGGGGATATTATGTTCTTGGATTGTCATGCAAACGAAGTGGAGTATCATAGTCGCAAAGTCGTCAATGGGAACGCCGTCACTGATGCCAATTAGTCTGTTGTCTGTATCTAAGGAGTACTGCTCCCTGTCGTCCTTGCGGGTATATCTCGGACTCGACGGGTACAGGAGCGCTGGATTCGGCTTGTCGATACGGGCGCTGGGATCTAATCCAAAAATACGCGAAGTCAGGGAAACCGTCAACGTCAAGTGTCTGGCTCCATAGGCGTATTACATGGTAGTCCCGTACAGCGCAAGGTCTTGGTATCGATCCCCCCACCCAAATCCTATCATATTCGCCGCAGTGCTGCAGGGTTGTACCAACATGCTTGGCAATGGGAGCGCAGCAAGTGCGGCGGACGTCGCAACGGTGCTATAGTACTGTGTCGCGTTGTAGGGCGAAGTGGTGTACGGTTGGATGTAGGACGGCGTCGGAGAAGCGTATGCAAACTCATTCATATTGTTCAGGCTGGTCCACATATTAGGATTAGAGTCCCCTGTACTGGCCGTTGCTGGGCTGGATGGCAGTACTTTCCACGAGTCCATCGTCACAGGCTGCTGCATATGGTCATGCCACCACGTCTCAGGACCAGTGGAACTGGGGAGAACAGGTGTTGAGCGAAGCACGTCGACCACTCGTGGAGGTGGGGGAAGCAACGGAACAAAAAGAGCGGATATTGCGGCTTTTGCTTCCTCACTTCGGCCACCAAGCAGCTCACCTGCGCCGTCCTCCTCAAGCCCTTCAATCGCTTGCGCACTGGTGCGATAAACGAACTTGTTGGCAGCTTGGACAAACTCCTCCTGCAATTTCTTCAACTGGCTCTCCTTTTCAGACCAGTCCCAGGTGCTAGTGGCGCTGTCAATGGAGTAAATGTCCTTGTGGAAGTCGACCAACGTTTCGATTGTTTCTGGCGTCAATTTGAAGGCAACCTCATTTCGGGACACCATGTCAACATGCACTACGTACGCCTCGATGTGAATCATTTGATAGTTGAACAGTGCCTCCACCAGGGGGTTTTCATCCTTCCTGAGCTCCGAGTCGGGGGCCTTGGGGAACATCATGGAGCAGAGGGTCCAAATGGCATTAGATGAGGACAGGGTTTCCGTCAGACATTTCGTATGCTGCGTCACGTTGTTTAGAGGTCGCTTGACTCGGCTAACTCGTTTCAATGTCGCGGTCAACCATGGCTCGATTCTAGTGTTCAACACCACGTTCGGCGAAGACCGTGGCGCAAAAGCAGCGGCCGACGACGGTAACAGGACCGTCGGCATTACGACTCCACGATGATGATACTATATTGAAAAATGAAGGAACAAACAACTGAAAAGTCTGTGAAAAGAGAGAAAAAGAAGGCACAAAGATCATAAAGGCGACATTCGCCCACAATAAGTGGTTCTCCGATATAATGATGGATGACCCAGCGGTAAGACGGGATCACAAGTGGCGAGTGATTTCTAGTGTTTGACCACTAAAATCGGAATAGCACCTGATCGGATAAATTGGGACCGTCTGTAAAGATATATAATGAAATAACCCACAGTACTGGCCACAGTGGAGTGGGATGGATATGGAATATAGTGAGGTCCAGATTACTATGCGGGCGAACGCGCAAAAGAGAAGAGAAAATGACGAAAGGAAGGAATGAAAATGAAAGAAAGTTTTTTTTAGAGCGGTACTTAGGATGGAGGGGATGAAGAGGCGAGACGCAGAGTGGGAATAGAGAGAGAGAAGAGAGCGCGAATAGAGAAGAGTCGAAGAGGGGCGGGAGAGGATTGGCCCGAAAGGAAAGAGAAGAAGGCAACGGTCACTGATTCAGAACACAAGAGAGAATACTGTAGGGTGTATTAATGGTGCTGGGTTTTAACTTATTATACAAGGTCCTAAGGCAAAAGAATGCAAGAAAAGAAAAGGGAAAAAAGAAAATAATAGACATCCAAAATCCTATCTCTGATAATAATATAAAAAATACAACGACAAAATTATTATTGATCAGAACTAATCAGTTGATATACTTTCACTATGAAATGTAGGGGAGCTTTTTTTTCCATTTTCTTTTCCTGGTTTCAACCTACAACTGCCACCTGCTCTGGGCGCATAGATCCAACCGCTAAATGGATGCCCGGCGACTTTTCTCATGCAGACGTGAAATCCCGATCGTATGGAACGAGTCCATACATACACACAGAAAGCACAAAATTTAGCCACTCCCCAGATACACCGTCCGAACTCAGCTGTGTACCCTCCTTCGCACTGGAGTTTAGGGCGTTAGCAGCATGCATGCGTCCAGAATCGTCGCCCTAAAGTGGAGCCTGGCAGTTGAGAGTTAGTAGTTGCTGGATGGATCGACCCAGAAATATGTCAAGTTATTTTACCCCTCGATGTACACCACAGTACAATAGGTAATATACGTCAGTAAGACAACTATGGGCTCTGGTAGCAACTCTAGAAAGACCCTTGAAGGGCGACCGAAGCGCCAAAGGGTAGTGTGGCTGGGATGACTACGCTATAACATGATTTGGGGAGTTTCGGATGGTTCACGGGTCCACGGGTCTGTCAGGCGATTGGAGATCGCATCTAGTTTCTATTCAAACCTTGGCTAGAAAGTCTGTCTGGTCTCTCTTACTTTTTTAATGAACAATTTTTTTATGGGATTTCTAAGGGGGTAAAAGATTATACGACCCGCGAATGATATAAGAACCAACCTGGAACAGTAGTACCCGGTAAAAGCGTATCAAAGATCAATCTGCGATAGAGTATGACTGTACAGTACCTAACCTAATGTATGTACGTATGTAAGTATGTATGACTTGATTTTATTCCATCATGAGCCATAATATGCCCGCAGGTGGATTGCTTCCCAACGCCAGAAGCGTCACACAGATACAACATCAGATATTCGCTGGGATTTGAACCTGAAAGACATTGTAGGAGATAATATTGTAGCATTTAGATTCCAAAAGAGAATCATTCAGATTTGGGCTGTAGCTACCAAACTATTTGTAGGCGCTGCAGGTCTGTTGCAGTAGTGAGGTATGGTACTAATGATGTATGAAAGAACATACATACTCATACCAAGCAGGTAACATTCGGAAGCAAAATCTGAATGTGGTAACGAGAGCATACCAATCGCAAGAGTGTTGGCTAAGCCCCAAAAGCTGACCCACCCATTGGGTTAAATGCATCTTTGTTCAGATCTGACTAAGTAACGGTCATCGGCATCAGATCTTTTATTACAGGAGATAGTTATTGTTTCCTCGCCTAGGACTCGAAAACTAGCCCGTTGAGTCCATAGAAGAATAACAATATAGAGTCATGTCCTTGAATACTCCTTTCTCTCATCCCAGCGCGAAAGAACCCGGCATTTCTTACTGATGACCACCCCACTTCCATCTTGGGCATGAAGATCATCCGATACTCGTTTTGGTGAGGAGTCTCCGCCACCTGTGGATACAATTTAGTCGCTTATGTTCAGCTGGGATGTTCTCTTCAAGTATAGCCCTCTTGCTGAAATTTAAACTTAATAGTACATCCGAAGGAAAGCGCTGTGTATTTGCACCAGGCTCTTTTATTCAATCAAAAAGGCAATGGAAACAGAAATAATGAGAATTCAAATAAATAATTTAATAATTTAAATAAATAAAAAGAGAAGAGGAAATAAGAAACGCGTGTTTGTAAAATGGACCAGATAGGTTTGAGGGAAAACAAAACGGAGAAATTCGCCGAAAAGTCTATCTGCAACTTGTTACAGCCATGCATTAGGGTTTCTTTCTTAACCCTCCCTTGACTTGCTTCAAAGTCATTCAAGCCCGCATATAATATCCCCTCTGAACATATTAAATAGGATAGTCTTAAATACACTCCCACAAAGAAAAGTGACGTCGTCTGCGGACAAAAGGCCCGCCGAAAGACTCCACAAAGCTTTGACCAGTGCGCACAACCACCACGGCCTCTTGCCTTTCTGCCAAAAGACCTATCATGTACAATGTAGACTCTAGTCCGGTACATGCACCAACCCTTCCGTAAACATGGTATACCTTGCAGACTGCAATACCATAGACAAACTCTAGAGTAGTAGTAGACTTTGCTGACTGCAACTCGGACTGCAACTCAACCATGGGAGACTCGTGTATCATCCGTGGTTCTAGACGAATCCAAGCCCTCTCAACCTAATTCCAAAACAATAATGAACGAGATGACATATCATTCTGTGCTACACAACGGATGAGCCCTGCCATTTATTTTTTTTCTTTGTCCCTCCCACTTGCCCATATTCCGACACTTCTAGTTCCACATATGACGTACAACGAGGAAGCAAAGGGCGAAAAAGATATTAAGGAAGAGAATTAACATACAAAAAAAAATTCAAGTATCTCAGGTGATGAATCGCGGGTCGAGTTATCGTGGGGCGAGCTAAAAGACCTAACGAGTCTTGGGAAGCTGGAAGGGTGCCTGTTCAGGCCTCAGATTCGCTGATGGCTACAGAGCCCGGCTCACTGCGCTGCACTCGAGATCCCTGTTACGATCTACCATTGGACTGAGCTTCGTCGACGGTCGTCTCTGGACCTTACTAGATCTGGAAGTCATTCGGACCACTGTAAGGACTTGTAAGACTGTCATTCAGTCGATACAAGCACGGGGGAAAAAGGGGGGGATTGTCCGGTTGACTTCCGTAGATTTCTCTTTTCCCGATCCGCATCCATGCTTCGCTCACGTTTCCCTGGATTCCGCGCTGCGCTACATACCCGATAAGTAGGGACTCGTGGAGTCCGTCCGTCCGCAATACGCGGAGAGGCAGGTCCCAGGCTGTGTATCATTCAGGGGAGTCCGGAGGATCCTGGGGGTAATGTTCCTATCAGTCAACAGACCCCATGATCTGTTGCACGCGGAGGCGGAAAACGTCTCTAGGAGGAATGGCTGAAACCCGGCTACACCTGGCTAGGCTTAATAGGGTTGGGAGAAAGAGTCTTGATATTTGCCATCAAGTGATTCCACCAGACTGTCGCACAGTACCCAACAGACGACCTTAACAAGGCAGGCAGAAACATTACAATCAATGGCAATGGTAGAGATCAGATAATGAAAGATGCTGCTATTGGTATCAGCACGCGCCCAGCAATAGGGTTGATGCATACAAAGTGCTCACAAGCTGTGGCAAAAAGTTAACTGATGATGCCAGAACGTTTGGCATTATCGGTTGGAGTCGGCATCCGGCAGGAGCAGTCCAGGGAGTAAAATATCTTCTTGTGCAGCAAGGCAACCAGCGTCGTCAGCTTGGGCGATAGATTTGCGACACATTCCAGATAGAATTAACCGCTATTTGTTGCCTCTTCATATCATAGTAGGGCGTCGTGTCTATAATAAAGTTATTTGACTATGACCAGGAGAATTTTAGCTCCAATGAGAAGAGGACCATACCCCGAAAGTGCGTACAAGCACCACATATGGCATTGTAACAAGGTAAGATATCCCCTTTCCGGAGATGACCGACTGCTGCGCCTCTTCCATTGTTGCCACATCAGCCACACAGAGATTGTGGCGGAGTTTCTGCAGTACAACGGTGGCGTAACTGTTAAATATAGATAGATATTAAGAATTAAAATAATAAAATGGAAAGTGGACTGAGCAGGGGTTCCACAAAAGACACATACATTCTAGCAGAATGTTAGCGTACATGAATTTGTTTTGGGCCATAGACGTCCTGAGTACCTCATTCCACTGATACCGTGTACCCGGCCGGGTTCATAGTACCACCTAATATAGTACTCTTCTTAAGTTAAGGACGGTACTCACATGACGAAACTATGTGGCCTCTGACAGGCTGCTATGTAACTTGCAGATCCGTTGCCAGTCTTCCTATCCAGCAACATCCGCACCAACGTCTAATTCCCTAGTTTCGTATCCCCGTATCATGCGTATCGTCATTTTTCTCATAGAAGGCGACAACGTCCCAGACAGAATAAACTCTTTTTCAGAGGTTCTTTCACCAATACCTCTCCGCGGCATAACGCGCTCAGTTAGCGTCCTCAGCGGACATCATATCGGCGGGTTCAAATAGCAATAGGTCAATGATGAAGCCAGCGCCCTTCCAACCATTGGTCATGAAGCTCTCAGTGAAATGGAGCACAATGCAGTCGATGTGGCTGCGGCTATTCCTTGTACATGGACATCAACAATAATAAGACTACGAGCGATTTTCTTGACGGTGGGTAGTACACCGGGACAATGCTGCGGATCTACTCCTTATGGTACCTTTGATCAGATGGTAGACTGGGTTTATCGTGTCTTGGTCAACTAGATAACGGAAGTACCACATAGGGGGATAGTGGTAGTGAAAATGAACGCTTGCTATGACCTTGCTGCGGGTTGGAGAAGATCAAAACGGGGTTATCTCAACCTAGCCAGTTAGAAGTATAATTTGCTTTTTAACTGTATGACGCAGTTTACACTACTATCTCAGATATATTGCAAAACATATCGCACGAAGCAAATAAGTGGGCGACAGCGGTCCTAGAAAAATTTGATTATAAAACCAGCCTTTAGTATAGTTGAACTGCGCATAAAAGATGTTAGTGTCCCTTGCTATAGTTAGCAGTCCAAGAGTCTCCGTTCACTCTATATGTCTTCTTTTTCATCCAGTATACTGCACACCCAATTGAATCTGTGCTATCAGACACCATGCGCATGAGGTTTGGTTCGTGGTAGCAATGACCACAAAGCGATCAAGGCTATCAGCAATGCAAGAACGAAAGGCTGCAAGCTCTGCACGCCACGCGCTCCCGAGATAGCACCGGCAACAAAAGGAAGTCTGTCCACAGATAAGCAGAAGTCCACGAGTCAGAGGTCTACTACTAGCCCAATCACTTCATTAAGGGAGTTAACTTACATTGCTGCCCCGCCACCAGCCAAAGCTGATGCGAGTCCAATACCAGGAGTATGTAAATGCTTTGGAAGCAGTTTAGCAGCCACTACAATTGCTCCCGGGAAAAGAGGGCCGGTGAAGAAGCCGAGTAGGGAGACTGCGACTGCGGACACGATGAACTTTGGCACCAGCCAAAAGACAAGTTGAAGAGCAATTGAGATGGCAAGGTAAATTGTAATAGCCATTCGTTCTCCTTTAGACTCGGTCAGCATTTCCACGTTGAGATTTTACAGAACTGATAGTACTTGCCTAACCATTCATTCGCAAAGCCAAGGACAAGTCGCCCGAGCGTAACTCCAGCCCAAAAGCCAGTGGGAATCAGACCAGCTTCGTACATGCCTCCATGACGGACCTGCATCATGAATTCGACAATCCAGCCACCCACCGACACTATCAAATCAATCATTAGACGTCCCCAGAAATTTAATTCAGGAACTCACCTTCGACACCCATGTAAATGAAGAGCCAGGTAGCCAACAGCCAAGTGGTAGAGCTCTTCATAGCCTCTACAGTCCTGTTTCCACCGCTGGTATCGTTGGGGCTTTTGGCATTATTAATACGGAAGTTTTCTGCATTTTCCTGCCAGAACATGGCCACACTTGCTACTAGTTCTAGGGCAGAACCGCCAAGTAGGGTGTAGTAGAAGTAGTTCCAGCGCAACCCAGACTTAATCATTTGGGTGGCAATAGTCGGGCTGAGAGTTGCCCTACATAGACAGAAAACAGATATTAGCAGTGATGCCCACTTGGGTTAATCGTATTCACATACCCAAGTCCGTAGAAAGCGCTAAGAAACCCCATCAACGTATTCGCGTTTGCCATATCGGCAATCCAGGCATTCCATGCAGCATCGATGAGACCATTTCCCAAGCCCACGATCACGTAGGCGGCCAGCATTACGGGGTACGGAGGATGAATTGCCATAACGATAAACGGAATGATGTGGCAGAGAGGACCGATAAATGCTACGCCTCTCTGTCCCAAGGTCATGTGGACCTTGTTTACAAGAATAGTTGCAATCATGTAGCCGACAAAAGGCGTAACAAAGATCAGCGAGACAACAGTGGTAGTTAGGTTAAAGTCCTCACGGACCTATTAGGTGTCAGAATGCTTGACAGTAAAAGAATAGGACGAGTGTATACATATGGAACCAGCGCCTGCAACTATGTTAGCTTCTCTATATAAAGAGGTTGCCATGATTGGAACTGACACCGTAGACTCCATCACTGGCGCCTACAACTGCAAAGCTAACAAAGGTAGCCAGAAGACGCCATTTGTTAATGGAAGGGTCATTCCACCTTTGCTTCGCACGAATAATCGCAGCTTCTGTGCCCGGGCCAAATGAGTTCGATAGCACTTGGCTTTCCTGTTGTTCTTGAGAAAATAATTCAATTGTAGTTGTGGCTGACATATTGTGTTGCTGTTAGAAAAAGGTGATCACCTGGCGAGAACATCAGTAACTTTACGAATACACTCACAAAAGTGTAAGAAATTATGCCCAGAGCTATATGACTCAATCCTCCGGGGCGGGGACCAAAAAAGGTTACGTCTCTGCTGCCAAGAGCCCTAACCAAAACAATATGTTCTACCGATCCTTTCCACTTACCAGAAAGCAGAAGGATGAGAACTATACCTTCTATGGGTAATTTCAACTGGATCTTCCAGATCTTTGACAAATCTAGCCCTCATACCCCCCTCATCTAGGCCAATCAATAGCGACCTTCTCAGCTTCTCCACTCAAAAGAAATCTATAGATGAGAGGGACACAGAATTCTTGGCCTAAAGTGCGATATATATAGTAATCTCCCGTGTTGGAAGTCTTGGGGTTGTCAATTTCAGTAAAATCCACGACATCGAAGATTCGAGTGCAACGGGTGTAGTAAGGACTTACTAAGGAAAAGGGGTATCAATAGTATGATAGGACAGGTTAGAGCGCTCTCCCTGTGTTACTAGATACGAGTATAAAATGAATTCTCCCAAACAGAAGGTGAGATAGACAATCTAGCAAATAGAAGCAGGGAACAGGGACCGCCCGGCGTTCGTCGGTTTTTGCGGGTGCCAGTATTATCGATCTGGGTTGAGACGTGCGAGCTTTTGTCCGGTTTGAAATAAGAGAACAACTGACCAGAATTTAGATAACAAGTCTTCTTACGTTTCCAAGAGGTCGTCGTAGTCCGTTCTAAGTAGCTCAACATGGCGAATATCGAGCCACCGGGTTCGCCAATCCGTCGTCTGCAGAACATATTTGGGTATCCTAAACCGCCTGACATCAGTCGCAAGATCACTGCCTATGTAGCCTGTCGGAAGCAAAAGGTACGCAAAGACAAATCTTGAAGTAACCTGCTGCGGCTCTAACACGTTATCAGATAAAATGCCATATGAATGAGTCCCAGCCACCATGCACTCGATGCAAAGAGAAAGGCCTCCATTACACTGTAAATCGCAGCCTGCAGATGCTGCTAGAAAATGATGTACTTTGAGTGAAGTCAAACCTTGTACCCTTTTCTTCATATTCCATTAACCTCTTGCTATTAGATGGAAACAAAACATAGAACAGAAGATAGAAAAGCTAGGGCAGCCATTGGTCCGATCTCGGGTAATAATTCATCCTTAGATGTTCCTCAGCAAGAAGAGCAAGAGTGAAAATGTAAACCATCGTCAGCGAGTAGTAAACAAGCTGAAGTGAATCGGCAAGTTGATTCGCATACAGCAAGCGAGGAGCTGGGTCGGTGGAAAATTATCAGACTTGGAACCAAACCCAGCAGCGCTTCCAGGCCATTATTTGATACCAGCAAATCCCAGGCAAAAGAAAGTCCCCACGGATATAATCTCTCGCGGTGTCATTAGCAATGAGAATGCCCAAAATAATTTGGTGAATATTAAAGCCGACTGGACTATTTTGCTTACTGCATCCTGGGAGATAATAGTACTGCAACATAGGATGGGTTAGAGAGGTCTCACCACTCCTAGCAATAGCTATTTGCGCAGTAGGTGCTCTTCATTTGTCCTCTTCAGACTACGAGGCGCTCTACAGAGAATTTGTCACCCTAAGCGCCCCTTTGAAATTTTCGAGGAGGAACACCGTCGATGACGTCCGAGTGCTCTGCATTGGTGCTTTCTGGCTCAGTGATCTTTCTTGGCCACTAGTTGGCCTAGCTGGGCGAATAGCTACAGGGCTTCAATTGCATAAGAGTTTTTGCAAGGCTCTGCGGGGAGACAGAAACCACTATTCACCCACGCGATTATATCTTCTAGTTTATATGCCTGTGTCCGCCATTTCTCCATGCCATACGGCAGACCACCAATGACTAGAAAGGGTGAGGCTGTGGGATATGCGCGGATGTTCTTGGACTGTATCCATGCAACTGAAGATGATGCACGACTAGTAAGCCAGGTCTTGCGCTGGAGTAACTGCACCAAAGTCTATGATAGCTTTGGTCCCGATGTCGACCGACCGCATTCGAATACAGATATTCCGCACGTACGACGGCTCGTCATCGCTCTAGATAACCTCCGTGTGGAATGGGCTGACAAAGTTCAACCCAAATGTTCGTGTCGGAAACTATCCTCGCAAAGGTGTCGGAATGCAATACCCCTTTGCCAAACTTTATCTCTGTTGGCATGCTCTGCGTGGGGCTGGATCAAAACAGGATGAATCTTGAGCTCCTGATGTGGCTTTGGAGTTGGAGGAAATTGCGAATCTCGTCGTGCTTTCCGCTGTATCTATACTTCGGGCAGTGGTCTCAGATACCGAGTTTCTATCGTATCACAGCGACTTGCCAACATACTTACATATCATGATCGCCTTTGCAGTGGTTTTCTCAAAGCCTCCACCTACTTCATCACTTCGGTACACCTTGATAAACAGGAGACCCAGCGCCTAATGACATCTTTGGTCACTGTTTTGAAGGGATTCAGGGCTCCCATGAATCCTCATCACCTGTTCGTCGGTCTTATGAAGGAAATTGATGACCTCTTACAACGACGAAGCAGAATGGCATCTTGTGTAGCTATAGCTACGCCGACAACCTCACTACAGCAGAAGCCACAGCATGCTATATTTGGTCACAATACGCCGCATGAAGAGCTTGATTCTACCACTGATGGGAATTTCGACCTGTATCTCATGAGTGAATCCGATCTTTTAACGAGTCAAGGCCAAGATGCTGTGATGTAAAAGACTTTAAGACGACTAGCTCTGCAGGCAAGATCTGAAATAATGATTAGTAGCCATATCAATGGACAAATAATATCGCCACAGAGGGATTTTTCCTTAGAAATTTCTACAACCAAAAACAATTTCCTAAGTGACTTAGGCATGGTGTGTAAACAACCTGCCGGGAGGAAGACCGAGGCTGATCTCGGATAATCACCGGTCTCACTAATAAAATTAAAAGACATATAGTGTTTTTACTTCTTCACTATCAAGAAAACAATTAACCCCTTTACGAGAGGGGATGGAATGTCTTAAGTCGCATTCTGCTTCATATACCCGGGCGTTGAAACAGCTACTACGTACTACGTACACTTCCCCTATAGCCTCTGAGAGATAATAGCAATACTGATGTCACATCAGACTTGTGGCAATCGGAAACTAATTCTGCCTTGATTATGGTTCCAAGCGACAAGATCTCGAGTGATACCCACCAGAACTCTCCTGCTGAGAAAACGGCGGCTATAGTTAAACTGACCCCTAAGAACAGTGTGGCTAAGCTATCAAATCATAACGAAGATGCACAAGGCATTGGAGGCTCAGAACAGCCTTTTTCAATGTTTAGCTCTGCGACAAAAAGGTCTATAGTCTTCATAGCCTCTCTCTCACAACTCTGCTACCACTTACAGGGAGTATGTACTATCCTGTAATTACGATGTTTGTGACAGACTTAAATGTTTCTATAAGTGCTATTAATCTTACTATTATAGCTTATCTGGTAAGAGTGGCATGAGGCCTTTTGAACTGAATTGATTGGATGTTGATACGTACGCATCGTGGTCTTTCAAGGGTTTGCTCCGTCTTTTATCGGGAATTTATCTGATGAGACTGGCCGTAGACCCTCTCTCATCATTTGCTTCGTTGTATATTTTGCCGCTTGTATAGGTGCTGTGGTGAAAGGGGATTATGCCCTATTAATGTGTTGTCTTCAGAGTGCAGGGAGCAGCGGTACTATCGCGCTCTCCTTGGCGACTTTTCTCCGATATTGTTACATCAGCGGAACGAGGACGCCCTACGTCGTACGTACAGATGTGCTATATGGTTGGGCCAGCTTTTGGACCGGTAAATTTTTGTTAGTGTTTAGTGGGAATAAGCATGAATTTTGATATGGATGCTAATGGCTCTACCTTACAGGCGATTGGTGGCCAGTTAAGTCAATATCTGGGTTGGAGGTCCATCTTCTAGTTCATCACCATCTTTGCCTCGGTGGTATTCATAGTCCTATTAATATTTCTACCAGAGACTAGCCGGAAGATAGTCGACATAGGTTCCATTCCAGCTCAAACTTGGAATGTGCCACTGTTCACCTACCTATGTACTCGCATAGCAGTGCAAGACCAACAACGGCTCGCCAGGTAGTATGAGCTGCACAACTTCCAAGCTCAACTGAGCCCCTTGCATTCCCTGAAACTATTTCTTAACAATAGAACGTCTGTCCTACTACTGCATAGCGGCCTCATTTACGCAAGCTCCTACACGGTGCTCTCGAACATGCCCGATCAATTACAAGAGAAATACGGACTAGGGACCCTACATAACCTCTGCTACTTTGCCCCAGGCATTGGAGCTATGCCATCCATACTCGTCGTGGGACGCCTCCCAGATTGGTATTTTCGTCGGTATGCCAAGCGCTTTGGGTTAGAACTGAACAAGGACAAACTACAAGATCTCACAGATATTTCCATCAAAATTGCCCGCCTCCAAGTTTGCCTTCCTTTACTCTTATTTACTGGAATCAGCTTGATAGCATACGGATGGACCATGCAAGCTCGTACGCCCTTGGCTACACTCATGATATTTCTTTTTTTACAATCATTCGGCAGCTCGAGCGCGTTCTTGGGGTTTAGCAATCTGATTATCGATTTGGATGTAGGTCGTTGCTAGATGGGTACAGGTGGTGTAGCATTTGCAGAGCCGCTAAGTAATGCTAGTGGTATTGGATGGATGGCTGTGACCATCGCTGGTGTATGGCTTGTTTTAGCCCACTTCCATTCTTGGTGCTCAGATAGGGTCCGAGATGGCGGGATCGGAAGACGTCAAAGGACCTCGAGGTTACCGCACATACTGATATGGTATCTTAAAGGTTACATTTCAGCCTTCAATCCATCTTGAGACGACGGATGGGATAGCTAAAGACCATCACAAAGATATTTTGCCTTAGGGTTGGTGTGAGTCACGTGTTGGAGATACATACAAAATATGACTTTTGTGGCGCTGGTTTAGTTTCTGACTTTAGTACCCTTACAGAGATATCACTTACCATGTATGCACTGAAGTATATCTAGAATATGTGGTAGTTGAATAACAACGTCACTTCTTACCAACCACCAGTCTCCCATATAGATGACGGAACCCCCCAGAATGGCACGAGAAAAGCAAAAGCAAAATAAAACTTTGTAGTTATGCCCTTGCCCTACGCTCCCCAACATACCGTTCCACTAAGTAAACTTAGGGCCCAGCTCATAGCTAAAGATCGGCTGTACTTCGGAGTGCTAGAAAACTTTTCCTGTACCACTTTCTGGTCGTTGATCTTTCATCGTCTCATTCTCGACGGTATGTTAATCTCTGCACTACGCACGAGGGAGTTGATCAAAGTAGATCCAGAACACCCGATATTGGCACTAATATGACTCCCATCACTGGAAAGAAAATCTCTTCTCTTTCCCCACCACCATCAGGACAGTAATAGCCCTTACGGCAAGAACATGATTTACTGATATGCACAAAATATAATCCAGAGGTCTAGTGAGCCAAAGATTAGCCTCTAAGGTGTGTAGGTAAACTAGCTGACATTGTCGTTTCACCATCCTAGTTTAACCTAATAGTGACGGACGCAAGAGGTAGGTGGCGCGCGCCTTTTGCTATCCATTCTATGATATCCTTTGAAACAGGTGTTTTTTATTGTAGGACTCCAAGTGGAATTCTATCAATTGGGGCCTGTAGTCGAGTATATCACACGGAATCTATAATAATTGAAAGACACGGACTGGATATTTCAGATGCAAGGAGAACGCAGGTGCGTCTAGCATCTGCTAGGGAAATGTCCCTTTGCTAAGGGCAAAGAGAAGCTAGTGTAACCTCGTTATCAGTTGACATAAGCGCGGCTGCGCTGCATGGGTTTCTTGCAGTAATCCCCGTTAATAAATTGACTGAAAGACCCCAAGTGTGAATGGATCGTACGTGGGAAAGGATCTTCTACGGGATAAAGGGGCGGCGAAATGGATATTTTTTACCCCCACAGGATAAGCAACTGACTAATAAGGATTAGTAGCCGTTTACCCTACAATTGACAAAATGAATGGAACTCGAGAGTGCTCTCAGCCTTGGCCTTGGAGGCTTGGACTGTGCTTTGTCTAATTTTTGAGTCCTCGACTAGAGATGCTGGCATTCAAGATGGTCCGTGAGGCTTCTAGGAGTTGGCAGCTAGTAAATAATGTGATCCCGACCCAAGTCTTTCAGGTGAAAGAATTGAGAAAAAATAAATAAATAATAAGAATAATGAATAATAAATCAACGAACAACTACTCATGCAGGCGCGGAAAGAAACCTTAGGTTGAACCCTTGTCAAGTGATGACTCGGTCAAAAAATAGCAACCGCGTACCGTAGTTGATCGATCCTAGGAGCCTTTTTACCTCCACTCTCTCAGGTACCGAGGGTCCCGGTCCAACCCCCGCTCGAATGTCTCAGTGAACCATCGAACCATCCATGGACCTTGGTAAACCGTGCGGATCACAATATACGGGATGTCAGAAATGACATAATTCTCATCGTTGGCTACCCAAAAGACAGTGCGTTGTGATCTGTGCCACTGGAGCGCCAAGAAACGCCTTGATGGAGAAATCCAATCAGGTATGCATGATTCTCCAGTTTACAACAAACAATATATATTAATTTATCGTATTGAATAAGTTAAAGCTCGGATGACGCTTTTCTAGAGCTGGTAAGCAGTGCGACCATTTCGAAATCTATTGGCGGGCACTACTGTATGCACGACAAACTCGACCTGCATTCCCACACAAATCATCGATCAATTGGATACTATATTCGAGGGTTCTGGAAGACAATAAAAAGCAAAAGGAAAGAAGAGGAAGAAACTAAAGAAGGGGAGAGAGGAAAGGGGAAAAAAACATTATTCGGAGCAGCGGATTCCGTTGAATCGACCAAATGGATCCCTCCGCGTGTGTTAGTGGAGTATTAATCCTACTACCATATATGGGTATGGAGTAAAAACATCACAGTCGGACAATGGCTTAGTCAATTTGGAGCCCCCAGTCCCTTGCCATGTCCAAGAAAAAATAAGACTTTTAGGTGGCCGAAGAAAAGGAACCAAGGCGCAAACCCCGCTTAATGGTCACTGTCGATCATCAAACTAAAGCAAATTAAACCCGGTATGGAAGCAACTTTCACTAACTGCTCGTGCGCTTATTGACTCACGATGCTAGCGAATATCCATCACATGCTACCGAGCCAAAATTCGGAGCAAAAGACAGCTGCAGGATGTGGGCTTCCTTGCGTTGTTGGCTTTCTCTCTCTCTCTTCTGTGTGTGTGTGTGTGTCTTAACTCTCTTATCTTGTCCCGAGTCCGGCCTCCTACAATTAAGTTCAGAAAACAGACCTGCTTCCCCATGCCAAGGGAACAATTGCGGGTGAAGAGCAACCCCCCACAGTTGGGGATCTTTCTCTTTTCCGAGAGTTTCCTCTCAGGGATAAAGCTCCGTTTTCCACAAGGAGTGTGACTGAAAATCATCTTTCAAAGTAGTTCGTATAGCAAATAGGCCCATATGAAGTGACCATTAATCAAGGAAGTATAAGCTAACCCAGAAAATAGTAATAATTACGGGCCGTGTGGGTTAACCACAATTCACCGCTGCTCGGCTCAGGCTCTGTTCGGAATCGTACCTCAAATGGCATGCACCCTAGTCAGGGACTAACAGCTGCTACAGCCGCCTGTGCCCAATCAAGGAGCCTCTTTTTCACATAGATCGGCAAGTATATTGGAGCATGCCCCCATTGGCATAGCCGCGAGGTAACATTGATTGTCAAGTGCTCGCTTGGTGTAGGACGATCACCGAGGCAGAGCAGAAAAGAGAGGTATTATCTGGGGATGGAGAGAGATTCTCACGGAAACTCGTAATTTGTCGCGATTATCATTTGCTCCCCGCAAGGCCTATTGACCCTCACGCACTCCGCGGATCCACGGCTCACTCCGACAAGCACAGCTTGCTCCAGATCGTGCCACCTTCTCCGCTGGCCATCGATTATCCAACCCTACGGCGGTGCTACTGTCTAAGTAGACAGGGGAATAAGCGATCAGCATGTCGTATCAACACACTCCAAAAGGGCATTTCCCCCGCAGATCGGGCCCAAAACCTTCTGCCACTGACATCAGGACCAGAAGAACCAACACGACGAAGTTTACTTCACATGTGGGGATCAACTATTAGCCCTCGGTCTACTCTCGTAGTCCTCCAGTAGCGGGTTCTGTGGAGAAAATGGGGAAGATTCCCGCATCTGTAAGCATAAAAGGAGCCATGCCGCCTCCTTGGTTCTGGAATCGGGCTCTTCAGTCGTCAATTGCTGGCCAACCCCTGTGGAGAGCATACACCCAGCATGCGTTTCTCAACAATATTGTCCGCCCTTCTGCTTTCCAGCACCTCGCTGGCAACACCAGCTCAAGTTTCTTCGGCATTGGGCGATGCCTCAACACGGGGGAATCCTGAGGAACACCCTCTAGGTCAGACACCCGCTGCGGCACCGGAGGCGACTGCTGCCGCTCAACCGAGCGATAATGCTGGTCAGCCACAGAATTTCAATGCGAACCAGGGTCCAAGCTCCCCTGTCAATCAGCAGCCCACAGTCAATGTGAACCAGCAACCTACTGTTGAGGCCAGCCAGCAACAGAGTGCCAACAACGATCAGCGGCCGACTGCCAACGTTCCCTCACAATCGAACGCTGCGCCAGAGCCATCTTCGGGTCAACAAACGGACGGTGGCTTGCTGTCGCACCTAATTCCCACTGGCGTTGCGGATTCTTCAACCCAACAGGATTCGGGTGCGCCTGCCCCAACTGCTTCACCAGCGGAAACTGAGGGTAGTGCCGGTCCCAGCCAGGCCACTGCTTCGTCAACTGCGCAGTCGAAATCCCAGGGATCCGGCACCCAAACCGCCGCTTCATCATCATCAACCTCGTCAGCAGGTAGTCCATGGGAGAGCCTTATCCCCGATGGATTTACAGGAAAGCCAGGGACAGATCTGGGTAATGGACTTTCGGGCCTCTTGGGCCTTCTATCTCCCACGTTCCTCAAAGACGTTGAATCATTTTTCCATCATTTCGCTTACCTATTTGACGACAAGACTACAGGCCAGACCAAATCTCTGATTGATATTGGATCTGGCCTTCTTACCCAAGACTTGATCAAAGAGATTTCTTCTCTTCTGACCAACGCTAACAAGCTATTGACGTCCGACTTAGTTGACCAGCTTCAGAAATTGCTCAAGGGTCTTGGCCCTCTTCTTACACCTGACTTGTTCAAGAAGATTTCTACATTGTTGGATAATGGAAACGAGCTCCTAACTGCTGACTTTGTTAAGGAGGTTAATGGTCTGATCGGAAACGCCAACAGCTTACTGACTCCTGAAACTGTCAAGGAGCTGCGACAACTTATTGAAGCTGTCGGTCCTCTCTTGTCTCCTGATCTCTTCAAGGAGATCGGCAGTCTACTTAACAATGCCAACGACTTGTTGACTGCAGACTTCGTCAAGGAGACTAAGGGCTTGATTACTGCAGTGGCCCCTGTTCTGACTCCTGAGCTTCTCAAGGAAGTTGGCGGTCTCCTGAACAACGCCAATAACCTGTTGACACCTAACTTTGTCGATGAGATTAAGAACTTGATCAACTCGCTTGGACCTCTCCTTAAACCTGAGCTTTTCAAGGAGATCAGCTCATTACTCGGCAATGCCAACAACCTGTTGACTCCCGAGTTTGTGGATGAGACCAAGAGCCTGATCAGCTCGGTCGGTCCGCTCCTGAAGCCTGAGCTGTTCAAGGAGATCAGCTCGTTACTGGGCAATGCCAACAACCTGTTAACCCCCGAGTTCGTAACTGAGATCAAGAACCTGATCAATTCTGTTGGTCCTCTCCTTAAACCTGAGTTATTCAAGCAGATTAGCTCGCTATTGGGCAATGCCAACAACCTGTTGACCCCCGAGTTTGTTAAGGAGACTACAGGTCTGATTGACTCTATTGCTCCTATAGTGACACCCGATCTGCTCGTCAAGGTCGGCGGCTTGTTGAACAGTGCTGGCAAGTTGCTGACAGACGGATTCGTTGATGAAACCAACCATTTGATTGGCAATGCCAACAAGTTGCTGACAGATGGATTCGTCAACGAAACTAACGACCTGATTGGTAATGCCAACAAGCTGTTGACACCAGAGTTTGTTAAGGAAACGAGCGGCTTGATTGATGGTCTGGCGCCCATCATTACTCCCGAGCTGCTGGGACTTGTTGGCGGCCTCCTTGCAAACGCGAACTCCCTCTTGACACCCAAGTTTGTCAACGAGACTAAGGGCCTTATTGATGGCATCTCGCCCGTACTCACACCCGACTTGCTTCTGCAAGTTGGCGGTCTTCTCAATAATGCCGGCAAGCTCCTGACGACCGAATTTATAGATGAAACAAAGGGCCTGATCAGCACCGTGGCACCCGCCATTACCCCTGACCTGCTAGAGGATGTTGGTTTCCTGCTCGGCAACGCAACACACCTCCTTACCCCCAAGTTTGTAAACGAGACGAGAGATCTGATTGACGATGTCTCGCCTGTCATCACCCCAGAGCTACTCGGCGAAGTTGGCGGTCTTCTTGGTAACGCTGGTCACTTGTTGACTCCGAAGTTCGTCAACGAAACCCAGATCTTGATTGAAGACGCGTCTGAGGTGAGTTAACCGTATATCATCACTTTGTTGCCATTTATTAACATATTCTTTTAGATACTCCCTATCGTGGTGAAGATCTTGGGTACACTGTGAAGGGTCTAAGCCGCTGTGGTGGAAGGGCTTATAATTAACGGACAACGAATTTACTTTTAATAATGCGAGGATAATATCATGTGCTCTTATATTGATAAGGTTCATGTTTGCGATGCATTTGGTGCCGGGATATACAGACCCGGTCACAATGATGTGTGATGTTATAATAACGATCCGTCCATAGTCCAAACGAGTATCTATGCCCATCAGATGGTTCAGTTCGCTTGCAGTATCGCACTGACAAAGCCACATGGCTCTGAAGTAAACACAATTTGTGTAGGATCGATGTCTATAAAGGACGATCAATCGACCCACTTTCCTCCCTCTTTGACCTTTGGCTCCGTCCAAGGACAAGAACTCTATTGGACTATTTTGCGCATGCTCTTATATTTCGGCGGTCAAAGTTGAGAATTGAGAGATGCTGAGGGGCAATGCCAGTGGGATATAGGTGAAGATAATCGGAACTTAAAATTCGCGAGCTGTTCTCAGAACAGAAATAATCCGTAGGCCGAAGCCGCGCTTGAAGTGGGCACCGTGGCTCTTGGTTCCGGTCCGCATCGACCAGAAACGCCGGACCCGTATCACCCCGGCTCGTAAGAGAAAAAGACCTTTAAGCGTTTTCTAAAAGCAAGCAGCCTCCGCTAATTACCCAGCTTCAAGCGGGAATATCTGCTGCTTTCACTTCTTGGTACTTTGATAAGACTTTCATCTCTGTATTTCTTTCCTTGATTTTCTTGTCCATCGCTTTTTGAACATCTTCGCGTTTCCTCTCGGCCTCCTCTATCTTCAGCTTTACTTCTTTTGCGACCTGCTCCTGCGCCTTTAAAGCTGCATCTGACGATGTATATTCCTTGCGTAAATTCTCAAGTTGGGCGCGTATGTCCTCCGATTCTGCTTCGATCTGGTTGCAGGTAACTGGGTGATAATTGTGCGGTGGTAGAGGTTCTCCTGGGACGCGGATTTCAGGAACTAGAGGATGTATCGGGGTTGTGCGGAGAGGCGAGTCTAGTGGGACTGGATTGGATGTGGGTGGATTTGTGGGCTCTAAAGGCGGAGACAAAGGTTCTTGATACATATTGCGCTCTCAATTTGGCTTTGTACCGGTGAAAAGGTCGTATTATCGGCGCTTTCCAGGCGAGGCTGTACGGAGTAGTAGTCTCACCCTTTGTTCGTGGATTTTAAGCTCCGCAGCGCCGAACAGATACCGCTAGGCGGTCAGTTTCTGCAAGCCGTATTTTGATATCGCCCGCCTTGGCGCATAGTGTGGGGAAACCGGAAGCATCGAACTGCTGTGATCTGCGACAGATAAGAGTTCAGATGGAATTGAATGGATTAAGAGACAGATGCTTATCTACTACTCACTTGACTAAATTTTGCCAACCATGCAGGCTTTTGGTATGCCCACTCCATGCGTGATAATTCCGGTTAGCGGAGTACTATTCGTACCCCTATCAGTCCGGACATCATGACCTCATAGGACCCTGATGCTAACATATAGATCTCCTTAGTTCCAAAGAATCGGAGGGTGAGTTGAATGGTGTGACCGTATCTTTCAAGCCATTGACTTTGATTTTAGCCTAGATTTGAGCTTGGTTTAAGGGTAAGCTACTCGGTTCTCCTGATTTCGACTAACCGTTCCGGGGCTAATTTCACACCTGGGCTGAAGATCATTGATTTAAATAATGTTCCCCTCGTCAATGGTACGGCCTTCGTTAAATGGCGATTACCGTCGTCAAGCAGCGCCGAACATCATGGACACACGGATAAAGCGGTGATTATTGATCACCGAGCATACTGGAACTACGAGAAGACCCTGCAGGTTCGACTTACCATCGACCGGAACCAGAGCTTGCACGACTGCGAGATCCACTTCGAAATTATACAGGAGTTTGAGACCGGGGCTGGTGGCGATACCAAGAACTTCCTCGGAAGGATCCGGCTCAACCTCGCCGAATACGTGGACAAGAGTGATGAAGATGAAGGCATCGTGAGGAGATACTTGATGCAAGATAGCAAAGTGAACAGCACTCTCAAAATTGGGGTGGCAATGCGTCAGGTGGAGGGCGATCGCAGTTTTACGACGTGTGTCTATACCCAGTCATTCATCCTAACCCTATGACTGATGTGTGGTAGACCCCCCTTAAAATCAGCCATGGTCTTCGGCGGTATCGCAGGCGTCATTTCTTCAGAACAGACTGATCCGGACGATTTAGGCCCACTACCGGCTATCAACACCCAAAGCAGGGAAGCTGCTGACATGCAGGATATGTATCGCCGGACTTTGGCTGCTTCCTGGAACTGTCGCGGTGATGATGTACCTGCGGATAAGCTGGTTGAGGACCTTTTCTCGGGGAGTATCAGCTGGTGCAGTGAAGTCAATAATGCTCAATCGAATGTGACAACAGAAAGAGGACTCCATCCATCCCCTAGTGCCGTTACCAAAACTACGGCGGTGAATAGGCTTTCGCCCAGCTTTGAAAGGCGGCCGAAAAGCTCAAGCAATCAGTTTCGTAACGAAGGAAAATCGTCCGAGTTTAGCCCGAGAATCGGTCATAGTAGGAAGAGTGGAAGCATCGACCAACAGCTTTATGGCACTGCGAAGGGCAATGCTTGGAAGAACCGTAACAGTGAGCACGAACTTTCGGAGTTCGATGTCCGTGAGGATTTAAAGAGCTGGGATATCTGTGTCAAGGAGTGACGGTAGGACTATTCATCAGCTACCATGTTTAAATTTGTATATTGTAAATAATACCCATACTTCATTTTTCGGATCCAGCTCCAATACCATCTGATACTACTCTAAAAGAAACCTATCCCCGACTAGGTAATGGGGCTATTCCCTTTCTAGACTAGTACGGTTCTAGAATCGATTCTCCAAGTTTAGAACTTTTGAGCTTCAACATTTACATACACCGTCACACACCCTCCCTTCGTGCTCCAGATGCTTTCGCGATCTTCAAAAAACGTCGCGGGGCTTCTGGGCTGCCCGATACCCCCTTCGTGCAGAAAATGCTCGTCACCTTCAGCACTCTGGCTACGCAACGTTTTTGTCCGCTTCCAACATACAGACGACGGCGAATCGAAAAATGATACCACGCAAGAAGACCCCCGAAATCCCCGATACAGACGCAGAAGGCGCCCGACCGAACCAAAGAAGAAATTTAGCAAAGTGCCGATCAGCATAACCTCTTTAGGAAATCCTGCTGAAGTAGTTGTCGTGCCGTACCCAAAGCGTCGCTCATATGCCGATACCCAAGGTTCAGAAGAGAACACCAGCGAGGGCGATAAAGATGCTCTCCCACTGTTTCTGCGCGATGTAGAGGATTTTGATGAAATGCCTGATAACACTGTGATAAATGAACGAATTGAAAGTTTTCGTGCCTCTTATCAGCCACGAGATAGGTTGGCTCTCTCCGACTGGGAGAATCTTCGAAGAGAAATTCAGTCATCGTTTAACCTCCAGCAATTATCCGACTACATCGAACAATTTAAAAAGAACGAGAGAGTGGCGGGTGAAGGACGGATGCCTGATGGAGAAGCAAATACTGCACAATGGAAGCCGGGGACTTCGGCTTTCTTTGAAACGGGACCGTTTTCCACGGTGGGAGACGCTAAAAGGGTTGCGGCTTCGCCGGAAGAACTGAGAGGCAAGTATTTGGTGACTGAAAGAATTCTTCGCGATTGCTGGCAGCTTGGGATCGTTGGCGAAGTAGGCCAGCTCGACATACGTCTTCCTTTCCACTCGCTATCGTTACTTCTCTACTCCGAACACTTCTCCCTCGAGGAATTAGCCACTCTCCATGGATCGAAAATTGATGTAACGCATTCGCTTGGCCTTATACGAATTACCGGAAAGCAGCACCCTTGTGAATCCATCCGTGAGATTATATACGATGCCACAAACAGGATCCGAGAGGAGGAACTTGAACTACACTCTCCCGGCACTAAGTCAAAGGGCAAAAACCGTGTTTTTACTGCCGATTTCTTGTCCTGGGTCAGTAGGACATACGGGGTGTCATTCGATCAGGTCACCAATACACCAAATAAGATGTTCTACCTTGCCGAGAACAAACCAATTGCGGACAGTGCTCGGCGGACATTAAATCTGGCAGTCCACGATGCAACACAACCTCCAGTACCATTTGGCACATATATGCCAGCCTCAGAGCCCATCGACATATACGACTTCGATCCCGGACTCAATGTCTCATGGTTCGATCGGCAGAAACAATGGTTCCGATGGGCCATACCATCAGCACAAACAACCGTATCAAGCTTCTACGAAACACCATTCTTCACCAAACACGAAACACGTCTATCAGATGAACTCCTCAAACTCCTTAGAATATCCCGCACCCGAATCAGCAACGCCGAAGCCCACGAGAGCATAACAGCTGCCGTTGGCCGCTGTCTTTTCCAGCGCCAGCCATTCGAAGACAAAACCATCAGCGCAGCCCAACTAGGCAAAATGGCTCTTCCTCGATCCTTCACCACTGATATCCCCCGCGTAATGCCATTCATGCACCAGTTATCGTCCCATATACTCGACCAAGAAATCGAGCCCCACCGCGTCCGCCTAGTCCCCTCTGTAATCCACGCCAACATCTTCCCCTCCATCGAACTGGAAATCGCCGTCACCCATTCCGGGTTCGAGACCGAATACAAAGTGCAGAGTGCCAAGGCCCTCCTCTCAGAAAGCAGCGTCGACTATCTCCTTCCAGAATGTGCCTTGGATCTCCGCTTCACCCGGAAGCTTACCCATGACTTACTGGGAGCCTTTGACAATCATGGTCCCTTAGAACCACTGCAGGAGACCCTGCGGGATTTCTTCTCCAAAGCGATGATCTACGAAGGTGACACACCTCTCCCGGCCTTCTCTCGAATCTCCATTCCAAACTATCTCTTGGCTGAGTCGGGCGAAACCCGCGACCCGGATGGCCATACAACAGCGGAGTACATGTATCTGCCTGTGAGGGATACCCGGGGCATGCGTCTCCATCAATATGATTATAACAACCACAGGCTTAACTACTCTTTCTATGAGAGCGGGCCTTTTAGTCCGCACCACACGACTGATGTGTTCCTAGATATGGATGTAGCGGATAAGTCGAAGGAGTCTCCTCCTGAGGGTCTTGATACCCAGGTGTCTGTTCAGCAGAGATTCAATTCTTTCTATAATACCGCTTGCTCTCTAGCGTTTAACTTGGATAAGTCGTGGCGTGAGGTGTGAGATGGATGAGGTTATATACGTATGTATATTAGAATCTCTCGTGCGAGCCATCGTAGCTCTCTCTTGTTTTAATAATTCTTAGAAAATGTAAATACAGATATATCTTCTCCTCGCATGTACTCTTGGTTCTTTTCTTTTCATTTCCTATGAATATCTTCTATTAAACATTTAGTACGATAGCGTCTGGATATCAAAGATCTGGGGCGCAATTGTGTTAAGACGCATCGCATCCAATAGCACTTCCCAAATCCCAAGCTAGTAAGGATCAAGGAATGTGGTACAGTTATCCAGAGTTAGTAATACTGTTTGATGAGTGTAGGTATGAATTTGATCAGCACCCATTGAGCTGGAGAGCGAAACATCAGTGATGGCACGCCAGCATTAAACAATCCCAACCAAAGGGCTCTGTTTCGTTCAAAGCAAATCATCAGTACTGATACCTACAAAGTCACAAAAGTCGCTGACGCCCTTCCTGAAACCATTCTCCCACTCCTCGGCAAATTTCTCATCCAACTGTTCGACATCAGTCATTCGCTTTCGGATCCATAGCTCCATAGCTCCAATCTTTTCTCCTCCGTTCCAGCCACCGGGTACAATATCTCGGGCTAATACGCCAAAAAAGCTTAAAGCATCACTAAATCCAAGGTTCCAGCCGAGCGCATACTGCTGGTGCTCACGTGTATCTGGTAGGGCTGAGTGTTGTGACAAAGCAGTTCTCCGGACATGCGGTCGCTGGGTCTCTGCTTGTCCAATCTTGCTGAGAACCTGTGCCCGGGAGAATGCAAGCCACGGCGGGGGCGGTATAGCACCGTTACTGACTTGTTGCACAAAGTCCCACTCGTCTCCACTTATCCGGTGTATTTTATAGCCCACGAAAGCAGATCCGCAGGTCCTAGATTGCCACTGTTTGCTCTGCTTTTGGCCAAAGGCCTTAGTCAAAGCTAACCTCTCAGACGGGTTCACACGGCCCCAAGTTTGCGAGTCCATTGCGCAGCTATACTGGCCAATATAAGCATCTACAGCCGTTCCCTGAGAGCACACTTTGCCCTGGCGAGTCGACAGTTCCGGAAACGCATCGTGGACCCGTGAGATGATAGCCTCAGGTTTCATGTGCCGGTATGACCCTGTAGTGTAATACTTGTGAGTGTCCACAATAATCGGACTTCTGCAGACAGGAGCCCCCAGTCGGTTTTTCATCATAGCATAATCCAGGGCTTCGGAGAAGTTCCTGCCGTCACTGATATAGATTGGCAGAGGCGGGTTCACGCAACTCGTTATCTCGAGAACTTCATCGTACCATTTGCGAAGGGCGCACGTTTTCCAGTCCGTTTCGCTAGATATTTGAACTCCAATCACACCCCTCATTGCGTGGAAAGTCACTTCTTGAACGATAAAAGCGACGCAGTCTGTCGCTATTGTCCAGCTGCGCTCGCTTGCACAGAAGTCAGCGATCCCGGAATCACTCTGGCTATTCTGGTCCATGCTACCTGGGATGGTCTGAAAATCAATGAGGACTCCGATACCGTGATTGTAGCAATTTTCTATGAGGCGTTTTAGGATGTTCCAACAGTTAATGTATACCTCCGATGGCTCGCCTTCGAAATCTGTGCCCGTACAGAAGACCGGTCCCAGGGCAAAGAAGCCCATGGGGATACGTATTGAATTGCAGCGTGCCACGCCTTTGAGCCATAGAATGTCGAGGTCGGTTAGGGCGCCCCGCCAGTGTGCTTCCCATTGCAGTCGAGTTTCTTCAAGTCCTTTAGTCGCAAGCGATCTGCGTGTGTGAGGCAGTGTCAGCAATGAGGACAGCAAAGCGGAAATGAGCTGTGTGGTTTCCTATATACACTGACCTTTTTACCTCTTCGAGCTCCTTGAAGCCACCGGAGTCATAACTGGATGCACCATCGCTTAACCAGGGCCCATGAACGAACATTGAGCCTAGATTAGTCCCATGTTGATAGCGGTAGCGAAATATATCCTCCGCAGTTGGTGGTGTGTAAATTGGCTTAGCCATGGTCACATAAATGGCTAACAACACGTGTAGCTACTACAATTAACAACTTCTGAATAATCTAGCTCCAGAGTTAGGAAGATGTTGCACTGAAAAAGCTGTGATACACTATAGGCGCATGAAAAGTAACACGGAGATAGGTGTGTTGTTGAGTTCTTGCGATGTAATACTGATTTGCAATAGCTGTAGAGGACAAATAAAATTGGCTTCTGGTGACTATTGGAAGACACAGTCCATCGCATGTAATGACATACTTCTCACATCGATGTTAAGCTATTGATTGCTGAAGAGTCAGTTTCCAACGCGAAAGGTAGATAGATATATCCGTGATGTCATGATCACACTGGTGAATTGTACACACTTCTAGCTTACTAACACAGTTATGTAACTAACGTAGTTCCCAACCGAGCGCCGCACCCGACCGAGCGCCGCACCTCACGCGTTTCTCGCGCGGTTGAAACTCTTGCTCAGTTCAACCACTCACCATGCCACCAAAAGCGCGTACAAGTTTAAATAATTCAGCTGAGAAGGAGGAAAGGATCTTGCTTGCAGTTTCCGCTATTAAAAAGCAAGAAATAAAGTCAATTCGTGAGGCTACATGTATCTTTAATGTCTCTGATAGAACAATATGTCGACATTTAAATGGCACTCTATCACGCACTGAAAAACGCGCAAATTGTTATAGATTGACTGAAATACAAGAGAATTCGCTTGTACAATGGATATTATCTATGGATTAACGTGGAGCAGCTCCCCGGCTATCTCAGGTCCAAAATATGGCCAATATTCTTCTTACAGACTCTGATCTCAATACATCTCAATCAATTGGCAAAAACTGGGTCAGCAGTTTTATCAAACGCCATAGTGAGATAAAGGCTGTTTATTCTCGTCGATATAATTATCAGTGCGCTAAATGTGAGGATCCAAAGATTCTAAAAAAGTGGTTTGATCTTATTCAGATCACTATAATGCAGTACGGTATTGCTACTGCAGATATCTATAACTTCGATGAGACTGGATATGCAATGGGTCTTACAGCTACTGCAAAAGTAGTTACTAGATCTGATCTATATGGAAAACGTCAAGTTGTTCAGCCAGGAAATCGAGAATGGGTTACTTCAATTGAGTGTATTGGCTCTACCGGATATGCTTTACCACCTTGTATTATCTTCAAGGGAAAGGTTTATATACAGGGCTGGTATGAAGATTCTGATATTCTACATGATTGGAGATTTGAAATCAGTAAAAATGGCTGGACAACTGATGAAATTAGACTACACTGGCTTTAAAAGCTCTTTATTCCTGCTACAGCTAGCTGTACAGTTGAAAAATATCGGTTGCTTATTTTAGATGGCCATGGCAGCCATCTCACTCCTGAATTTAATAAAATATGCAGTGAAAACAATATTATTCCTATCTGCATGTCACCTCATTCCTCAAATAATCTTCAACCGCTTGATGTTGGCATTTTTTCGCCTTTAAAAAAGGCGTACGGACGCTTAGTTCAAGACAAAATACTTGGAGGAATCAACTATATAGATAAGCTTGATTTTATCAAGATCTATCCTACAGCTCATGACATAGTATTTACTACAGATAATGTTTTAAGTGCTTTTCAAGTTACTGGTATAGTTCCATTTAACCCTGAAGAGGTTCTCGGACGCCTTACTATAAGACTTAAGACCCCTACACCACCAGGCAGTCAATCAACTAATTCAGTACCGAAAACACCCTATAATATCAAGCAGCTACAGAAGCAGACAACTACAATTAAAAAGTTACTAAGGGCTCGTACACAGAGCCCTTCTTCTCCTACAAAGACTGCTTTGAACCGGTTGATTAAGGGATGTGAAATGGTATACAACAATGGGGCATTTTTAGCTCAAGAAAACCAATATTTACGGGCTACAATTGATAAACTACAGCAGAAAAAGAAGTGATCTAATCACCAAATCACCTGTACTGAAGGTTTCTCAGTCCAGGAAGCTCGGGAGTATATACAGCATGAAAATAAGGCTAAAGAAGCTCAAGATACTATACTTATAGATCAAGAGCCATCTCCAATTAGGCTGCGCGTACGAGCGCCCCCGCGCTGTAGTGATTGTCATATTCTAGGGCATACTCGCAGACAATGTCCTAATTAATATCCTAATTCAATTTTATATAGAAATATGATTGTTTTGTTGATAAAGGCCCTAATAGTTCAGCCACGGGCAGAATTTTATATGAGGTGCGGCGCTCGGTCGGGTGCGGCGCTCGGTTGGGAACTACGTTATACATGGCACAACACGATATCTAATTCATTTATTTATGATATGTTTTACCTCAGTTCCTTTAGAGAAGCTTGATATGAGGGATATCTATGCTTACATATATAAGGCCCAAGCTCTATATAGCTAAGGGCTCAGGGGCATGTTGCTGCTTAGCCCAGATAGTATATATAATAGATATCGGTGGAGCACGTTGAGTCTAGCTTCAATTTGCAAAGCAACCATATAGTCACTGAGGTTTTACCAGTATTATATCTGACAACTTTATAGTAAGTCACATCCACAGATAACAATAAAGCTTAATTATTCATTGCAAGATCTGTGTATGGCTTTTCAACATCGTGGAGTTTAAGAGGGGATTAATTAAAAGCAAAACAACAATAATAATTTCTTGTCTCTTATGAAACTTGTAAAAGAACACACCATATATAGGAACTAACATAATCATATAGATTATTTAATCCGAGTGTTACTCCTGCATAGACGTGTACACTCAGAACTAACGGCGCATGGAAGCTAGACCTACAACAAGCAAAGTGCTAGTATACAGAATGCAACATCTGGATTCAATCCTTCAGCCATTGTGCAACAATACGTTTGACAGTATCTTTGACAGTCTCCAGCTTCAATTCCAACACCTCATTGGCCAGAGTCTCGTCTTTGACATAATTTGCCCGAAGGCCTGGGATGTTACCATAGCTTGTAACGCGGACCAGGGCAAATGCACCGGTGAAGTCGCCAGCGCCAAGTTTTTTGACAGCTTCACCAACTTGTTCCTCAGTGGTGGTCGCTTTCGCGGACCATTTGGCTCCCGTTTCTTCCTCCAACGAGGCCACGATCTCGTTCTGTGTGGTTTCGGCAGAGGCAACGTAGAAGTATTTGTTACTCGTTTCTTCGGGATGTTGCAGCACCGAAACCACAGCTTGGCCAAGCTGTTTCTCATTTGTTAGAGTAAAGCTTTTATCACCGCCATCCCAGATATTTATAGTACGGTTTGCGATATCAAACTCAAGGAAGCCATTTCCGAGACCCTGTTAGGCCGAACATGTTAGATGTCTCACCCAAGAAAGTGTAGCGTGAATTAACTACATACCCAGTCGAAAAGCAATCCAGTGGCGATGCCAGTCCACGAAAGGCTATCGGACTGCTTAGTCTTCAGGTACTCGATCAGCTCCTTCTTCTGGCCAAAGAGGGGTAGCAATTGCAGGACGGCCTCATCCTGACTGCTGGCAGAGAACTCGGAGGGAATGAATCATTTAACACCAGACCGAGCTGCAAAATCGACAATCCTCTGTTGCTCGCCGAATGCCGTTGCGCCTAGGGCTGAGATGACAGCGTCCTGGCCAGTAAAGGCAGCCTCGAGGTCGGGATCAGAGTGGTCGGTTTTCCGGACAATAACACCGGCGGGAAAGCTAGCTTTACTTTCCTTGCGAGACAAGACGGTAATGTTGAAGTTGGAAGACGCAATAAGGCCATCAAGGATATCTTGCCAATACTTCCGCTGGCCTAATCGGGAAGGTGAGTCTGTGATGGATGAGTCTGCAAAGATCGGGATTCACATACGCCAACGGGGACAATGTTATTATATTTATGAGATGTTGTAAAAGTATTGAGCTTCAGAATTCACAAATTCAATAGTATGACTGACAGATGTCTCTGTTTTGCGCTTGGAAGAATATGTGCCGAGGACGACATCTTTATATGTGTGAGCGAGAGAAGAGAATGTGCAGTCTGGTGAGGTATTTTAATACTCTGTATACTACGACGATTTTACTCCACGAGAGATTCAGCAACATAGCCTTGAGGCAACATCAAGGAATGCGATACTTACATGCGGATTTATCCTCCGCAGCCAATCGGAGACACTCCTCTTAGTCTCATGCCATCGATTTATCATCCATCCGCTCCGCTAGTTACTTTAGTGTAATATCATTTACCAAACCAACAAACTACTAATATCTGACTTCAACAAAGTGCAACAGCTCATGCCCCGCCGGGTAGTTGCGCTGGGACGGTCCTGTCTCGAGTGCCGCCGGCGCAAGGTCAAATGCGACCGATCCTTGCCATGTGCATACTGCGTTCGAATGAAGATTCAATGCACATGCCCTCATCCCAAGCCAGACAAGAATGTCGATCATGTAGATAGAGACCTTGTGGCCCGAGTAGAAAGCATTGAATGCAATTTCCAGTCGCTGGAGCAAAGCCTCGCGCAAATCAGGCATTTCCTGCATATGAATCTACCGCTATCCAGCAACAGTCAGGAGCAATATCTGTCTAGCCCTGTAAGCTCGTCTTCCGCTATTCAACCAGTAAGCCAATTACTAAGATACAAGTAGGAAATCGAACATGATCTGCGTAGCCCTCGCCCTCCGTCCGCAGAGGAGCAATCCTGTTAGTCTTTTCCTTTCAGATTAGCCCCTTCACCGCCGCTAGGGTCCATTCATCCTCCTTCAGCCGTCATTGCATTCATTTGGCAGACATACCTAGACGTGGTAGATCCTGTGATAAAGGTTTTCCATGTCTCGACCGTGCAAAGACAGGTCTTAAGTGTCATTCAACGCCGCTTGAACCTTGATGCTCCTACAGAATGCTTGATGTTTGCAATTTATTATTCTACCGTAGTGACAATGTCGGGGGTAGAGTGCCGTAGTGAGCTCCATGAGGGAAAGACAGTTTTATTGAGGCGGTATGTATATTCCTCACAAGAGGAAGTCCCTTACACTAACCGCATAAGATATCGAACGGGAGTCGAGCATGCCCTTGGGCAGGCGAACTTCCTCAGGTCGCTAGATATGACAGTCCTGCAGGCATTTGTTCTCTATCTGGTAACTATACACCGACGCGTTCAACTAGTTTGGAAGCTAATTTGATATTTTAGATTTGTGGCAGGCGAGACGAGAATGGACCCGACGTGAGCATGCTTGTCGGGCTTGCTATTGGGACTGCCATGAGGATGGGTCTCCATTGCGATGGAGCCAGCTTGGGTCTATCTCCTTTCGAGGTGGAAATGCGCCGCCGGCTTTGGTGGCAGATTTACACTTTGGATGTTCGAATGGCAGAGGACCATAGCTCAGAGCCAAGCATTCTCGAATCAACTTTCAATACCGAGTTGCCGTCGAACGTCGGCGACGCCGGTTTGAACCCCGATATGAGCAAGCTGCCTCAAGTCCAACCAGGAAGAACCGAGATGACATTTACACTCGTCCGGTTCGAAGTGAGCCACTTTATACGCGAAGAATGATGTTCTCGGAAAGGTTCTGCCACAACAACTCGTATCCAGTTCTGAGTGAAGCACATAAGTGCAAGGTAATCGACCAGTTCAAAGAGTATATAGAGAAGCAATACTTGTCGGACTGTGACAAAGATGTTTCCATTGACTTCATTACCCTTGCTAGCACTCGTTTGATTCTAATAACATTGAAGTTGGCGGTATGCAGGCCACAAAAGGGCCGAATCCAGGGAAAGTCCAGGCGAGCGAACTACCTGAGTGCTTGCGAAGGAGTCCTACGGCACGCCCAAACGCTGCGACGGTATGAAAAGGGGGAAAGATGGCTCTGGCTTTTTCAGACATATGTCGAATGGGATGCACTAGCATATCTCTTGCTCAGTCTGTGTATGGTTCCGTCAGAAGAGCCATCCGATGCAGCGTGGCAGGCTGTTGACGAGGCCTACCACCACTGGAGGAATGATCCTGACATCTACCGAGACCGTCGCTGGATACATGTTGAAGAACTTCGATCTCAAGCTTTGACCGTACGAGATAGAATGCGAACGACCCGTCAGATGCCACAGGGGACGCAACCGGACCCTTGTATAGCATCCGAGCGATATGATCCTGGGCATAGAATCAGCCTAGACGAAGACCCGCCCGCTGAACACCAACGAATAATCAATCCTGGGCTTACTCAGACCTGGAATGTGGGCACTACTGCCCACACACATTCCTCTCCCATGGCAGAGGTTCGAGGAACAGAGCCCAATGCCAGTACTGCTGGCCCATCCTCCCCAGCATGGGTACTCGTCAATGCGGCGGCAACAGCTGCTGCCCACTCAGTAACAGAGGATGTGCCTTCAAGCACTGCAGAATGGCCGGGCGCAGGTACTATCTGCGAGTGGAGTGCTGCGCTATTCGGACAGTACTGGGAGATGGCTGAACCTAGACAAGGCCCTTCAGCATCATGGCTATAGTAAAAGATAGACAAGCTTGGGTTGAGGTGCTCGGGGCTCCTATCTTTACCACAGCTTACTGTATGCACTATCTGGGTTAGAAGTAGATCTTGCTGCCTTTTTTCAAGATATATTTGCCCTGATTTTTCAATGGAAACGACCCTCTCGAAGGATTAAATTATGAGCTACTCTTCGAATGATATAGAACTTAGTTGTCAATGGGAGAGCCTCGGCCATTCAAGAGTGAAACAACTGCGGAAAGGGGAAAGTTGCATTGTGTTGACAGGTTGCTCCAATAATCCAAGTCAGACCGCAGGGTATACAAAGTAATGCATGAATGTGTGTAATGGTCATTTATTTATTTTTCTTTTCTTTTCTTTTTAAGGAAAAAGTGAATGAAAATGAAAATGAAAAAAAAGGATGTATATTAAATAGTGGACTTGAGACATTATATATATTATAACTAACTAGTGATTAAGGTTGACGTAAAAAAGCCCACTAACGAGGGGCTCCGCATTTCTGAGTCCTAATCCGTTCCGTTGGCCAAATTGAATTATTATCTCTTTCCTTAAGGACCCCCCGCAGAGTTCGTGCCAGAGCTGCTCTCTTTTACTTTGTTTTACCTTCTTTCCTGACCTCATTAACTCGGCACACCCACCTGCCACGAGACTCTGTTGCTACAGGTGCCTCATCCTGTACAGCACCTGTGCCAATCTGTTCCCTCGACGCCCAGTCATGAAGCTTATGCGGAAATAGCAACGACAAAGGCATGGAGAGAACACGGGTCGCTAAGGTTTGCCGACCGCCGCTCATGCTTCTAGTTTCGAGTTTCTCCTGACATTCTCCTCACCATTAATCGCAGGTTGAAGATGTGACCTTGGCGCGGCGTGGTGAACAGGTTGTTGGCACCCTCCACCTCACCCCTCATCATATCATCTTCTCCCATATACCCTCGTTGCCGGATGGTGCGCAACCCTCGGTTACACCCATTAGGCCAAAAGAGCTCTGGATAACTTATCCTATCATCTCCTTCTGCACTCTCCGCCCCACTCCGGCTGCATCCCGTCAACCATCATCGATCCGTTTACGGTGTCGTGATTTCGCCTTCGTTTGCTTATACTTCGGCAATGAGTCAAAAGCTCGTGATGTGTATGAAAGTATCAAGCAGTGGACATGCAAGCTTGGACGGATCGAGAAACTCTACGCTTTCACATACCAACCACCACCTCCCGAGCGGGAGTTGAACGGTTGGGAGTTATACAATCCACTCAAAGAGTGGGCAAGACAAGGTGTAGACCAGGATAACCATGGCTGGCGTATCTCTCGGATAAATACGGATTATGTGGTAAATATCTACTTATGAGGTGGATTTGTGGATTCGATAATATGATTGACGCGGTTCTCTCTAGTTTTCACCGACGTATCCTGCCCTCCTCCCGGTTCCGTCCACCATTTCCGATAATACACTCAACTATGCTGGACGATACCGCTCCCGGGCAAGAGTGCCCGTGCTGTCGTATCTTCACCCTGTTAATAACTGCTCGATCACGAGAAGTTCACAGCCCCTGGTGGGTGTGCGTCAAAACCGAAGCATCCAGGACGAGAAGCTATTAGCGGCCATTTTCTCCACCTCCCGTTCAGAGAGGCCACTAGCAGACTTTAATCCAATCCATTTAGACCGAGAATCTTCTGGTTCGACACAAAGCGATGCAGACAATGAGGCTGTGGCTGATTTGACAGGGACGGAAGAATTGGAAGACGAGATGTTGACTTCATTCCGCGGAGACTTGGACAGCAAGAACCAGATATATGGTGCTCAACAGCACAACTTGATTGTTGATGCACGGCCGACGGTGAACGCATTTGCGATGCAGGCTGTCGGTCTCGGTTCAGAAAACATGGACAACTATAAGTTTGCAACCAAGGCGTATCTGGGGATTGACAACATCCATGTGATGAGAGACTCTCTGAATAAGGTGATTGATACATTGAAGGACTCAGATGTTACGCCACTAGGACCAAACAGAGATCAACTTGCACGGAGTGGATGGTTAAAGCATATATCTGGTATCCTAGATGGTGCAGGCTTGATAGCCCGCCAGGTTGGCCTTCAACACTCGCACGTATTGATACATTGCTCAGATGGATGGGACCGTACCAGTCAGCTTAGTGCGCTAAGCCAGATATGTCTTGACCCCTATTATCGAACCATGGAGGGCTTCATGGTGCTGGTGGAAAAGGACTGGCTTTCCTTTGGGCACATGTTTCGGCATCGATCTGGTCACTTGAACAGCGAGAAATGGTTTCAAATAGAAAATGAGCGGATCGGAGGAGATTCCACTCGTGGTTTTGGAGAGGGCGGTGGTGCAGGTAAAGCTATTGAAAATGCATTCCTTAGTGCCAAAGGGTTCTTCAACCGAGATAACATAAGCCGTGACTCTCTTCCGGAGTCCGATGGAGAAATGCAAAGCTACGACTCTGACACTCCGGGAATCAAGAAGCCTAGCTCTGTTCCAAGATCGGTGACCCCCGAGAAGGAGGTGACAAAGGTAAAGGAGACTAGTCCAGTGTTTCATCAATTCCTTGATGCAACTTATCAACTGCTGTATCAATACCCGACACGGTTCGAGTTTAACGAGCGGTTCTTGCGACGGTTACTCTATCATATTTACTCATGCCAGTATGGCACGTTTCTCTATAACAGCGAAAAAGAGCGGGTGGAGTCGAAGGCAAAGGAACGCACCCGGAGTGTATGGGACTATTTCCTCGCCCGGAGAGAACAATTCGTTAACCCGAAATACGATCCTCACATCGATGACCATAAGCGTGGGAAAGAACGCCTCATATTCCCACGGATTAGTGAAGTTAGGTGGTGGAATGAGGCATTTGGTCGAACCGATGCGGAAATGAACGGTGTCCGTTCGACCAGTTCTAGCCCTTCTACATACCGCGAGAACATTGATACGGAACGATCGCCGGTGCTGACAGGCATTGAGACAGCCCAGCATTCTGCCACCAATAGCACAGGAGCTAAAGGGACACAAAATGCTGCCTCAGCCGGCATGGCGGCCGTCACGTCGGGGATCACAAATCTAGCTTTCTCCAAGTCTAGAGAGAATGGGCAGGATCTAAAAAGGGTGGGTCAGTTTGAGGTTGAAATGCAATGAAAGAGTTAAAAAATGTTTGATATCGGGTTATATTCCTAAATCGATGTATCTATGGAAGCCGACAGGGTGGTTGTGGGCATAAATCTCTCTACTTGTGTGCTTGGTGTGTCATTTTCGGCCCTTTGAAATCTTTCTTCAGATGTTTTCTATATGAGTAGAGGTACGACAAGGTGAACGGTAAATTAGGGAGGTTTATGATTTGTCCTGGGATGGCGAGGGAAAGGAGCATTGTAGTAGCGACATGGACTCCCATTGTTTCACTGACTTTTTAGGCCATGGCCCGAGCTCTTTGCCTAAAGTGGATTAAGACTCCATATTATGATGCCTGAGGCCATATTCTCTGCTTGGCAGGCTAGTTCCAAAAAGGGAAGGGGCACAAGCGACGGGCCAGGGTTAACCCTATCACAGAATTGGGAAAGGGAAACCCTAACGGGAAGAAACCCCACTAAACGCCGACTGTTCAAAACTGATCAGACGCCAGCCGACCATTTCGCCTTTGAACGACTTCCCAACTTTGGTGCTCCGCAACCACCTCCTCGGCCGTTTCTTCGACAACCTCACTCACCCAACAGAAACGCAATCATGGCTGCTGTCCAGGGAGCTATCTCGAAGCGCCGCAAGTTCGTCGCCGACGGTGTCTTCTATGCCGAGTTGAACGAGTTCTTCCAGCGCGAGCTGGCTGAGGAGGGCTACTCGGGTGTTGAAGTCCGTGTCACTCCCACCGTCACCGATATCAGTACGTCGCCCGATTGAAATTTCATTGCTTCTGTTTGAAAATATTTTTCGGAAAGCTGGGAAGGATTGAGCGATAAACAATCGAAGGGGAAACAATCAAAAAATTAAAAATAAGAGCCGGGGACGAATTTGGAAAGATTTACTGGCGCAAGGATTTTTGAAGAGGATCATGTTCGAATGCTAACGGATGCTCTTTTTCTGCAGTCATCCGTGCCACTCACACCCAGGAGGTTCTCGGTGAACAGGGTCGCCGCATCCGCGAGCTCACCTCCCTCATCCAGAAGCGTTTCAAGTTCCCCGAGAACTCCGTTTCCCTCTATGCCGCCAAGGTCCAGAACCGCGGTCTCTCCGCCGTCGCTCAGTGCGAGTCCCTCCGCTACAAGCTCCTCAACGGTCTTGCCGTCCGTCGTGCTTGCTACGGTGTTCTCCGTTTCATCATGGAGAGCGGTGCCAAGGGTTGCGAGGTTGTCGTTTCCGGAAAGCTCCGTGCTGCCCGTGCCAAGTCTATGAAGTTCACTGTACGTTCTTTCGCATATCCTAAGGAATTGTGGTTGTGTAGAGTAAGAGGAGGGCACCGTGAACCACGCAGTGGAGGGAAAAAAAGAAGGAATTTGTTTTGGACGTGGTAGCCATGAAGAAAGATGAACGGAATTAGCTGACATATTCGGGATATAGGACGGATTCATGATCCACTCCGGTCAGCCTGCCAAGGAGTTCATCGACAGCGCTACCCGTCACGTTCTTCTCCGCCAGGGTGTCCTTGGTATCAAGGTTAAGATCATGCGCGGCTCCGACCCCGAGGGCAAGGCCGGCCCTCAGAAGACTCTCCCCGACTCCGTCACCATCATTGAGCCCAAGGAGGAGCAGCCCGTTCTCCAGCCCATGAGCCAGGACTACGGTGCCAAGGCCATCGCCGCCCAGCAGGCTGCTGAGCAGCAGCGCCTGGCCGAGCAGCAGGCCGCCGAGGGCCAGGAGGGTGCTGGTGCGGAGACTTTCCAGCAGGAGTAATTGGTTTCATTTTCTTAGCCACTGCTCTTTTTTCTTCGTTCCTGTCGTCCTACCTGATATCATTACCTGACGCAAATAAACAACTACATGATCTTCCATTTGGTTATCTTCCTTCGCTAGCAAGCTAGGAAAGGCGTCTTCCCGTCCCACAGCTCTGTTCCTGAACCCCTAGTGAAACATCTAGGTAGGAAAAGATAATGTCCGATACGAAACTAGGGGCAAATAAAAAAGCTTTAACGGTTCATTATGTGACACGAATCTAAGTCTCCTGGGACAGACGTAATCAAATCTTGTAGCAGTTTAGAGTGAAAGCGCTTGCGGTTATTTATCTAATCATTGTGTAGTCCCGCAGTGTCACGGCATTGCAGTATCAACCGACGCCTTAGCCTCTTGATTACAAGACATGGATTTGCTTTTGACATAGTATTGATAATAGCACTTGTATCTTAATTTCACTTTTATTTCGTTTTATAATGCTCATTCATGACATCAGCTATCTCTAAACATATATCTGAACCATGAGACATCCAAAATCTACGCACTCCTTCCGAGATCTAATACCATGGCTTATAGGAAAGCCTCGATGTTGAGCTCCAGAGTGCTGACGGGATATTTCAGCTCGTACTTCTCCAATACTGTAGGATGCAGGATACCGAAAGCACCAATGACGTGCTCTTTTCCGCCGATGCGCACGTGGACGGAGGCAGCGTGACCAGGGAAGTAGGTTGGCTCTGGATTCCTGTTAGCGGATGCACGTATACATATAGTGGCAATGAGAGCTGAAACTTACCGTCAAGCTCCTCAATCCAGTACTGAGAGTCGCTCATATCGGGGTTTTCGAGACCCTCCTCGCCTGTGATGAAAGCGCTCTTGAGCATGGACATAACGCGGTCCAGAAGACCGTGGACGACCTCGAATCCACTGTTCTTGCCGTACCAAGCAGCGGCAAAGTGTCTCTCGTTACGGCTCTTACGCTCGAGGGAAAGGTCCTTGAACGCCACATCGCTGACTTCGAAGATCTTCATGGGGACCGTGTGGTGCTTGTTTTCACGGATAGTCTTCAGGAGACCAGGCAGAAGACTTGTGCGGACGACTTGGAATTCCAATGTCTTGGGGTTGGCCAGCTTAACGGCAGTATTGCCATCATCTTTGCGGTTGAGCCAGGCGAAGTTCTCGTCATGGGAGCAGAGGATAAGAGGCAATACCTCAGACCAGCCTGCCATTGCAGCCTCCGTTCGGACAATGTCGGTGAGCTTGTTAATTGGTAGGGGCTGAGCAATGGTGCCAGACTTGCTTGGGAAGGACCGTGGCAGATTGTTGAAACCGTAAGCAATAGCGACATCCTCCATAATGTCTGCCTGATGCAGAACATCAGCGCGAGTTGGGGGAACGTCTACATCAATCAAGCCGGGTGTTGCCGAGGGCCTAGCGCTATAGGCCATCTTGGTGAGGATCTTCGAAATTTCCTCCGCAGAGAGCTCCAAGCCACAGCACTCGTTGATATAAGAAACTTCTGCCTGGGTTGTGCGAGGAGCGATATCCGGCGTGATTCTAGTCTCGCCGTTGTGGTCCGAGACAATCTGCACTGGCTCGATTCTACGGGAAGACAAGTTAGACTATCACGACTGGAGGATGAAAGGAGTGGGGAATCTTACGTGAAGGGCTCCGAAGTATATTGGGAGAACATCGAAACCATGATCTTGTTGACGATCTCGACCTTCGTCTTATCAAGAGCAGTGATCTCGATGAAAACATTCTTAGTATCCAAGGTGATCTTGGAGTGGTCACCGTTGATTATGGGAGGCAGGGAGCAAACTGTCCGCTTCGAATCATAGATGACGGGGTAGACAGGTGAGTCGCGGATAATGTGAAGGAATTTGCCCAAGTGCTTGTCTTTCTGCTATAGAAGTAAGCATCCATTGCAGCTTACCATGCTATACATAGCCATACCTCGTAGAAGTTCATCAACTCCTCCCCGTTCATTTCCTGGGTCTGGTTCAATGGGATAAATTTAATATCTTTAGGCGGCAAGGCTTCGTAGGTGAAAGGTCCTTGTATCGTATCCAAGTCGTGAGTACCGATCGAAACGAGAGTTCTTTGCCTTGCAAGATTCTGGTGGAGCTTGTCTTGCAGGGCGATGAAGGATTCATAGCGAGCTTGGTCGAATTTGATATTCCGTAGGATAGCGCCAGAGACCAGAGGTCGGATTTTCATAGTCTTCACCAATTCCTTTAGCATGGATTCATCGCATAAGCGCTTCTTCTAGAAGCCACTTACATCCTCCTTGACAATGATTTTCTGCAGCTCACCGCTGGTGGGCTCAACTAGTTTGTAGTTGGGCAGAGGCTTCCGGCCCAAAAAGATATTAAGCATGAGGGCAATCCCCTCGAAGCAAAGCAAGTCATATCTGCGATTGTCTCAGAATATATGCCAATGCCATGTATCAGCCGCGTGGGGTTCAGTGTGCGTACCGGTTAGCCGGGATCTCGATCTTGAGCTGAGGAGGCTCCTGCTGTCCATTCACGATTGGTCGCTCCGAGTCTGTTGTCTACAAGATTCCGCTTAGTGTTCATATTGCGATGGGAGATAGAGGCAGGAAAAGTTACATCTTCATCGAGTTCGATACCTATTTGAACCGGTCAGCGCGAGCCCCGCTAAAAAACCACTCGTACAATTCCGACATACCGAATTCGAAACAGAGCTCATCAAATTCCTCAGTGGTATACCTGAAGAGAAGAAGGGCACCATTAGAAATTGAAATAAATGAATTGAAAGGATCTGTTCGTACTCCCGTCCGAGCTCCTTGAAGAGTGCGGCCTTGTCGACCGAGATGGTGGGCATGGTGAGGGGTTGGGTATTTGCGATTCAAGGGTCAAGAAAAGATCGGGACTAGAAGGGATTCAACAAGCCTTCCATGCAGAGAAGGTAACTCGGTGAATCTGCCCAAAAGTCGGTTTCCGTGTGCGGGGTTCTGGAATTCCGGTGAGACTATGCCACTGGTGGAGGAGTCATGAGTCCGTGACACTTTTGTAACTTGGGGCTTGACCCTCAAGACGGGCGGAACAAGCCACATCTTATTGCACCGCCACCCGAATTTCACCCCTCCCTGCGGTTACGGCATACTATTACTTACTGCGACGACATCTTGCACCAGCCACAAGTCCATGCTTTCCAAAGTCAACTGTGACCAGCAGACCGTCAACCTTCACAATATTCCTCCAGAACAAAAGCTTCCCCTCCACTCGCAATCTCCTTCAAATCTATTCCCACCTTTTTCCATTCTCCATCTTTTTTGATTCCAGAACAATTTAATATCTTATGATCCACTAACGTCCGACGATTGTTCGCTCGGTGCTAGTCCAATTGTCGAGGTATGCTACTGCTGCTATTATTGCTCACTTGTCCTGCGGCGGCCCAAACCCCACGAAACCTCTCGCTCCGGGGGGTTCTTGCAAACCACTTATCCCTTCCTATATCACCGCTACTCTCCCCGACAAGTCAAGCTAATCCGCATTTGAGCAGGCTCTGCACATTGTCGTCACTTTATATTCCCTTCTTAGAACCTTTCCTCCCCTTCATAATTATCGCCGCGTTCGCGTGATATCGAATCGATCTGTGGTCTGAGTGAGGACTTGGACCTGTCACGTCCTCGCCTCTCTAATCGTCTCCTTTGTTCGATATCTTAAAATATACATACAATAAATTCGCCATGGAGGGTCAGGGTGAAAACGACGAGCTCTACCCTATCGCCGTTCTTATTGACGAGTTGAAGGTATGGTACTCCGCCCTCATGGCGCGGTGCCCCTTACAGATAACCGTCGACCGATCTAACACCCGGTACTTTTAGCATGACGATGTCCTCATCCGCCTCAATGCTATACACCGTGTTTCCACCATTGCGTTGGCCTTAGGGGCCGAGAGGACCCGGGAGGAACTCATTCCTTTCCTTGACGGTTAGTTTCCAAATCAATACCAGTGGATCAACTACAAAGACATGGCACACCTAACATATGCCATCACAGATTCTGTTGAGGATGAAGATGAAGTCTTGACTGCACTGAGCGAAGAACTAGGCAACTTCGTAGAATATGTCGGTGGCCCAGAGTATGGGCATGTTCTTCTTTCCCCCCTGGAGAACCTGGCGGCTATTGAGGAACCTTTGGTCAGAGAGAAGGTAGGAAACAACAAACATAATAGTCGTTTATCCTGTACTTACAGTACACCAGGCTGTTGAATCTCTCAACAAGATTGGCGAGCAGTTGTCGGAGAAGCAGATTGAAGAACATTTCATTCCTATGGTCCTACGCCTGTCAAAAGCCGACTGGTTCACCTCAAAAGTCTCTGCAACCGGCCTTTATTGTATCCCATACAGGAAGTCTGGTCAAGGATTGCAGCAGAGTCTCCGGCAATATTTCGGGGGTCTGGTACATGATGACACACCCATGGTAAGAAGACAGGCAGCCAATAATCTGGCGAAGTTCGTCAAGGAAATGAAGACTCCAGTTGTCATCGAAGAAATGATACCCTTATTCCAATACTTGGCCAGCGATGACCAGGACAGTGTACGCTTGCTTACAGTGGATATTCTCATTGCGATCGCCGAAGAGATCCCCAAGGAGCAGCAGCCTAGCCATGGTGTCCTGTTGACATCCTTACGGAACCTCTTTGAGGATAAGAGCTGGAGAGTCAGATACATGGTTGCCGACAGATACGAAAAGGTACATCTTTGAACATCGATCGTTCATTCCTGCTTTGATTTGTTCTAACCCCATTTTGCTAGATCGCCAAAGCCGTTCACGAAGAAGTCATCACTCGGGACATGGTACCCTCATTCGTTAAGCTCTTGAAGGATACGGAGGCTGAAGTCCGTACTGCGATCGCTGGCCAGATTCCCGGTATTTTCTCCGCGGCTTATCAGATATTGCCAATGGTCTAACTTGAGAATAGGTTTCTGCAGCTTGATTGACCGCGAGACGCTGCTTAATGAAATAATGACTAGCGTGGAAGATCTTGTTTCGGACCCATCTCAGCACGTGCGTGCCGCTTTGGGCACACAGATTAGCGGGCTTGCCCCGATTCTTGGAAAGGAAGAGTTAGTACAGCCAACTCATCTAGATATAATGAACTAGAGACACTAATAGCTCTCGCCTAGGACTATCGCTCATCTTCTTCCTATGTTCCTCCAAATGCTTAAAGACGAGTTCCCTGATGTCCGTCTGCACATTATCTCAAAGTTGGAGTTGGTCAACAAGGGTAAGCACTGAATCTGACGATATAGTCGTATCATCTAACATGCCACAGTTATTGGGATTGAGCTGCTGTCTCAGTCACTTCTTCCCGCTATCGTGCAATTGGCAGAAGATAAGCAATGGCGTGTCCGCCTTGCTATCATCGAATATATTCCCCTTCTTGCCAGCCAGTTGGGCGTCAAGTTCTTCGACGAGCAACTCAGCGATCTCTGTATGAGCTGGCTTGGTGATACCGTCTTCTCTATCAGAGAGGCCGCCACGCAGAACTTGAGAAAGCTCACAGAGGTCTTTGGGGTTGACTGGGCCAAGGGCTCTATTATCCCCAAGGTCATGGCCATGGGACAGCACCCCAATTATCTGTATAGAATGACAACGTGCTTTGCCATCTCTGTGCGTCAATGATATATTCCCCAAAGAGAATAACACAGGCTAACACGCTCTCTAGACACTCGCACCTGTCGTCTCTCTAGATATCATTGAGAACTCGATTCTCCCCATCCTGGATAGACTGGTCACGGACGAAATCCCAAACATTCGGTTTAATGTTGCTAAGTCCTATGCTGTGTTGATCGACACATTGCGACGCCTGCCGGCGGAGGGGACTTTGGCTGGCGTGGAAAAGGCCGGAAAGTCCGCAACGCCATCGCCGCGGAGTCAGGACCTTATTCAGCAGAGAATTATTCCCAGCTTGGAGAAGCTTCAAGCAGATGAGGATGTGGATGTCAGGTACTTTGCAACAACTGCTACGGGCGGTAATGACGAGATCATGCAGACTTCACCATAAGCTGAAGATCTAGCTAGATAGATGCTCACACGCTGTAAGAAGGCCTTTCAGTGCGAGTGGGAAATGATACACCGGCACTCACACTACTTTTGGGAGGACTGTCATTTTGTTAACTTAGAAATAGTCAGAGCATCTGACTGGCATGAAATGGCCCATGGCGTTTTCAATGTAGAGTCTCTTTTTTATTTCTATATCTTTGGTCCACTATGAATAATCGTGCAAAAACCACTTAAAACCTAGGCACTCGGTCTATCTGTCATTTGTCGGCATGCATGAAGTAAAAGCTAAATCATGTGATTTTCGGTGTTGGCCAGTAGTAAGCGCAGCATAAATAAGCCATTTGGACTAGTGGTACTATCCATGTCTACCCTCGCTCCTGAATCTCATTTTCGTGGATAGATTACTGCCAATTCTATTTGTACCTTGTATTCTTTTGTCAGCTCTATTTGGCGTTGAGAGGCTTGCTCCAATGTCATTATCGTGGCCTTGGCATTTTGTTTCTGTCTCTCCAACAGAGCAGCAGCATCGTCGCGAACTCTTAAATCTTCGCGGATGTTATGCACAATGCTCCTTCTTACTTGTTGTTCTGCTTGTCCGATTATACAACGAATATTTCCGAGTGGCGGAGAAATCAAATGACTCCCGAGTCCGTCGTAGGCAAAGATCATGGTGGGATCTGCCGCCCTTTACCACCTGGACAGAGACACGAAGGCAGTATGCTATTTGTATTATTTGGCTAGGGTGGCTGTTAAGCCTCTCTATATGGAATTCCGGAAATGGTAAGCCAAATTCTCAACCTCTGCCTAAATGCCTTCTTTATTTCTTTCCTGTCTCGAATATGATTATTCGTACCGTTGCAGACCTGGTCCATTTGAAAGATAAAACTCAAGCTAATTGTCATACGTACAGACTATCTCCATCTTACCAAAGCTCTGGCACATGTAGCTCTTTCTCAGCTACCATTCCAAGTTCTCATATCTCCTCCCCTATATCTCGACACCTCAAATCCAGCATCACCGTCCACGATGTCTATCTTGACATCTACCATGCAACCAGCACTGACTCCGTATCACCGCCTTTTCGGCAGAGTGGTTTTGTCACCCTTGCTAGCTGGGCATGCCGCACTGTATCTGAACTTTTTTGCACAGTCCAGCCACCCGGACTTTAGTTCCTTGCTCACGAAACGTCTTCAAGACACGGACGTTCAGTGGGGATTTGGTGGCTTGACCCTGTTAATCATGATCCTTCTCTTTGTTCGGCCCTTGCGTGCTGCCTTTTGGGTGCAGTTGTGGCCGACGTCTTCCCCTAAGGCTAGGAGAGAGGCATTCTATTATGGACACATATCGTTGGTAGTACTGCTATGCGTTGCTGCGTATTATCATGTTGCTCAAGCACGGGTCTTCATCATTGAGGCATTGGCGGCTTCTGTGGTTAACTCCGTATGCGGCTGGGGCTTGAGATAGGGGCACTCTGATTATTTCGCGCTTATACGGCTTGGATGCCTAGAATAGTTTAATGTATAGAATAGACTGCAGCCTATTCGCCCGTAGTGGTTCTACAGACGCAGTTGTATAGTGGAATGTAGAGAACTCCACGAGCGACAAGCTAATGATACATTGCTGGTGAAGAAATGCAGCATCTTGCCGTTTGGTGAAGACTCCGTCGACAGGATCGATGCCATGGTAGATTGTATTCAAGGTCGTGATTTTTGGGACGAATATTTCATCTGGTGTTATATGTACGACTAGGCTTGTAGGGCTGTTAAAGGGTGCTATTATATCCAATGTTCTAAGGTGGATTCATGGTGCAGGTTGGCGATTTGGGGGTTCATCTTTTCGTCGAGGATATCTTTCAATCTGCGAACAATACTCTTGTCTGAACAAATGACTACTATAGTTGGGCTAAAGAATATATTGTTTCTAATAAGGGCAAGTCTGGATTCTCAGCTACGTAGAATTCATGGGTGTGGCAAGGAGTCTTGTAAGTTCACCCTAGGAACATCCTTACCGATCTAATGCTAAATGCCGGTAGTCTGAGAACGAGGCAAGGAGATATGTGTTTGATGATTACCAAGCTTGGGATGTCTACTGAAGTCGCCCAACTTCCCATATGCTCTGGGGCAATCGAACTACTCAAAGGAGCTGGAACATAACTGTCTGGGCCACAACAAGGATATTATATAAGCAGGGACGAGTTGGTCGAGTAGAAGAAGACGGTACTGGGACCAGATAGAGCGGAGAAGTGCTACAACTTGATAACACTATGGTCTAGTGCGCATGGACTCTGGGACCGAGTGTGTTTTGCTCTTAAGCCTCTCAAAATCAGCAATGACGAGAGGACCCTAAAAGTCCGATTCTTCTGGCTTTTCATGTCGTCGACATACTCTAGAGACATACTCCTGACTCTCCTCTTACCATGTCACGAACTACTGATTGAGGCCCAAAGAACACAACTCTCCGTAACTACACGACAAAAGAAGTTACTTGCTCTGGATATATACTACTGTCCAAGACGGAAGACCCTGAGCCTCTGCCACTTCCTTCTATCGACTTGCTTTGAATACAATGAATTTACCAGGGCTCTGTCATAAGCGGCGCTGCTGAAGCCCCGGACGAGGAGCCATATCCAAAGTCAGACTATGGGTGGAGCCAGCTAGATATTGAGAGAGAGGTAGAAGTAGACCAAAGTACTTCCGGAGTAGGGGAAACCGCCCGCTGACCTAGCGGCCCTCTCACAGCGAAGGCAAGGGTACGCCAGACTAATATATACTTAGACAAAGAGCTAATGTCTAGTAAAACGGGTGATCTTGTTAAGACTATTAACCATTCCGTATGGTTCATATCGGGTATTGTTTTTCCGGTCAGAAGCCGTAAAGTATTCTCCCACCTAATAACGGCAAAAAAAAAACTAAAGACTATAGATTATCTCTCTAAAGAACTCGGAAATATATATTTAATCTAGAGCCTTGAGTTCTACGGGAAATTACAACTCTTACTATAACGAGCATAAGTATTTTGATACAATAGCTAATGAGATCGGTAGCGTACCCTAGATGCCTTTACAATTGATAGAAAAGAAAGGCCTGTTGAGTATATCGAAGTGCAAAGTTAAACATTCAGCCAATGTTGGTTTTGGTCGAGTGGGAAAACAAAGAATTCCTCAGGGGCAACGGTATAAGGGCCTCTCGTTTAACAGATTCTTATTACTCTGCGATAATTTTCTTTGAATGTGCGATAAATATATTCTTTTTTTGCCAGGGTATACTTAGATGAGAAGGATCCCTATAAAGAAAGATTTGGACATAGGAAAGTTCTTCTGTCCGATTGTATACGGTTTTTAAAATACGTCTCGCTATTGAATTTGTATTCCAGGATTTTTTCCCGCTAACATTCGACAGCCTTAGCCTTGAGTAATGGACGCTTGTCCGTTGAGACCAAAAATTATATGCTAGACTGCTTGGTTAGTTCAGGGACAAGAAGGGCTACATTTAAGTATCTGGGCAAGGTTGAATCTGAGCTTGAGGGGGAAATTGGGTGGCTTGAAGCTGTTACGGGTGACCAAAACCCTACGTTTCGTCTACTACTGAGGAGATACCGTGTACCTACGAGAGTAATTGAAAAGTCGATTGTCTAACGGAGTATACAATGCCGGGATCGCTCATTTAATTTACTACCTTTGCCACACGCGCCCAACTGAGCCAAAAGTGACGCTAAGCCCGGCCTAAAACAGAAAGGTTATGAATAATATGGAGGTGTTAAGGTAGTACGGGCCAACAGGAAGGGGAAAAAAAACCCTTGATTATCTAGTAAATAGGACAAAATCGTGTATAGTCTACCTCAAGACACAGCATAATGCAAGACGACCGGCTATCATGAAGAAACCACCAGATTCCCTGGTTTACAACCTTATAATCAAAACTTGTATATGATCTACTAGTCGTAATGCATTGTCGTGATTTAAATAAGGTTGAGTTGCACTTCTCCAGGCTATGAATCTAGACCTGTGGAGTACTAGTAGAGAGCCACTTCTTGGCGCTCATCACATTAAATCATACATGTGGGGTTTCTGTTTTTGTTTGTTGACTAAGGGAAGGGTTGAACAAAGGGTTATCGGTACGGTACCATATCTTTGAACACCCCTTCTTTGCCTTCCCTTTTTTTCATACAACAGGCAACAGGCATTGACCTTGTCCTTTCTTTAGACAAACTGTGTCAATGTGTCCCCTCATTTGATTTCATGTATAGAAGACTTCCTTTCGTGGCAGAATGCGACGCCAACGCCTGATAATCTCCTTGGTAACAGTCGTCTTGGTGTGCATCTCCCTTGTCCTACTTAGAGACACCCAGTTCTCCCCGCCCTCAATCGTCACCAATGCGCCATTAGAGGCGAGCCCTTCACCATTGTCTTACACGCACTCTTCTTCGGCTGCTTTTCCAAACCCTATCGTATCCACACAATCCTCAAAGAGTCGCCAAGGATTCCATCCAAAAGATGTTCACCCCGTGGCCAGCCTCATTCAAAATGCGGAGCAAGGATTCCACCAATTGCGGTCTCGACAGTCGAAAACATTAGCCGATGCAGTTAGCGAGTATCGTCGCCGATATAATATGCATCCTCCTCCTCATTTCGATAAATGGTTCCAGTTTGCTCAAGCTAAAGGAGTCCAATTAATCGACGAATACGACACAATCTACCATTCTCTGCTGCCATTCTGGGCTCTGAAGCCTAAAACAGTACGGGAAAGAGCCCACGAGGCCTTGGGCTACGACAACGCTGTGATCGGAGTTCTCATTAGAGATGGCGAGGTAACACTCGCCGAGGGAGGCGGCGAAGGACACCAATGGCAGCGAGAGGCGACAGTTGATATGATGAAAGGCTTTGTTGAATACTTGCCTGACATGGATCTGGTCTTTAATACTCATGACGAACCCCGAGTCATTGTTCCGGGCGACGATCTCCAAAGGATGGTTAACTTTGCCAAAGATCACGCGATTCCGAAGGCTTTCCAGAAGCAATCACTGGTGAACAAATGGTCGGGAAAGCCGGCCGACTTAAACAAGGGTGACCGTATCGACGAAGTGCGCACTACACGCTTCAATCGGTTCGCACATCAACCTACCTGGACAAGCTCTCGGGCTTCCTGTCCGCTAGATAGCCCTTCGCGATCCCTTAACGAGAGCGAGCCAGACAAACTCGACGCCTACGCGTATGGTGAATTCGGGTTCATCTACAATACGACCGCTTTTTCTGATATATGTAACACGCCTTCCCTTCAATATAAATATGGATTTTTCGACAGAGCCAACGCATTCGATGTGGTACATGATTTGTTCCCGGTCTTCTCTCAGAGCAAGATCTCAAGCTTTCAGGACATCATCTACCCAAGCCCATGGTATTGGGCTGATAAGGTACCGTATGAAGAGAAAAAAGATCACGATTGGGACACAAAAATGGACAAACTATACTGGAGGGGCTCGACAACCGGAGGGTTCTCGCGAGCAGGCGGTTGGCGTCGGCAGCATCGACAAAGATTCGTCAGCAACATCAACAGTCCTAGCACTGCTAAAGTTCTATCCAAAAATGGTCACGGTCACTGGGAGCCGAAAGAAGTCAACCGCAATCCTTACCGAGACCAATACGATGTCAAATTTACCTACATTGGCCAATGCGACCCAACCGATTGTGCCGCCCAACAAGAATATTTTTCTGTGGCTGAGCCAACCGATCAGCAGCATGCTTGGGCGTACAAGTATTTGGTGGATATTGATGGGAATGCTTTTAGCGGTCGTTTTTATGCCTTTCTGCGCAGCAAAAGTTTGGTTTTCAAAATTGCTATCTTTCGTGAATGGCATGATGAATGGCTCAAACCATGGGTCCATTACATCCCCTTGAGCTTGACAGGAGATGAATATGTGGAAACTATGAGATATCTTGTCTCAGAAGACGAGGGTAAGACCGCAGCACCACGATTAGCTCAACAGGGTCGGGATTGGGCGCAAAAATCCTTGCGCAGTGACGATCTGGAGGTCTGGCTTTTTAGGCTCATGCTAGAGTGAGTTCTTATCCCCGCTTGATTAGACAATTGCTAACCTTGGCTGGATAGATACGGGCGTCTGGTTGACGACAATAGGGAAAACCTGGGTTTTTCCCTCTAGGTCAATCTTTTTTCATCATGTATGTCACTAACGTATGTATGGCTCTCTCGGTCTGCTTTTCTGTTTTGTCTTTACTTTTTTCAATTTTTTCTTTCCCTCTTTCTGGCTTATGCTTACGACTACTTGATGCCTTGTACAATACCCATGTCTACATTATTTTCGAATTTGTATGGATGGATTTAATAGGAGTGAACCTGGCTTTTTTTTCACTTATTCACTTATTCACTTTTTTTTTACTCTCTCTTTCAAAAGATGATATCTACTATCACGACATTTTGATGGGCTATCTTGAGAAGATTATTTCCCGTTCCTATCGCCATGGCAACAGAAATGAGTCTCCATGCAGCCCTGGAGCTACCGAACGTGCACATGGACTGAAGAAGTACCGTAGATGTGTCCAATAATTGAGTATCAATGCACGTTCCGATATATTTTCCAAGCAAAAGCACATTCCAACATACAGGGTTAGAGATCTAGTTTTTGTGGGGAGAAGTAGTTATGCAGCGCTTTAACAGCGCCTATGATGTCAGTCAACCATCTGTAAATGAAATTAGATAGGCTTTAAATACAGTTCACAGTTATCTGAGCCCGTATTCAAGAGAAAGACACTAGTAACTAGTAGTCTTGCAGGAATTAGGTAGGGGAGCCTGCCTGAACAGTCAGGCCAGGTATTAGAATCACATGCGCTGGGTGGGCTCCACCAAGTCCAACCACTAAGTGTAAGCCTCCCGTCCGGCAAGCCACAAAGCTAATATATAGAGAGCTACCCAGAGGTGGCGGAAAACTACTCCCATCTTTTCAGAAATTATTCTGAGCTTCACAATGCACAGAGTCTCCATTTATAAGAGTACCTCTTCTAAAGACATTTGACCTTCTGAGCGTAGGACCGAAGTTTGTTGTTGTTGTTGTTGTTTGTCCCATTGACCCTGAACGTCAGATTCTTGCCTTTGTGTAAGAAATATACCCAACATGGCGAATCCATTGTTCCGCATATTGAGGCCTGTTGCGGTTTTTGCCTACGGGCTCTTTACTCTGATTCTCTATGGATTTACTGCTATACAGAAAGGGTACTTTTTTAGAAAGTCGACTGAGAAAGAGAACCTGGAGCTGGAGCTGGGTATGTACCGGCACTTTGTTCGCCGCATGTCTTTTGAAGTCGATTGTATCGCCCATTAAAGCACGACTTTAACTAACTTGCGAATCCATCTACTAGCTCGTGACCGCTTCTGGAACGTCTCGAAGACTTACGCCGGCCTTTCTCACCATTTTATTACCTTACGGAACGGCTTCAAGTTTCATTATGTTTGCAGCGAGGTACCCGGAGCACCTGCAGCCTCCAATACCAAAAAACCATTGATTATCTTTATTCATGGCTTCCCTGATAGTTGGGCAGTGTGGAGATATCTCCTAAAGTCAGAAACTTTACAGGAGGCGGCCACCCTGGTTGCTGTTGACTTACCCGGCTACGGTGGTAGTGATAGCCTTGAGGAATACTCGGGCACGAACGTGATGGAGAGCCTGGCAGGATTTGTCATCGCCATCAGGGCTAAGTACGGAATTGATAACGAAGCCGGCATACGTCAAAGAAGGACGGTTATTGTCGGACATGATTGGGGTTGCGTGCTTTCCATGCGTCTTGCCGCTGAGGCTCCTCAGTTGGCGGATCGATTTATCTTGAGTAACGGACCCATGGTATGCGTATCTGTTGAACGATATTAAGACTTACCGTGAGACTAACATGATCTGCAGCCTAGCATGGTTGCCTCCAACGTTCGTCGATCACTATCTTCGTCGCTCAAAATGTTCAAAACGTCCCTGCGTTCCCCAATTAAGTTCCGCTCGACAATTTTCAAGGCAGTCAAATCATTAAAGCCGGTCTTACGTCAGTTGGGTCTTTCGGGGTACATCTTTGTTATGCAACTTCCCATGCCCTTCGTTGAGTACCTTGGCACGGGTGGCAACTACTCTTTCTTAAAACTGGCCCATAAAAGGTCTTATGGGAACTCGCCATTCACCCTTGAAGATGCTGCTGAATGTATGGCAAGCACCTTGGGCCCGTCGGTTGAGGAGTGCAAGACGCACACGCCCCATGGCGAGGGATACCCTGCTTCGGTGGCAAAGGAGCGCGCCCTTTCCAATTTCCAGCATATGGCCCGTTACTACCGGGAAAAGGCGGCTACCTCGCGCTGGCAGAAATCTATCGAGACAATTGCCGATCTGCACAGCATCTCGGGAGGAAATGAGCTCCATCGAGCTAGTAGCGGGGCCGGACTGTTTGATGATGGACCGACCGGTGTCCTGAAAGCTAATTCGACCATTATTTGGGGCAAAGCAGATATCGCTTTGGATCCACAATTGTGCTTGAATGGGTTCTCGGATTATCTTGTCCGTAATAGTCAAGTTGTTGAGCTCCCCCGGTCTGGGCACTTCACTCCACTGGAACGTGAGAGCCGTGCTGCATTGAGGAGAGCAGTTGAATGGGCTGCAAAGGGTGAAACAGAGGATATCGGAGCTGCCATTCAGAGAGATTACCCGGACGCTGTAGTAACGGTTCGGAAGTGAGGCGGGCCTCCCCCTTGACTTGGGACCGGGGCATTAATCGCATTCGATGTTTGCTGTGTGTTTGCGCCTTCCTTCTCCTTTGTGTTACTAGGTAGACGCTCAGGGAGTAAGTAACAAATAAGTCTGTTTATGGTGGAAATACCGAGGGTTTGTTGGGATATAATTATAATTCGACCCTGCAAACTACATTCCTAGTAATCAAAACACGGGATCTGAGCGCCCGTGGCACGGGGTTCTCGACCATTCCTTTCGATCATTCACTTCCAGCCTCCAGCTTATTATTATTTTGGAGCATCTCCGCTTTCCCCTCATTGTCTGATTTTATTCAGAAAAAAGAATTCAAACAACAGATCGGGAGTGCGTTATACAGCTCTAACATCTAACTACTCGTTTTTATACCTTTATCCATTGGTCACAATGGAACAATTATAATCGCTGCTGACGGGATGCCGTTCCTGCAAAAACCCACATCCGATTCATCATCATACAAAGGTCTCTCCTGTTGGCGTATTTCGGTGGGCGGGGTTAGATACCCCTAACGTCACCTGCCTAAGAGGGGGCTCATAAATTAATAACACAAACCTGCGTTTGCTGCTTGACTTATTTATCTCTACTAGTTTTCCACCTGAAACAACCTTTCAATTATCGACGGGATGGCTAACGAAGAGGGTGCCGTTTATTGCACTGTACGTTCGTACCTCTTTCTTATACTCAAGGAGCTGTCGCCTCTAACGTCAATCGCAGCTTCTGTTGAGCGATCACTATCTTCCCGGTAAAATTATGATCTCTCGGCGACTGTGCTTTTGCCCCGTATAATCGATTTATTAATTGACCCCAGGCGCTGTCGTACTCGCTCATTCTTTACGCGACAATGGGACGAAAGCTAAACTGGCTGCTCTCTATACACCTGATACCCTACAGCCAGCCACAATTCGGGAGCTTCAGGTATGACTTCTGTTCCTTTGCTCAGACACCAAGTTTCTGCTGCCAATGTGTTGACTGGGGCCATCTAGACTGTATACGATGAGCTCATCCCCGTCCATCCAACCACGAATAGCACACCGGCGAATCTCTGGCTTATGGAGCGTCCGGACCTCATAGCTACATTTACCAAGATTGAGCTTTGGAAGCAAACGCAATTCAAGCGGATAGTGTATATCGATTGCGATGTTGTGGCTGTCAGGGCCCCTGATGAGCTCTTGACTTTAGAGGTAGACTTTGCGGCAGCTCCAGATGTGGGCTGGCCGGATTGCTTCAACAGTGGTGTAATGGTTCTTCAACCCAATTTGCAAGATTATTTTGCTCTTAAAGCGCTCGCTGAGAGAGGCATTAGCTTTGACGGCGCAGATCAAGGGCTGCTAAACATGCATTTTCGAGACTGGCATAGGCTGAGTTTCACGTACAACTGCACACCCAGCGCAAACTATCAATACATTCCTGCCTACAAACATTTCCAGAGTACAATCAATCTGGTTCATTTCATCGGAGCTCAGAAGCCGTGGAATATGCCAAGGCAGGTGTCCCCGACTGAATCGCCATACAACCAGTTATTGGGAAGGTGGTGGGCTATTTACGATAGGCATTACCGTCACGCCACTACTGTAAGCGTCCCCTTCCCCTGAGGGATTAGTTATGGGCTGTGGTGAAGCTGGTCTGATGGCATTTTAGAGACCCGCGAACAATTGGAGCAATGCACCTGTCGCGCCGCAGAGTGACTTTCAAGGCCATCGGGAAGAATCCTTACCAGTGTCATTACCTACGCAATCCTCTTACTCTACCTCGCAAAAGCAGGCACCGCAGATTCCTTACGAGCAACCATTGGGCATACACACAGGAATATCATTCGAGTATCCGTCCGTGTCACATGAGTTGCCTAAGGATGACGGGTCAAGTACGCGTGAGCCTTCTCAAGCACAGTCTTTCCAGGGAGCAGAAATTACGCCTGGGCCTGTAGTAATACCAGCCATGGCAGAGCTGTCTGGCCAGAAGGAACCTGACGGTAACCGGAGCGTGCAAGTACCGGTGTTAAGTGTTGTCCCGCAATATGTCCGTGGAGAAGAGCATATCTCAACGTACATTCAGCGAGATCCTGACGAGGAACCAACTAACGTCTATGCTGAACAGCCTTTCGGGGTACAAATCAGTACGCCAGATATCTCAGCAGCTCCTTCAGATGTCGAATGCTCCCCAGTTTACCAACACCCTGGGGAACCGCTGCATGAAGCTATTGAACAGTCACATGCACTCCCACTAAGCCCTGAAACCCAGACGTTTGAAGCTCCCCGGACACAGTGGGACCCAGCTCGGTGAGTCACGTTGACAAACAATGTATGAAGAATAGCCGAAGCTTATTCTACCTAGGGAACCCCCACCTCTAAATACTAAGCCTGAGGGTATTGCTCTGGAGACAAAGACATATACCATGTCAGAGGACAAGGAACTTTTCAAGCCCCCTCCATTTTACCCAGAAGCCCCTAAGAACATGTACTATGAGATACCCAGCGCCAAACCAGAACCAGAGAGAATCAGCCAGATATTTCCCTGGGAAATTCATGCCCCCAAGCCAACTCGGGTTTTCCTGGATGATGACCAGAGCTCGATTTCTTTGCCTGGCCCCATAGCCTCCACAGACTCAGCAAAGGAAACGCCCACGCAGCTTATGGAATACATATCATCTTGGACATCCGACAAGCCATCCGAGTCATGGGACAGCTACTCCAGGTCAAACGCCTGGGATGATGTTCCAGAAATACAAAGATACATCCAATCTATCCAACAATCCCGAAGGGCCAAAGTTCAGGTAATCCGAGGCGGGGATGGCCTCTCGGACCAGAGAACACCTGGCCCAGAACCCAGTATGCGATTAACCGACTTCCCCAGCGAACAAGAACGGCCCAGTCTTCCCGTAACTCCAGCACCTATCAGGAGACTACTACCTTCTTCTGACTTCCTAGGCGAGGGATCCACCTCGGGACAGCTACCCATCGCCGAGGGCGTACCAAACCAAGAAGAATGGGTGGGTGTCACGGCTGATGTGTTTTTACATATCCTTCGAGTGGCATACTTATACTGGTACTTCACAGAACCCGTCAATAGGCCTCGAAGAACTTCAGCGGCTCCGCTCTGAAGTTCTGGAAAATCCGGATCTACTTCTCGAGCGGATTGCGAGAGCTGCGACGGAGCGCAAGCGTAGGGATCCGTAGGGAACAAAGTTGACTCCTTCCCTCACTTCTCTGTCTTCTTTTCTTGGGTGCCTCCTCTCTATTGCATTCATTTGCTACTTCCACTGTATATCCCGGCTGTACAGTATGTTTTCCATATGCATTCCCCTTTTTGTGCAGCGTGTATGAAGATTGGGTTACCTACTTTTCTGTTAAGCATTTTTGATTTAGGTAAGCAAGCACGCGTTGGCTAGCAATAACAAGCGATTGCGTAGCTTAGCATGATTATTGTCCGCATTAGCTGCAAACAATCGAATGGAAACCTCATATTCATTTTTGTATTCTGCAATTAGCATCCTAAAGGGTATAAGAATGAGATACTCAAAAGCACGACTATGCTAAGCGGGGTATTTACTAGACTATAGTACAAAAAGAACGAAAAGAATAAATAATAACAAACAACAAACAGAACCCCAGGAGCCACATATTACTGTGTTCGCAAAGCCGAGCACCGCTCGCCTCTAATAGAGTAGTAGTTAGTCTGTTTGATATGGCTCGCCTTCCCCGTCCTCTCATCAAAAACGCTGAAACCATACGCGGCAGCATTAGGCGGCGTATAAACTAAACAACCAATCAGTAAAAGCACACGCATTCACTTGTATCCCAGCAAAAGACCAAAAAAAGGGAAGTAAAGCAAACAAACACCTACGATGCAAGGAAACGGCAACATTGTCCGGATCCGTGTTAGATATTTTATGCAGGCCCAGCTGGTCACTATTAGCTTTAAAACCCATGCATTAGAATACAATAATATGGACAAACCTCGTCAGACATATACGTAACCTGGTTCTTGGTGTAGGTTGTTTCCTGCATAAACTGCAACGGAGACGCCTGCCCAAGCTCGAGTTTATGTTGATTGGGCCATGAATATCGCGTCTCGCGGAGAGAGCCTTTTAGGACCTGTGCGGTGGATTAGCTTACCCACGGCACCTAACACCCACGGCCCTATGCAAAGATAGGGAAGAGTAATAAGGGGGAACCAATACCTTCATAACACAATGCGCCTTCGCATGATCATGGATCGCGCTTCCCTTTCCGGGGCTCCAGACTAGGATAAGCTGGGTAGAAATAGAAGTATATCAGCACGTGAGCGGATACCCATTTTCGTCGTTATGCATGAGGGGGTTGCATGTGACTGATCTATACATGAAACTTTGCATAGACCTGTTTCCTCGGAGGGAGAAGGAGGGAAACATTACTCACCAGATTGCTCTTCCCGTTGCCTTTGTCGATCAGATTCCTCGTGTAGGTCTTGTTGAGATCGGGTAGGGCGAACGGCTCCCATTCATCGGGATTGGAGATATATCGTTCCATCAGACGGCGGATCTCGAACGGGTCGACATCATCGGAGTCCAGGCCCGAGCTCGGACCCAGGGCTGCACTAAGGTCCTGTACTAGTTGTTCGAAGGTGTTGCTTGGTTGGTTGTTTTCTGGGATGTGTTGGAGGTAGGGCATTTTTCTTCTTCTTTTAGCCCCTATAGCTTAGTTTGTATGTGGCGTTTGTTTGTCGGGTTATTGGTGAGAGTGTGTGGTTTGGTAAGTATAGCAACTGGTTGGGGATGAGGTCTTTGAAGAATGCTTCTAAAAGAAAGAGGACTTATAGTCACAATCAAAGAAAGGTTGCACGGGGAATAACTATGGATAAAACCAAGGAAATCAGTATCTTCCAATGCCAGGTATATAGAACAACAATAATAGACCCTCTTTCAATCAATGATCCAAAGCTATGTCCCAAGCAGGAACATACTTTGTTTGCTCTTGCCACCCGACGATAAGCGTGGACGCCATGTTTCTGCCTGAGGCTAAAAGTCCCGCCATGTGATCAGTCAGTGATCGCCTCGTTCTTCTCCGCCTGACAAACGGGCGAATGAAGTGGCGGCCACACTTTCAAAGATTGAAGTCTCCGCAAAACACCAGTGCAAAACGAGGTTACGATCACCTTAGAGCTTCACCACAGCGCGGGATAGAAGCTAGGACGTGTATTAGAGCACGGTCTTTTTGTGGTTTATTTTTTATTGTATTTGGATATATTGTGCCTTGTGCGAGGGGTAAAACTTGTATCAACCCGCCAAAATGTCGACCACAGTTGAGAAGGTTGGATCCTGCCCATAGTCTCTTTAAAATCAATTAGCACTGTTCTTCGGACAATTACAGAATATGATACTGACTAGTCATGCGTCAATGTAGATCAAGCAAATCGAAGATGAGGTTCGTGTCAAAGATTATATGCGATACTCGCCGCCAGGGTACCGGACTGACCGATAATTCAGATGGCCCGGACGCAGAAGAATAAGGCTACGGCCTTCCATATTGGTATGCGCAAGGACAAATGCTAGATGGGTTCGCATAGGGACTGACGGGTCTTGTAGGGCAATTGAAAGCTAAGCTTGCAAAGCTGAAGCGTGAACTTTTGACCCCAACCGGCGGTGGCGGTGGTGGCGGCGGTGGTAAGTACTTTTGGTGTCATGTGTCTATCCGATATGGAGCACTTGGTTAATTCGGGGGAAATCAGCTGGTTTCGATGTTGCTCGTACCGGTGTCGCTAGTGTGTATGTGTTGGAGACGACCCTACCAGAGTGACGATGATACTGACTCGGAACAGTGGTTTCATTGGTTTTCCTTCCGTTGGAAAGAGTACCTTGATGAGCAGGTTAACAGGCCAACACTCCGAAGGTATGTGCGGTTGGTTTGATTCAGTAATGCTAAGTACTGATGATTTCTTTTCACCCCTGTCACAGCTGCGGCCTACGAGTTCACAACCCTGACAACCGTGCCTGGACAGGTTTTGTACAACGGTGCTAAGATTCAGATTCTGGATCTTCCTGGTATTATTCAAGGTGCCAAAGACGGCAAAGGTCGTGGTCGACAGGTTATTGCTGTGGCGAAGACTTGCAACCTTATTTTCATTGTGCTTGATGTCAACAAGCCGCTTGTCGATAAGAAGGTCATTGAAAATGAATTGGAAGGTTTCGGAATCAGAATCAATAAGAAGCCTCCTAATATCGTCTTCAAGAAGAAGGACAAGGGTGGTCTTGCGATTACTAGCACTGTTCCATTGACGCATATTGACCACGATGTAGGTTCCTATCACGTCCACGGTTTGAAAAGAAGCCATCACTGACGTATAATACTAATTGCTGCTTCTAGGAAATTAAAGCTGTCATGAGCGAATACAGGATCTCGTCTGCAGATATCTCTATCAGATGTGATGCGACAATCGACGACATTATTGATGTCCTTGAGGCAAAGAGTCGGGCTTACATTCCCGTCGTATATGCTCTGAACAAGATTGATGCTATCACAATCGAGGAGCTGGACCTTCTTTACCGTATTCCCAACGCCTGCCCCATCAGTTCCGAGCATGGCTGGAATGTTGATGAACTGCTGGAGATGATGTGGGACAAGCTCAGCCTCAAACGAATTTACACTAAGCCCAAGGGCAAGGCACCCGATTACACTGCTCCTGTTGTGCTGAGAGCCAATGCATGCACTGTTGAGGATTTCGTATGTATTCCCCCCCCCCACCTTGCAAAAGCAAAAAGCGCAAGACAGTTAGTTTCCTGACCCGTATCCAGTGTAACGCGATTCACCGAACGATCAAGGACCAGTTCAAGCAAGCTATTGTCTATGGTCGCTCCGTTAAGCACCAGCCGCAGCGTGTGGGTCTGACGCACGAGCTCGCCGATGAGGATATTGGTCCGTAAACCACCAACCCCTGAACATCATAAGGAGCTTCCAAGCTAACGCGGTGACTGCAGTGACCATTGTGAAGCGGTAAACAGCTTCAATCAATCAAGGTTCTTGAGACGCGTAAAAGCGGAGAACTCGGTGGCGAATCGTCACGAGAAGATAAACGGGTTGTGGTAGAAGTGTTTCGCTAAGTATCCATGTCCAAGAGGCCCAGCCCTTGGAACAGCTTCCGCGAGATGCCATAGAACGTTTGATTGGGGGAGAGGATGGTTCGCGCACGGGCAGCGCTCTGCCGACTATCACCTGAATGTGCACGATCACTCGTTTGGAATAGATGACTGAATCATGAGATAGTCCATTTGGCGCTGCTACTCATGGTGATGCACGGTCTTTTTTTCGTGCAATCCTGTTTAAGGGGGACGAGGAGAGACAGAATGTTAACGCTGAGAATCTGGAATAGGGTTTTTGGTTGTCACAGTACGAACGATTTCATCTTTTTCATTTTGTGCATTTTGTGCATTTTTTTCTCTCCTTTTTTCTTTGTTGAAAGCGACCACTTACATACTTTTCTCCCGACGGTCGGTCTAGAACTCATGGCTTAGACTACTAAAAAGTTAGTAGCGACGAAATTAGAAAGAACTATTGTCAGAGTTGAGAAAGCTCCATCCGGTTCTTTTGCTTCCAAGAAAGCCGACTGTAGCACTGTCCTCTGGTTTACGCGGACATCGCGAAAAAGAAAATTACTACACCTTTCTTCTGAGGACCTCCATGACTCTTGGAGATTCCCGTTTAGGATCAATTCAGCCATATGATGTCACCTGATTGCGGTATCTGGAGCATTGACCGATATATTGCTGCTACCTTACCTGCTAGGTGAAGTTGACCCACTCGTATGAAGCTTGGGTACCTACATGCCATGCCTTCCATGCTTCCCGGATGGAGCATCAGGACCCTGCTGTTGGAGACTCGAGGTCGCATTCATGCGGAGAAGGAAAACTCCCTCGTCGTCTAACCCAGTGCGATCAATGCATTTATTTCCGGATGGCATGATAACGAAGAAAGGGCTGCAACCCGGACCTATGCCCTGAAGTATGAAAGCCAGTCGGCAATGAAGTGCCGCCATGAAGACCGATGGGATAGGCCAGGCCCGAGTGTCAGTGTATATTTCTGCGACTAATCATGCGCCTGCAGGTGCAGGGTCCGGGGTTGCTCTGCTCACGGGCGGCATGGATTATGCATCCCTTTTTCTTTACTGGTCCTGAGTATTTTTCTAATTATCTGATTCGACCTAGTAGATTAATACAGGTATTGACGGGTCACGACGCCAGAGGGGTAGCCGTAATACTATAGGTCTTACGGGACTCCTACTAGTGTACCACTGAGTACTTGGTTCTGTATCTACAGCAGATTTAAATGTGGTGGTCAGGTCTTAGTTCTGATTTGGGATTGGGATTTGAATATATTACCTTTTTTTTGGTATCTCTCCCTTCCATTTCGCTGATTGCACTCGGCACTTGTGCCTTTATATGGGAGTAGTAGTACATACATGTATACACAAACCATCAATGGTCGCTGGTAAAATCCGCTACTGATTTTAGGTTTTAAATATGTTACTTCTTGTGGGCTCCGCCGACAGATCCATGGATACTACCTACCTCTTACTACCAACCCTCGTAGAAAATGTGCCAAAAATTAAAGAAAATAAATAAACAAATATGTATAAAAGATAATAAAAATGAAAATAAAAAAAGGAGGGGAAGAAACTAGGAAGGAAATAAAAGAAAATTCATGGCGGACACCACCAATCATCTGTCCTACCAGTTGTAATTGATAATGTACGCTGTGACCTTTTTCCTCGGAGTATAGTACCCTACATACATATTTAACGGGCATCCCTGTCTATATTTAACTGTCAGTGACATTTCCTTGGAAAAGCGGTCTGCGCAGGAATGGGAAAGCTCTACAACGTTGTATCTTCTGTTCGCTGAACTATACTGATTTGGGGTATCTCCTCCTTGGGTCCTTGATGTATGCAATTTAATATTTGTGTCGTACAAGGCTGTGTTCGTCCTGATTCAGGGTAATTAAGAGGTTGGCTTTATATCTGGTTTGCCGCGCTATTAAACACTGCGGGGATCTCTGAGTGGCGAGGGGCTGATGAGGATTGTTAGAACAATAATATAATCATTATTAATGATTGTCACGATTTTTCTCAAAAGGGAAGAATGGCTAAGAGGAAAAGAAAATATTAGATCAAAATGATCACCGAAGGTCTAATTTGGACCACAGGAGCCATGTGGGGATGAGCACACAGGCAATTATGATCAGCGAAGATAAAAAAGCCTGCAACGATAGTGTATTACTTCTGATAGGCACTCGTGATTGGTAGTATGACTCGGGTTTTGCCCTGAGATCTAATATTTTCCAATGCTGCTAATGCACAGCCTCAACGGGTAGACAAAGTTACTACTCCGTACTTACTCTGTCTGAGAATGCCTTATGCTATAGGTGTTTGTCTGAGATGAAGATTGAGATGAGAATCTGCCTGTCAGATGACTGAAGATCCGTGCTTTTTCCCATCATTCTGTCAGTAACATGCGAGGAAGTGGAGGCTGCATACGTCTCTTCCTTCCTTCTGGTGGCTTTCAGAATCCTAACTGTCGGTGACGGATCAGTACTCGGGATCTTCTTTCGTTCCTTTTCTCTACCCCCCCCTCGAATTTCTTTCTTGTATCATTTTTAGCATGGGTATCGCGGATCCTTCGAGGCAGCCACATGACAGCCACTGGTTGCGATCAATGAGTTGTAACGGTGACAGACAATGAACGCTCCCAAAGGATGGTAGATACTCATCCGTAACAATCTTGAAACAGGAAATCCAATTAGTTGGCCTCAAGAGACCATGATTACGAACTGCAATTCATATCACTACCTCATTTCTCGACTTACATACATAGCTTCATCCTACCTTCATAGGGGTCCAGGAAAACGCTCGTCCAACCCCACACCACTCAGATCTGGTTACTGCTCATATCGCGCTATCGAGGTGGATGTTGCCCAGGCCGTCTATACGATACCTGGCCTGATCGGACCAACTCCCTCAGCTTTCACTGATGTCTTTTTCTCTTGGGTCTATGAATATGTGAGCTCGGACATATTCCGACGAAGGCCTTACCGGTGTATTAGATCTCCATAATTCCTGCATGTTCAGGCCTCACGTACCATGTACCGCTATCCAAACGTCTGGGGTATGGTGCACCTGAGTATAGTGTACTTTGCCGTACACATGTACATATTTCGGGGTACCTTGACATGACATGTCCACTGCTGATATCTAAACGAGCTGCACTTCCCTTCGTACCTGACAGATATCTATTATTGGCACTTATAAAACGGTAAGGCTATCATGACACTCTCGGTTAGGGCAAGGGTGTCTGATGTCGCACCACTCGGGCTTTTTTGGCCCTTTTGTTCTAGTTTCAGTCAGTCTCGACCGGATTGTTATTGATCCATATGCAATAATTTTTGTTATTAGTAACCAAATTTCAATTTATAATTTCGGGTCCCTTCCAAGGCGGCTTTTTGACTGATCTCAATATCCTTTGAACAGGGGAAAAAGAAAAATATTAAAATAAAAAGCGGCGAGAAAAAGGAAATAAAGGAGGGGCGATTCTCCTTGCTTACGGAGTACACTAGAAGCAATGGCGTCGACACCAACCCATGGTCTCGACTTCCCAAACTAACTCTTTCCTGCATAGGGTAGTGATTTTCTGTTGGCCATTGGTTCTCCAACCTCCCAGCGCTGAGAAGGGGCAGACCGATTGGAAGACTGCGACAGCCGTAGTTATGTCTTTAGTCTGGCGATGGTGACTCAAATCATGGATTCTTCTCCCACAGCTAGAGGTTTTTTCTGCTCTTTTTCTTTTTCTTTTATTATCTATAGTATAGTTCCACCTTTAGGTAAATCATGGAGACATAGACCGGGCCTAGTATCCTTTTCCTCTTCTTTGTCTCTAAGTTAAGTTCATTGTTCATTGTTCAATTCTAAAGATCCATAGCGAAGGAGTGGATCCGAAAACAAAACATTCCAAAGTTGAGGATGCACTGGTCTGAGCTGCTAATCTGACACTGTATTACATACAATAACTTAGTCTGGACAGCCCTCGTGGTTATCCGAACAAGCGGGGCGGATGGATTGGAGATGAAATACTTAGTGCAGCACCGATCACGTTTTCCGCTCTCCCCGTCCGGTACTCTCAACTACTTAGGATAAGTATCTGAGACAGGTCGACTACCATTTCGTGCAGCCTTAGTATATAATTATACGGTACTGCGTACAATATTATCTCCCTCATATGGCTAGCCCTAGTAAGGCTGTATAATGCATTAATGCACGCCGCATCCCGTACAGTATATCTGGGTCGCATTTCAAGCGCACATACTCAACCATGTACCACAATGATGCACCTACTTACCGCTAGAAGGCCACCAGTCAGACGATGCAGTACAATCCAAGAACGTGCCTTTTGGGTGTTGTGGCAGTTAATAGACTGATTCAGTCCCGGTCTGGCGAGCCAGTAACGCTGGGGGGTGTTGAACCTAATGGAACCAAGGGGCTAAACTGTATAATAATTAGGGTAAGTTCTGCCCCCGAATAATAACATCCGATCATTATCTGCATATCTCGAGCTAACCTTTCCACATATATGACAATTAATCAATCTATTTGGTCAGCTTGTTATCGGCTAAATTCTTTCTTTCATCTTGTCAAAACTTTGTTACTCCATAGTTGCGATTCCCCTAATGTTACTTAGTACTCGCTCCACTCTTCTCCTTTTGTCCTTGGCCTGTCCAATTTGGGGTGTTTTCCTCTCCCTCTATCTTGACCCAAGATTTGCATTGCTTAGGTTGCCGGGCCGGAGTGGACCGCTGCGGGCCCCGTGGGGTCCTAGCTCCTTGGACCTCATGCTATCATGCTTAGAGCGTACCGTGGTAAGGTAAGTAAGTGCGAGAGGAACCGAAGCCCCGAACCATGCCGCTGCTGCTTACTATGATAGGACGAACACTCCTTTCAGCCTATGGTCAGCCCATGTAACAAGAAAATAAATTGGAAATCACTCTATGACTCTTCATTGGTCGGCGGCCATCTCCTGACGTTTTTCTTGTGACAAAGTACTGTGCAGATCGTCCTTGCGCTCCTTACCACTGGTTGAATATTCGGATTAGTGAGG